TGGTATCTTTATTTATACATAGATAATAGTAATAGTAAGCTTACTTATCTTAGTACGTAACGGGAACTCTGTACTATGGCTAGTTGGTAAGTCAGCTCGTTCTCCACTATTATATAAGAAAATTAACTCGAGAAATTACTCGAAGAATACTGTTACTTAAAAAAAAAAAGAAAGAAAAAAAACACAAAAGGAGAGAGAGAAACAGAATCGTATCGAGAGTAGCTGGAACAACACGAACCGTGGGAATCGAGATCTCATTATCCCTTCATTTTTTTATATCGACACGTTAGATGACGGTAAATCAGCGTGGAGATTAGGTGATAGAAGTGTCGTCAGTATATTCAGTATTTACGCCGTCTATCAGTTCGATCTAATAAAATGGAAGGCCAAACGCATTAATTATCAATGAAGCAGTGGATGTATGCAAATGGATGCGCTAGTATGCATAAAGGAACGGTTACAATAGAAAATCACCATTCTCATGTTGCGAGCTATTAATATTTTTAGTAACAGTATATCATTAAACGTTGCCAACGTCCGGATAAGAGATCCAATGTCCTTGGAACGGTAATATGTACTGTTATAGAAGGCAGAAAATAATGTTATCGTTGCTTGTTAAACGAATCATTCGAATGCAAATGACGATAAGACCGATCGTAGAAAAATTTTCTACGCCTTTCGATATACAAGGAGGGTTTCGAGTGTGATTAGACCGTGCGTCGCCGACCTTCCGGACGGATTCTCGATTCCTGATTCCAAGGATCCTAAAGTCTCTATTTCGCCTCGCAAATCTCAAAGCGAAAATTACAAACTGATTCAAATTTACGAGAACCTTCAGCGACAAGTTAAATTTCCTTAGAACGGTACTAGGTGTTATAAAAGTCAGAAAAATTGAAATGCGAATGACGATAAGACCGATCGCAGAAAAATTTTCTACGGCTTTCGAGTGTGATTAGACCGTGCGTCGCCGATCTTCCGGACGGATTCTTGATCCCTGATTGCAAGGATTCTTAAAGTCTCTATTTCGCCTCGCAAATCTCAAAGCGAAAATTTTGAACTGATTCGAATTTACGAGAACCTTCAGTGACAGGTTAAATTTATCATACGATCCGATCAGTGTCCAAAGATATTCGTTTAAGCTGAATCATTGGCGCCACGGTATTTAAAAAACGAATGTCAAATAAATAACGGTATCCGTACATAATTGGATACATTGGACAAGGTGATTGGAATTCGAACAACTTGTTCGGTAGCAAAGAGAATGAAATGCAACGATGCTGTTTAATATTCTCGCGGATATCTTTTGTGCTAGCGGTCGGATCGTTTTCTCTGTTGTCCCGTTCCTTTCGAAGCAAGTATGTCCGACGAAAGGAACGTAAGGCTCATGAATATCTATGTTTCGATTACTGTTATTCCAACATTGTCATTGGCGAGCTGATTAGTCCGATGATTATTAATGAACGCGTTTCGAAGAATTCCAAGTTCGATATCGAGTTTACTCCGATTGCAAATCGTTCGAAAATACTTTCCAATCGTCCTCTATTTCTTTTACGGTGAAATTTTTCTTTGCGTAACCAAAAAATACCGCGTGCTTTCTTTTTCTTCTTACGAAGAAGGAAAACGAGTACTCCTGTCGTTTCAACCGTACAAGGTACGAAGCGAACGTGTTAACTGATAAATATGTACTTATGGTAAGAATTATATTCTCTCATTTATTCCTCGATGCATATTCCTTTCGTGATTACTCTGTATGACTTCGATCGCACCGGTTTTTCCATTTTTTTTCTTCGACATCGCGAAGAACGCGATCTCGTACAAAGTAATTACATTCGAAGCGAAGAAAATTGAAGAGTGATTCACGATCGAATCAAAGTCCGCTTCGTTAACAAACAGAATCAGCCTTTGTTTTCAAAGCAGTTGCAAAGAGAAACGATCGTTAATGAATTTATAATTCTATAAGATTATATAGGAGATGAATTTCGATCGAAATTAGTTTGATAAATCGCGTGTTTCTCTACTGAAAATCGGTGCGATGCGGAGGCGCGCGTCCAAGTGCGGAGACTTGAATGCCGGCAACGGGCAGAAATTTATCGAGTTTTAATAAGTACAAATTGCAGCCGTACGTTGCATAACCGCTTTGCTTCGATGCATCCACCGTCGGATGTACGCTATTTTGTAATCATGAGCAGAGCAATGTTTATAGCGATTCTGAATGGTAGAAGGGGAGGGGATGTTGCACGGATCTCGCGCGATACACGCTTATTAACCTACTCGTTTCGTAATACTTCTGGAAAAAAACAATACTGTCTTTTGTTTTTCTTACTCTTCCGTTATGCGGGTGAATATTGAAGAAACAATCCGTCGTGATAAAAGGCGAATTAATTTTGAATAACATCGATAAATTAATCGATGCATAAGCACTATTTTTATATTTGACACGACGAAAGAGAAAGAACCTTTCGAAACACCGATGGTGTTTCGGGGCTGACACGATATTCGATTTAGCAGCCGAAAAGGTAAAAAAAGGCAAAAAGAGAAAAAAGAATGTGCTGATCAAATAAAGGATCCTCGAAGAGGATGCGTACACCGAGATGCTTTTTTCGTCGACATCTGCCCATCCAAAGGATACGTATAATTTATTTGACCATGGATTAAACTTCCACGAGGCAAGTACACGGTCAGAGTCATCCATCAAATCGAAACTCTTCCCTTTTCTTTTTTTTATTACACTCCTTCCCGCGTGTCGGATACAGAACCCGTCTCAGATGCGAACGTCGATTTCGTCGAAATACAAATATCTTTCGAGTCATTTTTTCTCGTATCCTTATCTAGACAGATTTGTAATGTTTTTCTTTCTTTTATTCGCGGAATCGCACGTTTCCCACGCGAATCCGTGGCAACTGAAAACGGTTTTGACATTGATTTCTTGCGTGCCCGGCTTCGTTAACCTACATCGTGTTTAGAAATCAACAATTCGAGACGCTTCCTTTTTCACCGATTCCACTACTTTCTTGACGATCAATCGTTTCCCTTGGAAACGTAACACTTCTTCCACGAATATGCAAAATGTTATGCGCGATAACGTAACGTTTTATTTCTTTGTTCAACGAACGAAAACGATTCTCCGTGACTCGACGTTTCCATCATTTCTGCGTTACGATAGATAAAATAAAATTTTCTTTCCTTTATTCTCGTATACGGAACGGGTGTTACATATTCCATCGTGGTACAACCGTCTAACACCGATACGTGATTATTTCAAAATTATTTCAAACTAAAGACGAAACGGATAAATTAAGAATCCATCGTAAACTTAATTTTTCGTTCGTAAACCAGGTGCAATGAACGAACGTAACTGGGACAGTTAATTTGATTCAAGGTTCTACATAAATTAATAATCACCGCTCAATGTCGTTATTGATCGAACGAATGACGTTGTTGAAATTACGTAGGACGGCCTTTCTGTTTGCGCGAAGAAGGAACCTTCCTCGAAAAATACTCAACCGCAGATTTATCGAGCCGTTCGAGTGACGAAAAATGAAAGACTACTAATGCGGGAACGAGTCTGGCCGAGTGGAAATAAAAAAAATGTTAAGATTGTCAGTCATTGGTGTCATCGGTACACACGTGTGCCAGCTGACTCAAAGTGTAAACAAACGTAAAAAGATAATTAAGGAAAAAATATAAATTTCACGATTTCGTGCGTGTAGCTCGTTGACAGACATGAAGATGTCACATTTGCAAACAAACCGATAAAAATCTGTTTTTCAAATAACTGCCTCGTTTACGTCGATTCAGGGACAACTTTTATTTATTTTTCTAACGTTTCTAACATTTTTATCCGATTCACTGTTAATGTCTATAAGGGTGGCGTTTAATTAGAAATATTTCTATTAGCTATTTGCAAATGATTAATAAAATTATCTAAAATTTAATAAACTATATTTTGTCTGCAAATCCAACCAACTAACCGAACAGGAATTTTCTGATTATTTTCATCTCACGTGAACATCCTCTGGTTTTGGCTAGCTGAAAACACGAGACGACGGTTTCTAATAACGGAAACGGAAAAATACAGAGTTTCACCGGTCGTTTCACTAATTGTCCATCTCCAGTCGACTCACCATTTATTTAACTAACTTTCAAGGTGTGTAGCTTCTTCCAGAAGCATCGAGTGTTTTCTTAACAATAAATAAAAGAATAAACCTTCCTCAAGACAGCTGACTCATCGATATTAAATATTGATGTTAAAACGAAGCAAATTCCCTTCTTTTTCTTTTTCTCTCTTAAACTCGTCTTCCGTTCGAAATTTTGGTACCGCTCAAAATATACCCCGCAGGTCTTTCGATGATAAATTGTAAATATTTAGAAAGCGACTGTTGAATACTCCGCGACAGCAATTTCTATTCGTTCGAATGGTTAATTAAATTACGCAACCCGTGTTCCCGATTACAGTCATTTTGACGAGGAGGAAATCAGAGAAAAAAAAGATGCATGTAACATCGAATTACAAAGTTGTATGGGGAAGGGCGGGAACAACAAGGAATGCCTGCATCGTATAATAAATTCCAATTATAAAGAAAAGAAAGTGAGAAACATTGATTTATTGCTGCTCGGCTAGACGATAATTCCGCGAATTCTGAATCGATTAAACCGTACAATAAATCTATCATTTAAAAATCAAAGAGTGGAAAGAGGAATACTTTAATCAACCGAGCCTTGAACGATCAATTACAAAGTTATCTTTTCCGCAAGAAATTTCTACACATATTCCATCATTAATCTAACGCTATCTATCGAATGCTTAATCGTAGCAACCTTTACGGAAAGAGACTCGTAAGTCAAAGTCATTTAACTCGGTATAATTGATCGCAATTTTTTCACGGCTGTTATCCTTGCGCAAGGAATTTCTTCTTCTGTAAATCGTCTTTCGTGCTGACGCACGCAGTCGAATAGTGTTAAATTTAAATGAATCTTTATTAATTTATTTGAAGACTCACCTGGAGAGAGGATCGACGAACAGAGCGACGATTATCACCGCGATGATCACACAGGTTAGATAGATCGCCGAAATTTCGTAGATCTCGGATTCAGGAGGACGTTCCAAGGTATCGTGGCCTCCGTTCCCGACGACGCAGAAATCAGCACCGCAGAGTTTGATCTTGTCCGAATTAGTGGTGCTGTTCCCTTTCCCGCTACCGAATTCTCCCTCGCTGAGTACTTTGAATAAGAAAATGAAAGGAAACTTTGATTAAGAATATCGTCGAGTGATCTGAAAGCGAAGAACGATTCTTCGACAATGATCGCTGGCGAAGGTGCGCTTCGTTCAGCTAATCGAAATAATAAACAGCTGTTCGTTTATTTAGGTATAAGTGCTGACGTAGAACTTGTCAGATAACCACTATCACCGTTAATAACTTAACGGCCACCGTAAATTAAAAGGAGCAATTAATGTCGGTTCGGTGAAGATCTTATTTGTTAAAAATGAATGGTTAGAAGGCTTTGTCTTTTCAGGAGTTAATTGCTTTTCAGTGCTGTCGTGAAAAGAATCTAGTCGGTCTACTTAGCCAGACAATCGTCGGACTAAACATTATACAATAGACTCATCGATGACGCATACCGAACATTTCCATTGAAATTACTTTGTCTAATGAATTGTTAATACAGTGCCGAACGGTTATCTGCCAGCGACTTAGGAACGTGCGAAAAGTGACCACTCGGAAATTGTTTACAGTGTAAACCGATGGATGTTTTCAAACTTCATTAAAATAATTATAAATAATTTTCGATACAGTGTAAATCGATTGACCAACAGGCATTGAATTTGAACAAGTGTGTTTTCTTAGTCATTTTTACAAGGAATTCATAGAACGTTGGATCAGCAATTTATTTCAATGAAATTTCAAGACTCGTTATTATAAACACCTAAGGTAATTATAATAGATCTTGATTATTTTACATTTATATAGTTAATCCAGATCTTAAGATATTCTGATAATGATACTTATTGAAACAGACTTGTTTTTGCATGATACCGCGATAACAAGCATTCTATGCAATTTCTTCTCAACGCGATGCAAGTTCTTGCTGGTAAGGAATGCATAGACTTTCAAACATTCCTACTTTCATTTATATTACGACAAAGATTATGTATTTGTCATTGTAAATCTTACGAGCAATAAATCTACGATGTAATAGGGAAGCATGAATTCAGAAAATTTTAATAATAGACTGAAGAAAAAATAAAATAAAATAATTAGAAATGTAATGGTTCCAATTAAAAAGTTTCTCTCGACAATTCAAGCAAAAAGAATATAATCGTGGATAGGCTCTCTCTTTTTCCATTTCGGATTGTTCGCGAACGATCTCGTTTCTCGAATATGCAAATGCCCTGCTAAAGTGGCGATTACACGACACCAGCACGAAACGTATCGACATTCTGGAATTCACATTGGCCAATCGGTGTACAAGCGGTCATCGGACGGTAAACGACAGGAACTTTCACCGAAGCGTCGTTGATAATATCATACTATGTTTACAATGTCTCCCACCATCGTTTCCGATTGTCCGCGAGTCCTACTTATCGGTGTATAACATATTCAACTGTTACGCGAACGAGAATATCCTGGAACGCGATTTTCTTCCCTACAGATTTCTAGTCCAAAGAGTAACTTGAACCGTGAAAAATGTTTGTCCATTCAAAGATGGCAATTTTGACACGGCGTGTACCCAATTATACCTAAGAAAGCATCGTTTACTTAGCCCCGAGTTGATAATTACGTTATTGCCGAGTTGTAATTAGATGTACTAACAGTCAATGAGAAGATAGTTTCGAAGAACGGTTCAATGATCCGTTAACCTTGCAGAAATATTACGCGCCGACTATTTGAGGCTCGGTTACCTAATATCCCGAAAATCATCTTACTATAATTTTCTATAAATTGCTATAAAATTCCGAGGATTTCGATGGAAAGGTTTCCTTGACCCAAACGTATCCTCCGGCAAGGTTGGTCCAGGCGGTCGCGTTCGCAGGCGCAGGCGCGGGCGCATGCGCAGTCGGCAGGCGGCGACCGGAAGAGCGCCGGCGCCAGAGGAAGCCTCGATCGGTTCGAGCGCGGACCGGTCGAACGGTTCGAATCGTAGAAAACGGTTAAAAGCTGCGCTATTACCGTGTGGTATCGGAGAATGCGTACGAGGTGGTACGGAAACCGACTACCACAGGTTTATACCGGATAAATCTTGTTTCTTGCCGCGTGCGAAGCGTTCCCCGTCGCCGTTACTCCTACTCGCTGCCGAGTATCTCGTCGCGTGTCAAAGCGAGACCCGTTCGAAACTCCTGTTCACGGAGGTGATACGCGCCGCGTACGGCTGTTTCTCCTTCTCTCTGGCCAGGGAAAGGACCGAATGTTTGGCCCGACTGTCTGACCTACCACGTGTCGTTACCGCTGAGCGCCGAGTAATGTCGCAACGCTTGTTTACGAACCGTGTGCAAACGACCGACAACGAGAACTTCCTCTACTGTCGATTATTAAAGGGACCTATGGCAACATTTTTCTTCATTTTTTTTTTATGAGAAGGGTCATCGATGACTTTCGTGACCATAACGCGAGAAGGATGAAATGTAAGAAGGACACTAGTGTTTTGTCACTTCGACTAATCGGATATCGTGTAGGGCAATCGATATAGAGGATTTAAGGAAAGACGAAGAGATTGCCAAATTGAAGCGACATTGACCCGATTCTCGTGTCCTAGAAATCTTGGTATCCTCAGAATTGAGATTCTCCGACTAGATGGGTCGGGCATTTGCATTTTAAATGGCTATTAGTAAGGGACCCGTGGACACATGTTTTAGGATCTTAAACTGATTTACGATTCAAGCGTAGGTCCTGTTTTTTTTCATTTCTCAAGGATGATATATGGATTGGAGAAAATGTTGAGCATTTAACGGCGAATATTTTGTCGAGGATAACGGTAGTATTAATCAAATTCAGTACTTACCGAGCGAAGAGATGAGATTCCCCCAAAGTTCAGCCGTCTGCCAGGCCAAGAAGAAGAAGCCGAAGAACCTGACGACGATGGCGTCGACGGGTTGGTCGGTTAGTTTCGCGTATACACCGCCGACCTGAGTGAGGTAGGTTGCCTTAGCCGCCCACATGGGCGCAGCGCCAAGGCCGAGGAGCACCCCGGCTGGTACCAAGGTGTAAAACTTGGGATAGAACTGGGAGGCAATGTACGGTGCGTAACACAACATCGACACACATAGGGTCCATTTCACGGTGAGCCTCTTGATAACGAACGTGGGTACGAAGATGCATGATAGCACCAATGCCGCGTATATGGCCGACAGGGATACCGTACCCAAACCGTCACTAGCGTTTATAGAGGACTGAAGATTCGCTGTTCCCTGAAACGCAGTGAACTGAACCATAAACGCGATGGACACGGTCCCAATGTTCTTTAAAATACGCCATTTCTCGCTACGGGACAGCTTGAACTTTCTCGATTGAGTGTCGTCGTCGGTGGACGATAATTGAGGTGGTTTATGCGGTTCCGGTGGTATACCGTCCGTACCATCGTCCTTGTAACCCTCGTTTCTGTAACCGACACCACTCACGGTTACCGTGTACACCGTTTCATCGCCACCGCCGCCTCCACCATCGCCACCTCCGCCACCTCCGCCGACACTTCTGGTACCGTCGTGTTGCGATGCTACCATTCTACGTGGCTGCTACCTGAAACAAGATCACGTCCCTACGATTATCCATTGTTCACCGCTAAGGTTTACCCTTCCTACAATTTTCTGCATACAGAGAAACGGGCTTTTAATTTAAATACAGTTAACTCTTCTTTTCATTCATTAGCTTCTAATTACGAGCTAATAATTATGAGGAGTACGTAAGGTGTTAAATGGGTGATTTATAACGGGCCCTTCATTGGTATGAAGAAGCGTGTAAGCAGCTCGTCACGAATCGCTCGTTTAAAGGGAAAATCCTTTCTTTTTTTTTTTCCTCTCTATTCGCTTGGAAAGGCCTTATTGAAACGTTCGCGAAGCACGTTCCAGTTGCGCTTGTAAATTCGTTTGTCGTCGATGTAATCGATGGGAATGCGTGACCGGGCCGCACAATGCTGTGACACGTGTCGTACGGCGTGCATCGCAATTAACCGGCGCTCGCAATACCTTCACCTCGTTCGCTTAACTCTTTCTGTCCCCTCCCCGTCGGGTTTCCACTCCCGATCCGAATCTTGATTTCATTGGCAACCTTTCTCAAACTACTTTCTTCCGCGACCGCTCTGCGTTTCTCGTTAAAACGCGAAAACCTCCAGAATCAATTTCACCCATCGCTTTTCATTAACCCTTTCGATCCGACGAATTGAACCGCGCGAATCGCAGGATGAAGAAACACATTATGCAAAATGTATATTTAAAAGCGATAAAATCGCGGCAATTATAAGAGAATAAATAAACCTTGGTTCCGTTGCATCGCTCATCAAGATCGAAGAAGAACGCGCGCAGAAGGCTATCGTTTCGAATAAATACGAAGAGGAACGATCGTTTTCACGCGCAAAGACGTCGCGCGTTCTCTTTTGTGGCAACGAAGTAAATCGCGGCGCGAGCCTTCTGTTTTTGTTCAACAAAAGGCAAATCCGTGGAAAAGCGAGACAAAAAGACATAACTAATCTTTTTGTTGCATAACAAGAGTACCGCCGTACCAAGCGACCGCTCGATACGAGAATTCTTCGTTTCGTCCTTCGAGGAAACATGTTCTAAAGAGAAAACACGTGAGAATTGTTTGCCGTTCGTACGCCGATTTCGCGCAAAGTATGTCCAGCAATTTGATCATCCCTTAGATTCTATGTTTTCTGATAACTCAGGGTGTTTATGCAAATTCGAATCTTTCAAAATCTGCTGAACATAAACGAAGAAACGAGAGGAGTATGTGAAACGGTTCGTCGCCTGGCGTTTGAACGCTGTTCAAACAGAAAAATTGACAGGTTCGTTGACGGTATAGATATACGTAATTAAGCATCGTTCGACGTGGCAAATGTGCGTAACACAGAATTCAAACTTTTACATCGGTAGCACAGAAACACGGTTTAAACGACCCTGACTTACTTGAACACGATTCGGCCACCAAAGTGTTTGTACCACGAGCAGAATACCACCCTAACCAGTTCCCAAGCAACCTTCAACTCTGCTTTAACCGCGAATCTCGTTCTATCGTTTCTCCTCTTCTTGCAAACAAATCGAATATCAACCAATTCCTACTATTTGCCTATCATAGATAAATAACAGCCAACAATGAGAGTGATAAGGAAAGAATCAAATGATAATTTAGTATCCGACGTTTGGAAAAGCAAAAGATCAGTATGGCGTTAATCCCCGGATTGCATAATTCTTTGTTTGATCTTCGTTCCAGGAATTTCCATAAAAATCCCGTTTAAACGAATTCCCAGAAATCGCGATAGGAGTAGCTAATTTCCGTATTTCAATTTTTGATCATTATACCTGGGAGTGGGAAACCAATCGATGATAATTATTGCTCGTAAAACGATCCTTGCCAAGCGTTCGATTACATTACGCATGCAACAAAGAGTTTATCAACTTAACGAATCGACTTGAAACACCGATACGCGATCAAATTATCAAAGCCAGCTGCGTAAATTGACGATTTTTCGTTCAGTCAAATTATTTTTTCTACGTGAAATATAAATGTTCGGTAATTGCAAGTAAATATATGCCCACCTGGCGATATTAAAGAATTACACAGTGGTACCTCGGTATACGACTTCTGTTTGGTATATAAATTTTTCTGTGAATTTTGCGTCATTTGTTTAAATAGTGGTTAAATTAGTTTAAAATAATATCAATAGGAGTTTTTTTTACATGAGAACGGATTAATCATTTTTACATTACTTCTTATGGGAAAGGTTGATATCAGGGCCGGCCCTGGGTCTAGGCAGACTAGGCGGCTACTTAGAACCCCCATAAGACGATTTTACGTCTAAGAATGCAAGAAGAGTTTACTTGAATATTAATTAGTTATACAAGCATTGATGTTAATCTTATCAATTTTATTTAAGGTACTTTATGTGAAGGGGCCCTTTTTCGGAGCTCGCCTCGGATCCCCGAAATCTCAGGGCCGGCCCTGTTTGGTATACGTCCAAACATCAGGAAAGGATTAAGGTCGCATACCGAGGTACCGCTGTATTTTAATAATTCGAATGATCGAAAACGAAGGTTACAGTTCCGCGTCATCGTTCGTCACTCTGTTGTTTGATTCTTTAAAAACGCTTTATCGTCGCGATGACCGGAAACGAAAATTCCATCTTACATCATTTCGAATGACGTAGAGCTGTTTCAAAATACTTTCACGTCGAACGCGCGATAATACATGATTTAAACAAAAAATGTATAAAAAAAGGGTGCTATTCTTTATGAAATAACCAGTAGTGATTTCAATAGTGAGACTAATAAATGACTAGTTCGTCGAAGGATACGGAATAACAGGTGAGAAAACAAAATGATCTGCGATAAGGAAACTAAGACACTCGACTAGAAATTTGTCGATTATACAAATCGAAATAGGCTCACGATTAAATCAGGATTTCCCAGGAAAAATGGTAAGCTTCCACATTTTCGCTCTTCCTCCTAGGCGTTTCCGAGGAGAATGAGTGAAAATAAAGATTTTGAGAATTCTTCCTTCCTCTATATCGCCATTTTCTTTAAGGAAATTAGGAAATCCTGATTAAATCGCGAGTGGACAGTTTCTCTATCAAGTACTTTGTACTTAGAGTCGCCTTGCCCGGAACAACCTTTCTTCGACGAAGGCTACATCGTTTTTCTCTCGATTCTTGTTCACTTGTCGCCGGAAAAAAAGCTCATGTTCCTCGATACACGAAGCTTACCTTGATTTTTAAACGTCAACCTTTCTCATTCTCGCCATCTTTCACGGAGGCAGTCGTGCAAACTAAAGGTGGTGCGAGTAGTACTCGTAATCTACAAGCCGAACTGAACTCGCTTCGATTGTTCCGGGCCGAGTCGAGCGCTTGAATTTGCCGAATTACTCGAAATCGGCGAACTGTTTGAAATAAAAGCGAGCTACTCGAATATTCGAACCGTCGCAAAACTTCGATTTAATTAAAGATGAAATTTTCAGCTCGAATATTCGAGTAGCTCGCTTTTCTTTCAAACGGTTCGTCGATTTCGAGTAATTCGGCAAATTCAAACGCTCGACTCGGCTCGATCGACCGATCATTGTTCGACTCGAAATTCGAGTACTTGAATATTCAAGCCGTCGCAAAACTTCGATTTACTTGAAGATGAAATTTTAGCTCGCTTTTATTTCAAACGGTTCGTCGATTTCGAGTAATTCGGCAAATTCAAGCGTTCGACTCGGCTCGACCTACCGATCATTGTTCGACTCAAAAATCGAGTACTCGCACACCTTTGACGCAAACGCACGTAGAGAAAATATAATGAATTGATGAAGGAACGTTCACGCGGCGGCGAATTTCCAACGCGTCGACAGACTGTTTTCGAAAATCGCTTCTTTTGTTTTGCAATCGTACGTGGTCACCCGTATGCGCCATTGTAAATACGGATAAATGCTGACCCGAATGATGCAACGTTTTCCAGCTGCGTTTTCTGTTATTCTTGCGTTCGAACAATATAACTTACGCTCGAAACCTTTGCCAGGATAAGAGCGCAAAAGTAACCGGCGATAAAGCTGGAAAAATCGGTACCCGGCTATCTCGAACGATGTTGTAAATTTCGAAATAGCCAAAGTGTCAAGGAACGTGTATCAGGGATTTCCAAATTACCCGAAATAATTAAGGAAAATTAAAGAAATACATAAACATTGGCTGAGTAATATTAAAGATAAAATCCTAAGAAACGAAGTTAAAATTAACTCGGTACGAAAATATCGTCGAATTCTTCAATCTTATCCAGGAAGAACTTGGTGATGGAATAAATTTCAAAAAATTTATACGTCAAAAGAACGGTTCTTATCTGTATAGCATTCCGTGTACCACATTCCTGAAGGCACATGTAAGTGTCCGAACGTTTTGTAAGGAATAAAAATATCTGTAATTTCGTATGCAAAATTCGAAAAGTCTTCGACTATCACGAATTTCTTGTATTCCATGTTAGACTTGCGAAGTTGATTCATTCGTGACTGAAACGTGAAAGAGTCATCGGCAAATATTCGCGTCCCCTCGCGAATGAAATTCGCAAACCGAAAGAGTCACTTTGGAACGAAGAAATTTTCTATCTTCTATTTCAGATATTGATTTTTAAAAAGGACGAAACATTGCAAGATGATGCAAGGAACGGATAAAAGGCTGGTTTATCAGGCACGTGGATCGAGGATCGATGGAAAATTCATCGTGGAAGGCGAAAAGGCCGTCGCGAGTTGCCGAGAGTTCTCGGCTGAGGAATCTGTCACTCGCAGCATTCGCGGCACACCTTGCCATAGACAGCCAGCAACGTGTATACGTCGGATTAGAAAGTCCTCGTGGAACGATCGACTCGCAAATGCTTCAATCGTTTCACAACGAAATGCTCCGAGGCGTAAATGTACCCCGTCTTTCTATGCAGCCTTAACTCTACGCGCCTCCGCCACAGATGAGATTAGCAATCTCCTTATTTTACTCGAAATTTTCGGCAAATAAAATTTCATTGAAATCAGACCCCAGTATCGACGATTGGAAATTCCAAAAGTATCGCGAATTCGTTTCACCTCGATTTTACTTTTACTTTCTTACATAAGGTTCGGTATCGTCCGCGGTTCACAGAGGGATTTTCTTCCCCTAAAAGACACGGAAATCATTTCGAAGGGGTTAACCAGCGATATTGAAATTCTTACGAAATGAAACTTATTTACATATCGAATTTGATCCCACGGCTAGTATCCAGAGGTCTGGTGTTACGGTCTCTCTTGTAATGCAACGACGATCATCTTTCGATGAAAGTCGCGTTACAAAAACCGCAATTGATTTCGACAGAAGCACGCGTGCTCATGCATTATTGAAATTCGATCGCGTACAAGTATTCCTGGAAGCTTCGAGAATCTATTTTTTTCTTTCTTTTTCACCTGATCGAATCGACCTCCAAAGGTGGCTCGATCGAGCCTCTTAGCAGGTTCGTCCCGGTCGTGTGGCGTGTGCAAAGCGCGATTTTTATGCCTACCTCGTAAATACGTTTGTACGAGCATTGAGTTTTCCTTTTATTGCCCGCGAAATGCCTTTTTTGCTAAAGCCACTCGAACGAGACGCTAGTGTAAACACCGAAATTCCAATTAATTTCTATGCACCGTCATAATGAATTCAACCCTTCCTACGTTATCCAGTCCAAAGTTTTAATCCTTCTAAAGTACCCTAAATAAAATTTATAAAATTAACATTAAAACTTGTATAACTAATTCAGATTTGCATTTACATCAATTAAGATGCAAAATCTTATGGTGGCCCTGTACCTTGGAGGGCCCCAGACGGCCGCCTAGAGTACCTAGGCCCAAGGCCGTCTCTGCCTTCGTCAGATCATTTAAAAGGCAATTTTTAATTTAGAAATTCTTAGGTAAACCTTGAAATATCGCCTGGCCAATAAGTAGTATTATTTTCGCAGCAGTTTATAGAGCTTCTTCCTTGTTTCCTCAACTGGCGGTAAGTAAACAGAGTTCGTGTGGAAATTTTCATTATCTTACACGATTTCGCCTTTAGATACAGGAATAAAATTCATACCTAAGCTAGATAGGTTCAAGATTATTCTAAACTAGGCAGACTTTGGCTTTGTCAAACGTTTTATCGTTTCTTTCCTATCTATTTCGTTCGGTTCGATCGAACGATAGCGATAAAGAATGGACTTTTTAGTCCCTTTGAAAAATCAGTGATAAAATCACGGTCTGTGATAATAAATCGATGCAGCTGGGACCGTAAAGACCGCAGAAATGTGAATAGGATCACGATTGACCGAGAAAACTTCGTTCGAAGGTTAAAATTGCCCCCATCATCTGAATAAGGATTAAGGCAGTTAGAACCGTAACGTTGCTCGGTTACATTCCTCGATTCTGTGTCATTTCGAAGTAATTAAACGCTCTACATATTTGGATTTCTACGAGCGAGGGAGTATGAACGAAATGATAGAGACAGAGGGTGAAATGTCGATCAATTGTTACGGTTGTGGCAACGATTCCGTGCGAACGATCGAACACGTGTATTCTCGTGCCATTTCATCGGCTCGGGCCTCGTCTAACTACTTTTACACCTTTCTTTGTTCTAAAGCATGCACGGTCATAGGAAATGCAAAGTAGAGCCCGGGGCTATAGCTTCCCTTAGGCTAATTTAACTAATTATTTTTGAATTTCAAGTACATTTCAAGTGTTTTTACTTTCCTACGACCATTGTAAAGTAATTTATGCTCATAGAAACACAGGTAGAATAATGTAGGTATCAGTTTTGTTTTTCATTTCCTATTCACGTAACTTGATTCATCCTGCGATTACCGTTTTCTACGACCACTTTCCAACGTCTTTGAACTTGGAATTTGTAATCTTTATAATTTCTACTATGAAATCTAAAGTAAACGAACAGCTACGAAATATAGCAAAGATAAAATGTGAAGGTTGTTCGTTTTTAGTTATCGAGCAGGTAAAGTCTCCGATTGTTCAGCAACGTTGGACGGTTCAATTTCAATGAACCTCGAGGACGTAAGCGAGCAAACCGGATGTTCGTTCGAAAGTCGCGAATACTCGAAGAATTTCAACGTGGTTCGCGTACGTTTTTAGGTCTCGGGTGTTCCTCGCATTACCGACGGCAGGATCGTCGATTTTCACGCGGGAATATTCGCATGTGCGATTTTCTTATCTCCACCGTTCCGTTACTTCTCGAATATTCGTATCGTTCGAGAACGGTGTCGCTACCTTGCGCGAGCGGCTATCGAGCCGAGGGAAAACGGAAAGATTTCGATGAAAACTCGCTGGCTGTGTTACCGTTATCCCCGACTCGAATTCGACGATCAAAAAATCGCGCGATACATCGGCGATAAAACGAGAGTGCCGGTTCGACGCAACCCGCCAGGCTAATCAAGCCGGGAGCTTTGAATTTCCCTTTGCTACCAGATCACCTCCGTTTGTCGCGCGCTCGCCTATAGTTATATATCGGTGCGACGATTTCACGTTACACTTTCTGCATTTGCCAGGCCACTATTTTCGTTGCGTATCCGATTTCTCGCATCAGCTTTTTCCACGCTTACCATCGCTTACCGCGCGGAATACCGATACACCTGATAACTTCAAATAAATGAGGTCGCAGAGTGATAAATATTAAGTAACTGTACACAAGCAGCTTTGGCCGACGATACGTTTGGCAAACGATCGGGGAAACAAAAATGGAAACACAGACGTACCTGGTCGTCTATCTTGCATACTAGTTTCGGTTCAAATGAAAGAAAACAAAACTTACGTCTTAACGGTTCGATCCTTTCTCAGAGTCCAGCTGATCAATTCCGTTTCCAATGAGTTTCAACTTTCTGCCAATTTCTTCGTCTACGCGGTTTCAACACTCTTCTTCCTTCTAATAGCGATTCGACGTTAGTTGAATATCGTGAAAGAGAGTGAGAGAGAAAAATGAAAAAATTAAAATGGAAAGACGGCTTCGATCGGTTACTTCGAGCACACTCCGCGTTTCCGTGAGATTTAAAGACGAATTGAATAAATCGTGTAGAATTTCAGCACGACCACGAGCGCGACAACGAGCACGGTACGTTGTTTACGAAAATGAAAAGTCGAAAATGTTGAAGCTACATCCGAACTGTTCGGGGGTTCGGAGACAACTGAGCCTACCGGCGGACTTTGGAATCGGTGAGCGGTATGCGTTCGGTTCGCCGACTCGACTTCTCGGCTTCTCGGCTTCGAAGCAAGTCTCTGCTGTTTGCTCGTTGTTGTTTTCTCTCTCCTCTATCTCTCTCTCTCTCTTTGTATCGATACACGGCACACGGTACACGGTACACGCGCGTTCCACCTTCGCGACTAACTCGCTTCTGTTCCTCCTGTTCTCCTTCTGCTCCTTTTGTTCCTTCGGCCCATGGATTTTCTGTATCGCTGGCCGCGCCTAGCCGCACGCGGATCCACCGCGAACCCGCTTCCATCCGCGCTCGTGACACGCACGTGCGTGTCTCGCGCGACTTTTTTTCCTCCTGCCGAACCGATACACGAAATGGTACGCGATGATAATCCAATTTGTTTCCCAGCCACGTGGCACGATACGTTGGGATCCTACAATATTTAACGTGCCATTTAATAAGCAAAATTTCAAGTTGTTCAAATATCCTGTTCTATTTACCGTGTCCCTCCTTCGTAACCGTCCCTTGTCTTGTTGACGAATCTTTCCGATAGCTCGAAGGACGTAACAGGACTTCTATCGAATACAGTAAACACAGAGGATAGGAACGATGCAGGTATCGCTGTTTGTTGCAGGATGATCCATGATTTGTAAATATTAATCACACCGCAAGTTAATGATCCGATGCTTGATGAGTAATGGTCGGGGTAGTATGATAATTTGCTGAAGATGTTCCGTTCGATGTTTCAATACACCTAGAAAGAATATGCAAAATTAGTGCATTTTAATGATTAAGCGTCGGTGTTTAAAAAGTAAAGTAAAATCTGATAAATTCTACCTTACTAGTTATGTTAAATCTCAATGGTTCACCGATCGTATGATTAAAAGCAATCTTAGATGATATAATGAGCTACTTAACGCATGCACCTGAATACATTAAAGATTCCAGACAACAGATCGCACGATTATACATACATATATGCACTCTGATACGTTTCTTCGATCGTCGTTCGATCGGTACGGGTGTTTTTAAGGCTCCGAATCGTTCGTCCAACCCCCGGCATCGTTCGAATTTTATGGTTTCTGACCTGAAAAATCCTGTTACGGGACAACTTTCTCAATGCACGACCTTGTCCTTTCCCATATCGGAAAAACCCTCTTCTCTCTTCGTTGGGATCGTATTAACGTGGTTGTTTCTTGATAGCGTGTGTCGAACCAGAGGCTGAAAATCATTTTATTTTCCGTTAAACGATGCGATAAGGATGTTGTACGTTATAATGAAATCCAAAGACCGTATGTAAAGTTAAATCCTTGGAGTATCCCTGAGGGAGCTACGGATGCCACCGGTGTTTTTCCATTGCACAATCGTTAACAGAATCTAGCGACGTTGATTCTAGGATCCTTGTATGCGGAGGATCTCGTAGGGATACCTTGAAGACAACCACACCTGCGCGTATCTGGGTGAGAACAGAAAGAGATGATTATTGTATCGATGAGGACGCGGCGCGATGATTGCAAAATTGTTTGATTTGTGTAGAATAGAAATTTGTCTGAAATTTCCACCAAGTAGGCCATGGCTCTGGGGGCCGATCGGTAGATTATGACATCGATACATTTTACGTAACAACTGTGAACGAAAAATACCTAAGCTGGGTTAACATTCAGGATGCACCACCGAATCGATCAGATTATTCACGCCCAAAGTCATTTACACGTTCGAGGTATCCTGTAGAAAGAACAAAGAATGCTCGATGAGGAGGATGAAAATTTCCATTATTCCTTTCTCCGACGTAATCGGTGTCGTTATTTAAAAGGATTCAGGACAAGGTGGCTTTTTAAAGCTGCCATTCGTTTGGGATGAACAAACAACTCCGTCTTTAACAAATGTTTGTTTATATCAAGTTTGAACATCACAAAATAGCCTCATATTCTAAGAACGTATCAAGCTACATCCTCAATTCGTTCAAATGGCGAAAACTTAATATACAAGCAGATCACACTGAAGAAACATAATTACATTACTGTTAATTACAATTAATTATGTTTGTTCTCCTTGTGACTAAAATATAAATGCACATTTTCTAAATTCAACTGTTTGAATATATTGGTTTTTTGATTTTTTATATGTTTAGTATCACATAGATTTGTTCGATATCATGTTGATTAACTTAGCATACACTAGTTCAGGAGCATCTTTGGCCCACAAGAAATCTATATGATTGAACTTTCGAAATGGCACTCTGTATACGATTGGTGGCTTTGGTAATTCAGCATTTAATCTCATCACATCCTGAAAAAAAAAATAAGTTATCGATAGGGTGAACTCTAATAATATTTATCTTAATGAAATGCTTACAGTGGAACTAGACAACCAATCGTTTGGACCACAGAACAATGCAAGTGGTGTTGCGATATTTGACAAATTATACTTTGGAGGCTCAGTGCTACTGTAAATCCTCATATTTTCCTCTGACCCATAATCGTATTGTCTAAAGTACCCTGAATTAATTTCTTGAGCATAATGAATGAAGGTCTTGGCTGATGTACCAGCTGGTGTATGGCCCAGAATCGCAGGTAGCAACGTCTGCAAACAGTTGAAAATTTACATGAATAATTAAAAACTAGTGTAGCATATGTATATTGATCTTATCCACGTGTACAGGCTTCTCTGTGTACTCACATAATTAAATTGCGCTGAGTCGAATCCGACGATAGCAAACATCGAATTAGCACAAATCTTTTCCTCCAAGAAATCCAATAAACACAAATATTTTGCAAAAAACCTGATAACAAAATTCTGCGGCAGGAATTCTCCTTCACCTAACAAACGATGCATTATCTGAAAAATCAAGCGGAAAAATTAGATACAGATACGTGAGCGCAACAGATTAACTTACCACGGAATTAGTTGCAAACGGAGCCAAATGCCGTAAAGGGGTCCGTACGTGTTTCATAAATGCTACTGGGGCAAGACTGTACGCTGATTGCAAAAGTCTTGCTATTTCCGGTCGTTCGCTAGACATTACGTAGAAACATGTTGTACCCATCGAGAAGCCAATATACGCTTTCAAATGACTTTGCTTCAGTTTTACTATGTAAGTGATCATCGAAGGTAGATCGTAGATACCTGACTCGTGCCAGCTGAACATACATTTAATCATGATATAGTAATTACGCTTACAAAATAATTACGCAACATACCTAGTCTTATTACTATTTAATTAATTATCAATTAATTCTAGTTTCAATTACTAATTCTTTACTAACTCAAATACATACCGCCAAATAAATATTCAATTATGTTTGATCAAATGTTTTTCATTGTTAATTATAACTCGTATGACGCACAATTTTCATAGAAAAAATATGATATGAATAATTTCATTTAAGTACCTAAAGTCCCAAAATTCGGCATCCGTGGAAGACATGGAAACGTGAGCCCTTGAATAAGTGTTGCCACGAAAATTTCCAAACCATACATCGTAACCCTGGTCGGCTAATAAGAAAGCTACAAACATACAAAAAATTCAATTAGCAGTATGTTTTAAGTATATATTATTTGACATTAATTATTAAATAGTATACGCAGATGAAAATTAACTAAATTAACTGCTAATTGAATTTTAATTTTCACACCTATCGCGATTAATAATTTGTTTTCTTTTTCTATACCTTCTAAGTTAGAGTCTTACAAAAAAATAGGTACATGTTGTTTTTAAGAATTAACTGCGACGGTTAATTACAGAAAAATTCGATAGCATAAAGAATTCGTTATGTTGTCTTTGATTTTACTTCAATATTAAATCGAAGAATATCCATCATCGTATAATTAAAGCTGATCGTGGACCAGATAGACGAGGCTCGATTCACTTTCTTTTTCTTCTAATTTCCATATTTCCGTACCAAGAGCTTTTCCTTTCCCAAGAATAACCCAATCAGCCGAGCTACCCAGTAAACCGTGCTGTAAAAAAATTGCAGGTGATCCAGGCTTCCCTGGAATTCGGTGCATCGTCAACAGGTAGCCATCTTCCGTTAACACAACATGGGCTTCCGCTGGATAACCCTCTTTCCTTATCATCTGCACCTGTAATGGAAAAAAAAAAAAATAAAACATTTGATGTAGTAAAAAGGCTTAAACACCTGGAACCACCATATTTGTGATCCTCATCCTCCAAGCTATCAGACTGTACACCCCCCTCCCCTCGGGGGAGCAACCGATATACAAAATCGGAGCCTTGACTGATATCTGAGGATATCTGAGCGTTATAACATATTTATTTTCTGAAAATCGGACTTTACATCCGTGTCACAGATATGTAATGTGATACCGTAAGAAATATTCGTTTAAATAACATCATTTTCCAAGTGAAGGATTCATTTGCGACCTATGATTCCTCTAAGACTTTTGTTCCTCCGAATGAGTACTATACGATGCAATAATAAAATAATTTTTAACAAATACAACCGACTTCAAAATGCGCTAAAAAGTGTAAAATAATTTCTATTTCATTTATACCAATGCTATTAATAATACCTATTTAATCGGGACCAAACGGGAGACATACTCTATAAGGTCAATTTTGCGGCTACTTTTTTTTACAGATCTCCACCGATTCAAAGCTGTAGAATCAACTGGCGAAGTCATGACAAAACATTGTATTACACCCTGAACGTGTTAATCACTTTTCAGAAATTCAACTTTCATAACGATAATGATTGTTATTATTTCAAGATAAATAAACGGTTTTAATTACTTCCATATACCGCAGTTCACCAGAGTCCATAACTGCGACGCGCAGGTTGGAAGATGGTGGGGGAACGCAGCGAGCTCTCTGCTAATCGCTTTCCACTTCGTTTGGGAGTATCGCCAATCAGGGCGAAGATGCGCACTGGAGAAGCGCGAAGAACGAAAACTGGTTTTTTCGCAGTTATGGACTCTGGTGAACTGCGGTATATGGAAGTAATTAAAACCGTTACGTATAATTCCTTCAAACAGTTATAAACTGTTTCAAGTTACATTGATCGAAAAGAAAGTTATATAGATTAGTAGAATTCAACTTACTGTATTCAGCTCAGATTCTTTAAAAGACATCATGGATTCAAACTGCAACGAACCCGCGGAAGAAAGCGCCCATAGCGACATAAAAGTGATGATGAATTTCTTCATTTTAGGTTTAATAAAAACAACAAAATATTATCACACTAGAAACAATAAAGAACCTTTTATAACGTCGCAGATATCAAGTATTAGAAACATGTATTGACACTGTTGTTCAAACTACTGAAATTACTGACTAAATGAAATATTTATGTATTGCCTTGCGTATAAATCACTATATATTGCCTCGCAATTTTATCACTATCAACGAGTTCAATATGTTATATTGTACATATCATATCATATCGTGTGTCATATCCCGCCATCCTTCCTCTGCGGCACAAAGTTCAAAAATGATACTGCAATCCGTGTAATTTAATCAGTAAATTTCGTTAAATATGATGCAAAATTCGATTTGATTATTTTACACGAAAATATATTGCAATTTCAATCAAATACTTACATTAAATATTGTTATTGGAAATCCTACTTGAATATACAATAACCCTTTCGCAATTGGGGTTATGTTTAAATGAATTTCATGGATGCTTTTTTTAAATGCTTCTTGTTCTTCTTGTAAATCAAGGTTCATATACTTAGAAACAAATAAACGTTAACTGTAATAAAACATAACTAATGTGAGATAATTATTTAATTAAAGTAAATTAGATATTAACATACAATAGTAGTTAATAAACTACTACTACTACTACACTATTAACTACTGGAATGACAGCCGACAGCATACATATACTTACACATACGTACCATTCAAACAATGAATGACAAAATGTATATATATTTTTTTAATGACTAATGATGAGGAACTTTATTTTAAAAGATTTTAAAATAATCATATACTAAAATAGTTAAAAAGCAAAGAAGATTATTATAAAAAAGTGTACAGTTCAAAGTATATACATATATACGTTTAACTAAGTAAATATTTACATCACGTGCATTCATAAACGTACATATACAATATATACTGTTGAAACTGGCAAAGTTTGTAATTTAAGATTTTGATTAATAAAAGTAAAGGAAATAACAATAAATATAAGAAATTGTACGTAATAATATAGGCAGTATAAATTACAGTATGAATACTTTCCATTTGTGTAAAATTCAATATTAATATCAATCAGCTGTTTGATAACCTTAGAAGGCTATAAATACATGGTCTTATATTCTATTTTATGTCTCATTTCTAAGTAATTTTAATACCATTTCAGCACACAGAAATGAATGAAACAACCCTGCCTCCTTCACCAAACTGGTACCTCAGTAATATCCTTGCTTGTTCTTTTAATGGAACCATTGCATGGGGTGCTAGAAATACAATTGTTATTATTAAGCCTGATGAAAGTGAAAAGGCCTTACAATATTCTATTATTAAACATGCTCACAAAACTAAAGTGACTTGCCTTGCTTTTACTACTCAGTTTGAGGAAGTAGATGCTCATTTAATAGCTTCTACAGGAGATGACAATGTCATTAAAATATGGGATTCAAACACATTGTCTATAGTTTCTACTTATCTCTTAAAATCTGTAAGTTTGCCTATCCATTGCTATAAATATATTATAGGAATTCATGTTAACTATTCACTTGATTTGCTTCTAGGATACACAAGCAATTGGTGTGGATTGGTCATACAAAGACCCGTATGTTACATACTCAGCAAGTTCTGATGGTTGTGTATTATCATGGAACAGTTATTTTGATACTGTTTCTTTAATTTCATTAGGAAAAGTAACACCTACTTGTCTGTCTTCTTGTCCACACGATCCACACCTTGCAGCTATAGGTTCTAAAAGTGGTTTGGTTTACATCATTAGTTTCCAAGGGAAGGGAAAGGTAATTTACAAACTGAGAGGCCATGATGAAGAAATAGTTAGTCTATCGTGGTGCCCTGTAGAAAATAATGTTATAAGTGGAAATTCGAATAGAGATTTACTGTTAGCTTCAGGGGGAAAAGACAGGTAATTTAAAAAGTTGTTGTAATTGGAAATTACTTACATTTACGATTTTTATACGGTTACGTAGGTCAGTTTTTATCTGGAAAGCTGGTGGAGATGGACGTTACGAAATGAAAATTTCACTACCTATGTCGCCTCTTGATTCTCATCACCACAGAAGCAAATCAAATTCATCTGTAGGTAATTGGACTGTGGTTCATTGGATAGAGCCTAAACTATTGCTTACAAATTCAAACTGGGGTGAATTAATTTCTTGGGACTTATCAACGATATCCAAGCACAAACCTCTCTGCAAGTTAATACATGCACGTCATGGCACAGGATTATTTTCTATTGCATGCATGCCAATTGTTGAGGAAAATTTAGTAGAAAATTGGAGGACGAAACGCAGGTTTTTATTGATAATAATTAATTACGTAGATAATGTAAATTGATAAATACAGATACCTTTTATGAGTTACAGGCATACCATTTGGACTGTGGCACTGGATCGCAGAGTTATTTGTTGTAACATAAACGAAAATAATGTTGAAATAATGCATGATATTTACACACAAGGTGGCTATGTTTACTGCATTGCTGCTTGCCCTTTAGACACTTCGCGCGTTGCATTCGGAGCTGGAGATGCAATGTTACGATTATGGAATTTGTCCGAAACACATAGTACAACTTTTGATATTACTGCTTTCTGGCAAAAAATTAAAGGAAAAATTCGCGCGGTAAGGAAAGCTGAATATAATATAATATAATATAATAAACACACTTACATAACAATATGATTATATAATATTTAGATATCATGGCATCCTGAAAAGGAAAATTTATTAGCATATGCAACTGAAGAAGGACGAATTGGAATGTTTAACACAAATAGTAACAAACCTCCCACTTTGTTGAGACAGTATCATAGAAATGTAGTGTATTCTATTGGTTGGGGAGCAAATCCAGATAATAAACAGCATGTTTTATATTCATGTGCGGAAGGAGAGCTTGTATATTATGATGTAGAAAAGCCAAATCAAGGTATTACTTCGTATTTACTAGTTAGTTAATAGTTCTAGTAGTATTATATTAAATTCATCTAAATGTCTTTTGTTAGAACCTACGTCTGTGTTAAAAAAGGAATGTACAGAATTTTCTTGGAAGCCAGATTTGTCTTGCTTGGCTGTAGGATTTGAAAATGGGTATGTTTTAAAATAAATTACACTGCATTCGTTAAAATAATACTTCTCATTGTTTCTTAGATTAATTTCGTTTCTTAATCGCAAATTTGAAACGTTCGGGACTACTAAATTTTCTTCAAATATGCTACATTGCTTAGTGTGGCATCCCGATAGTACTACAACAGATTTGACATTTTCTCCTTTGAAAAATTATCTAGCCGCTGCTTTTGAGTCATCTACAATAGTTATCTTTGACTTGTCTAATTTAATGGATCATTTTACAAAATTGCAAGAGTCAAGTGATAATGATCAAGTAAACACTGATACTTATAAAGTTAACGAAGTTGTATGTACCCTAACTGGACACACTAAAAATGTTGTTTGTTTGGCATGGAGTCCATACATTAGTGGATATTTGATATCTGGTAGCTACGATGGAACTGCACAGGTATTGAGTTATATAGTTGTACAGGTGGTTCTTCGAGATATAGGCACTAAAAATATTTCCATTTAACAAATATTTTTAGGTATGGAATGTTGAAACACAAGAATTAATAGCTACTTACAAAGGGCACGGTGGACCAGTACTGTGTTGTATGTGGAGTCCACTAAGTTCTAATTTTATTATAACAGGCTCTGCAGATTTTACAGTACGAATATGGAAAATTGATAATAATTTGCCACAAGAACCAGTGCAACAAAAAACGTCGAAGAAAAGTGAAAAGAAACACGAAAAAGTAAATAAAATTACCAATGTTTCACTTCAAGATAGCTTAACAAATTTAACGGATGCTGTGTCAGAATGTTCAATTTCAGATACTTCCCAAACTGTACAAAGTATGTCAAATCTTATTGGTCGTGTAATTTTAAAAAGTGATCATCATAGTACGAATAATTGTTATTAATTATTATTTTCAGAATCAAAGACAGCGGTAGTAAAAGAAGTAAAAAGAAAAAAATCTGAACGAACGGCATACTTTACGAAAAATATTAATACAATGAGTAACAAAACGCTTTTGCTTGATTCTCTTCTAAACATTGTGAAAAATATGAAAGGCGAACAAGATCAGAATGTTGAAGAAAATCAGAAAGACGATTCTTATTACATGATACCGTTATTATTTTCAACGCAAGAAGATTTTTTGCCATTTTTGAACAGTGAAAGTAAGTAATTCATTAAGGGAAGATTGTTGAATTAATTACTGTATCTATATCATCACTTTTTGTAAATGTATAGAACAGGCTCACGTTGAGAAAAACCGATACGACCTAGTCACACAAATGGACATGTGGTCTGATAATCTTAAGCAAAACTTGGAAGAAGCTGCTAAAGAAAAACGTGTCAATGACTATTTGGTTTCACTTTCGGCTAGTCTTTCCATGAAGTATGTAATTATTCGGACGATGCAAAGAATAAAATTAAAATGATTAGAAAATTAATTCACTCATCGTATATTGTAGAACTTGGAGGGAAATGTGTGAACTATATGCACATCAATTGATAACTGAAGGCAACCCTTATAAAGCAGTATCGTATTTACTCTGTATCCATAAAACGTATAAAGCCGTAGAAGTATTTCAAGATGCAAACTTATATAAGGAAGCATACGCTCTTGGAAGATGTAAACTTGAAACCGATGATCCGGTTCTAACAAACGTGTTGAGAAATTGGGCAAAATACAGTGTAAATGTAGGTAATTTTGAAGATGCAGCTTTCATGTAAGTTAGAATTATAATGAAGAATAATGATAAAATTATGAATAACAGTTGCAAATGATTTTATAATTGTGATTCTAGTTATGCCAAATTAGGAGACTTTCCAGAAATGATTAAGTATCTCACTCGACGGAAAGATACAGCTACGTTAATAACTGCGGCTGAAATTGCGCTCATATGCGATGATGATACCTTGAGTAAATCTGTAGCAAAACAAGCAATAAATGCAGCTTTGGAAAATTCGGAGTACGATGTAGCTCGAAATATAATTACAAAATTTCCGCATCTCAAGGTACATTTGTCATATATCTGTAATATACATTTCTTTTTATTTCAAATATTTAATACTTCTTAAACTTTGAATACGTTTAGTATCAAGAAACACATTTATTAGTTCTTGAGGAACTCGAGAAAATAATTGGGAAAAATGTGCATTTTGACATGATTCAAACTTGGCTAGATGGAAAATCGAATTATGGATTATTGCAAGCTTTAGAAACTGTTTGCGGAGACTGTAGTTGTTACTATACCGATTTATCTCAAAATCGGTTCCATAATACTTTGACAAATGAGAAAATGGTAAACTTTTTGTAAATAATGAATTAAGAAATGCTTAATCTTAATTTAATGTCTAATTTCAGTTATGGTTGGCAATTAGCCATGAACTTGCGGTTGCAGTAGCTTCTATTGAAAAAGAACAAAAATTAAAACACATTGTTACTGCATTATATACTATTGCTCAATTTGAAACATTAAATCGGAAAAATTTCGAAAATCAGTATAGTTTTTTGACTGAAATTGTTATAAAGTTAGATGCTAAAAATCTAATAGACGAAGAAAGTATATATGCAAAAACCAGTTATCCTGTATCAGCTAGTATGCGAGCTTACTTATGTTACGCTCTTTTAAATTGGCTCGTGTACCATATAGACGAAGAAATTCTTAACAGTAATGTACAGATTTATATCAATTTGATAGAAGATTTACTTGAAGATGCATTAAACAAACAAGCAGTGAAACAATGGTCAATACAATGCGAAATTAGTAAACTAGAAAATCAAATAACTTCAATTTTAGGTAAGTTACTAAAATATATTTTAAAACTTACTTATATATTAACGAGTTTCCTCACTAGATAAAGCACCAGATGAAGATAAAGGTAATGAAGATACAAAATCGATGATAGAAGAATTAAATGCGCTGAAAACTGAAAAGAAACAACTTTTAAGTGAACTGGTTTATGTGCCAAATCCTGTTATGACTTACAGTAAAGCATATGAATTATACTGCAAATTATTGGATGAAACTCTTAAAGTTAAATTTTTCGACATTCTTTCAAAGTCATGGACAAATGCTACCTCATAAGTGAAATTCCATTTTTTTTTAACAAACTTTAAATTAATTTTTTTTACTAGAACAAAGTTCTGATTAAAATAGTGCTTAAGTGTGAGTTAATTAAGGAAAAACAATGTTTATTATATTTATTACAAAATACCTTTTTTTTATTTAAATAAATGATATCCTTAATGATAACGTGTTACGACCGATTTTAGTTCAAGATTATTTTCCAAAACCGAATTTCCGTATCACTTGTTGCACAAATATATGGTAGCTTGTAATGCCAACATATTCCACTTATTAATTTTACCTGACCACAAAGTATTTCTTGTTCAGTTTTTATATTTGTAATTTTCAACAAATTATCTGGTCTTCCTATAGTTGCTACAAAATATTCATAAGTAGGTGAAAATTTGACTATTAATCCTCCTTCAATATGAAGAGGTTTTGATTCCAAGGGTGGACTAAAAATAAGGAAAAACATTTTCATTAAATGATAATTATTTACTCATTAACTAAATGTTTATCATTTACATTACCTAGGTTTAGACATATCCCAAAGGACTAATTTTCCAGCTACCATAGCTGCTACTCTTAATAAATTGGATCCCCAATCGATTGACATTAAAGGAACAATATCTGTATCCAAAGACATTATTGCTTGTTGACTTCTTATATCATACATATGGATCAGACCCTTCTTTTCTCCAACAAGAAACTTTCCAGATTTTTCTGGATGAAAACAAACGCTCATTCCAGGAGATTTTAAATAAAATGTTGAAATACATTTTTCATCTTCTTTTACTGCCCATAGCTTACATGTGTGATCATCAGACACAGAAGCTAATATCTCACCCTCTGTTTCATAACAGATTGAATTTACATAATCCTTATGTCCTTTCATCTTTAACAAAAAGTTATTGTAAGACATCCATTCTTAAAAATCATTAATGCTTTTCAATCTTACCTCACATACAGTGTCATCATTCATATCACTGCTATACAATCTTATTTTGAAATCTGCTCCAGCAACACAAAACATCAGAACTTTTGGCACTACGCTCAAGGAGGTTTCAGGACTCCAAGCAACAGCATGTGGTCTACTGTCATGTCTAAAAGTTCTCAACAGGTTGTAAGCAATGTCTTCAACTGCTTCATCTTCATCCTTGTGTAAATGAATTCTTTCTTATATAACATAACTTTCAAAAGTTTAACAAAATTTAAGTTGATTGTATTATGTGAAGTTTGTAACAAACACGAGAATTCAAATACTTCACCTGAAACTTAACGGTACCGATAACAATTTCTTCAGCTAAAGCAATGCAAATTAAATGTTGGGACCATTCATAAGGTGACAATTCAACACAATATATCTGCTTCGAAAAACGTAATTGAAATGTGGAAGGTGTAGTTAGAGCTTCGTCCATTATATTTAAAATATTTACATACGTATTATCCCTTTGAAAGTGTGCTCGTGTTGCAGCTACAGCGTGAAACTTGGTCGATAAGTTGGCAAGTGGTTTCCACTGCTTTCTGATAGATGCGGAACTATCCCTTGTTTGTAGCGGATTTACATTTCACGTTGTTTAGGTAGATTTCTGTTTTACCGATTAAATTCAAATTGTATTTATATTTTCTATTTTATCGACGTTGTTAATTAACTTTTCAAAATTTCAATGTTTTGTAAATCGTATTGCATTTGTTAGCTCTTTCATTTTGATAAGAATTTCATTTTATAAATGATCACTTAGATACAGAATTTGTTATTGAGAAGACATGTACATGTAAAATAGTGAAAAAAGTTATAATTATTGTAAGTAATTGTAAGTGATTTCAAATTAATTATTTGTTAAAGCAAAATAAATAAGATAAATTGCAAATTAAATAGTTTTTCTAAATAAATCGCCACACGTTTCGGGAAACCGGTCGGTAAGTTGTTGAGTAGTTTCAGCTCTTTTCACATAGATGGCGAAAGGGTCGACTTTTTGTGTAGCTTACCGATTATTAGCTTTTAAAAATATTTAATTGTATCATTTGTATGCATTAAAACCGCCATGTAATGCAGTCGTTGTAAAAATAAGGTTTTAAATTTTATCGGTATTTCAAAATTCGTATTTGTCTCAGTTTATACAAGAGGAATGGATACTAAACAAAAACCTCACGGTTCTGGATACATAAATGAACCTTTGGTGATTATTTAATCGGGAGATAAGTAAGTATTTTCATTCAGTACATCGAGGAATGTCATTATCTCTCTAGACAGATAGATCCAACATAATTATGCTAAAGAATTAATTGAAGAGTGATGAACGAGGGATAAAGGGACACGTGATTTTCTATCGATGTAAAGGAAAAGCCAATTGGTTGCAGTTCGACTGCAGTGGCACTCCGGAAGGGAGAAAATCATCGACCAAGGAAATTTTCCTTCCATGCTTGGAGAATCGACTGGATGGAGGCGCTGACGATCGTAAAGCCGAGCGTGTACGTTTTGGCACGATTCTTCGTGAGTCGATCGTGCTCCGTAGTTGTGCTCGGGCCAGCGAGCAGGCTAGATTGATAGTGGTTTTTTATTGCTCACGAGTATCGTTTACGATTTTCGTGGCGATTTTCTTGTGTACCACGATCGATCGGTACCGAGATGACGTTTATGAGATTTCCTCGTTGAACGAGTGTTCTCGCGAAAGGGTAACCAACGTCAGCCATCGAAGATGATGCAGGAAATCACCGACCAATCCTCCAGGACAGTGCTCCTGAACACCTTTGTGGTAAAGAAGAAACGGTGCAGGGTCTACTTTCATCGCGGCACGCTGATATGGGAAACGGAGAAACCACCGTACAGTAAGTGTAGAATCAAACTTCTTGTCGCGTACTCGTGCCAACGATCGTTAGTATCAGGGAAAGGGATCGGAGCGAGAAAGCGTGATAAAACGGCCTCGTGTCAGCGAGGATCAATCGCGTTTCCGCGTCTTTCGCGGTTCGAAACAAAGGAACAGTGGCTGGTTGCACCGTTACCTCTGATGTTAACACGTTCGTTGCGAACATCGCGGATCATGTTGGATCTGATTTGGCGATATTAATATTATAATTATTTTTGCTTATTTAATTCACCACGGCAAATTTTCATGGTCTTTAGTCTACGGCTAACGTGTTAGGTGGAGTGCAACCATGTGTACTTTGCTTGGAATGAAAGTGTAGTGATAATTAACAGGCACAGTCTGTTAATTACATTCGATTTAGAAATCGTTAGCCAATAGATGAACTTTGTATGATAATGCGTAATGTGAATACTGAAAATTTGTATCGTTTTGTATTGTACTGCAGTAATCATTAAAGAGGCATCAAATTCTGAATACAGAGTTTGTTTATTCATACCCGAGACTATAGCGATCGTTTACAAAGAACGATTTAACGTGATTGAATTGTTAAAGTGTTAAACAGTTGAAATAAAAATAAACACGTCACTGTCTGGTTTAAAAATCTGATAGTTTGACAAGTGATGTCACCTGTTCGTGACTTTGATGTATATAACATATTAGCATTCTTTAGGTTATATTTATTTATCGCGTTATGAAATAATCATAATCGGAAAATTGGTAATTTTTCTGTTAAATTATCATTACTGAATAACTTAAATACAACAATTTTTACAAAGTTACCACTAAACAGCGGTGTTCAGTTTTCACTAAACAGAATCATATTTCGAAGTTGATGAAATAATACTTCCGGTTTTGCGATGATACATGTCATCATTGTTCAGACTCCTACGCAGGATAACAAATATTGAGGAAGTTTTAATGAAATTGCCCGTTTCTGTCAGAGATTCACTTGCAAACTACGGTCGCGCGAGGAAGTAAAGCTTTGATTCGAGTTTCGAGAGTATCGAAGGATCGACCGATCGAAAAACGTCAAATCGTTTCATAATATAAATACGAGTATGCTAATTATTGATAAAAGTTGATTTATCACGCAAGAAAATTGCTTCCACTGCAGGCATGATAATTTTCATGGAAATTCATTATGCAACTGTGGGAGAACCGCGTTTCGCGCGAAATTCAAACGGTATTTCTAAACAAAGGATCTCTTTACAATTCAACATATTTGCTTTTTCGGTTCGGTTGTTGAACGATGACAAGTAATTTTTCAAAGTATCCTATCAAGTGTCGATAAAAATTGACATTGAAAACCTTATCTGGACGATAATGTTTAATTATCACGTAACTTTTCTCTCTTATATTTCTGGTATTTTGGTTTCTCTCATGTGTATTCTTTTTCAACAACAACATACTGGTTTCTTCGCGGAAGCGATCGACGCGTCGATGGAGAATAGTAGTACGATTTACTATTTAATATTCAATAGCGATGGGTAGAAGAAGGAAACGGAATGGTATGCAAATGAAATTCAAGGACGCGCGTTTAGATACATATGTTTCTGCTTCTACGTGAGCCGATCGCCGAAAAACTCATCGATATTCCGTGCAGGTCGCGCGCAATCGATACGTGCATACGATAGATCGAAATGGTATTGCTACAGTCATAATCGATTCTCTCGTTTAAATCTACTTGCATACATTAGACTAGTAGTATAAAAATGAAATAAAATTGAAATTATATAGTCATATACAAACATATTTTTTCCAACAACAGAATTCAAGTATCACGATTACGTAAATCGAATGCATGCAAAAGTGAAACTTGCAAGATGCCGCGTATATTATATACACACATATATGCTTGGAAGTAATTTGTGCGAGTGCCCTAATTACGTCATACTTTTGGCCCGAGTAAACAGCCTTTTCACGCGAAAAAAAAAGGAAGAAGAAAAAAAAAAATTTGTCGCGTCTTGCGACCTCGGTCCACGAAATCTTCCAGTCTCGTCGGTTCGATAGGAGGCGTTCGTTTCGGAGTCGAACAACCGATCGCGGTTTGGCATACATCCCAATTATCTGTGTAACGCCGGGGACAGGCATGCCTCGAATATCGTATCTTGTTTGGGAGATTCTTCTTTCTGACGTCTCGTTATTTTTCATTCCATTCGTTTTTTCCTGTTTATTACTCGCCGGATGTGCTTAAGTAAACGCGGCTACTTAGAAGGAAGTCAACGAGCCTGAGAGTCTTGGAGGAACTATTGATTTCGGTAGAAAGGTCAGACTAGAGGTTTACTTGACGCTATCCGGAGCATGGTGTACCTCCGAGGAGAAAAAACCAATCTAATTTCAGGCTACAACCAGGTTTATTGATTGTCTGACTTCTGAACTTGGACGATTTCGTTTATTTCACTTCGATTCGGAGGGATCTAATTTTAGTAGATTTTGATTAAAGATCACGTTAGATCGATGAATTTTTTATTTGCATCCTTCCAGTTCGATGTATTTCAATCGGGATCAATTGTAATTGGTAAATTTTCTACTATATATCTTTAGTTCCAACAACTTCGAATCACCGAGTGCTTCCAATTATGCAAATTTCAATTCGCGGCGCTGCGATTCGATAAATTTCAAGCACCGCTGTTTCGCTCCCTTCAAATCTCAATTTCTTTAATTCCCTTCGATAAAAGAGCTCGCGTTTAGTTGTATGTAAAGCAGAATCGAGGCCAGAACTTGTAACTCGTCGTTACAAGGGATTAATAATCCGAAACAGTGTACGGTCTTGCGTCAAAGCCTGGTTAATTGGATCGTGCTCACCATTCATCCAATTTAATGCTTATCCCAATTTACAGTGGACAACTGGTACCAGTTTACGCGTTGATCTTCAAAACGTTTCTTAAATCGAATTAACGTTCCTTTTTCTATCTCTGAACGGGATCGTTCAACGAATGTTCCGCTACATTTCTCGCGTCGTTATCTTCGTACAAACCGGATATAAAGTCTGGCTGCGTTAATTACGAAACAGGTAGCACTCTCGTGCGTCACATTTTCCATGATTTGCTTTTTAAAAATCTCGCAACTCAGATATGGAACAATTGTGAAACGTGCCTCGGAAGATTTTTCAAGTCGAAGTAGGAAGAACATTCGTATTATCCGCACGACGGAGCATCCTTGATTCTGAAGCCGCAATGACGGTGAGAATCCATAATTTCCCAGGGACACGAACCCAACTGCAGCCTGAATCTTCTTCAGGTAAATTTAGGCGTCCAGGTCGTTCACACCGATTCCCCTCGTGCTCGCGAACCTTCGAATCGGACGGGTCATATAAGTACCTGAGGAAGGTCGCTGGATTCCTTTAACTGGCTCACCTTCCATCTTACTTCTTCTCCGTTTTATCTTCTCGCGATTATTCTCCTCTTTCAAGATTTTTAATTGTATTTGATTTTTGAATTAAAAGTTCTTTGAACCTGATGAAACTCTTCTTCGAGAAGTATTATAAGTATAAGCACCATATGCGGTAATAAAAAGAAGACGAGTAGTTCGAGCATTGGAGTAATTATAAGCAAAAACATCGGTGTCCTCGAGAATGTTCTTTTAATGAATGTTTTTGTCCTTCGTCTATGAGCGAAATGATTATCCGTTCTTTAAGTTATTCAAATTTTTTCTTAGTTCCCGATTCAAGCTGTAAGCAGGTTTCAGTGATTAAAACTCTCAGGTGACCATACTCGTCGACCTTCAGTGATCGGATGTATTTTAGCGTGTTTGCTGAATATTCTTGCTTGTATGTAGACCGATATCTTGGAGGAAGAAATGAAAAGAGATTTTAATTTATCGAATTTTCCCAAGTATTTTATCGGTGTGAAAAAATTGCGCTTAAAATCGCAAGGTCATCGATTCTTATCGATATCCATTTATCTCGGCCGATTATCTTCCTCTTGCAAAATAATCAAAGATCATTGTAATTGAATAATGATAAAGATAAAAAAGCTAACGCAGAAAAAATATGTTTAATTTTCAGCAAGATGGACTCTGCCGTTAACGGATGTGCTCGCGGTTCGCTATGGGGACGATTGGATACCCGGGGCGAACGTTAAGGAGAAACAACCCCCTACATCGCCCACCTCGTCCACCGTTTGTCCGACGAATTTTATTTTACACTACGCCGTTCGTGGGCCACAAATGAAATGGAGCCATCACAGTGTGACAATGAGCCACACAGATCCCAGGCAAGTTGCATCCTGGGTGAAAACCATACGAAATTACTTGATGGGTGAGTTTCCTTTTACTCACAATTACGTCTTCATTAATATTACCCATTCATATATTCATCTACATTTCTTGTAGAGACAATGAAAAGAAAGTTTGATCCACGTGCAAGGACATTTCACTTCTCACGAAACAGAGAATTATCGTATCGATTCCTTTTCACAATCCGGTGAAACTTGTTCCCTGATTTTCTTATTCCGATCACTCGTTTTCGCAATTGTAACGAAAGCAACCTGGGATCTAATAGCGTCGATTGCAAAAAAATACGAAATAGAGGAAAAGTAGGTGAAAGTTGAATTGTCGCTGTACGTGAGCGCTATTATTTCCTTTCTATTTGAGACTAGGGAACGGTTGAATAATTGATCCGGTATCGATCATTGAAGTCCGGCCTGGTAAATGTCGACTGGCGTACTTAATTCGATCGGCTAATCGTCTTGAAAACTTTTCGTCACGTTAACGAAATGATAAAACACTTTTAATTTATGTTGATTGAACCGACTATACGTGTCTGCAATATGTTTCAATTTTCATTCAGCTGGAATTAATCCTCTTTGCATTTTTTTTTTTACAGAGCTCTATTAACGCTAGATCTACCAAGGGGGGTCAAAATGACTTGTTTGGCATTTCTTATAATCATTATTCATTTTCAATACATTTTGTTCTCTAAAATTTTGTATGACTTTTTCTAAAATATGCAAATAATTCTGTAAAACAGTTTTCCTTTTTTTTTGTCTTTTTGATGTAAAATTTTATGCAATATACCTCCATATACCGAGGCGAGTCATTTTGACCCCCCACGGAACGTAGGTAGATTTGTGATTTTTGAAGTTTCTCATATTATTTTTGTATAGTTCAAATACATTCTTAGAAAACTAAGTATATTTTCGTTCATCTACATTGTACAAAATTACCATAAGAGACATAATGACTTATTAATTTGAAAAACAAGTCATTTTGATCCCTCCAGTAAAAGTAGGTATACGTCAATCGCCGGTAGTTCTAGCGTTAAATCTCTGTATCGATTGGTATCATTATTTATTTAATTATCTGGTTTATCAGGGTGCTGCATTGCCTCCGCAGACTATACGTTATTGGAATGCAACCTCGATTCTACAATGATCTTAGTTATTCTTACGTAGTGTGTACATATTTATAGAAACCTAGGGTGTTCTAGATGATACAAATGTAGCGTATATTTATGGAATCTTAGGGTGTCTCGTCATTTGATATTGTTTCCACGAGCTATACATTCCAGATATACTCTAATTCTAATTTAGCTTCGACCACCCTTCCACGGTGTGTATTTTCAAAGTCTCTACGGTATTTTACGACGGTCTTTCCTCTCGAGTCTTTCAATTGATCTATTTTAGCAATTTCAACCTGTCGCTCGCGTAAATCGCTTCCACCAGTTGTACAATATTTAATTTCGCGTGGGTACATTCGGCGGGGCGCGGTGAACGCGAGTAGAAAGGACTACTCTGCGTGGTGGTGCATGATGAAAACTAGGTCGTTGGTTACGGATCAAGGCTGCGTAACTAAGACCACGTTTTTACTGCCGTGTAAAAAAAAAAACAAAAAAGAAAAAATAACATCAAAACCGTGGAAACACAAACGACTCGTCTGGTAATAAAGCGGCTACGCGTTCCTCCGCTTCGTTTGATGTACCTCTTCTAGGACTTTGTATATAACCAGCTCTGATCCAAATTTAACCAGTCGAGACAGGGACTTGCATAGTTCCCAGAGCCGACCGTTGAACCGACGAACCTAAAACTGACTATCATTATCCATAAGTTGGTATTGTTAGATTTGATAAATCAAAACGCCATACCCCAAGCTCGAGTTGTTTCCCCTTACAACCCCGTCCGGTAGAAAAAACAATGGGGAGTGGTTTCTTTTAGCACGTGTAACGCGATCCCTTGTATCATCCTGTTGGAAGGACTACGGTATTGATCCGAGTTCCCGCTCGGCGCGTACTTACACGTTTCTTCGAAATCGTAAACGAATGAAAAAATTATCTATTTACAGGGCTCACCCATCGTCCAAGAAAGATATTACTATTCGTCAACCCTTTTGGAGGGAAGAAGAAGGGGTTGAAAATTTGGGAAAAAGATGTGCAACCGTTGATGACCATCGCGGGTATCGAGACCAAGATGTTGGTCACGGAAAGAATTGGCCATGCTCGTGATACTCTTTTAACGGCAGATTTAAGCGATTTTCATGTAAGAATTTCATTGTTTCATTAGCCTCTGCTTAGAAAGTTTCTGTACCACCGTTTCGAACCCATTTTCAGGCTGTGGTGTGCATCGGAGGTGACGGTACTCTCGCGGAGGTGATCAACGGTCTTGTACTGAGAACCTCTAAGGAGCAACAAATCGATCCGAACGACCCTGAAGTATCTCTGCCGACTCCGTTATTGCCGATTGGGGTGATACCCAGTGGTAGCACCGACACGGTGGCGTACAGCCTCCATGGGACAACCGACGTTCAGACGGCTGCGATACATATCATTTTTGGCGACAGTACCGGCCTCGACATCTCCTCTGTTCACAGCGAACAGACCCTATTGAGGTTGTACGCCAGTGTGCTTAGCTATGGATACCTGGGCGACGTGATACGAGACAGCGAGAAGTTCAGGTGGATGGGACCCCAGAGATACGACTACTCGGGTGAGTCGATAGCTCCGGGTACTTGGGCAACATTTATTCCTTAATAAAGGGGAAACACGAACGACTACGAATACACCTACTATGTAGTCAGTGTCACGCTATTGTCTTCCATTCATAGAACTGTGAACCTTGTCCTTTCTTACGTCTTTAGTTCCAGTTTGTTAGTCACTAATTCCCCCGCATTCCCCGAGTACCTGGCGAATGAGACTAAAAATAGAGGATAGTCTGAAACTTACATCGCGTTCGAAGTACTACGTCTCTCTCTGTTTATTGATCTACTTCACGCGTGGGATGTATTAAAAGGGACGTGTTAAAACCGACACACCACTAAACATTTTCGTAAGCAACACGAAGGGAAAAATATGTATGTACATAGAATGTATCTTCAATTCGAGGTATTTTTATTAGGATTATTTTCCTTCAGAGATAACGTCGTATAAAAGTGATGTGTTACGTGTATATTTGTAACTGAACGTTATTGTTATTTGATTTCAGGTTTCAAGAAGATAATCGCGAACAAAGGTTACGAAGGCGAAATACAGCTTCTTTCTGACCCTTGTCACCCAGCAACGAGTACAAGATGCACCAAAAATTGCACAAGGTGTTTGCAGCACATGCACAAAAGCGTTCCTGATAAAGAAATTTCTAGTGAGTTGAAAATTTGTTGGTTTTCAGTTTAATGTTGCGTATTTATATTATTTCATGTGTTTGTTTCAGGATGGATGACCATCAGAGGCAAATTTTTCATGGTGAACGGTGCTAATCTAGCGTGTGCCTGCTCTAGGAGTCCCATGGGATTCAGCCCTCATTGCCATCTGGGTGATGGTTGCGTGGATGTGATTCTAGTTCGGCACACCTCGCTTTTTAATAACATAAGAATGTTGCTCAGGCTGACCAGCAAACAGAAGACTCTGGTACCTCGAAATTTTGTCAAATAAACTCCCAAATTTGTCAATTTATCAGATACCAGAAATCTTTAGCAAACGACCGATACGATTGATAGAGTGAAGCCAATTCATTTCTGTTTGCAGTACGATCTACCTTTCGTCGAGGTGTACAGAGCAAGGGAGTTCACGTTTCGTGCCCTCTCCACATTGCACATGCAGTCTGATAGCGAGATTAACAGTCGCTATATGAACTCGAGCCTGAGTGTGTGGAATTGCGATGGCGAGGTAATCGATAACTCCAACGTGAAAATCAGGTAAACACTTGTTCGATTATTTGCAGGTACTTCTAAATGATATCATAATTCATCTTCACAGCTACGAGGCCAATACTGCTGCATTCTTCAATTATAATTTGTTAACAGGGTACACTGCCAACTAGTGAACGTGTTTACCAGGCGAGCCGAGGAAGCAGTTCACGAAAGGACGTGTTTTTGTTAATGGCAATCACCGATTGATATTCTAATACCGCGCTCTTTAACACCTTGACGATCAAATGTTATGTTTCATTTTTTATAGAGCAGTAAGAGTAGCAATCTGGTGAAACGAGGTTAATGGTAGAATGTATGGGAATGGTCGTCAAAGTGTTAAGATAAGAGGAATGACGACGCGCGTTTCGGCGGGGATACGATGCCATTGAAATCGTATAGTTCCTTCGACTTGCCCCAATTTACTCGATATCAAGATGTCGCCATGCGATGTGCGACTGAGACAAACAATCAAAGTTGTTTGACCATGATATTTTGTGACTCGTGGATGATGTGTTAATTATGAGCTTGGTATGTACCCAAATTTCAGGGTTTAGTTATTTAAAAGGTCAGACATTTAAGAGTCTAATTGTAAGAATCACAAAATACCATAGTCGCTCGATTATTAATCGAATAATTCTACCGACTGCTGGTTGGCACATGATTCCAAGCTAAACGTTTTGACCCAGTGCGAATGAAATCAACGCCTAAACTAACCGAGAACTATCTAAACGTCCACGACAGACCTCGGCATCCGAAAACTATCCCCGTTTGCATGATACTCGGCATGGAAAATTCTCTTACGTTTCCTTCGTATTTTTAGATTATTATAATTCAGAATTGTCTCAACATTCCACTCGCGCGAATCAGATTGCACTTACGAAATTTTGTACAAACACGACCTGGCTTTTTCCTGGTCGTTTCTTTTTCTGATGTCGCATTGCTACACTGGTCGCGCGGGTTTTTCGTACTTAAACAAAAGAAACGAAACGAGGAAACGAGAGATAAATATAATCTTAGATTCGGTGCACGGATATGGATTCTTCCTTGTATGATATTTCCAAGGATATTACACCATTAGGACACTTAACACTCTGATGGTATCGTATGTTTGTGAATTTCATTGATAACGTGGCTCTAATTAATATTATTATTTGGAGCCCAGCCAAAGTTGTAATTCTATACTTATATTGTTTTACTTACTGTTAGATTTGAAAGGCTAGGTGTTTGGAAAATTTACAGAGTTAGTGTCAATTATTTTCATAAATTGTTTATGTTATTTTATGGTATGTACAGAGTCATCAAAGTGTTAAGTTTAACCGATGATAGGGTTCGTTCGTAGAAAGTATGTACAGTACGAGGAGTATCCTCCTCCAGAAAACTCAGTATATTTTTCACGTTCGTCAATAAAGTGTCTCGTCTTCGATAGCACTATAGTGTAACGATATATTTTAAAGAGAAAGACAAAAGTACGACGAGACGTGTATTTTGATTAAACAGAGAGCGATTTTAGCTGGCTGTTAGAGCTTAAAAACATTTACAATTAAGCTAAGCAAATTAAAGAATTTCGAGCGGCATTTACTTTACCAGAACAAGTATTTCGAACTATTTATTTAACGCTAGAACATAGGCTCTATAGAAGAAAATATTTGGATCACTTCGAATACAAAAGTTTTTACTTTTGAACGATTTCAAGACACGAAATATGAGCAACGAGAGGAAATGATTTTTTAATTTATTCTTTTCTAGTCTGTTGCGTTCGCGTTAAGACACGAGCACTCCGTCCTTAGTTTCCATTTTTACTGACCCTATATATTGTAAAAGGGCGAAAGTTTCTCTCGTTGCCTCGCTAAACATAGACATTTAATTCCTGAAGAATGTTTTTCCATTTAAAATCTTCTGGAAAATTTTGTTCCTCAAAATTGTTAGATTCTTTGAAATGTCCATTTTCTTACTTTTCTACGATATTTATTTTGATATTGTTCTTGCAGTATACGAAGGTCTTTCATTTAACGTTTTCTTCTGTTGTATTGATTTTAATTTCCGGTTCTTAAGGGTGACATATCACACAGGATAAATAGTGTACCTTGCGATTGCACGAGCCGCATACCGAACTTCGTCCAAATGCATTTTATTCCCCTCTATTTTTATGTACATGCTTGGCTAACTCGTTTTCAATTCGACAACTCGTTGCTTCTTTGACCGTTTGCGCTCCGACAACCCTTCATTTCTGTTTTGAGAATATATTTCTTGAATTATACTTTCATATTGTGAATGTTTCATATGATTAATTGTTCTTTCCGTGAAAGAAATGGAAACTTGAAATGTTGTTAATTTAATTATAATGTTAATTGTTAATTGTAATTTAGTTTAGTTGAATTTCAAAATTTTGTTAGAATAAAGAAATGGAGGATCGCAAAGGGTTAACGATCAACATAATTAGCGACTAGATAGAAATTATTTTGTAGATTCGTGTATACAGGCTGTACAGATATACATACACACGTATATATATATATATATATATTATATATATAAATACATATGTATATATTATATATTTTAATTACGAGGTATTTATATAGAGAGAGCCGAAAAAATGTCGCGATACAACTGTAACAAGCGTGTTTACTAATTAATTTGAAATTAATTTTGTGATGGTGCACCGAATGTTGAAATGGCTGCGTATATTAATAAAAATTGTACTTCACTTTTTCATTACCGAGTTTTACTTTACCTCTATTGCTTTGTGCTTGTCTGTTGTATTTAAAAAGACCGCTTTTTAAAAGTTGGAGTTATTGACTTACCGACTTCTGAAATGTGGCCGGTAAGTTACCATTTAGTTCCTCTGTTTCCCAGAAGGCAATGCTGCTGTTCCCCTTTTCTGGAAACTCAGTCAGTAAGCTATTGAATAGTTTTAGCCGTTTTCGTATAGATGGCGTTACAGTCGAATTTGAAAAATTCCTTTCTGTGAATCATTTAATTTCGATTTTAATTATTGAGGGGCTTCAAAAACTCTACGTTATAATTACATACATGTATTTCAGTACTGTACCCACAATTTCGAAGTGTTTCACAGATAAAACATTGTGTAAACTCGTACAATCTAAAATGAAAAGTCTTACTTTCAACATTACTCGCATGTTAGAACTTCGACCAGCATGAATGCTGTATTTAAAAGAGTTTGAAGTATTTTAATCTGATTTATCCAGCTTCTCCTCGGTGTAATTGAAATCCTACAAAGCTGAGACCTAGTAACATTACATTTTAATATATACAAGAGAAGGAAAACCAAGTGTTTGAAAATTTGTGAATCGACTAAAAGTATAATCATTAAACGATTAATGTACAATCTGTGAATGATCAATTTACGTAACATACATCCAATGATGTCTCGTCAATCTGAATAAGTGTTGATTAATAAGTAGGTGTCGAACGAAATACACTTTCTTTTTCCATATTGATCAAAAAAACCATACAGAATAAGAAGATTTAGCAAAATTTCCATCGATTACCGCATTCGTTGCATAGCACAAAAGTAGTCATAGGTTCGTCGGCCGAACGCGTTTGCACTTGATTGTAAGTGCAGTTGCGCTTTTTGCATTTTCCACATTTTAATAAATCAGTTTTTGTTCCTTGCACCGTAGCAAGTTGGGCATCATTGATCGCCTCCTTTTTAAATTGTTCTCTTAATTGTTTTATTTCATCGCTCGCCATTTCTTCGGCAGTCATAGATGCAAGCCTAGCAGGTGTTATTGCACCAGCAATGAAATTCGTTCGCAAATTCGGATTCTTTGCATCGCGTAAATTAGCAACTCTACTACGCACCTAAACAAGTATACAGAATTAAATGATATATTTAAATTAAAAGATGAAAATGAAAGAAGAATATAAGGCTTACCCTATTTTTATATCGGTTATCAGTATTTTTAAATTCTGCATAAATCGCTTCCTCCAATTCTTCTGCTAATTCTTCCGGTGAAGCACAACCATCGATCGTATTTCCATCGACTCTTAAAGCCGCCGCTAAAAGTTCTCTGCATTTAAGCCTTACAGCATCTGTTGTGGTAGGAGCCGGGAAGGTCGATTGTTTTCTTTGAAGGTCCTTATGGGGTTTCTCTTCTTTCATTTTAACATCATTTCCATCAGTAGTATCTTTATCCTTCTTTTGATCCCCGTCATCTTTATTTTTCTCTGATTTGTCATCCTTCTTTTTTGAACTACTCGAAGAAGTAGAATCTTTCTCTTTGTTGGATCCTAAATAAAAAAAAAGTTTGTTAAATATAATACACTTATACTATATTCCAATGGATAGTATTAAGTTACTTTTTTACCAGATAAAAACTTCTTCCAATTTTTTATTAAAGTTTTAGATAATGATATAACTTCATCATCTCTGCTTGATTTCCTCAATGCATTAACAGTCATTCCAATACGTGTCTTAGTTAGAAGTTCCAAGTCAACTGGTAACTTTTGCAATATTTTAAGTAATTCCAATGCTTGTTCCTGTCCCTGTAACAAAGGTTCTTTTATTTAATAAAAAATATGCAATTTAAGTGTACATATAGTTTTAACATATCATTATTTATATTTGATGTCTGTATAATCATTATTATACATGTACCTGTATCGTTAACACATATGGTAAATTTTCGTTTGTACTGATAAGAGCTTAGTATCTGTTACATTATGTTCAAGGCAAACAATTCAGTGAGATAATTCATACATTCATGAAAGTACTAAACAAACGCAATGATGCGTGTTTAACAACAAGTTTGAGTATATGCAATTGGTGCTTCAACAAATTTGATAATGAGAGCACGATTTAACCTTTGGAAAGGATTGTAGACGCGTTAAAATTAGTATGTCAGATACTTAAGCTCTACGATACATTGTGGTACATCAATTTATACCGAATGACCGTGTTACACGGACTTATACATATAAACATCATTCATCGGAGCGATAATGTTACACAATACTGCACTCGTACGCATTATATATTCTCATATTATCACAGTAATTGCATTTTAAGTTGGAAAAAGAGCTTTCGTGCTCGTCGAGCAGCCCCTAATGTGCCGAGCGATACACAACTATTATTTTACTCACTTACTCACCGTCCCGTCACCGCTCGACATCTTGTTCAACTTTTTTTGAATCCGTAGCACCTCTTCCTCGGCACTCATTCTGATAATGATATAGTTTTTACACAAGAAACCGATATAAACATATACAAAACACCGAGCGAGTGGACAACAAACCCCGAATGTACGTTTATAAACGTGACTTGTGATGCAGAGTTCGATATTGGATTGGTAACTCGCAACATGGTAAGCTTGCAGGTAGATGGCACAGTACTAGAGTGACATCTTTCGAAGACCAAATAAAATTGTCAACGCGGGAACGCTTAAACGTCATAATTTTAAAACAATTATCTTTCAAACAATTTCAAATAAACAATTCTTGGTGGGAGAGTATCAAAGATTACCGTAGAGATTTCATGCTGGTGACATAAGAATGTTTAACCCTTTCCACTCGTGTGTCGGCGTATAGTCGCCATCCTACATTTTATTATTATACATCTATTTACATTAGTATTTCATTCAAGGGACCCTTGTTACAATGTTTTCTTTTAGTTTCTGCTTAAATGTGTATGTATATATTAAATAAAATAAAATAAATAAATGAAAGAAATTCCAAGTTGATTGGTAGCCTTCTGAAATGTAAATACGAGTGCAAAGGGTTAACATCTTTTTTATTAAAAACACTATCGCTATAAATGTATCCAAAATTCTCATGTTTCTTCTTACAAATTTATTTTGATACGTTGAAATTGATACCACAACAGCTAATACGATATTTTTTTACGAAGTAACTGATACCACGTTGCGATAAAATATTCATTAACAGAAAAAGAAAGAAAGAAAAAGACTTCAGCCATATGTCAGTTTCTGTTATAAACACGAAGTTCTGACTCAAGGTGGATCTCGGCAATGGCCAAATGTCATTTTCTCATGAACCGTGTGTTTCTAGTGTAATGTGTACCTGTCAATCCATCGAAACAGATACGCTGGAAGCCGATATTAGTTGAAGAAGAACAAAATTGCATAATTCAAATTACTGTGTTCTTTAAATAGAAAATTTAACACACACATTAGATAACAAAGTTGAGATTTACTCTTTGTCTATAAAGAAACGTTGTTTTATTACACGCCAATCAGTCCAACATTTGGTCCTTTATTTCCTCATCAGTTAAACACCGGGGTACATCAGGCTGCGCCTGAAACACAAAAGTGTTTAAACAGTAAGAAACAAATAACGAACAGTGCGTATCATTAACAATTATTTTTTCCGCGGTGCAATTAGAATGATAATTAAATTAAGTAATGGCTCTGGGATAAGATTTGGAAATTTAAATACACATACACATATTGTAATACACTTGCAACGAAAGACGTGCTTCCGGGCGCACCCTCACTTGTGGGCGTCCCGGGTAGGATGTTGGTCTATCGAAAGGGGCCTCGTATAAATTATATAGGCCTGCGGCGGAGCATCACTTGTGTAAACGCAGGAAAAGAGTTATTTAAACTTATACATGAACCACTTTATAAACATTAATTTATAATATATTAATTTGTTTTAATACCATTTTATAAATTTGAATACCATTTTATAATAATAACTTGATTATTAAATAAGTTTAAGTTGAAAAAATGGTTCAGTGTTACAGAAAAATGGAAAACAGAGGAGGCACGCGTTTCAGCTACCTTGTTACAAAGTATTCAAAGAATATTTGATAGTTTTGGGACAATATCCGTATCAAACAGAACTGAGCCATAATATTAATATGACTGTGTTTGTTTCCTGTGCGATAAGCGTTCTTATTCCGTTAGTGAGTAAAATTTCCATAAAATGATACGTAAAACGAAATAATAGCCCCAGGAAATCTATTCAAAGCTGTGGTAATAATGAATTTTTCATTTATTGTAATTGCAGTTGTTGCAATTCGCCAAATCAATACGAGAGAAAAATTTAGATGGAGTTATGGAATGCATTCCAATTATGGCCACATTATTCGTCTCGGTGATCAAACTATTAAATCACAACATCAAGCGAAAAGAAGTATTTATATTGAATCAATGTTCTTAAGCAAAAGGGGTCCAGCTCTTATTAGCCAACCCGTATCTAACAATAAGATTGAAAATCTTGAGAAGGGGGCTAAAGCATTTAGACTTTCCGTCACTATTGGACAGGCCAAGCGGAAGGAGTTATTGAAAAAATTCTTGCGCCATTGTGTTTAGTGGGTCAAAATCTCAATGAATGGCCGAAAAAAAATTTTTTTTTTTTTTTGTCACTTTCGGTCTGACCGGAGTTGACTCTACTTTTATCTAGTTATGTAAACATTTTTTTCATTTAATTTTTAGTAGGGGGGACAAACTGACTCTACTGGTCCCCTCTGGTTACGCTACTAAATGGAGCTGCACCCGTTTAGCTGTAAAGTTCTTAATTAATCAAAGCAGATGTGTGTTATCCTTAAAATTTTACAGTTTGAAAATTTCTTTGATCGTATGAGCGAACAATGGGAAATTTCTGAGCTGAATGGGGAGATCCACGTACTGAACGAAATTATCGAGCAAGGAAGTAAAATGGGTACTTTATACAGAAGTAAAGATCACGAAAATGTATCCTTTTTCTATTTCCATTTTCTTGATTGTCAATTGCAAGTTGTCTACGAAATTTTCAGTCAGTTTATGGGTATTTATGATAATATTCCTATCGACACCGTTGGCCGCTCCGGCGTTGGATTTAATATCACGCTCAAACGAAAGCCGAACAAAAATGCAGTTGTTTAAACTAAATTACATTGTCGATACGGAGGATTACTTTTACATTGTTTATATACATTTGACGTGTTGTTCGCTTGCCACCGTCCTGGTAATTATCGCTATGGATTCGTTGTACATGGTCATCTTTCATTATATCTGCGGTGTGTTCGTCTTGTGCGGGTGAGTTGTACAACCGATCTGTTAACAATAAAAGAAATTAGAAGAATTCTTAAAAACGTAGGTATCAAATTAAGAAAGCAACAGAGATCTCTAAATCGGATATAGAAGGAGGAACCTTCGAAAACAGTAATAAAAAGGATTTGTTCAGACGTTGCGTGATGACACACTACGAAGCCATCAAGTTAGTAACTCGAATTCACTAATAAATCATAAATTAAAGCAACATTTTGGTAATCAATTTTTGCCATATGATTCAGATTTTACGATTACATGAACGATAGCACTCGTACCAGCTATCTGTTTCAAGTTGGCTTGAACATGCTAGGTATCACTTCAACGGCTGTTCAAGTAAGAATTCAAATCGAAAGAAATTCTACATTTCGAGTGATAATTGATAAAATGATGAATTTTAGGCAGTTATGAACTTTGACAGACCCGAAGAAGCATTCAGAATAATTATGTTTCTGTTGGGTCAACAATTTCATTTGTACACCCTCAGTTTACCTGGGCAAGTACTTATGGATCGAAGTTTTGAATTATCAAATGATATGTACGTACTGAATATCTTTTTAATTTGCAAAAGAAACATGAAATTTATTCAAGTATTTCTGAATTACTTACAACAGATACTGTTCGAAATGGCACGAAATACCAGTGAAATTTCAAAAAGTACTTCATATAATGCTAACCAGATCCAGCAAACCGTGCAGACTATCAGCCGGAGGATTATACGAAATGAACATCGAAAATTTCGGAACAGTATGTAGCAATAACTCATTCATATAAATCGTTGTGTCATACAATAGTTAATGATCAATATGATTTGTTAATTTAAAGATCTTTAAAACTTGCATGTCATACTTTACAATTCTACTCTCGCTGAGGGAATGATACGTCGAGAATATTTTCAGCAAACAAGAGAATATCGTACGAGATGACAAGGAAATGGAATTTAGAATTTTAAGAGCAGATGGTACTCTATCTTTTATTAAGACTTTTGCACGTTCATTCATTCATTATCTGTCCTTAAAATTCTGAACCACGTTTGTTTCAACAGTCTGTGTGCGAGAGGGTAAGCATATATAAAAAAAAGGATGATACTGATCATATTAACTTGTTATATAATGTAAAAATAAAATAAGCACACTGCAAAAACAACATGATTCCATGTATACATAACTCACAGTTTGAATAAAATTTATCAGAAACCAACACGTTTAGAAAATTTATCAGCAACTGTTTTTTTTTTTCAATATTATTTGACATATCTTTGATTCTATTTTTTATTGTATCGTTTGAACGAGGAATTTTCATCATTTCCTTTTTTCTTACCATGTTCATATGCCGATCGAGATCGCGACGATAAAAGTCCCACGTCTGGACATGGATTTAAAATTCCGCAGATCAGATGGCAGAGGATGGAAGTGAGCTTGTACGGTAAATAACATATTACACCTGTGTACACAATTCTCACGTTTCTTGGGAGCTTTCACCACTTAGCGGAACACTTGTAATAAGCACGCGGGACACCTGTTAAGAACCATTATTCTAACTCTAATCGATCGACATCATGTGTTAGTAGTGCAATTTAATGTAATGTTCATTGGCGTAACTAGGTAGAGTTTGAAATGTGAAAAGGTCAAACTAGAAATCAAAAACTCGACATACTTACACCGAAGGCAATATTTTTGATATTAATATGTATTTTTCGAGGCTTTCAAAATGTGCATGTCTTATATCACAATGTTGCTATCGCTGAGGGAATAAGATCAATCGTTAATGCTCAAAATTAATTCAGCAATGTATGTTACATTTTACAAACTGGATTTTAGTTTAATTAAAAAATCAAATATAAAGGCTGTAGATTGTTTCTATAGTAATAAATGTATGTAAGTAGAAGCAGCTATTCTGAAATAAAATAGTTACGTTATATTTACTGTACACTACTAAAGCACCCAGCGTGCAAATGTCTCCTCTTTCTCAGACGAACTTGAAATTTTTTGCATTGAAATTGATTTGAAGAAAAATTTAACAAAAAATTGGTTTAGTTTGGTACCTATACTCTTTGCAAACAATATTTTTTATATTATTGCTTCCGCTTTTTGCTGCTATGTAATAATAATTTTTAATAAAAGATGCGAACATTCGATTTACGGCCATAGTCAATTTAGTATTCCACCAACCTTTTATATAACCAAGAAGATTCCATGAATTGAAAAAAGGGAAGAACCGCTACTATATTCGATGAAAACCATCTGTTAGTCGCACGGATACCCCTGGAAAATGATTCCCATCGTAAATGACCTCAATAATAACCTACTTCAAACTACGCACTCACGAATTTCGAATTTTTCTGAAATTTCTTATAAACGTTTAATGAAACCTGTGGACATCATTTTCTTATCTACCTCGCATTAACTTCACTCCGTTCGTAATTGTAACCTGTCAATCGATCAAACCAGTCGATATTTACCAGTTGATGTTACGTAGTTGTGTCATTGTTGGAAATCGTATGTAGATTAAGCAAATTGGTCTAATACCACCCGTTGTCTCAAACGAAACAAATCTTATACTGCCTAGAGAAGTGATTCGATGCAGTATCAGTCGTGTTGTAGATGGTTAAAAACTGACTTTTCTTACAGCGATACAAAGAGTAAAAAGGAAATTTACTTCTTTCATTTTATTTCTATTCTGTTAGAGAATTAAGTGCATGATTTGGAAGAAGAAAATGAAAATTGTGTGAAAATTGAAAATAAACCATGGGATTCTAACAACTTTTTTAAAAATAATATTCTTCTTCAGCTAAGAACAGTGCATTAATAATCTTTGAGAAATTTTCTAAATGAAAGAAATAACTTAAAATCTATCTTTCTAATTTTTCTAATTTTTCTAACTTTTTTAATTTAGATAATAGTGTTAAGTTGAAAGTTGTCAGTGTTGCAGAATAAGAGAAACCGAGATGTAAGCGTGTACGATATACCCGATTACAAAGTACTTAGAAAATACCTCAAACTTTCTGGTCTGGATCCTTATCAGGAAGATGCAATCAGTACTATTATTACGTATGTTGCGATATGCAGCCTGCTTGGTATGGTTATTCCTACAGTAAGATTGCACGTGTAATTGTTGTAATTGACCGTTCGATATAAATAGATTTTGTTAACTAATGAACAACCGACGATACGACAGTTCTTAGGATTCTACTCATCGATACTGGAAAAAGACATGGATCAAATGTTCGAGTCGGTGCCATATTTGACTGCCTCCAGTGCCTCCATCGTTAAAATATTGAATGTTCATCTGAATAAATCAAACGTAAGTATATATAAGTCCACGAGATTAAATAGTCTTCCAAAATATTCAGTATTATTATTAGTTTAGAAAATTATTAAATTTGGTGGTAAAAGAATGGGAACAATTAAAAGATAACGACGAACTGAAACCGCTGGAGAAGCTTACCAAACGAGCAAGTAACATTGCAAACATATACAGAAGTGCGTATTTTTTATAAATTTTTAATGAAATTATTTATAACTCTATTTCGAACGACAATGTCGTTTCAGGCTGTTTGGTCTCGTCTATGATAATATTTCTGTTGCTCACGATACTTCCATCTTTCCTGGACGTTGTTCTACCTCTAAACGAAACACGACCACGAGAACAACTGTTTAACGTCAACTATTTGTTCTTCGACGGCGAAAATTATTACTATTCCGTGTATTTACAGTTAGCTTGGAGTATGGTCATTTGCGTTACCATTATAGCCACCGTTGATTCATTATATATCATCATCATACATCACGCCAGTGGAATGTTTGTAGTATGCGGGTAAGTGAATAAAATTCCCGACTCGAGTCGGATTATTCAGAATATTCCACGATTTCTTCCCAGCAAACAGTTTCAAAAAGCAACGGAAATGGCCGACATGACCGACGGAAACGAGCAATTCAATCGGTTCAGGCGTTGCATAATCTCGCATACCAACGCTCTCCAGTATGTAACAGTCAAATAATAATGCAATAACATCTGGTTAGTTAAGAAAACGATCGTTGATCTGTTTTTTTCATTTAACATATTTCAAGGTTTTACGAGATACTAAATGAAACTAGCACGACCAGCTATTTGTTTCAAGTCGGAATAAATATGATTGGGATAAGTGTGACAGCTGTTCAAGTGAGAATTTTTCAAGAAACCTCAATGGCGTTACCCTGGAATAATTTTAATTAGAAGAATGTTTCCATGTAGGTGGTACTGTCCCTCGACAGACCGGACGAGGCGACCAAAGCTGGTGTACACCTTGTATCGAAGCAGTTTCACTTATTCGTCATTAGTTTACCTGGTCAAGTGTTGCTGGATCATTGTGCGGAACTGGCAACAAATATGTACCATTATTTAATCAGTATAAAGAAATATTTGACGGAAAAATGAATTCGGTGTCTCCAAGTGAACTTCAACTCTTGGGAAAGATCCCACTGGTTCTAAGTGAAATCTTTTAATAAAAAGACATCAAATTCATTTTTAACCCTATAATGAAAATAAATTTATTTTAATGTCCTCTGATATTTGTAACAGATACTGTTCTGAGTGGTACAAAGCACCGGTCAGAATTAGAAAAATGATTCAGATTATGCAAATGAGATCCAGTAAAATGTGCGCACTGTCAGCTGGAGGACTGTACGAAATGAGTATCGAAAATTTTGGAAACGTATGTAACAGATTATAATACCTTCATTACTAAACCCTGCAAGTTAATTAATTCTTTTCTCTTTCAAAGACGATGAAAACATGCATGTCGTACGTTACGATGCTGTTATCGTTCAAGGAATGACTCTTTGTCACCTTTAGCTGAAGAATCTTAAATGGCGTCCGTAGTTTGATCTACTCAGGAAATAAAACACAATATAAATGAAGAAACGAATTATAAGGGAAGTGTGGTGCAGTCGTGTTTGTACGGGTATACAAATATACGTCAATTTGTTGAAATAAATGTTGCTTTGCTATAATTCATTCAGACTTCCTTCGTAATGTTCATGGCAACTATACCTTTACTGTTTCGATTATTTCTTTGTGTTCGTTTTTGAGGAAGAAAATACACGAGAGATACACTTGTCTGTTTACCTCAAATCACTAGAAACATCCACTGCAATGTGGTACTGTCACATAAGTGACAACTGTACTTTTTTCGAACAAAAGGATCTCTTATCCACCCATTGTCCAGCCACTCAAAGTGATCCGTTCATGACACTGTTACAACTGAATCGTCTCGTGAATCTTCCCTTCCATATTTCCCCCCTTCGCAACTTCTACAGATTTTCAATATTCCCTTCAAGAGGTTCACAGTTAGCCTATCCATGTATATCATTTTCTTATTCATCATGCAACAACTACATACCAGCCGTCATCCGCAAATGACACCACAATTCTATACCTGCCAACTGATCAATCAGCATTTTGAATTACGTATTCACACCTCTGTTTGCAATCGAATACAAGCTACATTCAACGCGTTGCTTTGATGCCATCAAAACCGAAGGCACGAACAGTAGGAAAGAAATTTATTTGCTTTTACTTTCTGCATCCATTCATTGAATTTTATTAGACCATGTGTCGGGATCGCAACTGTCTATTTTTATCAAATCCTTTGTTAATTTTACCATTTTATATTTTTATTCAAAAAGATTAATAATAGCCCTAATTAATCTCGACACGATTTATATATCTGTTAATTATTCATTTCCATCGTACAGTGTTCGATACATCCGTGTAGCTGTTATTAAAAATCAAAGTTCTCAGTGTTTCAGGAAGTTAAAGGACGATGCAACAACGTGTATGACATTCCTTATTGTAGGATGCTTAGAAAATACTTGTTATTTCTTGGTCAGGATCCATACCAACCAGATGGGATTCGTACCGTTCTCACGATTGTGATGGTAACCCTTCTACTTGGTGTTACTATTCCAACGGTAAGAAAGCACGCATCGTAATGATGCCAATAAATAATTCCAAATAATTGAATAAAATTGTTGCATAAACATTATTGTATAGTCGTTCCAATTATATATATCGTTGCTTGAGAAAGATATTAATGCTGTTCTTGAGTGTATGCCGCACTTAACAGCGAGTATCAGTACCATGATTAAAATTCTGAATGGTCATCTGAATAAGGAAAACGTAGGTACATATCTTTATGCATCAAGGAACGCAGCCTAGATATTACGAAATGATATAAAATTGTTGTATTATAGTTTCGAAAATTATATCAATTAATGATAGAAGAATGGGAACTATTAAAATTGAACGATGAGTTACAGGTGTTGGATAAAATTACTGAAAGGGGAAGTAAACTTGCCCATTTATATAGAAGTAAGAACTCACGCTGAATTCTAAATCTCAGCATCTTTTTTTTCTATCCATATATCCTTTTCTTAGGTACACTGTTAGGATGTCTAGCGATATTCTTAACAGTTCCATTGCTTCCTCCTCTTCTGGATGTTATTGTACCTTTGAACGAAACTCGACCACGGCAGCAATTAATGAAAGTGAATTATTTGGTCTTCGACGAAAGAGAATATTTTTATATGGTTTATTTTCAATTGGCCACTGCGGCGTTCATTGCCGTCACCGGTATAATTACTATGGATTCTTTGTACATGACTATAATTCATTACAACAGTGGACTGTTCGCTGTATGCGGGTGAGTACTATAAAATTAGAAACTATGAAAATAAAAGCTTACTTCTTCGGTGTTCGATTAACAGATATCAGATCCAAAAAGCGACGGAAAGGGACTACAACTTAATTACTCACAGGCGTACCACGAATGACTACAAATACGCGGATTTCAGACGTTGTGTGATCACCCATCACAAGGCTCTCCAGTTTGTAACGATCAAATAATAATGAATTATACAGTGTCCATAGTAATTAGTAATAATCCTCTTAAAGTAACAATGAAATTCTTACGAATTATAATGGACACTCTGTACAATGAATACTTACAAAAAAATTGAATCATCGAACTGATGTCTTTAATTTCTGCTTTGAGGTTTTACGAGATCTTCAAGGAGAGCAGTACAAACTGTTATTTACTTCAGATTGGCTTGAATATGACAGGTATAAGTGTAACTGCTGTCCAGGTAAATACTCTGTAAAAAAAAATAAAAGAGAAACGATGTTAATAATTTTGATGTTCGTTGCAGGCAGTTTTAAATATGGATACCGATTCGACAGACGAAGCTATCAGAAATGTAATATTTTTTGGCGCGGAACAATTTCATTTGTTCGTTAGCAGTTTACCTGGACAAGTGCTGATTGATTATTGCTCGGATTTTGCAGCTAATATGTAACGTGGTGACACATACATTTATGCATAAGTGTCGGATAACAAATTTCAATTTAAACATTTCATCGATTCTGTAACAGATACAGTTCCAATTGGTATAAAACACCGATCGAAATTCGGAAAATGATTTATCTGATCCAAATAAGAGCCAATAAATTGTGTGTATTAACCGCTGGTGGATTATATGACATGAACATGGAAAATTTTGCATCGGTACGTTTTAATTAAATGTAATGTCCATTGGCGTTACAAGGTAGAGCCTGGAATGTGAAAAAGTCAAACTAGAAACCAAAAATCCTACATATTCATATCAATGGTAAGATTTCTAATACTTATATTTATTTTTCAAGGCTTTCAGAATGTGTATGTCTTATATCACAATGCTGCTGTCACTGAGGGAATAAGATCCATCGTTAATGCTCAAAATTAATTCAGCAATGACTGTTACATCTTACGAACTGAATTTTAAATTAATTAAAAAAACAAATGTAAAGGCTGTGGACTGTTTCTGTAGTAACGAACGTATGGAAGTAGAATCAGTTCGCATTCTGAAATAAAATCGTTACGTTATATTTATTCTACATTATTAAAGCACCCTGCGTGTCAATTTCTCGTTTTCCCCATACCAATTTAAAATTTTAGGCACTGAAATTAATTAAAAGGAAAATTTATGAAAAGATTACCTTAGCTTCCTTTTTCTGCTATTATATAACTTGTCATACCGATATAATTTTTAATAAATGATACATACATGCTTATTTTTGTTACTGGACTTATGGCCTCATTGAACTTAGCGTTCCACCAACCTTTTCTATAATCAAAAGTGTTCCGTGAATTCGAAAAAGTTAAGAACCTCTGCTCTATTCGGTCAACACTATTTATTAGTCAATCTGATACCCCAGGAAAAGGATTCCCATCGTAATTTTTATTCGACTTCGAAAAGAAGGAGGATACTCAATTCGATTTCCGTGTATACATATTTTATTTTCCTCTTCAATATTGTGTTTCAAACTACGTACCCACGAATTACGAATTTATCTGGCTCTTGTTTAAGAAACGTTTAATGAAACCTATGTGCATCATTTTCTTATCTACCACGCATTAACTGTACCCTGCTCGTGATTCTAAAATGACATCGAATTCTATACCTGTCAACCGATCAACCGATTCTCTATAACATATTTACCAGTTGATGTTACGTAGTTGTATCATTGTTGGAAATCGTATGTAGATTAAGCAAATTGATCTAATACCACCCGTTGTCTCAAACGAAACAAATCTTATACTGCCTAGAGAAGTGATTCGATGCAGTATCAGTCGTGTTGTAGATGGTTAAAAACTGACTTTTCTTGCAGCGATACAAAGAGTAAAAAGGAAATTTACTTCTTTCATTTTATTTCTATTCTGTTAGAGAATTAAGTGCATGATCTGGAAGAAGAAAATGAAAATTGTGTGAAAATTGAAAATTAACCACGGATAGGGTTCAAACGATTTTTTTTCTAATAATATCGTTCTTCAACTAAGAACATTGCTTGAATAATCTCTGAGAAATTTTGTAAATGAAAGAAAGAATATAAAATATATCTTTCTAATTTTTCTAATTTTTCTAACTTTTCTAATTTAGATAGTGTTAAATTGAAAGTTGTCAGTGTTCCAGAATAATGGAAACCGAGGAGTAAGCGTGTACGATATACCATATTACGAAATACTTAAAAGATACTTCAGATTTTTGGGGCTGGATCCTTATCAGGAAGGTTCAATCAGTATTGTTACTATGTATGTTATGATATGCAGCGCGCTCGGTATGGTTATTCCTACAGTAAGATTGCACGTGTAATTGTTGTAATTGACCGTACGAAATAAATAAACAAATTTGTTAACTAATGAACAACCAATGATACGACAGTTCTTAGGATTCTACACATCGATACTGAAAAAAGATATGGATCTAATGTTCGAGTCCGTGCCATATTTTATCGCCGCCTCTATCAGCATCGTTAAAATATTGAATGTCCATCTCAATAGATCAAACGTAAGTATATATATATCTCCTTGAGATTAAATAGTCTGCTAAAATATTCAGCATTATTTTTAGTTTAGAAAATTATTAAATTGGGTGGCAAAAGAATGGGAACATTTAAAAATGAACGACGAACTGGAAGCGCTGGAGAAGCTTACCAAACGAGCAAGCACCGTTGCAAACGTATACAGAAGTACGTATTTTTCATAAATTTTTAATAAAATTATTTATACCTCTATATCAAACGACAGTATCGTTTCAGCTTGTTTGTTCTCGTCTATGGTAATATTTCTGTCGCTCACGTTGCTTCCATCTGTCCTGGACGTCGTTCTACCTCAAAACGAAACACGACCACGACAACAATTGTTTAACGTCAACTATTTGTTCTTCGACAGCGAAGATTACTACTATTCCGTGTATTTACAGTTATCTTGGAGTACGCTCATTTGCGTTACCATTATAGCCACCGTTGATTCATTATATATCATCGTCATTCATCACGCCAGTGGAATGTTTGTAGTATGCGGGTAAGTGAAGAAGAAAATTTTCGGCTCGAGTCCAATTATCCAAATTATTTCACGATTTCTCCTCAGCAAACAGTTCCAAAAAGCGACGGAAATGGCCGACATGATCGATGGAAATGAACAATTCAATCGGTTCAGGCGTTGCATGGTCTCGCATAACAAGGCTCTCCAGTATGTAACAATGAAATAATAATAAAATAACGTACCATTAATTAAGAGAACGATCGTTGATCTGCTTTCTTCATCTATTTCAAGGTTTTACGAGATACTAAATGAAACTAGCACGAACAGTTATTTGTTTCAAGTCGGAATAAATATGATTGGGATAAGTGTGACGGCTGTTCAAGTGAGAATTTTTCAAGATAGTTATCTTGGAATAATTTTAATTTGAAGTATGTTTCTATGTAGTTGATCCTGAACCTTGACAGACCGGAAGAGGCGACCAAGGCTGGCGTACTCCTTGTATCGAAACAGTTTCACTTATTCGTCATTAGTTTGCCTGGTCAAGTATTGCTGGATCATTGTGCGGAACTGGAAACAAATATGTACCATTATTTAATCAGTATAAAGAAATGTTAGATGGAAAAATGAATTAGGTGTCTCCAAGTGAACTTCAACTGTTGGAAAAGATCCCACTGGTTCTAAGTGAAATCTTTTAATAAAAAGACATCAAATTCATTTTTAACCCTATATTGAAAATAGATTTATTTTAATGTCCTCTGATGTTTATAACAGATACTGTTCTAAATGGTACAAGACACCGATCAGAATTAGAAAAATGATTGAAATTATGCAAATGAGATCCAGTAAACCGTGCGCACTGTCGGCTGGAGGACTGTACGAAATGAGTATCGAGAATTTTGGAAACGTATGTAACAGATTATAATACCTTCATTACTAAACCCTTTAAATTAATTAATTCTTTTTCTTTCAAAGACGATGAAAACGTGTATGTCGTACGTTACGATGATGTTGTCATTCAGGCAATGACTCCTCAACACGTTTTTAGCTGAAGGATCTTAAATCGCGTCCGTAGTTTGTTCTTCTTAGGAAATAAAACACGTTATTACTGAAGAAACGAGTTAAAGGAGAATTTCGATGTAGTTGTTTTTTTTACGGGTATACGAATAAACTTGTTAAAATAAATGTGTTTTTGTTCTAATTCATTCTGATTTCCTTCGCGTTTATAGCTACGATACGTTTATTGTTTCGAATATTTTCTGGTATTTGTCTTACAGGAAAAAATTCACGAGGAATACACCTGTCTGTTTACCTGAAATTACTAGGAACATCCACTGCAATATGGGACTGTCACATAAGTGACAACTGTACTTTTTTAGAACGAAAGGATCTCCTATCCACCCATTGTCCAGCCACTCAGTGATCCGTTCATGACACTGTTACCCCTGTAAACTGAATCGTCTCGTGAATCATCCCTTCCATATTTCTCCCTTCACACCTTCTACAGATTTTTAATATTCCCTTCAAAAGGTTCACAGTTAGCCTATCTATGGATATCATTTTCTTATCCATCATGCAACAACTACATACCTGCCATCATCCGAAAATGACACCACAATTCTATACCTGCCAACTGATCAAACCGTATTTTAAATTACGTATTCACACCTCTGTTTGCAATCGAATACAAGCTACATTCAACGCGTTGCTTTAATGCCATCAAAACCGAAGGCTCGAATAGTAGGAAAGAAATTTATTTTTATTTTTTGCATCCGTTAAATGAACTTTATTATACGATGTATCGGGATCGCAACTGTGTATTTTTATCAAATCTTTAGCTAATTTTACCATTTTGTATTTTTATTCAAAGACATTCGCCCTAATTAATCTCGACACGATTTGTATATCTGTTAATTATTGATTTCTATCGTACAGTGTTTGATACACCCTTGTAGCTAATATTAAAAATCAAAGTTCTCAGTGTTTCAGGAAGTTAAAGGACGATGCAGCAACGTGTACGACATTCCGTATTGCAAGATGCTTAGAAAATACTTGTTACTTTTTGGCCAGGACCCATACCAAGGTGACGGGATTCGTACCGTTCTCACGATTGTGATGGTAACCCTTCTACTTGGTGTTATTATTCCAACGGTAAGAAAGCACGCATCGTAATGATGCCAATAAATAATTCCAAATAATTGAATATAATTGTTACATAAACATTATTGGATAGTCGTTTCAATTACATGTGTCGTTGCTTGAAAAAGATATGGATGCTGTTATTGAGTGTATGCCGCACCTAATAGCGAGTATGACTACTATTGTTAAAATACTGAATGGCCATCTGAATAAAGAAAACGTAGGTACATATCTTTACGGATCAAGAAATGCAACATAAATATTACGAAATAATCAAGATTAGTCGCATTATAGTTTCGAAAATTATACCAATTGATGATAGAAGAATGGGAATTGTTAAAATTGAACGATGAACTGCACGTGTTGGATAAAGTTATTGAACAGGGAAGTAAACTTGCCAATTTATACCGAAGTAGGTAGTCACCCGGTATTCTAAATCTCAGCATCTTTTTTTTTTTCATTTATATATTCTTTTCCAGGTACATTGCTAGGGTGTCTAGGAGTATTCCTAACAGTTCCATTGATTGCTCCCGGTTTGGATATTATTGTACCCTTAAACGAAACTCGGCCACGGCAGCAAATATTTAGAGTAAATTATTTGATCTTCGACGAAAGAGAATATTTTTTTATCGTATATTTTCAGTTAGCCATTGGCGCGTTCATTATCGTCAGCGGTATAGTTACAATTGATTCTTTGTACATGATTATCATTCATTATAACAGTGGACTGTTCGCTGTATGCGGGTGGGTACTATAAAATTAGAAAATACACAAGCAAAAGCTTACTTTTTCGTTGTTCGATTAACAGATATCAGATTCAGAAAGCAACGGAAAAGGACTACAACTTAGTTACTCAGAGGAGTACTACGAATAATCACAAACACGCGGATTTCAAACGTTGTGTGATCACGCATCACAAGGCTCTCCAGTTCGTAACGAATGGCACAAAGTGCCCATAGTAATTTGTAATAATCCTCTTAAAGCAACAATGAAATTGTTACGAATTATAATGGACACTCTGTACAATGTATACTTACAAAAAAATTCATTCACCGAACGCAACTGATATCTTTAATTTTTCCTTTGAGGTTTTACGAGATCTTGAAGGAAAACAGTACAAACAGTTATTTACTTCAGATTGGCTTGAATATGATAGGCATAAGTGTAACTGCTGTCCAGGTAAATATTCTGTTACAAAAGAAAAAAGAAACAATGTTAATATCTTTGATGTTTGTTGCAGACAGTTTTAAACATGGATACCGATTCGACAGAAGAAGCTATCAGAAATGCAATATTTCTTGGCGCGGAACAATTTCATTTGTTCGTTATCAGTCTACCTGGACAAGTGCTGATTGATCATTGTTCGGAACTTGCAGTGAATATGTAACATCGTAACAAATATATTTATGCATACGTATCGGATAATAAATTTCAATCTAAATTTTTCACCGATTTCGTAACAGATACAATTCCAACTGGTATAAGACGCCGGTGAAAATTCAGAGGATGGTTTATCTTATGCAAATAAGAGCCAATAAATTGTGCGTATTGACCGCTGGTGGATTGTATCAGATGAACATGGAGAATTTTGCATCGGTACGTTTTAATTTAATGTAATGTTCATTGGCGTAACAAGGTAGAGCCTGGAATGTGAAAAATTCAAACTAAAAACGAAAAATCCTACATATTTACACCAATGGTAAGATTTCTAATACTTATATTTATTTTTCAAGGCTTTCAGAATGTGTATGTCTTATATCACAATGCTGCTGTCACTGAGAGAATAAGATCCATCGTTAATGCTCAAAATTAATTCAGCAATGTCTGTTGCATTTTACAAACTGGATTTTAGATTAATTAAAAAACAAATATTAAGGCTGTGGATTGTTTCTGTAGTAACGAACGTATGTAAGTAGAATCAGCTGGTATTCTGAAATAAAATCGTTACGTTATATTTATTCTAATATTACAGAATTATCCTCCTTTCTCTTATACCCATTTCATAATGAAACAATATATATAATAAAATAATATCAAGTCTGTTTTCTCACCTAATGTTGCCTTGTCAAAGTGTCACGAGAAACACTAGTCAAGTAAGTCCGACTGAAAGTCCACTTATAGCTATGTACACTTGCGGTGTTCGTTTCGGATAAAAGCCTGGCACTTATGGACCTCATTTTCTTACATACCGAAAAGTATTGCAGCTCTACCGTAGGGTAATCCGATAGTGCCCCCGTAATCTATACCTCCCAACTAATTGAACGATCAACTAATTTATTTAATGGCCGTTTTCCGTAATTCTCCGATCATAGTTTGAAATAAAAATAATGATACAATGAATCATATGAAGTGAAATTTCCATTATTTTTCTGGAATCGTTTGATCGTGATGTTTGATGACGGTGCTGTACCGGTTAAAATGTCGCTGCCCAGAGAATCTGAATCCACAAACGGTACGAATAATCTTTTCCGTTATATTTGAACGTGTTGAATACCGCGAGGACCATCGATCTTTTCTCCTCGAAGACCAGTTAAGTTCTAATAAAAATCGAAACGCGGATATTTAGGATTTCAGATAGTCCAAGCACGAAGCAACAATGTATTCGCTCTTCAGCATTACAAAGCACTTAAAAAATATTTAATGTTGCTCGGGGTTGATCCGTACGTTGACAGTCTAGGAAGTAAAATCAGACTGTACGTGGTGAACGTCACCATGATAGTTGGCATAATTCCACTGGTAAAAGGACTATCTTCCAAATTTGCAATAAGTACTGCTAATTAAAAATAATATTCGACAGGTTCTAGAATTATGTGTAGCAATCCGTAACAAGGATTTCGATAGAACGGTAGAGGCATTTCCTCCCGTACTTACACTGATTGCCAGTATAATTAAATTCGCAAATTTGTCTGGAAACAAAAAACACGTACGTATATTTATATACAGGGCGTTCCCTGCAACTACGCTAAAATGGTCAGATAAAAGGAGTCTAAAAGGTCTAAAAATGGTCTGGTAAAAAAGTGAAGGTGACCTTAAACTTTTTAACCCGCCTCCACTTTCAGCGCCAACGTGTCCATCCTATAATGCTCTATTCGACGCCATTTCAGTTTTTCTGATGATATTTCTTTCGGTCTTATACCATCCCTTCTTAAATAATCTTCCCAAATCTTCTACGTTATCTGTTTTGCATTGTAGTTTAAAGTGTTATTGGATTTTGTTACGGAAGACTGGGAGACATTAAAAAACGAAATCCACGTACTGGACAAAATTACCAAACAAGGGAACAGAATTGCAAACTTGTATAGAAGTATATTTTCATATATCTCCTAATAATGTACATGGCAACTGTGTGTTCAATTCTTCAATTTCCATATATTTCTTTCAGCCACTTTATTGTCATTTTTAGTATTGTTTCTATATATTCCGTTAATTCCTCCAACATTGGATATCATTATTCCATTGAATGAAACTCGTCGACGACGACTACTGTTCAATGTTAATTATATATTTATAGAAGTTGATGATCATTTTTTCACCATTCATTTGCAATTGTCTTGGACCTCCTGCATTTGCATATTAATAATCGTCACCGTAGATTCCTTATACATGCTTATCATTCATCATGCTAGTGGATTATTTGACGTATGTGGGTAAATATTTTTGTTTTCCATGGTATTTAATTTATATTAAAGCTTCCTGTTGCCTGTGAATTATATTTCTAATTACAAATGTACAGTTATCAGGTTGAAATGGCGACCACAAATAATAATTTATACCCAAATGAAACTGCAATGGAGAACAACAGATACAAACAGTTTAGACGATGCGTAATTACACATCATAGAGCTCTCCAGTTTGTACCGGGTTCCATAAAAAGAACGACTTATAAACGGGTTTAAGTACTCAGAGTTCATCTGATTTGCTTTTTCTTTATTTTTCTAGCTTTTTCATCACTTTACAGAAATGTAGCCAGATCTTGAATTTGGTGCAGGTCGGAATAAATATGGTGCTCATCAGCATCACTGCTGTTCAAGTAAGAACAATTTCACCCTTGTATATCAATGATGTAGATCTTCATACATTTATTTTACAGATTATTCTGTATATGGATCAACCTACAGAAGTTATGAGATTTGTCTTGTTCCTTGCTGCACAGAAATTTCATTTGTTTTTTATCAGTCTATTTGGACAAATCTTACTGAACCATGCTTTATTGTTACCAGAAACCGTGTAAGTACCATAATATGTGACATAACATTTGTCAATACTATTTCCTAGATGTGTTCCTGAATTTTCTAACAGATACAGCTCGAAGTGGTACGAGATGCCAGTAAGATTTCGAAAGGTACTTTACACTATGCAAATAGGATGCAACAGACCATGTATTTTGAGCGCAGGAGGATTATACGAGATGGACATTCAAAACTTTGGAAAAGTACGTATCGATAAATAACATTGGTCAAGTTTATGCCCTTGGTAACATATTAGCAATTAACTTATTTTAATTAAAAGACAGTTAAAGCGTGCATGTCGTATTTTACAATGTTTCTGTCAATGAGAGAATGATCTTTCACATCTACTTGCAATCCGACTGATCGCAATGATGAAACAGCTACTTCGACGTAAGATTTTGATAATCGATGGATATAATTGATATAACTTAATCACACTAAGAAACTGATATTACAAATGATTTTATAGCAAAGTAAATTGTTGCACTAATTTATTGAAACCCTATAATAATAGTGTATGCATTTTGTCGAAATATGTAAGTAAGAATAAAAGGTAAGTTCAGATTTTCTTCTTATTCATGAATTTCATTTATCAAAACGTGATCATATGATATATAACATACAAGGTAGTCTTATTTCAATAATAAAATGTAGTCTTCTAAGTTATCAAGAATCATTTTAAATTCTTGTTAGTGTATAATTGATAAATTGTTTTGCTAATTACCGGTCCGACCACAGATTTCTTATTTCCGTATTCAATATTTGCTAATAATAATTCCGCATTGCAACCGGGCGTTTGAAACGCATTAATTAATGTCCGCGGGGTTGGATAACGTTCCACGATAGCAGAAGCTTTATCCACGGAAATTCCTTTTAATTGCAGTAGTTGGCGGATAAACATTTCATTTACTTTAAATACCTAATGAAAGATTTTATTTATGTAATTATCGTACTCGATATTAATAACATAATTACCGTACATACTTTTTGTTTAGATGCTCCTTTATTGAACTCTCCGAATTCCATAAGATTACAAATGTTGTTTGAACTATCTGCCTGTGTAACAATTTCTTTTCCACAACCTACTAAATTCTTTCCCTAAAATAAAAATAACTTGCTCCTAATATATGGTACTAATGATTCAAGTATGGCCAAAAAAAAAAATGGCATACCTTGAAAACTTTTATTAAAATCTTTGTTAAAGATGACAAATACAACATGGAATCTTTATGATTCCTTGTATATTTGACTGAAAAACCATCTTGTATCAAAGTATTAATAGAAGCTTGCATCAATGATGAATATGGTATTGCCAGTCGTTGTTCTTTCTTATATTCCTCAATTATATACATAAGATTTGTAATTCCCGATTGCTTTAATCTAAACTGTACAAAAAGATTTCCTTTTTGATTATATAAATCCAAGTAATTGAAAATTAATTATCAAATACCTTTTGTTCGTGAAATCTTCCGTCTGTGATACTTGAGCTCAAATCATCTATTCGTTTTCTTTCTACTATATACGGTAAAATTAATTCATTGTTTGTAATTCTACATCTAGCGATCCACGCGAAATCACCAACTTTCAAATGTCGTATCTCAAATAATACACCAAGTTGGGTCAGTTCAACTATTGTAGCATCATGCTGAGGTTTTGTTTTACCACTGCAAGAAAATTATTCAGACGTCTCATAATAAATTTGTGTGAAAAGTTGATCAAATAAAACATACCCACAAATCTCCTGAGTGTCTACTAACAATATTATATCAAATTTATTTGGTTCCAAGTAAATGTTTCTCTCAATATTATCAGTAAAATTTGCTTTCTTACTGCTTCCTTCAATTAACTCACAATTATTTATATGTTTTGCCTTTTTCTTATATTTTTGTTGCGTAAAATATTTATCAGGCTGTGTGCTTATAGGAAATTCTACAGACTTAGATTTATAAAGTTTTGAAGACGTATCATTCTGAACATTCTTAGAACTTCCATTAGATGTAGCTACATTTGTAACTTTATCACTGATAAATGACTTTAAAGATATTTGAATCTGATTTAGGTCTTCAGAAGACTTTATCAATTTAACATCAATAGCAGCAATTTCACATATCTTTTTAGCAATATTTGTGCCATGGTCTGTGAGATTATATCTATGTAAGTCATATTATATTTAATTATATTGCATATTTTATACAAACTTACAGTCTGTTATTAACAATATTAATTTATTACCTGATAGGATCATCTCTCATAGAAAATAAACCATTGTCAACCAAATTGAAAATTGAATCCTTTGATACATGTCTACACAAATTTATAATTTCACACAATAAATCTGTCTCCATAACAAACCCTAATAAATTCAATGTTGATCAATTAAACAAAAAGAAAAATAATTATGAAATCTTACAAATATTGTTTACAGAATACCTGAATAATAAGGGCATTGTGTTTTTTTATATAAAGTCAATAAAGCTGCATAATTCTCTAAGTCCCATGCTGATAAGTTCAACTTATCAAATATTGCCAGTTCTATCTTAAAATAAAAACCAATGTTTTAATTACATGAATACATACATTACATAGATAAATAAATACAGCTAATCGTATTACTAATCCTTATATATAAATATGTAAGTATTTACCTCTTCGTGCACGTAATTAGTATCTAAAACATTTTGTGATTTATATCTCTTTTCAGGTGTATGTTGCCTATTAAAATCACAGTGGGTACAAACTAAATCATCTTTGTTTATTGTATCTGTAGTTTGAGCTTTATACTCTTCAAGTTTTTTATCCAACATCAAGCATAATTTTGTACCAAAGTCTTTCAATATTATACAGTCTTTCCCAGAATTTAATGGTAAAGGATATTTTTTCAAAGAAGCAAGTGCCTTTGAAAAATTATGCTCCAAAGTAGAATTTCTGAATGCAGCTTCTTTTTTCCATTCTTCTAACCAAAGTTCAAACAATGGATTTGGTCTTTTTGACTTGATTTTCACTCTTTTCATGATTAATTACCTTATTACATCGTAATATATATATTTACACCTATTGCTTGAAAAGCCAGCGTGAAAAATTCCGTGTTGATAAAACAGCCCGCATTTCATCGAAAATTGGGCCGAACTGATTTAAGCGCCACCTCAGTTATAGCGGCATGCTCTACATAATTAAACAATACTGACCATGCATTGATTATTATTAATTTTCTTTCTATAAAATTGTATTTGCAACGTGGTACACTTCAGAATCTCAAAAGCATAGTTCCTGAAAAAAAATATAATAGAGATTAAATAGAAAAAAAAAGGATAAATTTCGCAGCCGATTCGCTCGTATTATTTGCTGCATAATTAATAAATGTACCATAGAAATAATGACACAGTTATTAATTAGTCATCAAATAATAACGATTGCCCAGGTCTCACCACGAGGAGGTTGCTGCGGTTTGGAGACCCGCCCTACCTCGTCCCATCCACCCTCCATTTATGCAAATTTTTATTTTTATTCAGTAACATCATCCTCTTGATGCACATTTGCAAAACGTTTTTGACTGTTGTGCAAACGAACAACAAAAGGAGCATTATTTTTATTCACTACCTACCTATCTACTTATCTATACATATATTTACGTAGATTTTTGCTTTTTATTCATATCACAACATTTTTTAATTATGATTTTAATTACAGATCTGTAATTAATAAATATGCAATTGCATATTTGTCCTACATACTTATAAATACTAAGAATATCTACCTATACAAGTGCTCGTAATTATATTAAAAATTCGCTTAAATCTAACGGTTCCTAATTAAACACTGCAGTGTTTGACGATTATATCTTAATGACTATATACATAAATAAGTCCAATGAATTTGATGATTTTGTTGTCCTCACCAGAATATGTACTTCCTAAAATAAAACTGGAAAGGATTAAACATAATTTAAGAAAATAATAAGGCTCATGTAGCCTTAGTCATAAATTTACAACCTGCCTGAAACAAACAGACAAGGATTAAATACAATTTTCGAAAATAGTACGGTTCAAATATTACCACTTATAAGAATCATTTTTCCTTTTCAATCATTTTCACCTTGTTTTACTTAATTGGATACATTGAATTCCATTTATGGACGCTAGATTTTATATTACATTTCTTCCAGTCGATTATCCGATATTATTATTTGATACTTCCTATAAAGATATTTCTCTGTAACAGAAACTGATTAATTGAATCCAGATAAAGACAAAGAAAAATTAATAGCTGGAAAGAAGATACATTAGTAACAATAAAATTTTATAAAAGTCAGAGTGGTTGTTAATAATTCAAAATCAATTTGATACGAAATATGAATTTAAAGCAAACGTCAGTACCAAAATAAAGAGAAAAAAATTCAGAAAAATATATATTTGAGTTAAGTGATTTGAGTTAAGAACATTAATTATTTCATTTTATTGTATTTAATATTCGTTCATTTCGCGATAAATAGCACACAATATTTTAATTGAAACAACTGCCTTTTACTGCAATATATAGTACGTACAACCACGACTCTACTCGACTTTATTGCATTATATTATTCAATACACCTTTCAATTCAAATTTATTATAAATGGAAAAACTGAAAAAAAAATCACGAGTGGACTTTGCTTTTCAGGAAAAGAATTTGAAAATTTATAAAAGTAATTTAATTAGCTTCTCCGTAAGCTGGAAACAAAACATCGGGATCAAAAATTAAAACTAAACAACTCGAACAATAATTATCCACTACTTTTGTTTAAATAAAGTAGAATTAAAATTTAATAAGTTATCTCGAATGAACAAATATTCCTTGAAATAATTTATCACCAATCATCAGAAAATAAAATGAACTATCATTTTAAATAAAATTTTGAATAAAGTTCTATTTAAAACTTTATCGTATTTAATAATATTCTGAAAACATTAAATTCATATATTATTTAACAGTATTTCCAACAACCGAATGCTCAAAATTTTCAAAATTAAAAAAAGGGAAAACAAAAGAATGGGGGCGTGGCAGTGGGAGGGAGGGTACAGGGGAACCTGAAAAGAAAAGTTTGACTGCTCATAAGAGCAATCCCTAAGCAAACCCTATAAAACAAACCGAAATCACGCGCAACACTAATTTTAAAATTGCAAACATTCTGAACTATGACAAAACATCGGCTGGCAACGTAGGGTCTCACGCCTCCTAGACTTACGCCAGACGCTACATACCACCCACCCCGCCTGGACGTCGTAACGCCAGGACAGAGTGCACCCCTTCGCTAAGAGCGCTACCCGCCCGTCCAACACGTTGCATCCAACGGTGTCAGATTGACGGACGCCCATAGTATAGACAAAAGGACTACAGTTTAGAATATGGTAACATATTTTCATATGTTCCGTATTCTAAAGCTGCGCCTGCAAAGGCCTAGTAATGCATGGGTATATCTCCCAGAGATGGTGTTCACGGTCTTAGGCCGCGGAATCCAATGGATTCCCACCGAATGTGAGTCATAGTTACTTCCACTAATTTAATAAATGCAAAAAAGTAAAAAATTTAATAACAATCGCGAATTCATTCGCAACACTAATTTCATTAATTATATAATATGTACAAAAGCGTACGCGTGAAGGCTGCTCCATTATACGTAACACTAAGCTGAAAAAAAGAAAAAAAGAGAAAACGCGAACTGTAACGCAACACTAGTAAAATCTACCGAATTTTGTAAGACGCAACACTAATCTAAAAAAGGGGTACAGCCAATCCAAGGCTGTACCACGGCAGCTAGTCCATAGCTGCCTTATGGACCATGGCAACTCCACTGGATCGTTTTGGGGCATTTCATCATATATCAAAACTCTAATGCAAAACGCGAATATTTATTACCGCAACACTAATTAGCAGGGAACTCTATATACTAATGCAAAGCAATCGCGTATTTATAAGTCGCAACGCTATCTTTAACAGACATGCAATTAAAATGCTGAAAAGGGGGATTCTCAAACCGTGAATTTTTTACTCGCAACACTAATTTTATTAATTATATAATATGTACAAAAGCGTACGCGTGAAGGCTGCTCCATTATACGCAACACTAAGCTGAAAAAAAGAAAAAAAGAGAAAACGCGAACTGTAACGCAACACTACTCAAATCTACCGAATTTTGTAAGACGCAACACTAATTTAAAAAAGGGGTACAGCCAATCCAAGGCTGTATCATGGCAGCTGGTCCATGGCTGCCTTATGGACCATGGCAACTCCACTGGATCGTTTTTGGGCATTTCATCATATATCGCAACTCTAATGCAAAACGCGAATATTCATTACCGCAACACTAATTAGCAGGGAACTCTATAAACTAATGCAAAGCAATCGCGTATTTATAAGTCGCAACACTGGGAAACAATCGCGCTAATATCATTCGCAACGCTATCTTTAACAGACATGTAATTAAAATGCAAAAAAGGGGGATTCTCAAACCGTGAAGTTTTTACTCGCAACACTAAAGCAATCAACATTAAAAAGCAAAACTCTCAAAAATCTTAAAGCAATCAACACTGAAAAGTTAAATTCCATTTTCAAGCAATGTAAGAAAGAAACGCGATATTTGAAGTTCGCAACACTAAATTGAACCGTGATCGATATTCATTCGCAACACTAAATTAAAAACGCGATTTGCCCAAAATCATGGGGGTCACGGGCCCCCTCTTGTCCTGAAATTACAAAACTACAACTACAGGCAAGCACAGTGACAAAGTAGTAACGATAATGATTTCCCATCCTTTTTTGCAAAAGGATGCAAAATCATTAGTAGTTCCCCTCTTGAAAGACAGTTTGTCGGGGCGCTTCGGCATATAGCCTTTTCTTTCTTCGGGCGGTCCACCCACCTGAAACTTATATCTAAAGCTCGAGACTTGCAAATTCGCAAAACAAAAAAAAAAAAACAATCAACAAAAAAGAAAAATCGCGAAACTCTAATTGACACGTGGACGAAAAAGGACTTTATATAAGTCGTTGTTCGTGCACACGTGCCGTGCTCGAGCAGAACTTGTGCGTTTCGTACCATCGCGATCGCGTATGACGACTTATGAAGTCGCCAAAAATTTGAAAAATTGTACAGATAGATTCGAAGGCGAACGGCATACTCCGTTCGTATCGATCATATCGTCAATTCTTCAAATATATTCCAGGTACAGGTTGATCACGCGAAATCGCGCCTACCCGACCAAGAGACTGTGACAACCTGTCCCGGCCCTACCTACTTACAATCTATCACACACACCAGAAGGTATACTACCTACCTACCTAACGCTATATTTAAAAAAGGCAAAATCACATTCTCACAAAAATTCATTCCACGACCCCCATACACTCCACCCGGGCGCAGAGCCTAAACTAGGGAGAACGTCCCGGGACGCCTCCGTCACCCGAGTTTCATCTCACATCACACTCTACGGTACGTACCATTTTTCACTGAAATCGTCTGGCAAGGCTAGCAATCATTGCGTATAATGATAATTACAAAATTTAATTAACTACTTTGATATAGAATATTTCATAGTAATGGTAATAATCATGGTAATAGTAATGATAACAATAGTATTTGGTTTATACGTTCATCGTGCATCTTGTTGAATAAAATATTATTTCAAATTAAAAGTAAATGAAAAAGTTATTAAACCGACGCAATCCCACAGCCTAAAAACACACACACCATATGTGGAGATTACGTCGTGCACGATATACTAACACAATGCCAGCCGCTTATTAATTATTATTCTTATGAACTAGGTCATCGTGCCCATTGCCTCTACCCATCCAAGTAGCACCTGGGCACGTGAATGGGCTTTGGCAATAAACACGGAAGGGGTTAAATCTGAAAATCCTGATCTACAAACATGATTAGTACATATACATCTAACGGGCTAATATTTCACTATTTTAATAAAAATGACTCGACTTTGTAAATATAAAGCTTTAAGAACAAATACTGAAAAGCAAAATAGAGCAACTATGACGCAAACATGGTGCACTGCTAATATCAGCTGGCAACGAAGGGTCTCACGCCCCCTAGACTTACGCCAGACGCTACATACCACCCACCCCGCCTGGACGTCGTAACGCCAGGACAGAGTGCACCCCTTCGCTAAGAGCGCTACCCGCCCGTCCAACACGTTGCATCCAACGGTGTCAGATTGACGGACACCCATAGTATAGACAAAAGGACTACAGTTTAGAATATGGTAACATATTTTCATATATTCCGTATTCTAAAGCTGCGCCTGCAAAGGCCTAGTAATGCATGGGTATATCTCCCAGAGATGGTGTTCACGGTCTTATGCCGCGGAATCCTTGTAACTAATTTGATTAATTAAATAATAAAAAGGATTGAGTTTAAAAACCAAAAGGATTCCCACCGAATACTAGTCAGTGCATCGTCATATTTACTCTCGCGCTGGAAATTTTTCGCAACACTAATTTAAGAAATGCAAAATTTTAATAAAAAAGCATTTAATGTCTTTAATTAAGAATTCTTTGCAATGAAACAAGAATTTGTTGTGAAAATTAATAAAACATCCTCGGGTGACTCCCTCCTCAGAGTAAATTTTCAAGAATACGCAAAATGTGTTGAAATAGATCACTCTGAATTGGAAATCTACCCGTCACGAATTGTCTTCTTGCACATAAATTGTTCATTTTTTCATGAACGTGTAAATAAGTTAAACTTCGTTAGTGTATGAATGAAATTTTAAAAAATTCTCAAATCATATTTGAATTTATAGTGTACAAAATGTAATTAAATCAATGTAACAGCATCATTAATATGTATATCCAGTATACAGATTACATAATACTATTAATATTATATTGCTTTGAACCATCGCAATAATTAAGTCAGATAGTATTTGACTTCTCTATTACAGACAAACTAAATAAAATTGTTTCGGTATTAAAATATTCTAATTCCACAGTTAAGAATATTTAAGAGCATTCATATATTTCAAAAGTATCTATTAGAATATGTGGAATTGAAATGATATTAAAACGCGGAGTACAAGAAGACCTAGCCTAACTAAATGAAATGAAACAATAAAAATGTTACTACTCATGGGTATGTATAATCATACCCATGGTCACTATGCTTGCCAAGCACGTATACAACTAGTAGCCCGTGTCGATTCGGACCATTCGTCCTACGACATGATTGGGCACCAGAGGAACCATAAAACATGCGACTCACCGTTCGCAGATTTACTCTTCTTCCGACAGTCAAACACCAGGTAGGAGGCTGCCTTGTAGGAGAAGACGGAAGTCGTGAAGAAAGCTGTTCATCTGTAACAAAGAAAGGAGAATTACGGTTAATTTTGAAAATTATCAATTTTTATTCTAATAAAATTATACATGAAATTGAATTTTATAAAATATTAACAATTAAACAGAAATCTCAATTATCAAGGGTTGAAATTGTAAATTATTCAATTTTAATAAAAAGCAATTAAGTGACGTACCAAGACGGAAGTCGTGAAGAAAGCCATCATCAGGATATCCAGGAACTCGGCAAAATCAAAAAATTCATCTGTAACAAAACACAAAAGAATTACGGTTAATTTTGCAAATTATATCAATTTTTGATATAATAAAATTATATATGAATTTAGATTTTATAAAATATTAGCAGTTAAAAGGGACTTTCAATTATTAAGTGTTGAAATTGTAAATGATTCTATTTGAATTAAAATTAATTGAATAAAGTAATAAGATACTTACACTCTTTCCTTATGGAGCAACACCCAAGACTCCTCTTCAGTGGTGCACTGACTCTAATACCGGACATATCGAGCAATTAAAAAAAAAAAATTAAAAATAAAAATCAAGATATGAAATACTAACGCGACCGTGAATAATTTCCGGCGAACAATTATAGAAACTCTACTTTCGCGATGGAAAAAGAAAAATCAGAGCCGCGATGCTCTAGAAAATATTTTATAATACGCAGTAAACACTGACTCTACTTTCGCGTGATTCCTAATTGTACAACGCAACTCTATTCAGGGCCAGTTCACCCTTGAAAAAATCAAAACATTGGTGTTCGTACAAACACTGATTCTACCGACCGCCTTGCGCGCGGCCACAACAATTCCTGAAAGAAAAAATTAATCAGGAGGTTGGGGATGGGTGGAAATATACAAAACAAAACCAACATTCTTCTTATTGAACGTTCGTTCAGGAAATACTGTTATTACGTGTAAATGAAAATATCTGTGTTCGTGAAATATTTTCAACGAACACGAATATTATTCAAGTTGAATATTGATCCTAGATTATATTGTAATAATGAAATGTTTTAAATAATTGTTGATAATTATTTCAATGAATATTATATGGATAGAAAATCATAGTTAAATAAATATAATAGACTATTTTATTAAAGTAGTGGATTTCTGTTGTTAAAATTGTAAGCACACTCAAACTTGTTGAAAATTTTATTACGTCGTAATTCATAAATTGTCTAAATTCTTTTCAATAAACAAAGTCCAATAATTAATCATATTTAAACAGCATGTGATATAAAAATGTGATTCTATTTTAATTTAAACTTACATCGAAAGCTGGATATTATAATATAATTACTACGATTTAACAAAATTAGATTGTTTAAAATAATTTATAATTGCCGAAGAGAAGCAATCATTTGCAATAAAATACGAATTATTTCAATTTTGTTGTAATTTAAAACAAATGTATTAAAATACTAGACAAAACGATTTAATAAAATGAAAAATTAATTATTCTTTTTCTATGAATTGATTAAAGAAAAAAAATATCTGTACTCTTTTCTTTCTTGGTACCTTAGTACCAATTAATTATCAAAAATGCTTGCAATTAACAACGACTCAATGAAAAAAAAGTAATAATAAACGTTAATAATTGATTAGAATAAATTAAAAAAATAAATTCTTATGAAATTATATTTCAAACCTATATCAGGTGTGATGGCGTCCTTTCAAAATCTATCAAATATCTGTAATAAAAAAGAAATACGAATTTATGAAAATAAAATTTAATCAACAATAATAAAGTTATTATTAATAAACGATCGAACTATAATTGATACAAAATATTTTAATGTATACAATGTGTAAGTACCTATTACTTATGCGGAAGGGTGCTCTCAACACGTCTTGTCACTTCGACGTTCGCGAGAGAAATGGCGAGACCTTCCTTCCCGACGAACAGCGGTCGGCACCGCTTCGGCATTCTTCGGTAAATTCCGTTATCGGCCGATACTTAAGCAAGTACACGAACAGGTCTAAACAGGAATAATATTACGATGCTCAAGAAAGAACATTATTAAATTAAAAACAGCAAATTGTATAAAACAGTACTAAAAACATTCGATAATGTTTAGCAACTTAACGATATAAAAGAGAAAATAATTCAGATTCTGTTGTTCCACTTTTATTGTGCATTCGCGGCGAGAGTAAAAATTTTCAACTTGCGTATTTGTGAAAAAAACGCGGAACTAATGTCAAAGATCAAGAATTCAGACTTCTTTTCGATGTTTCTTTCTGTTTTTTGTACTTTCAACACCCGATCGACAATTTAATTTAATATTTGAAGATAATTTAATCTTACCTGTTGCAGACACGTGCCAAACCGACGAAGCTTCGAAGAGGACTGTTGCACTCCACCACACTCCGCGCAACGCATCCTTTAACGATGAATCTGATTGGTCTAAACAGGAGGACGCCATAATGGAACGACCAATCACAGGCATTGGTAGAAACTTCGAATTGCTTTGAAACTTTAACATTAAAAAAATGGAAAGATTCGTTGAAACTTTACAACGCCATATTGAAATATGATCAAGATTACTTTTTTCACTTTAAAGCACCGAAATATAACAAAAAGATAGAAAAATACATAAGATATTAATGGTATTTAATAATTTATCATCATAAAAGCAAAATAAATGAGAAATATGTTATTTTAATTCGTATCTATATCGGCAAAATAGGGTATAAATTTTCAACTTACGAATTTCTGAAGGCAATTTCTGAAGGGAAATGATGTCAGAAATCATGACTCCGATCTTCTCTTCAAACATTGTCTTCAGTTTTTTGTAGTTTTGATACCTAATACACAATTTAATATAATATTTTAATATTATTTAAAGCGATACAAGTGTTGAGACCGTTTCACATACACGAGCTGCGAATGATCGCGCGGTCGAACGCACAAAACGAATGAATTGCACCCTACAGAAAAAATGAGGAACTAAATTTGTGGTTTGTTTTACCTTTTTGACGTCTTTCGCGAGTGAATAACGAATGAAATCGTAGTTCTCACTATTTTTCTAAACTGAATGTTAGTCTGCTGTTCATTTAGACATACGATTCGCAAAAATGTTTATATTACAAATAAATTAACGCAGGTGAGTCCGATCTGCCATTTTCTTGACCATTGACAAACATAAATTTCAATATTTTATAACTTTTTGACGATTTGTGTAATAGAAAGACCAGACTAACATTCTTTAGGGCCTCCTGAACACGTCCCTCAATTTTCTTTGTACATATATAATCTGTTCAGTAATGACGACGTAATTTGGGAACTCGTTTCTAGGGATTTTTCTAGGAACTGTCGGTAAAGTTTTCAACGCTTGCATCGCCTTGGGCCTTGACAACACATTTTGAAAGCTAGTTATGATACATATATGTACATATATGCGTATGATTGTAGTGCATACACTTCACCATCAATTGGATAAACTTAAAACATTATAACTATATATATTTCAGTAATACTATATGTTCTGTTTCGAATAAAAATAGAACTGTATATTTTTTATTAACTTATGCAGACATTAGTTTATATTTTTATGTAATTATATAAAACTATTTGTATTAATTATTATTAATAAACATCAATTGCTCTAGTTCAAAACTATAAATCTAATTCAAAAACTATAGAAAAAAAGAAATATTATTGCCGATCAGATAGAAAGCATTATTGAATGATCGGTAATTTGTATTTGGTATTTGTAAAATTTTGCAATAGTCAATGCTGCTAGGGATGTGACATGGAAGAAAAACAGACGACCATAAGTTTATCATATATAGTATATCATTTTAAGTAATGAACACCATGAAATGATTAAGTAAATCAACCGCGTGTAATTATATATGATTCGTCTGACGATCTACGAGGTATGATCTCATTTCCTGGCAAATCATACAGTAATCGAAGTTTTCTTTTTCGCGATTAACGGAATATTTGTAGTCATTCGCATTCACTTGTCATCGTCGTAAATGTATGTATCTCCTTCGATTGTAGTTCAAAATTAAGTAACTTTACTGATATTATGTAATAACAACATCTGTCGATAAAAAAATACAAATATATTTGAGACAATAAATATAATTTAGTTGAATGTATTGGTTTTTATTTCCAAGTATTCGTGCACTTACGATGTATATGAAAGTTCACATGTTTGTGAGATATCATGTATTTGTAAAGAACTGCAATTAATATTTACTATAACACTGGAATGCCTGTTTTATAGGTTTACATGTGTGCATAGTATTTAGAAATGGCAACTGGAGGTAGTAGTTTTATAAGTAAACCAGCCAGAGGATGGCTACACCCTGATCATTTAGTGAGTAAAGAAGGAATCACTTATACTGTAAAGGTAAGCTTTTATTTCTTTATATTCTATTAAGTAATTACAATGATACCTTTACCTATTTATTTTTTGCATAAATTTCAGTATATAGGCTGTCTTGAAGTATATACGTCTATGAAAAGTTTGGATTTTGAGACAAGATCATGTGTTGCCAAGTAAGTCTTTTAACGTATATTTGGTCCATGACTTTGATGATACAAGAATATGAACTGAGATATTAAAAATAAAGTAAATTTTTATAGAGAATGTATAAACAGAGTCTGTGAAGCAGCTGGATTAAAATCTGCAGATAAGAAGAGAAGGGTATTTATCTAAAATATAAAATATTTATTTTTATTTTCTGATGACTTTTTAAATAGCACATTCTCCTTTTATATCATCAAGGTGGATAGAAAAGTATTAAGGGCAATAGCAGACAAGCCTCGTATGGAACATACAGGTGCTACAATAAATTTAACTATTAGCAGTTGCAGTTTAGCTTTGACTAATATAGAGACTGGATATATCATTGCTAAACATGAAATGCCACGTATATCCTTTGCCTCGGGTGGAGATACGGTAAGTTGTACTTGATACAATTTTAATCTTGTATTTGCATTTAACATAGACTTCAAATAGTTTTGAATTTGAATAGGAAATACTGGATTTTGTTGCTTATGTTGCAAAAAATATGCAAGAGTGGCGAGCTTGTTATGTATTGGAATGTGGAGGAGGACTGGCACAGGATGTAATATCCACTATTGGACAAGCTTTTGAACTACGTTTTAAAGAGTTTCTTACTAAACCAGCTGCACTACAGTAATTACAATTAAGTCTATTTCACAAGCTCCATTTTTATGTTCAGTTTAATATTCTTTTATTTTTTCACAGCCCTATGTTAAATGGCATTAGGGAAGCAGATAGAGATTACTATAATGATTTGCCAGGCAAAGTACCACCAGATATTGGTCCTCCCCCAGTGCCACCTTTACCAACTACCGTATCCACGTTACCTAATTTGAAACATCATCACTCTGGACAAAATCATACATCACGAGGCAACGCACAAAATTCTGGTTTACACGATACATTTTCTTCCAATCCTGATAGACACCATCAACAATGGGCAGGTATTGTTTACTCATTTTTGTTATTTCATTAGAACGTGATATCTATTTCTATTTAATAACAACATGGAAATTTACTATATAGAGACTGGTAATCTAATTGACTTAAATTCTGATGGAACGCTAACATCTACAAATTTCAATATACCTCCAGAACATAATTATGTTAATGATAGCGTTATAGCTGCTACAAGAGAAAGTCATCGCGATCAAACATCACTTTTTGATGTTTTCGACATGCGTAAGTAATTTCAAACGTAACATTTCACTAAATATGACGATTAATTTTTGTTACAATTTATAGAACCATTTAGTTCTGCAATATCGGACATGAATAGATTAAGTCCACATTCTCAGAAGCAACAATTAAAACAAGAAATATGGTTCCATGGTAGCGTTAGCCGCGCTGAAGCAGAGTCTATGCTAACAAGAGTAAGGAGACGTTATACAATTTTATTAACTTGATGATGTATTAATTGCTTAATATAAATATGCTAATGTGATCAACAGGACGGCGATTTTTTGGTTCGCGAATCTCAGGGCTCTCCTGGACAATATGTCCTCACTGGTATGAACAATAATACACCTAAACATTTATTGTTAATCGATCCAGAAGGCGTAGTAAGTATTTGAAATGTAGAATTTTGTGAAATATTTGTTATTTATCTAAAATTAAATTGTGTATTTCAGGTTCGTACGAAAGACCGTGTTTTCGATAGTGTAAGTCATTTAGTGAATCATCATTGTGACAATGTATTACCAATTATATCAGCAGACAGCGTTTTAGTACTTCGATATCCAATTCCTAGACGTACAACTAATTGATTTTTATAAAGCTACAATAGCGTTAAGAAATATGACTAAAGTTCACATTCGGTATCGATTAACTACCATTAATATTTAATAGAAAAAATCGATACTGGATACGATACTTTTCATAGTAATTAAAAATTTCATGAATCATTACGACAGATGAATATAATTAAAATTCTATGAAATTATAAACATCTTTCTTTTCAAAAAATGAAAAATGATCTATTAACGATATTCTTTTTCAGTCTAAAAAAATTCATTTGTTTATATAGGACCTACAACGTATTAGTATGAGTCATGAATATATCTCAAAGTGTGCCACGATTTAATTTCTTAATAATAATTCAGTGCTTTTACTGATTAGAGTAAGATCATATCTTTAATTCTTTTTATATAACTTCACCATGTAGATCATGGCTTTTTGTGAAAAATATTTGCATAATTTCACTCATTTTATGTTACATAGTTTGTAACGCAATTACATGGGAAAGATACATATTTTTGCTAATTTTCTAATGTCCTCGCAATGTGGTATTTTACTTCGATATCGAATTTGTAAATCAATATTTTATTGTAATCTCAACGTTAATAGGATGATATATTTATAAAATTGCTTCGAAAAATATATTAATTCAACTTCGTACTTTGTTTCCAGCAAAATACTTGAATTATATTTTTAAGAAACTGAATTTTGTACTTTTGTATTATGTACATGTAAAAATATTTATTGTGCTTATACATAACATACTGTAATATATTTAATATGAAAAATATATAAATTTACATTTTATACGATTCTGAATAAAAACCATACCTGCGAATTAGTTTTCGTTTGTGCTGCGTGCGCATGTTTACTCGATCGGCTCAAGCATGCTTCTACGTGAAACAGGTATTGTTGAACAAATAATAGATAACTAACCGGAAAGTTCTACTCTGTAGTACTAATTACCGACGAAATGGATAGGATTTACTGCTTCTATGGATATAAACACTGTATTAAAAATACTTAGAAACCTCGCACCAAATAAAAAAGAATAGGTATATGAATTCCCCGCACTTCTTGATGAGAGTCCTTTCGCAAACAACTTCGCACTGTTGCCCCCATTCTTCAGTTTCCGGGAGACAAGTCAGACGACACGCGATTTATTTTGGTTCGGGAATTAGTCAGCGATCGCAGAGAGGGGAGGCGGGCGAACGTGTTTCTTTATAACATTTGTTTGGGGTTAAGTTCTGAAGTACTTGCTTATCGGAGATCAAGAACTAAAAGAATGACCCGTAAGTTATATTTCGTAGTATAACCTTTGTTGTGGTACGTAGAGCGATTAAAAAAGAACGAAGAAAATTCGAAACGGTGTGTATATCGTGTCTGCCATTTGTCAATAACTAAGGTCGAAAATACTGCGTTTAATTGTACATATTTCCTTTTGTGTTATGTTATTGTTTGGTTATCCATCATTTTTATGTACTTGTTTATAATAAAATCACATTCCTATTGATTTATGAGAATCATTGCATTTTCATTTTCATACGATCGAAATATTTCACTTCTTCCCTCTTTATATGTATATTTTTCATAATTTTTGAATCGTTGACATTTTGCTGTATGATCTCGTACTGTATATATATGTTGTATTCCTCTCATTTCCTTGTAACGAGCATTGTATTTTATAAGTTTAATTAACATTTTACTGCGTTATTTAGAGTTGGCTGACTTGAAATATCATATTTCAGCTTCTGTTATAATTTTCTATTTACATTAACATCACATATCCTTTTTATTGTATAAGAACAGTGTTTAATGTATAACTACAAATTATAATTTATGTTACTTCGCTCAAGTCGAAATTGTGAAATAAAATTTCATTAATTAGATGTTAAACACAACATTGTATTTGGTATCCCTTGTTTAACCTCAACACTTCAATGTTTGTAATGTTCTTAGACCATGTGTATTGAAATATATGCAAAATAGTTTCTGTTTCTTTCATGTAGGAGGGAACCAGCGTGAATTAGCAAGAGCCAAAAATATGAAAAAAACCACAAAAAAAGCAGCAGCTGAACAAGATAGTAATAAAGGTCTCTCTTTGGAACAGCGGAAAGCACGGTAATAGATAATAATTACATGCAATGAATATAAAATTTGAAGAATTATTCTTTTATTATTATAAAATAGAACAAGTTAGTATAAACTTTGTGTAAGATGTTTAAATAAAATAAATAATGAAATTAAAAGATGGCAAGGTAGAATTATTCTTGTTGTTTCAGAGATGCGGAACGTATGAGAGAGAAACAACTTAAGAAACAACAAGAACAACAAGAAAAATTTAAACAAGGTACAAGATAATTCCTTCCATAAGACATAAATGTTTTGACTGAAATAATAAATTAAAGTTTTAAATATGTTTTTAAAATTCCTGGTTGTAAGACATCAAAGTTATGCTTACTGGGAATGCATAAAAAATTCATAGTGTATTTGATCATAGAAAATATCTACAGACTGTGCTACAGTATATATTACAATCTTATTTAAAAATAATCGTGTCGTTTACATCCTACTCATAATAATAAAATATAGTCAAAGTGTATAAAAGTATTGTTAATAATTAAATGGAAATATGCACTTGACTTGTCCATCTAGACATAAGAATATATAAGTAATTAAATATGAAGGTATTTGTAGTAGTAATTTTTAATTTGTAAATTCAAGCTTTCAATTATTTAATATGTTGTATAAGTAATTCTAATAAAGCATAATATGTCAAGAAGATACATATTTTTGTCATTCTTGTAATAAATTAATCAATGTTTAAATTTTATCTTCATTTCATAAGGGCATTTATTAAAATAAGAATAAAGTTTATAATCTTTATTGCACTTTCCCAAAGAAGAATACAATTTCATTATATGACTTTGTTATGAATTAAGAATATTGATATAGGTCATAAATGTCTATAATATCAAGTTTAAGACAATAAAAGTATAAAATTTTGTAATGCACACATATCACTTATTTAGAAATAACATCTTGTTGTTAGTATTAACATGGGAAAGAAGAAGCAATGCTTAATGTCATACACAAGCATGCTGTGTAATTTTGAAGAAAATAAGATAGTTTTTTCCGCTTGTTTTTGATTACATAAAACAATTTTTATTTATGAATATGGTAAGAGAAGTTAATTGATTACTAAAAAGAATGACAAATTATAGGGATTTATAAAAAGCTCATATTTGAGTTTGGACTTTCCTACCAAGTTGTAATTGAGTACCTATAGAAAAAGAAAAAGTATAATTAAACACAACGGGAATGTGTATTATTCAGATATACAAAAACGATACATTCATATCCAGTTTTTGTCTAAGATGCTCCATTAAACAGTTCCATGTTTCATACTGCACTAAGTAATGGATACTTCTAATTGCTTGATGTTATACACCTTGGTTAAAAAACCTATCATATTGATTATACCTATACAAGAATATCTCAGTAGTACAGTACAGAGATTACTATTAGAATTACAATTTTTAATTAAGTTTCCTAAACATATTATTGAATCATGATAAATGTTGGATAGTTTTTGAAGATTAGAGTGTAATAATTTAATTAATCTGTAGAAATCTTCAACAGTTAATGTAGACTACGTTAAGTTTGAAAAATGTAATAGAAATATAAAAATCCTATTCATTCACAGAGCAATATGTTAATGTATGTATGTATTTAATCCGTATGTATGAAAAGTTTAATTTATGTATACAAATTAAGTGTATAAAGAAAAATGTGTGTTCTGCTTCAAACAATCAAGATATTCTTTTTATACTATAATATAGATTTATACTCTGATCTTTTTATACTATCATAACATGTACAATTATTTGAATGTTAACGACTGGATAGGAAAATGTAAATATTTTCTATAATCGATTTTGTTGCTATAAAGTCAGTTAATGAATACAACGCTAACACAATATCTTTACAAATGTTTAGTATACACATTTTTATACTAATACTTAGTATTGTATGGTATAAATATTTGCTTGCACCTGTTTTAATGATATATACTATTGCTGTGAGATTTTATTCCTTTACACGAAAGAAAGTGAAGGTCGTGTATTTGAAAACTTACAAAAGTTTCTTTCTGCTAAAATTGAGATAAGAATAATAATAATAAGGAAAGCTAATTAAACTTAACTATTAAAATTACTACATATCATTATGGCTTTCTACCTGTAACATTAGCACCATAACCATACTGTTTTAAGTGCTTAATGTAAATTCAATAACATTTGTTATTCATATTTTTGAAACACTTGTACAAGTATTTCTGTAATTGCACGCTATATGAGATAATAGAATTTAAAATTATTAGTAACATAGTACGATACATGATAATTAAAAGTATCTCTTTGTGCAATAACGAAGGAAAGAAATTGCAGTTTATCAAAGAAAAGAACGGTAATTGTTATTAAACCTATTAACAATCAGCAAAATATCAAAATTCACTATTTATCATGTCTTTTAAAGTACGCCTATAAGATGCATTTTCTTTACATTTAATTCCGTTGCATAATAATACTATCAGGCAATGAAAACTAACAAAATGAAGTTCATTCTAAACATTTTTTTAAAGTAATAATACTTGCATCTTCATCAATTATTCTGTTTTCTGATCAACTGTTTTTGTTCAACATGAAATTTAGATACTTACATATTATAAATAATCAACTACAATCCGTGCAATTAGGATTAAAGTTACTAATACCAAAAATAATAAGAGAGGAAACAATGGAAGCGATCAAGTATCGAATAAGCGTCTCTTTTCCATTCGATTTTCAAGATACCGTTTTTAGAGATTAAGAGAACATATAGTGCAAGTTTGAGCGATACAATGCGCGTGCAAATGCGATGGATATGTTGAAGATGATGGTGGTAGTGATAGTGGCAGTGACAGTGATGGTAATGGTGGTGGTGGGGGTGGAGGTGGTGGTGGCGGTGATGATGGAGGTGGCGGTGTTGGTGACGGCGGTGGTGGTGGCGGCGGTGGAGGCGGTAGCGGTGACGATGGTGGCTGTGGTGGAGGTGGTGGCATATACAACCACCCGGCGTTAGTTGACCAAACAGTACCTGATGCGGCGGAGATCGGGAGCAGCGAGTTTCCATTATTTACGGCTGTTGTGTGTGACATTGATCCACCCTCTACTCACATTACCTAAATTAAATGAATTGCATTATTTTACAGATCTGTGAAGGAGGTTCCATATACATGAACAAATATTCTACCTGTAAAATCTGACTGGCCTCGAAGGCTGTTCCTGGTAGTAATATGACTGGGCTGCTAACGTGTCCACTTTCAACGCATATCATGTTTGGAAATTCATCATCACCGAAATCGGGTATGTCTCGAGCCTTTTCTTGCCAAGGGTTCCACACCACCGTGTCGGGAAAATTATATTTTTGTACTCGCATTTTCCTACCGGACACAACGTTAGTAATTATGTGTTCCGGTTGTGTATTTTGGTAAATTCTATCTGTCCATTCGCATACGGTCACCACGTCGCGACCCTCTTGAAAGATTTGATTGTCCCTTGTCTACAGGCAAAGAATACCCCGTTTACTGAACTTCATTTGTTAAACGAAATTTACATGTAACTTACACTTGATCAAATTGAAATATTAAGTTACAGAATACTGGTGTCGGTGATGGATACCTTATCGATAAATGTGCATCCATGGAGGCCTGTAATCTGGCATCGTCTAACGTCCGGCACCTTAAAGTAGGTGTGCAGCAACAAATTGAAACTAAACGTATGATCTTTACTGGGATTGTATATACCGATGTTGAAATGTAATTCCTTCTCTCGAAGAATTAGCCTGTACGTTAATTTAAAGGGATAATTCCACATCGACCGAGTGAATTCACTGTCCATGATGGAGAATATTGCCTCAACATCCCCGCTGGGCAACCGTTCAGGTGACTTTTCCACGTTCCAACGTACGATCCTGGCGAAACCATGAGGTGGTCCAAACGTCCATGCTCCAAATTGCGCTGAACCGATCAAAAGTACAGAGAAAATTATTTACAGGCTAATTGATTTCACTAAACTATTTGATTTTCCTGTAGGTACTCACGGAAAACAAATGGAATGCCTCCTCTAATTGCCTTTTTCCCATCAAAGACGGCCTGCTTACTGAAATGCAAAAACACTTATCATTAATCAAACATGAATAATATCTCATATATTTGTGAAAAATGATACTGAAACGTTAGATAATTTTCACTTTGATGTTCATCATAGTGAAACGAGTTAATAACAAGATGTTAACTCAAAAACGTTCCACCTATAAGCGCATTTTACTCTGTACAGGCGAATGTATTTTACAACTGAACAGCGTAATCTATTTTCCTGAATACATAAATCGTGGAAGGTGGAGGTAATCCCATCCGTTTGCACGGTATCCTCGAGCAAATGGAATACAGTAAGAGAAAGACAAAGAAGAAAGGGTTTGGGTGATACTGAGAGAGAGAGAGGTAGCATCGGGGTAAAGGGAGAAGTGAACGGAAGGTCGAGTTAGGCAACACAGGGTGAAGAAGGGTAGAAACGAAAGAGAGAGAAAGCCGAAGGGTGGTGGTAGAGATGGTGGAGGTGGTGGAGGAGGAAGAGGAGGATATACCAGCACGAAGTACGACGCGGCGGTAGGAACGCGGCTGACGCCAAGCAAAAACGATCGGCGTTGTCTGCCATGCTTTTTGCAGGCATCATAGTTTCCAACCTCTCTCCTCGTCATTTCTGGCTGCTGTTATCCCCCGTTGCTACTGCTGCTCTGCTGTGTTGCTCGTAAACGGTAACCGATTCTCAACCTGCTTCAACGGCTGGCTATTCTTTCAATAAAATAACTTCCATTTTGAACGATATCGAGTAAGCCGTCATAGGAGGGCCCAGGTGACACCGTGTATCAAGGTAATAAACAAGAATATAGAGTGTTCCAATAAAATGTAACTGGGTACGCTAATAAATGGTCCAATACATTAATAATCTGTAAACAGGCATGAGGCATTGCACTTGGATACATTTTATTTTAGGAACACTTTTACATCCTGATGTTTTATAGCGGTCCTCCCTTATCGGGAAAGATTGGCCAAAGAGATATTTCATCCTTTCTCACATTTTTCACTGGAATTGCCGCAGTTGATCCTCTTTTCTTCTTTATAGAACGCGAGGTAGGATGGTCCTCTCTTTCTCTCTCCCTCTGCTTTTTTTTTCACAATATTTTTTCTTCGATCTTGACATAAACAGGAAGCAATTCCTGATTTAAATTCTAATTAAGGCTGTGGTAATAAAAGATCCAGATGAAAGGGAAGGCACCCGGTATACACGTTGAAGTTCACTGCTTCAGACTTTAGCGCAACCGAGAGTTTTTGCTTTATACTCCAGTTAGAACCAGCTACTGCTCCGGTAGCTACGTGGTGATGTTCGTATTACGAATAGTTTCATGAAAATTCAGTGATATCCTTCTGTTTATACGTTATTTCCACCGTTATTCAAATGATTGAAGTTCAAACAATTATCGGTATCATTTGAGAACGAAGCCGCAAGGAGAGCTCCTTTGTGACGCAAAGTGACTGGAACAAGGACACCCGTTAGATACCGAAGGTACTTGCTCGTACCACTGACGAAGCTAATAGTTTTTGTGTTTACCCGGTTTCAATGGTAGAACCGCGGCAACAACAGCAACAGCAGTGGTAACAGTAGGAGATGGCTGCAAGGATTGACAATACCACTTCCCCTCCTGGACCTCACACCATCCCTATGCTTGTTTCCTCGCTCGCTGGAACTTTGTTTAAATAAGACCAGCAAGAAACAAACCTATTTATACTAGGTTAGACACGTTTACAGCCAGGATAACCGTAGCCATTCCTACTTTTGCACTTCACAGTTTGTGTAGTTCCCTTGGAAACTCCTGGAGTCCTAACAGCTGCTGACGAACAAGGATATTTGTTGCGAGAAAATTGAATCTTCTCGTTATTTCTATTGGAATAGTTCGGTTGAAAAATCATTTCGAAATCGGGATCATCTGCACGAGTTTAACTCCACCCGGTATAATACCACGATGGGTTATAAGCTCGACCGTAGACTAATGATCCCAGAGTCTGCGGTTTTTGCCGACATTCTACAAGATTCCCATTCAACTGGATTCTGTTCTGAAGGCTCCCTGGCATCATTTTCTGTCTACATAACACCGTGAGGCCGCACACTCTTGCAGTTTTAATATTCATACGTGTGTCGTATGAAAAATTATGTAACTGCTGTTATAGTTACAATATACTTGCTCTACTTTTAAATGATGGATCTATTGTCGACGAAACATTGAATACGAATATAAATAGAATTTGGGCTACGTTGGAAGAAGTCGGGTATTTAAAAAGCCTTCTTAAGTCCTAAGCCTTAGGCGACTAGGCGATCAGCTGATCGAGTGACCCTAAATACCTGCACTCGAAAAAAGAAAAGGAAGACGAGAGTAGATACAGACTTTTGAAATTTCAAAATATCCATACCTAGCATAAAGTACTATAATGTGGATCACGATAGGATACTCCACAGTGTTAATTACCTTATTATGCCATCTAAATAACAAATCACATTTGGGCGAAATCTGTTGAAACGATAAAGAGAGATCATCCACGGGTTATCCGTAATGGTCAACGGGAAAGAAAAAGGAATTTGCTGCTGTTATCTTGTTCCAAATGCTAAACTAAGAATATAATCACTCCTTTTTTTTTTAAATATTTGATAAGATGTTAATGACTGGAAAAAAAAGGAATATGAAGTTCATACGGAATATTGAATTAATTCATAAATCAGCGCTTAAACGGTCAAGTGTGCCGTATAAAGAGATCCATATCAAAGCGGACATACCGACAACAGTCTTTTTCACGGAAATTGAAGTAAATTACAAGCAATGCTTGTCTCTGACCGTCATACCTAACCCAGACCGTCATTGTCACATATACCTTCATGATGGTTTCACTTTTCTCTACGAATAATAGACATAAGCGTAAGTCTCAAAATTAACTATTCATACCCTTGATAATAATTAGAGCCTGAGGGGATCTTGGAACGCCCCTTTTACGGTGACGATGAATTTCGATAGAAAATAAAAACGATACGTTTGCATGGGAATAAAGAATCGAAGAAAGAGAAACAGGTGGGTCCCGACAGCGGCTTTACAGTCGAAAGAACGGATGACTGGCAACTGGCGAGGGACCCTGAACCTCGTGTAAAAGGTATGTACTGGTCCAGAGCGCCCTTGCCTTCGCTTCGTCAGTTTTTTCATCGTCTGCTCTCGGACTGCCGCTTTTAAAACGAACGTCACAGGCACCGCGTGCTTTTACGCGGTTCTTTTACAGGAGGTGTGCATTTATCTCTTATACATTACGTATATTGTACGTATATGCGTACGTCTTATAATTAATCTATAGCTCGTACGAATAACGAGATTCGGTGGATGAAATGAATTACTGTCGCTTATGGACTTATCCGTAACTGAGATGGCGGTCAGGAGGAAATGTGATGAAATCCACAGGACCCCATGGAAATTTATAGGAAAAATATAGTATTGTGGGTTCAGGAGAAAAAGTAATTAAATAAAAATAATTGGGATATGATAGATTCCACCTGACCAATTACAGGTTAACAAGGAAAGGATCCCAACTGTCCGACTTCGATTTCGACGAGTTTTTTTTAATACATCGATGGCCTCACATTTCGTAGAATCAATGACCCTTGTAATTACTTCTTATATTTTTGTTACCTTTTATTAAAGGATAGAGATACTTGTTTCGAAATGGTAAAAATTATAACAAGGGCAATACTTTTCTTCAAGGTCACATCTTCCGGAGCCTCAAGACCATCGACATTTTTGCTACTGATAAAAAGATAAATATTATCGATCAATTCGTACAGGAATTGAATCCAATGGAAAATAAACATTAAAGTATCATTGAATGAAGTAACATTCCCAAGTTCAATAAACTTGTGAAATTATCTGTTACCGGACCGCTGATAACCCACGTTGACTTCAAGATAAATTGGATCATCAAAAATGGCAGGGTATTAGTAATTTGAGAAATATGAATGATACTCTTGGAATTAGTAAAAAACTATTCGCCTTCGTTTCCACTAAACTGTGCATCAGATATAGAAAAAAAAAAAAAATAGAATGAGGATACGCTTAATTGAAAAAAAAATAGAAATACAAATAGAAAAGATGAACTTACCTAACAAACAGTTGTTCTTGATTATTCACTCGCCAGGACACCACGGTGGCTCCTAGAAAATGTAAAATTTCAATGAAAATCTAAATTCACACCGAATTTAACTGTACCGCCGCGCACGCGTGTCATCCGCACTCGAAATTTAAAAAAAAAATAGAACTTCCGGCGTGTTTACAAGGATACTACCGTGACTAAACAGATCTTTTGTCGAGAACGCGTAAACAAATAAACAATGGAAATGTTATATAATATTCAACAACATTATATACAATACACAGGGGATAATATATCGTAGATAACACATTGCAGTGTTCTCGACGATGTTTAACGAATCGAGGACATAACAATCCGCGATTTACGTACAAGGACCGCACAAAAAACTGGAGGTTAGGCTTTAGTTAAGGCGCGCACGCACTTCGTCTTCTTGAAACAAAATAAAATAACGTCGTCCAGATCTGGGAGCGGTTAAAACGGTTATATATTACTGTACAATCAGTTCGATTCCTCTTGCCACTTGGTTAACTACCTTTTTTTTTAACCGTAACCGATGATGTGGAACATAACGTGCCGAGATAAAAATCTGTTCCGTGCGAAAATATCACATTAGTGTATTAAGTATGTATTCGTAGATTGTTCCAAAGAGATTTCGAAGAGAACTTAAGATGCCAACTCGCAGATCTGGTTCGTTTGTAGTAAGCCCCACGCGCGCACACACATACCGTGTAAATTAATCGTGCAGGTGGTATTGTTGCCCCTGTCGAGCACGACAACGCTGGTAGCCGCTGCCATGTTTGAATCGTGAATGCGGCGCCGGTTCCTCGACCGACGCAGTCAACCTTTGTTCAATGCCCCTGGTTCTTCCCCCACCCAGGATATTTGTTACTCTTTACACAAGTCATTCAATATTGAGTGCCATCTCGAAACTGTACGCGGAACCTTGCGGAGAAACAGCATCTCCGTCGATAAATTTCAACCCCTATACAGAGGGTGCTTTTAGTGCGGGAATTTCATTCCGAAACGCATGTTGTAAATTTGTAGCAACGAGATTGATTTTTTTGGAAATAATGCAATAATTGCTTCTTGTTTATACGCTCCTATCCCTCTTTCCTTCAGTTGCATCCTTTTCATCTTGTTGTGTCCATTTTTCATCTTTATCATACCTCTCCCTTTTTATTTCGTGCTCCTCCACAAGTTCAGAAAATTAAAATTAAAATAACTAATTATCCTAAGAACCGCTATTAAACGACTGATTAGGATCGTTGTGACTTCTTAACTGAAAATCTAGATTATCAATTTTAACCATTCTTTGCAAGCCGATCATAGTGGTCACTATGAGTGTTTATATAGAATAAAATCAGAGATCGGTGGTGTTCTTAAGGAATGGTTACAGAAACCGATATCCATGTTAAGTCTATGAGAGAAATCGGAATTACGCTTAGTAATTAGAGAGATTCGCGAGTAATAGAGTAATTAAAGTTACTTTTACTGCAAATCAATCGCTTCGCTCCAGTATGTCAGCCATGAAGCGGATGACGGCCTAGTTATTTAGCAACTTATCATTAACATTACTCATTGGGAAGTAGATAATTCTATATTTAAAGTACAGTTTTAAAATATCCCGCTGTGGAGTTACGAACCAATCGCACCACGTAAATGCGGTATTCTTGAATGGCAACATAGGTTTTGCTACTCGGGCTTGAAAACATGGCACCATTGCAACAGTGAGCCAGTAGATGGAACCGGTTGACAGAATTGTTTGGTGTTCCGTTACGGTGATGTCCGAGTGTTCATTGTACTGTGTTGTTCTGTGCCGTATCAATTCGTTGAAAAATCTGCAAGGAAGTCGCCTATCGGCGGCACTTATCACCACCTCCGGCAACGACAACGTGGATTGAGTGTAATTAGCTGGCAGTGTGTGGTGCTGTGGTGCAGGAGACGATGAGGGCCGGGGGGATAATTCGGGTGGCGACTTGAGGGTAGAAATGTTGAAATTTGGCAGCAAGAGTGACGTTACAGTGGTGCATCGCGCCACTATTCGACTCCTCGACGATGCTGAAATAATTCACTGCGACTTTCAGGTGAGATCACTCGTCGTACCGCAACTTTTGCACGCTACCTAACTATATTGATGACGCTTGTATGTACACGCGTTTCTATCTCTTTTTCCGTCTGCTACCGGTAACGATCGCTCTGCTCGATACAACTCACTGGTCCAGCGGTTTTGGCAATCATCAAATATGATCTTTAACGAAAAATTGTCATACATTTCATTCACATATACGTCTCTATCCTTCGATCAATTTCAAAAACTGTCTGTTTCGAGCGCAACAAATTCCTCCTACCCTAAATGTCATTTCTTGAATGTAATTCAGTGTTCTATACCTTGTTACGTTACAATAAACAAAGACTAAAGTTTAAACTTTCCATTCTTATTATATCAGTTGATCTATTTGCTAAAGTTTTATATAGGTACTTGTTGACCATAGACTTTAACGAAAGGGAAACATTAAGATTCTGCTTAATCATAAAAGTATTTTGCTGATGACAATGTTAACTAAGCAGTTTTTGAATTTATGCTTCCGTTACATAATTCTTTGATGAAGGAATCGGTGTTATGATAAGTTTTGACTTAATAATAGACTTGACTCAAAATTATAAAATCATGTTCTATTTTAACATTCACGTATGGATGTGTGTGAACATATTTGTGTATGTATGGACGCGCGCGTGCGTAGCTGCGTGCATACCCACATATAGGACTAGGTCGAACATTTCTTCACGTAACACGACCACGTGCACTTATTGACAAGGATAGTTACCTTCTGAAATTAATCAAATGTACAGGGTGTCTTTAAACAAACTGTAAAGTTTACAGTACGGTGATTTTACATAAGATGGATGATAAATCTAATTGTAGGCAATAGGTTCATTTTTGAAGAAGACTGTTTTTAATAGTGAAACTTATCTTCCTTATCTTAAATTACACTTTGTATTAAATTTGACAGCTTCGCGTATGAAATCGGTAGATCTACAAAGTCATTCTTCCTTACCTATAATTTTATGTTTTTTTTCCTTATGTAAGACGATGTTAATTAATGATGTTTTCAATGACATCATCATTTTCTTTAATTAATTTTCCACAGACAGAAATAAAGTAACTATGAATTAAAATCTTTTAATCAATACGGAAATGTTTTCAATGTTTTTGAAATCACGTCAGAATCTAATTATTTTAAACTGTTTGGTCATTCACAATAATCGCGACGCCGATGACCAATGGCGGATACAGAGAGCGATGGAGGCGGTCGCCATCCTCTCAAGCCTTAGTAATATTTATATATTTAATAAGTTCTAGTCCTAACGATAATACATACATATATGTGTGAATTAATGTTACAGGTAAGTTTAACATTGAGTCTTAACCCTCGTCGGCTTCGTAGAAGGTGGTGACAAGGTCCGTTCTGACCCGTACGTATCTTTCCTCTTCGAAGCATATTTAAGCAAATTTATGCATATTTATGCAAACAGAAGCAAAGTAAATGTAGGAAATTACGAAGTAACGTAAGGATGAACCCTTTATTTCCTTTTTTACATGTACACTCACGTGTAAGGATGGTTTCACTTTGGTGTAGAGTGTAGGGAAATGGAGTCTCTTACTACTTCGTATCGCTTCGGCAAAATTCGGTTCGCATCGGCAGTTCAGCCACGCCTCCTACCACGCCTCCTTCCTCTTAACCAAGAGAAGCCTACATTTCACCTGGGTGTACATACTTAGGCTAATTTACTTCTTAAAAGAATAAATATTTTTTACATTTAGATAAATATTTTTGTGAAAGAGTCAGAGATAAATCTCGGTGTTTTGATCATTTGCAGTCTTTTCTTTGTTGCAGCCACAACACAAAGGAAGGTATATCCTCGAATATGTATGCAAACAACTCAATATTTTGGAAACGGATTATTTTGGACTTCGTTACGTGGATCACTGTAGGCAGAGGGTAAGTTCATCAAATACTCGCCTTGTGTCTCAACTACATGTTAAACTGTTCTATTTCAGCATTGGTTAGACTTGGCAAAAACGGCGATTAAACAAGTAAAAGGTTGGTATTCATATCTATCGCACGATTTAATAAATAATACATATTTATTGTTTTAAATGATTGAAAATGAGGTTTTAATATTCTATGGTAAAACGCTTGAAGAATATAATAAGAAGCAGCAGGTACTAAGAGAGATGGGTATTAAGTTACAATTTGTACTGATTTACTTTGAGCATATCATATCACAGTATACTTTCATTTTATAATGTTAATTTTTTAAATAATTAACTCGATAGACTTTATCATTAATTAAATGTACAAAATGGCATAAACGAAATGTAAAAGAAGGCATATCATTGAATTGGTATGTAGCAATGAACAGCTGTGACCAAGGCTTCGATTGCGACGTCTTTTCCTTTCTATACTCGATTACCGTGGATCGATGTTACATAAAACTTTCAAACTCACGACCCACTGTACTATTTTTCCATAGATCTGAATAAAGAAAGTCCATATCAATTTCGATAAAATAGAAGTGGTCGAGATAAATGATTATCGTCATCTTTTGAACATCATTTAACACCTGTGACCGACACTGCTTTATAGTGAGGAGCAAAACTGAACCGATAATTAATACTATTTTTCCAGAAAATTTCCAAGTATAATACTTTGTTAATAATATTTAAAAAAATATTATCTGGAGAAATGGTTTGATTAGTACAATTTTGCTGCTCACTGTAAGTAAAAACGTACATGTAGATGCGTCCCTCCTCATCGTAACTGTGTTCCAGACATGGACCCGATTCTGTTTAGCTTTCGCGTGAAATTCTATCCACCGGATCCTCTGAGGCTAAAGGAAGAAATAACTAGGTATCAAATATACCAGCAGCTGAAAAGGGACCTCCTTCATGGACGACTTTACTGCAGTCCGGGTGAAGCTGCGCTGCTGGCAGCGTGCGTCGTGCAAAGTGAGTTGCATATACAATTTTTCTCATTTTAAGTCTGTTCTATTCATCTTGATAATATTTCATTTTAGGCGAATTGGGTGATTATGATCCGGAAATTCATGAAGGGAACTATATATCCGAGCACAAATTATTACTTAAGCAAACGGAGGCTATCGAGGAGAAGGCTATGGAACTGCATCAAACACAATTAAAGGGGTTCACATCAGAACAAGCGGAAACTCATTTTCTTAGATTAGCTTCACAACTGGATACCTATGCTGTTGATCCACATCCAGTTAAGGTAATGTATCACATATTTCCATGCAACTTTCATAGATATTTCAAGAGGTATGTTTCGTTGTATCCTCAGGACCAGAAAGGTGCACAACTATATCTTGGCATAAATCATTGCGGGATTTTAACGTTTCAAGGATCCCGAAAAACACATCATTTCCGCTGGCCGGATGTGCAGAAAATCAACTACGAGGGGAAAATGTTTATTGTACATTTAACGATAAGTGAGGTAAAAAAGTTTCTTCATTTTCTACTCTATCATATAAACACAGTCGGTAATGTTTCCTGAAATATCGTGTCAATTAATATTCATTAATTTGTAATTCAGCTTATTAATTGGTAGTTAACGTATAATACCTTTACGCATATAATGTTATTATATATAAATTATAGAAAATGCGATGAAACAATTTTTATTTATATCATTTCATAGATACAGTAAGTATAATGTAAAAAATAATGTTAGTAATTGTTCGAATTATTTCTTGAACGTGATCGATAAATCAGCCTTGACCCAGTGACTGGACGTAGTTTATAGGATTACTAACTCCATGAGTCTTCGAATCGTCTAAAGCACAATCATATTTTCCTAATAACCGCATAATTTCAGAATAACTAAATATAAATGTTTGATCTACTTAAATTCAATTGTTTATTGCAAAGAAAACGGCAAGTGTTCTAAAACTTGTATAATTTTTCTTTATTTTTCTAATTTCGAGTATTAGACGAGAAGCTTTCTATTGTATAAAGTATATATCTGTTATAAACATATATTGTACGTTCAATATTGTTACGAGTTCGACTAATCTTATTATTTTCCACTGCTGGGCCTAATTCAGGACGTGAGAACGAAGGTGAGTCGTTTCGTAGCAGTTACACGGGTTGTTCATATGTTTCGTGGCTTGAATGCACAGTTGTTTTGTGGTGTAACAGGATCGAATGATTGTTAATCAATAATTTGTGCAAATGAACAAAATTACTGTGCTAAGTGTAATTCGTTGTGATCAACTGTTTCAATGAAACGACGAAGCCGTTTGAAGTCTCTTAAATTGGTAATCATACATATTTACGGATGGATTGAAAAGTAACGATTTTAAAAGAATTATCTCAACTGATTTCAGAGATGTGTCTATAATTATTTAATTAGAGATATCGGTATCTGTTAAAAAGAAAAAGGAATTTAATCTGCTTGATAAAGGATTTAATTAACCACGCGAAGTAGCTGTCGATAAATAATGTACATAGAGTAGAGGTTTCAGTGCAATGTTTTCCACGCAATTTTCAGAAAAAGCACACTGTTGGGTTTAAGTGTCCCACGGGATCGAACTGCCGCCACGTATGGAGATGCGCCATCGAGCAAATGTTATTTTTCACGTATGTATGCTGTTATTAAGCTGAAACGCTTTCAACCCTTTCAGATCCAAATACTTTCATGACGCGCGTACGCTGTGATACCGAATAATGTACTTTTCCGATTGCATAGCAACTCTGAACTAGAATTCAGTCGATTCTGAAAAAAAAGAAAAGAAAAGGAAGAGGTCCACAGCGAGCGCTTCGTCGGTACCTCTACATAAATTCATAAACGTGGAAGGGTTAATGCAATAGCACAGATAATTACATCTTCATTTTGTTTCAATGAAATATATCAAATAATGTAGCTTGATTTATTTATTTTCAAATTTTTGTAACAATATAACACTATTATTAATAGTTACCTTGTATTGTAATTAAAAGTAATCGACAATTTTTTTGTTCTCTTTTAAATGGCACCATATATTTTTAAGTTTATAGCATAGTAGCTGATGTCAAGGCGAGTTCAATGACATAGAATTTTGTATGATCTTGAAATGGTATCACACACCATAATCACACATCACATTCGAATTTCGACGGGCACTGAGGTAATCATGCCCATAAATCGCATTTTCTAACAAACTTTTTATTCAATTGTTATCGCGAATGTTATAACAATGCAAGTTAATTAATAAGGATATTTTTCTGATGATCAGATTACCCAGAGCATCGGACGCACCGGTTGTAAGCGGTGGATCTATATTCTCATGGGGTACGAAGTTCAAATACACCGGAAGAACCGAGAAGGAAGTACTGGAAGAAACGGGTCCATTGCGAAAAGAAGAACCACCTATACAGCGTTGTCAAACGACGTGTCTTAGAAGAAAGGCTAGCAGTGTACCAGCAACACCAAGTACACCTAGTCAAGATCTCGTTGAAATAAGTTAGTATCATTTTAATATGTATATGTTTATCGATACTAGATTAGCGTTGACACTCTGTACATTTAACATTAGCTGTTATTAGAAATTAGAAAACATTAGACAATTAGAAATGTATATAAAGAAACATGGAGTGCCAGTAATATGTCTTAATAAGTATAAAATAAAGTATTCTGATACTTGATTTACAGGATACTCCAGCTTACCACGTAGCTGTCATAGCGCAGGTTTAGATGGTGCTGGAATGTCAGAAAGCAGTACTGGTATTCCATTTAGTTCACCTTACTGTCCGGATAATACCTTACCACCTCTGGAAACTGTATCGGAGGACCAAGAAATTCATGCTAGGAGAAACAATGGTTAGTTTTACCATGTTTCGTCCATTTAATTCTTTATATATACTGAATCTTCAATTTTACTGTTTAAAATTCCGATTTTCTACGCTGACTCGAGACGCATGGCTTGAACGTTTAGATGAAAGCGTATTTAATAGCAATTTAGAAACATGAATATTATTAACTTCTCTTCTTAGAAGAAAACATTTTTTTTTATAGAAAAACCATGCGTCGCGATACTATATTACTTTTTCCGCGCATGTGTAAATAACTAATATGTTTCAGGCTTGAAAATTACATTCTTGTTTAAAACATTATCGTATCTTGCAGCCAGTAGATTACCAGATTACAGAAAAATCGTTACTGACAATTTAATGGTAATCTAATGACTAATTTGTAGTTGCAGGCTTTATACATATAATTGCATGTATACGTTTGTCTTTTATTTAAATGATACTGTAAACGATAAATATTGCATGAAGGTTTTCTTTATCTGAATGAAAGGCTCAAATAATTTGTAGTAATCACTTGAGGAACATTTAACATTTTTTTTTTTTTTAAAGAGCCTTACATCTGGAAACGAATAATAATCGTCTATGCAACTGACTGTAATGTAAAATATCCTTTGTCAAATGTACATAACAAAACATACAAGAAGAACATGGAAGGACACGTAAAAATATTTACTTAACAATATCGTATCTTGTATATAAGATTTAACAACAAAAGCTTGCATACCTATTTATTGCACTTTATTTATGATTTATATTTTATTAAGTAATCGCAAAGGTCTTGATAAAAAGTCTGATACGATTTCATGAGATAAAAGTATCGCCAATTAGCACTTGTAGCATATCAGTTTGAAGCTTAAAGTTTGGTGAAATATTTAAGCTTAAAATTGACACACCATAAGCGGTATTTTCAGATACTTTTGTGTCCTGAAATCACGTGAAACTTCCCATTGAAATGAATTGAAATGATATATTACTAAAAGGAAAATAACAATTTAGAAACGTCGCTTTTTTTTGGCTTATTAGACCGTTGATTTGTCTTTTTCCTTTTCTTTCTGTTCGTTTAGCTGTAGACGAAAATGATACGCATGCGAGTGCCACCCACAACACCACAACCACCACCATTACCACTACTACCACCACCACCACCTCGAACACCATCACAAATCGTGCTAAAGTTAGATCGAAATATCCAAAGAGCACGTTGAACCGACCTCAACCGTTGTACAGTCAAAAAATAGTGATAAGCTCGGAGGAATTAGTTGGCCGTGACATCGATAACATCGTCAGGCAGCGAATAAACGCTCTTGAAAAGAGCCCAAAGGTGGTCAGATCGACCGCGTTGATCATAAAGAGCTCAAAAGTATCCGCCGAATCGTTGAAAGCTGGTAAAGAGATCGCGAATGAGACGTACATATTCCCGGCAACCGATCCAGGAACGTTCGTCACAACGGTCGTAGAAAGTCCTTCCGACTTTAGCAACGGTAAGATGATCTTGCACAGGTCCAACGAGCAGGTAAGCATACTCGCTCGTCGGGAGCATGAGATATCGTGGCACGGCACGACTACGATGACGAGAAGGGTGAACGGTTGCGTTTCCACGCCGAGAAATGACGTCGAAGACATTAGAAACGGAGTCAGAATCACGAAATCTCAGGAAAGGACAGGTAAATTTGGTAATGGGTTCTTCTTACATTGGATGAGGCATTACCCAACTGACTCTTATCATGTACTGTATACCAATCAGGCCTGCTCAACTTGATGCCTTTTCTACAATATCTTTATTGCCTTGAGCATATCATTGGCCACTAGTAACTGAACATGCCCCTTATATAGCAGAGACTACCTGCAGTCCTTTGGATATTGCTACTTGAGGATTTAAATTACACCCTTTCCACGTAAGGGAGGCGACCAAACACTTGTAAACGATTGGGTGAAAGCCCGACAGAGAAGAAACTACTTTGTAACATCAAGCCTTTTGAATCTTATGGCCAAGCTTGTTTGGGACTTGACCTTCTCCGTATCTATTCCCTTCAGATAAATTGTGATACTATTAGTCCCCCCAACAAGCTTTAGCCATCTGGATTATTGTCTTGGTAGCAACAGTTGAGCAGGTCTCTTCTAACTAATACTTATGTGGCATTGTTACTACTTACTAATTCGGGTACACAATATTATTAACAGAAGTATGTTAATAGTTACTGCGAGTGGTATTATTATATTCCAATTGAATTTTTTGCATACTGTTTTCTTCTTTTGCATTGAATCAGCATGAGCCTGTGCATATTAAAATAAGGAAGATAGTTTTTCTTTGCGAGACTAAGTTTCAATATTGCACGTGTAGATTTAGTCAGAGATTTTCATCTAGAGGTGGGTAAGCTTTGCGTTATTAAACAATAACGTCTTAAATATTAATCCAAAGATCTATTTACTCCGGTTAATTAACTTGTGCTGTATTATACGTTGCTACATAACATTTTCTAAAGAATTGTTAAAGACTGTATATAGATTTCCAAAAGGCAAGACACTCCAATGTATATATATACTCAGGGTGATTTATAATAACAATAGAAATTGTTAAACAAAAATTGCATGCTGACTAAGATTACATGCTGCACAGTAATTAGGTTTTGCAATTTTATTGTTGTAAACTAATTGAAGTTTAGAATGGGATATTAGAACGAAGGAAAAATAAACATAAAGTTTGCCAAAAATTTCTGAAAAATAGAACACAAAATTTAGTAACTTTCTTTCATCCTAATACCACACAGTAGATGCATTTTTTTTTTCATCAATCTTACAACCCAAACAATTATTATCTAAAACGTTGAAATATATTTGTTCCAGTCGGCCAACACGAGGGCGAAGCAAACGACTACTACTTTAGGGATTCTTTCGATCATTCTTCGTCGGAAAGTCAGCTACTGGATTCAAGCGGTAAACCGCACAGTCGTTCGGTAACGCCTGTACCGAAAATGCAGAAACTTCAAAATTCGAAATTGTGTCTTCAACAACAGCAACAACAACGGCATCAACAATCGCAATCGCAGCAACATCAGCATCAACGGCAATCATCTAGTCAGCGTTACGATAGCAGATTGAAGTACAAAAGTTTTCGAATAGCGAGGCTTTTCATTCCAGCTTTTATGCTTACGATTACAGTTCTGTTCATTGTGATCGTCCTGGTGTTCGAAACAGACACGACGCTTTTCAATAGCCTGCGCAAGACGCCAGAAATGGTGGCCTTAAAGAACCAATATTATGTCCCTATCAAGGAGTTTTTGAGGACAAAGCTCGGCCTATTTTGATGCGACCTGACGATGACCGGGCTAAGGTCGTCCTTTGTCGCTAATTAGCTCCCTTCAGTGCCAAGTCGAGAAGATGCTCTTGCCGAAAATCAAGAAACGAGCGAGTTTCAAATGCCGTTTCACCGTCGCGCGCGTTCTTATTTCTTCTACCGAAATACGAGGAACTTCATTTCTCTTGCGTTTCTACTCGAAAGTATACTTAGGTGTATTAATAACAAACGTTATTTGTGACTAAAACTGGTACCTTCGATTTATTCATTCTTTATTTTCAACTACTTAACATCTTTAGGGGTGAATTTATTGATCGTTGCAATACTAAGGGATTATGTTTTCTAGGTTGCGTGCAATTTTGTAAATTATTTTAAAACGATGTTTATAGTATTTGAATCGAATTTATTTAATAACGATGAATGAAAGTCATTATTTAGCGAATCATGAAGATTGTATTCGTAATCAATTACGAAAGTAGGTCATTTACAAGTACATTTTGAATTAAGTAATAGAAGATGAGAAGAAATATTAGCTAGCTTATTGCACAAGACACCTTCACATTCCATTCAACATGAAATGTATCATTTAAACTTCGATTTTTAATTATTAAGCCGTCTTGTCATCGGGATCACTGTATTTTCTATTGTATAAAAGTTTCATATTTTTTAAGAAGCTTGAAATTGTTGAATAAACGCTTAAGATGTCATTTAATTCGCTTCGATTACTGTTCTTTACTCACCATGTATTCATTAAATCAAGTAGTCAATATCCATGGTTATCCAGTGCATTTTTTACTTAATTAGAAATATCAATTATTTAGTTAATAATTGAGAACTATAGTTTATTTAATTACACGCATTTATAAAATATTAGAAAATACAGTGATCAGTTTAAACATATATATCAAATTCAGCACGTGCAATTTTTAATATTCCATGATTTATTTTCATTAAGTAGGTAGCAAACGTTTGTGGCAATACTTCAATGTATCGTAGATACAGTTGTATCTAAAAAACGATATTTAATCAACGTCTATAGATCAATTTGTTATATTTTTATTCTAATATTACTGTGATGGATATTTTCTATGAAGTATTAATTAAGAAAAAAACAATATACTTCCTAATATTTTGTGTTTGGCATGCGACAAACACATACAAACAAATCAGTGCTTATCATGATATCAAATCTGCTACAATCATTTTTCATCTAAACATGTTTAATAATTCCATAGATGTATGCAAAAAATTCTGTATGTACAGTAGGATGATTCGCCTAACATTAAAATATAAAATTTATTTCTGTTCTCAGAAAATATCCAAGAGGAGCAATATTGGTTTATTCCAAAATAGTCGAAAATAATTTTAATGTTACTTTAGATTTTAATGTTAAGTGACTCTTCCTGTATATAAGTCGTAAAGATTGGTCTTATAAGATTGATCTGAAAACCATTGGATTGCTTCCACAAATTATACAGTAAAACTTTAGAAAATTTATCGAGCAGAGTAATCTATTATAGATTTAAGTATGCCTAAAATAGAATCGATCTGTTTTTTATATTGAATACGTAAGGACTGATCGGTGAACATGATGGAGCGAATTCAACATCCACACTGTTACACAAATTACAAGGCAAACATCACTCTCTGAATGTAATTAATGATAAAACAAAATGTCGCATGGCCTATAACGTCGCTGAAGGAAAAGAAAAGTAATATTCCCTCGATGAATCTTTTTTTAAACTAAACATATGGATGTAAAAAGTATTTTATCACTAAGAAATTACAAAAAATTGAAAAAACCAAATATGTGAAATATATTTTACGTATAAATAGGCCGATCGAGAACTACATCATTATCACTATTATTATTATTATTATTAGAAATCTTGAAAAGTCAACGAAAAGCAATTATTTGATAGTTGATCGTATATTGTAGAGAATTTTAACGTGTAAGAAGATCAATGTAGAAAATTGTTTTGCAAGAAATTAAGGGAAAAAAGAAATCATAGATGATGCACCTTTTTTCAATTTAGAACATTAAAGTCATTTAAAAACTTAACGATTGCACGTCGTACGTATGTATTTAATGATAGCTGTTTATACGTAAAAATCTTGTAAGCTAACATTTTTGATTGTTAAAAATTGTTTGAAAAAAAGGGAACGGAACGTTTTGCGACTATTTGTAACAGATGAAACTTCTTACACTTTGCAATAACAAGCGAGAAAGGGTGAATTTTAGATAAGCCACAATTGAAAAATGAATGTTAACAAAGCAAACGCCAATGTCGGTTATTCTTGCATTTCCATTTCTCGCCCATTTTTCTGAAAGTGCCTATGCTATTCTAAAACTCTTTTCAAACGCCATATTTCGCTAAGTTTTCGGCACACGTTTGTATCGTCTCTGTAAATTCATTAAGCCTGAATTAGATTTACATAATTTTGTCTGCAAATATACTAAAGTTATTTTATGTAAATTACTTTTAACATTCATCAGGGTCTGACCTCTGATAATGATTTACCCCTGAAAAATGTTTGCAGACATACGTAGCTGTAAGTCTGGTCTAGGCTTCTGAGGAAACCAAAAGTACATACACACACACAGGACACACGTATATAAATACGTGCATTAAACAGAGACAGATAATCATGTGCACATAACGAATAAATGTAATAATGTTATCATTTGCATGAAACTAATGTGTGTGTTCGTGTGATGCTCTTTCGAAGCAAGAGCGTTTTACTCGTCTACGAAGGAGGAATATTAAAACGCGAAATTGTTTCTTAAGGAGGTTATATCTGTTCGAGTTGCAGGAACGGTTCTAAGAGATTAGAATGGTATCCTCGCGAATTATCTGAACCGGCTAGAAAGAGACTTCGAATGGTGATGCGCTCGATTTACATAAACAAACGAATGTCAATTGCGATTATATACCATAACTTTAGGTTAAAAATTAAGGGGCGTCGAGACCATTCGATACAACATTTCTAGGTGATAAAACAAAATGACAAAACGAAAAAAATAAACCATACGAGCTTTCGGAACTGTCTTGTAACACAGAGGTGATCAAATTGGAGAATCGGTTAAGGTTGCTGGGAAATAAATGGCCGATCATATAAATTTCAAAATTTTCTTCAGTTAACTAAATCGATGGGTTAAATCGACTCATTTATTTTCCAGCAATCTAATAAATAGGCTTTCAGAGCAAGCAAGCTGAGCTCTTAATATGCATGACAAGTTTAAATGACCTGCTTGGCGTTTCTACGATCGTTTTGTATTCTTACCGGATTTTTAAAACTTCCGACAACGTTTTTTCAAATAACGTCAAATTAAGTGGTAATTAAATCTTCTATGCTGTACAAAGAAATTAATACAATCAGTGATGATGAATGATGGAGTATGTTGAAGACAGAATAACGATGGAACGACATTGAAGAAAATTGTATTTCACGTCGATGCTATGAAACTCACCGAAAATGTATAAATAATAAATGTCTGAATTTCCCATTCTATACATTTTTTATATACAATCATGATAATTTGTTAGAACGGTTTTTATACATTCATATTATAAATTAAATAGATTGTAAAGTTATTAAGTAGACAATCGATGAGAAGTAATGTAACGTTAATGATTCATCGAACATTGTCATTAATTTTACTATACACAAACAAACGTCAATTCCAAATATATCCTTGATTACGATTCATCAATGAATAAGTTTGTTTGAGAAAACAATGTCCACGATTTGAATTCGATAGTTTTCGTCTGCCAGCGCGGCATAGTTTCGAGATGCTTTGTTTTCTAGGGGTTTTGAATTTGTTTGCTGAGAACGCGCACATGGAGTTTCATTATAAACCCTTTATGATGTCATTGCTATAAGTTTTAAGGAAACCAAAAGTACACACGTTTTGCGTCAGTATGTCTTCGGACGGCAAAGAGGTAGGAGGTGTGGTTTTCTTTTTTTTTTTTGTTACCTGAAGCCCTAGGTGCATTTCTTTATTATGAACATATAAAAGTTTACAGAAATAAGTATTATTTGTACACCTAAGCTACTTTGTACTTTCTTGGAACTTTGGTTGCACGTCGAAGACCTTATAAGTATTCCCTAAACTCTATCTTTTATGTACAAACTATATCTAAATTATACTAGGTTTACATGTATGATTAACACTTATTCTTTAGTTGGGTAGAGATTACAGTTTCAAATTGTTTTTAGTTAAGAAAGCATCAATAATTTTTAAAGCGGTAGTGTTGAAGTAGGAGGTTGTATTCCCGCTTTCGATAGCAGCGCCATCTATACAAAAATGGCGCAAACTACTCAACGACTTATCGACTAGGCGGTAAGTAGTTTCCGCAACTTGTCGATAGACGGCGCCAGTGTTCCCTCTTCGTGGAAACATAGTCGGTAAATTGTCGAGTAGTTTCAGCCGTTTTTGTATAGATAGTGCGACGATCGAATTTTATACTCCTTCCCCTTTGACGGGAAATTTAATTTTTCAAATAAATTATAATTAACATGTAAACCAATTGTAAAAGTAGATTTCCGATTTGTTCAGTATACTTTCACGATGAGCGATATTCCTTGGAATATTATCTTGTTTCGATCAATTTAACTCGTAATTGGTTAATTTAATACGCTATTATTTTAACAGCACTTAATGTAGCAAATTATTGTGGCTCTTAATATACCCTATCACTTTTCTCGTAATTATTCGATTAGGCCATGCAATTTTATTCATCATCAGTTCCAACTAAAAGAAAAGTGTTATACGATGCACTCTTTAATTTTGATCATCTTGAAAATCACTTAATTGAAGGCTGAAAATCAACGACATAATATTTCATATAAGTCATATAAATTCATAAATTGTCCTGGAAGACATTTTTGAATGGCGCCTTCTTATCTGTCAAATCAACATAACAGTACTTGTGTTTAAAAAGTGAAATTCCGAGAGAAGGTGACAAATCATTTTTTTTTTTTTAATTATTTTCTGACCACAGTGCACCGGATGTAGAAGTGACACAGAATTAAGCGTTTTGCATAGACGATTTCACATGAGTCACACGGTTGGTAAACTTGCGTAGCTTTCTCCGGCAAATAAGCAAAATAAATGGCGGTAAAGACGATCGTCATTGATCTAGTTCGGCCTCATTCTCTCGAGCTTATCATGTCTTTAGACAAGATGCAATTTTCACGCTCCGATAGAAACCTTATGCGGAGAGCGAAAACTATACTTAACGTGTTACGAATCGTCACAAGAAAACTTATCTTCAAAGTGTTAGAAAATCTAACCTTCTAGCATATAAAAAATGAGGATAATGATTAAGAAGTCTAGGTTACACGCAATGGTATGTATGTACAAGTTTTCTATTTCAATGATTCATCTTTTATCTCTAAAATCTGTTTTCCAAAAATGCAATTATTTTTTCCACTTTCATAAAGCTGTATAACCGTGAATATCATAACACGGTGGTATGTTATAATTAAAAGTAAGATAGAACCAGGTATGACACAATTTTGACTATCTACGTCTGGTGAAAGTGAAATAAAAGTTTCAGTTATGTGGGGTAAAAAGTTGAAGCGATAAAAATGTGTCGCAACAGTTACCGACAATGAATATGATACCCCTTGATCCAACGTCGCAACGTTGTATAAAGGGAGATATGTTTCTAGGGTTCGACGATCGAGGGAAACAGATTTGTCGTGATGTTGCAAAAGGGGACGGATGATTGTTGAAATTGTGGAAATGGACAAAGGCGGAAATAATGGTATCTCAACCGGACGTAAAGGGAACAGCTTGTTCTCGCGTGACAATTCGAAAGCGAGAACATGGAAGTGGCTAAGAAACCATTAGAAAAGACCACTGTAAGTGTTTTAATTATGACGCTATTATCAAATTAGGTATCATTACTTCAGAGACTGGACAATAACAGATAGAGAATTATTTACAAAATTATTATTTTGTAAATATCTTATAGAATATTATTTTCTTCGATCATGCCAAAAACTGGTCGTTCCTTGTCACGTGTCGCGTGCGCGTCATAATACCGTTTACGAAATTCGTACCGTCGGTATAATTAGCTTTAATTACTCAGTCGATTAATTAATCAAAATTACACAAGAATGACAGATAATGGGGGTAGGAAAGGTAGAAATTGTGAGAAAATGATGCACGTGTGCACATGTGAAACGGGAAAACAATATGTATAACTACATCTGTATCTAGAATCTTGCTTCTTTGACTTTCCATGAACAGCAACTGCCTTGAAGAGTCTTTGCAGCTGCTTAAATCGGGGTCATGTCAGTGCTGCGAGTAATACAACTGTGCGACTATTCCACGAGAATGTATTGCATGTGTACATAAACAATATGTGCATACCTTATTGCATGGTGCAGAGAAAGAAAAAAAGGATAGAAAACTATACAACCTTGGTATGGTATTATATACATTTTTCAATCAATAGTTAAATAGGAAGAGATGCAATTATATTTAAATTAATTTTGTGATAAAATTAATAGGGATATACTACGAAATAAATTGAAATGAGGAACGGGAATAGAATGAATAAGATGTTTCGATCCGAAATTTCGAGGACACAACGTGCCCATCGATTGATTCATATGCAGGAAAGAAGAAGCCAGGCGTCATCGATATACACGTATAGTCACGAACGAAGACGACGACTAACGGAGAAACTTGATTCGGTCAGATTAGACGTCTATTCGGTCGATGACCTTACTTTTATATAGCCAAAGACATACTAAAAAGGAGAGCTTCCGAATGTTCAATATTTTAATCACTTTTATAATATTCATAAATTTTGATATTCGGAAGCTATTTATACGTGGATCGTTTCAAAAGTAAGGGAGTCTTCTAGCTTCATTATCTATAAGAATGGTGCCAGACCTTCGGGTAACCAAATTAATTTAAACTTGGAATATTATTAGATTTCGTGATTCTAATTACAAATAAGCATAGCCTACCTTTTATTAGCCAACCCGTTTCTAAGACTGAAAATCTTGATAAGGGTGCTATAGCATTTAGATTTTCTGTCACTTTCGTACAGGCCAAATGGTAAGAGTTATCGAAAAAATTCTTGTGCCATTGTGTTTAGTGGGTGAAAATCTCAAAGAATGGCCGAAAATATTTTTTTATTTTGCCACTTCCGGTCTCACCGGAAATGGCCGAAAAAGGGTTGGCTCTAAAGCGAATCTCGCTCTAGTTCACTTTAACTTGTTTTCAATTTCGTTCATTTATCTGTACTCCATTTAACTGTGGTAATTGTTTAAGTAAATATGTATTTAGCTATATGAATATAGTTAATTAAATATGTATTTGGCTATATGAATACAGCTAATAGCTAATATGAATATAGTTAATTAAATATGCATTTGGCTATATGAAAATATGAAAAATTTCAATCCTTTATCATACTATATAGAAGGAACTGTTAATTTCATTGCGAAAGACTGTTAGAAGTATCGTTAGTCGCATCTTCCCATGTCGGAATGATTATGAACGGGTACCTTATCCTCGGGGACGATGATGGTGTCTCGTACATCGATACGAATAATGTAGTCATGTATTGAATGCACACTTATGTAGAAAGCATCACACGTTTGTATGGCGGTCGTGGTATGTGGGTCAGGAAGCCGATGTTGCTAACAAGTGACTCGACACCGCTAGCTTTCGTCGCACCAAATTTCAGCCTCTACCAAATCTGGTCCTACGCGATTCGTCGTATTACCGTGATGCTGAAAGTGCCCTAAAAAAGCACTCGCTAACAGTGAGTCACCTACTTACTTCAGCGAACGTACATACGTCCGTACTTACTTACCCGCAACTTTGCTTTTGAATGTCAGTCACGTGCTCGAAATAAAAGTGTATCATACTTTGAAGTGTGTTAGCGTTCCAAAACGAAATTGGGGGCGAGTTCGTTGTATATCGATGTTTAATGGAATTACAAGATATTATCGAACGGTAAATTATTATACAGGGTGGTCCAATTGTCATTTAATTATTTGATATTAATCATTTTTCTATTTTGCTTTCTTAGACCAAACTCATTAGGACTTCTTTACAGAGCCCATTAATTGAAATTCTTTGAGATTGCAGTTTGAAGAATGAAATATTATTTGAACAATAATATTTTGCAAATGTTTCACGTGTTGAATGCCACTCACGTGGTTCGTGCATTACGTTTCTAATTGAATATCCAATCGCGACCTCTTCTCGAACAACTGACACGGAATGCACCGGGAAAACGAGACCTGGAGGTGACGAGGAACTCGGTTAGCCGCTACTTTTTGACAAAAGCTACTTAAACTTAAGAATCTTAACAAACGGTTTGTACAGTTCATTTTCATTAAACTTTGTATTCTGAATTGATATTTCAAAAAGTGCTCCCTTCCATTATTTTGAAATTCACTTTAATTTCAACGTTTCCCGCAGGTGTTGTATACAGAAAGGTGGAATGGAAGAAAGGTTCTTGATCGCGTTTAAGCAGGAAGAATCGGTAGGATGATCAGCGAACCGCGACACCCTAAACCGGACTGTCTACTCCTTGATGGTCAACCTTCCATATCTAAGTTAATTGTTGTTTCTGCTTCACGCCAACAATGAGATGCGTTCATACCTTCACCTCGGACACGTTGATTAACGTAGCCGTGAAATTTAATAGTTTGTAAGAAAGTGTTTCTGTTATTAACCCTGTAACGGCGGACCATGGAGAGAGGCCCAATTTTAATGTAATCATTCGAGTGTTGGTCACCATTGACCTCCATGGCATTCGATGTGTTAACGACTAGTTGTCATAGGGTAATTAGTATCAAAACGCAGAGTATCCTCCTGCCTAACTGATTCGATATTTATCCACCGATGGACAATTGTAATATTTCTTTACTGACACGACACGATGGCATTTCAGGAGAGTCCATGTCACCCTGGGTCCTCGCGATTCGTCGTATCAAAAGTTGGCCTGAATACCGAAGAGGCACGTAAAAGAAGTACTGAAGACGACGAGTCAGTCAGTCGCAGAAGTCAGCCTCGTTCTCGATGGCAACCAGCACGTCGGTTGTTAGCTGCCGAGGTAGAGGTGGTAGAGAAGAGCCTGGAAGTGGGGGAGCAGAACACCTGGACAACTTCCTGCCAGGGAGTAAGCACTTCAGTCTTCAGTAAAGATCGTTTCACTTTGGTCGAGCTTTGGATTTCGTGTACATCCGCAACGATAATACGAGCCTGGTACCATCGATAAAGAAGAAATTGCGTCACGTGTCTTTGAATGGTACCGGTATTTCAACGACGCCCTGGCGATCTTCCGGATTCAATCGCGAAATGACGCTCATCCGGCGGTGAATTTGAAAGACGAAGATCTCAGTGCCCCTTCTGTTGGATTAACGATACTTGCAGCGGTCGTGGTGTTGTTGAGAAGAAATCTTCCGCTAACTGTCATTGATCATTTTTGGACCTAAGAATCGTTGGAAAAGAGCAGCCTGCTGGGTCATGGAGAGAGTCACCGTGTGTCTTTTCATCATCGTTGCTTTGGCTGCACAAGGTTCGTTTTCTAGCGCTCTTTTTTTTTACAGTTAAGTAATGAAAAATTAATTAAACATCGTACAAGGCATTTTAGTTGATCTCCAGTCATGATTTATTCACATTTTAATTCATAACTTTGAATTAATTCCAAAGAAACATACTATAATATTTCACTTAGTTTGAACTTAATATGAGATTATGAATTAAAATACAAGTAAATCGTGATTGGAAGTAATTAAAACGCACTTGTAGAATTTATAATTCTATTTTCAAATCATTCATTCCCAGTAATCATAGTCTTTAGATACAATAAATTTATTTAATTCTTAATCTCATAGGCGGCTAAAGGTTTATGAAATCCATCGTTTAGCTATCTTAAAGAGAGTATCCGCTTTATGTTCGTGTTAAATAAGAAATTAACTAATTAAGGCCACAGAAAATTCACGGGATTCTTATGAAAGAATATATTTTTCTCATCAGATACAAATCTGCAGAGAACACAGCGGTAGGATTTTTATCTTGAGTTCGTGACTTTGCAGAATAAGATGTTTTAAGTCCAGTACTTTTCTTTGAATAAAAATTACAATATTAATTACTTATATTTTTACAAATAGTTTGTTTCTAACATCAACAGAGAAAAAAAGGTATTGGCACATCTTGCTATCTTGAAATTAATTTATTATTGTAACTGAAACAAATTAAGCAATTGCAATCTGATTACTATTGCTATAATATCAAACACCAAGGTGAAATATTATATAGAACTATAGAAACTTTTCCAGCGCATCTTTGTTCGATGAATAATTCTTCTTGTTGGTGAAACCGCGCATAAGTTTCTTAATCTTTATTTCCATCAATCTGGGAAGGGCAAATGATTCTTTAGCGTCGATTTCACTGGCACGAGGCTAGAAAACTCGTTTTCTCAATTTATAGCGTAGGCGCATCCGTGTACTGAAGCGTGGAAATCCATTTTCACGTTGGATCGTGGCAGAACGGTTCATCTTCTTGGCGTTCGCACACGAGTCGTTCTTAGCAGGAATAATTTCCGTTCATTTTCGTATTCCGGAATGCACTGGAACGTTCCTCGACATTTTCTTTTCACGAAGAGACAGTTATTCATGAATTACAGAAAGGATTTATATCATTTACTTTCGAACGGACTCGTGTTACAAGATCAGATCGTTTCATAAGGCGTTTCATTGTGCTCGATTAGAAAAATTGTCGCTGATCTCGAGATTAGAACGATCAACATTGTATGCGAGAAACGATTCATAAAAAAATGCTCTTTTCTACGTTGAACGATCGCAATCGGTTCTCATAGTAAAACGACAACTGCTCGTTATTTCTCACGTTTCATTGAGAGCCAACGTCTCTTCTGTTATGCAGTTTTCAACTACTACCTGAATACGATCTTCCCAACTAATTACATTCTTCCGTTTCTATCGTGACAAACTTCCCGTTTCTTCTGAGCCCTCTCATTTCTTTATCTTCCTTTCATCTTTTGTTCCCGCTCCTTCTTCGCAACAATTAATTGAATGATTATCCTCGGGTACTTAATTTCTATACGATGAATGCAAAGATTCTACCAGGATTCTTTTATTCTGCTACAATGACCGTTACTGATTAAAAGTATGAGAATAGAATTTTATTTTTTATTTATACAAATGATTAATCCGAGATTGGTTGCATCGGGCTTAATTAAATGACACAAAAATTTTGTGTTTAGAGCTTAATCAACAGGGCAGTTGTTAATATGCTTGGTACAAAATGGCTAAGCTTTTTTATCGTTTCAATCGGTTATCTTAAATGAAAAATTAAGTATAGAACAATTTCGCGTAATATTCATTCGTACACTAGTAGAATTAATTCTGGACACTTTTAAATTTTTACTTAAATTTCGCATTTATTCAAATTATTTAATATATAATCGTTTATATTTTATATTCTAATCATTGTTTTCTAATCTTAGGGCGTCGCTTATACAAAAAATCAGTAAAATAAAAATTACAATTACACATCAAAGGAGATAGATAAAAATTAATATTTCGTTGGATATCCTTTCATCCTGTGATTGGCGCAAAAACAGAAATAACAACACAGTTTAGATTTTTTTAAATTAAAATTTTCAAACATTTACAAACCAAATCGTGTGATAATATTAAGTATAAACATGATAGATTACAATGAAAATATTACGGTATCAATTTAGCACAGGAGAATACACATTTTCCGTAGAAATATGAATACTTTTATTCAAAGTGTCCAGAATTAATTCCACCAGTGTATTTCGTTACGACCTACTAACCGGTATCGTAGAAATCAGGAAGAGATCGGCAAACCGGTGGGATCTGTGAAATTATCGAAAGTGACTGACACGTTGGCAAACGGTGCAACGCATGTCAGTTTCTACCTTGAAAACAAAAGGTCGACGTGTTTAATTAGCTCGGCTCAGTTCCTAATTTCCCACAATTCCGTGAAATAACGGGAGACGACGGTGAACGAGGAAAAAGAAGGCGGAGCCCGACCTTCCTTTTCTCACCTACTTATGCCCTGGTTATCCACTTTTCTTCGGACGTGGGCGAATCGTCGAGACCACGTGTTCTCTTACATATATCCACTTAGAACATTAATAATCATCCTGTCATATTCTATATTTTTACCGATATTTCAACGGAAATACCGTAGGAAGAAAAGATGAGCCAACCATCGGAACTGAAAAGTGACATCCTGTTTGATCTTTTGGAAGGATCCAGACTTATTTGCCGAAATAAGAAACATAGTCAATATTAGAACAATAGAAAGTCTTTCACAATGGATGTTGTATGATGTAACAGAGAGGGATAATTAAAAATGGCACCGATGTTTTGCCATAATCTGTAGCCACCATAGAATTCACTTGTGTCTTAATATTAATCGAAATAATCGATGAAACTTTATTATTACTAAAAGATAACGGTTAAAATAGCGGTGACCTGATATTTGCACCAGAATAACTTTTACCCTTTCCATGCAATTTTAACTGTACATAGTCTACTGACCCACATGCAACGTGTTTTCTTATTCGCCTTGTAAAATTTGACAATCGATTCTAATAGGAATTACAAACAGAAAATGACATGTAAATACGGTAATCGAAGAGGTATTCTTAATTATAGTTTCAATGGAGGAAACTTTTATCTGAGAAATTATTTCCTTGATTTGATGACATAAAAGTGTGGTAAAATGGCACTTATCATGTATCAATTTGATAAAGGTTTCATCGAAATTCTTAATAATAGTGTATATTCTAAATAATTGGAGCGAATATCGCGCTTAAGCTTCCCAATTTTCTGCTAATTAATAACACCGGCAGGAAGAGTATACAAAGTGACTGATAAATATGTAAATCGCATAGTGCGAACCGTTACATAGTCATGGTTTCTGTGTCGACACTTGGAACCGTTTAGCCGGTTGTTAGTTAAGGAATGTCGTTTCGACGGTGATGTTAGTTAATTAGAAATATATCCTTTACCCTTACGCCGGGATAAATCATCGTTTAATTCAGGGATATTTATAGTTCTTCTCGTAAATCTCCGTTTCTTCTTTCGTAAGCACACCTTACGACTTCTTCTCTGTCATCTCCCATTGTCTTTCAAATGAATTCCGCGTGACAAAGACTGAAGAACGATGCATCGAATAATTGTGAATAATTTTCTTACTGAAACTTGCAAGAAACCGTTATCTAGAAATCTGAAGCTTATTCTTCTTCGGTCTTCTTTCATGCTTTCTATCATCGACATCCTGTAATAAACCTGAATACCAAACGTCTTCTGCAACGTAATCCATTTACTAAATAAATATAAAAATGAAGTTAACAATTTTCTTATTTAATTTAATCAGCGCCTAATTACCGGTGTTGATAGCTTAGAACAGTGGTTTTCAAACTTTTTTGTCTGGCGGAATACTGAAATAATTAAACAAACTTTATAACACCCCTATTATTATTTTTTGCTTTTTACAGTTAGTAAAGATACGAAGATTTAGCTTTTTACGTATAAACAATTCAAAATTTCGTGGCACCCTTGTGGCGTACTTGGGGCACCCTAGGGTGCCGCGGCACCCAGTTTGAGATGCACTGGCTTAGAATTATAGAAATAGATAACTCGAGGATCGTGTAGAAAGGTAACATTCGATACTTTCTTTTTTTTCTTTTTTTAATGCAAGTGCACCGATTCTTTGACTCACGAGTCTCGTAAGTGCAAACCATAGCTTTTATCTAGAGGCGATGAATAATCATGGCTAGTCTTCGAAGCGTCGAACGATAAATTTTCCCGCTCTTCGGCTCGGCCATGCGAGAACTGGAAAGGCCGTGAAAGAAATGGTAGAAATCGTTCGTTTTCTGCGTGCAGAACGAACAACAGTCCGCTACGCTATGGTCGGAATGCAAATCGCGTTAGAAAGCAACGATCCTCTCGATTACCAGAACCGTTCGACAATAGTGACGCGAAAAAAAAAGAAGAAGAAGAAGAAATTGTTACGCAAACGGATGAGTGAAATTTCAGTGGATTCTTAACTTCCCTCGAACGTTATTCGGCTTAACATGCACGATGTTGCACGCGTACACCGGCATAGCCGATGACTTCCTAGGTGATTGCGCGATAGCCGCAGGATGTGAGCTGCTTGCATTATCGTTTCCGTTACGGACTCGTAACCTTCTCCTGTGTATTATACCGGGGCACGGGTAGCCGCTGGTTGCTAAAGATTATTGATTTAATCGCTTGTTATGATTCAGATAAAATCTGCTCCGGGATTCGCAATCGTGTTATTTAGAGTGACGACAGGTGGTCATCAGCGTCATCGGTATACGAGCTATTGCAAAATTCATGGGATCCTAAATAAAAATTTCTTCATGATATTATTAGGTTGTATCGTGTCGAACAGCAGATATCCAGATATATTATAGAAAATGGTACAGCTAGTTAAGATGTTCAAAAGTGCCCTCAAACGAAATTCGATAGCTTATCAAGAAAAAGCAGTCTGTGCCAAGTTTCACCCCTGTGTCTCATCTGGAGGGTAGTAATGGACAAAAATTTAAAACACGTTTTGGTCAATTTCTCCTATATTTGTGCATAAAAAATTCTGTAAAAAATCAAAAGATTCCAAAAATTTTGAAAAATGAATTATTATTCCCAATTTGGGTGCACTTTTGACCATCTTAACCCTTTGACATAATTTGATGGTAACTTGTAAGCGTTTATGCAGTCATTTTTGCCAGACCTTGAGCTTCGAATCGATACACCATAAGTGTTGTTTTATAATGAAAAATGGCAATAAAAGTGTGAAAATACTTGTCTTATGAAGTAAAATTACAGGAAGGAAGTTTGGAATCAAGTTCGAGATCATATTCCAGCTCGATTCAATTTCATTCTCATCCCTATGTCGTGGTCAATTATCTTTTCCCTGGTTGATCATGATCGCGCCTCGATCTCTCACGACTAATTACAGGAATAATGCAACGTCTTGTTGCTCCCTTAGCAATCATTGTACGCGGTAGATTACGTTATTACGGCATCCGAGAGACATGCAACTCACGTCATCACGCACAAAATGCATTAAAGTGATTGCAAACCGGGACTCGTCGTGAATAACACAGCCTTCCTTAACCCGATCTAATCTTTTCTATTTCTCTGCACATATATTACCATTCTACCCGCGCAATCAAAATCGCCAATCGAATTACAATTGCCATTGCGACCTCGATTTTACTTCAAATATTTATCATTCTTTTTATCTAATAAAATTGTTCAGCACTGCGATGGAAATTAGGTGAAATAATATAAAAATAATAGAATGGCACCTGGAGGACCATTTATCGAATAGAGCACTGCGATGGAAATTAGGTGAAATAATATAAAAATAATAGAATGGCACCTGGAGGACCATTTATCGAATAGAGTACTGCGATGGAAATTAGATAAAATAATATAAAAATAATAGTATGGCACCTGGAAGACCATTTATCGAATAGAGCACTGTGATAGAAATTAGGTGAAATAATATAAAAATAATAGAATGGCACCTGGAAGACCATTTATCGAATAGAGCACTGTGATAGAAATTAGGTGAAATAATATAAAAATAATAGAATGGCACCTGGAAGACCATTTATCTCATAGAAGCGTCATAATGACGTACCATGACGATCAACGTCTTAAAAGATAAATATTAGCAATTATCTGACTTTTTTTATCCTGTTGCAGATTGCAATGGCGCTGGATGTGGTTACCCTGGGGCACCTGCGCACAGTAGTGTCCGATTCACCGGTACAAGCGCCGAGGATGTGATAGATGAGGAGGATGCCCTTCTTAAGGACACGGTACTCCCCGAGGGTACAGTGGCTACTTATTCCTGCGAACGGGGATTCGAACTCCTTGGTCCTGCGAGGAGACAATGCCAGGCGGATGGTTCCTGGACACCGGAAGGAGTACCCTTCTGCGGTGAGTTGCTTACCAGTGAATAAATTGACACTTGTTATAATTAGTACGTACAGTGATTGGTCTTCGTTTGAACAATGAAATTTTTGGAAGGCAAGTGACCTGATTCCAGGTGTCCTTGACCGAGCAGACCGACGACGGTAGAAGAAATATCAATCACTATAGTGGGGGAATTACACCGTTAACTCTGAACCTGTTACCTGTTAAGAACGCCCGCGGCCTTCCCAACCTGACGCACATTCCTGACATAGGTTGAACACCTCTTCTTCCATACGGATCAGATTTACTTCCCCTGTCGAGTTTACGCCTCCCTGCAATTCGCGCGGACAATCAAACACGTAAAATTGATAGCTTTATTTAGACGTTATCCGTCGATGCTTCTACACAGGAATTAGTCACCGGGGGTTGCAGAAGATTCCCGGGGTGAAATCTTCCTTAATTCGCCCTAATCGCTCTGTGAGAATTTAAGTTCCACTTGGTCTCCAGTATGACATTCGCTACCTAGTTGAAAGAAATAATGTGGAAGGGTTAAAATTAAGGGTGTGCGAGTACTCGAATTTCGAGTGAAACAAAGCCGAGTCGAGCGCTTGAATTTGCCGAATTACTCGAAATCGACGAATCGTTTGAAACAAAAGCGAGCTACTCGAAAAACTTCATCTTCAAGTAAATCGAAGTTTTACGACGGCTCGAATATTCGAGTAGCTCGCTTTTGTTTCAAACAGATCGTCGAACAATCGAAGCGAGTTCAGCTGGGCTTGTAAATTACTAGTACTCGCATTAGTCGCATTAGTCCCAGCTCGTCTGCGAGTATTCTCTGGGTTCGTCAACCGAGGCTTCAACTAGTCGGAGAGAAAACGTACCACTTTGATGATTTCAATCAACAGACCTGAACAACCAATGAAGCGATATTAAAATACGCGGCCGGTTACTTTAACTAGAGAAAGATACGAACGCTGTTCGAGGAAATTGGAGCGTGAAATTCTTGAAATTTAATTTATACCGAAAGTTAGCTTTATTTTGATAAATTACAACGATACTCTTAACTTTTACACTTTGATTATATATGAAAATAGAAAAGTTCGAAGGAAATTCTTCGGTGAAATTACTATCGTTCAGGGATGTCTGTAACAAAGTGAACAACAATCGTTATTCGGTGTTTTAATAAAGGTACATAGATGCAATTTTTTCAAATTATATTTATTATGCCAGAAAATTGTTGGTTACGATTAGTTTGCTACGGCCTCGTTTCATAGTAAATCAACAACCAGACGAATCTTAGCGCTAAATTACTCTGTTAATCTTTGAGTTGCAATTTCTTGTCATTTTCTACCAGCCAAGAAACGTTAGATTGCCACTTGTGCACCTGTCCGTGAATTTGACTTTTCAAAAACGAATTCCTCTTTCTTCTTTTATATTAATTAATAAATCGGTATCGATGTGCAACCTCCTGTGTTTCCAATAATAGCGCTATTGTTAGCGCAGTTTCATTACCAGCAATCGAGTCAAATGATGCCTTTGCACTGTGCAATTTTTACTGCAACTTTCACTCGTTTTCTTTCAATTTTTCCAACCGTAAATATCCTAATCATCGCCTGTATAGTTTTGGCGCATTGCGAACAATTACCATCCTCTATTCCTGAATTTTCTACTTTTACAAATCTTTCTCCCTTAACAAAACTATCGAACACTTTTTATTCTGGCAAATTTTACAGATGATCTTACGAATCCATAAATAATACACGTTACCACGACCTCGAAAGGTATATACCTTCGTTGACCCCAGAACAATTGAAACACGTAGAAACGAGACAAAGGATGCATTGTGTAGAGAACATTGGATAGAAGACACGTCTATTATACGTCTGCTGGTATATAATACAAATCATACGTTTCAAACTACCTTCGTAACCGTTAAACGATGAAATCCAACAAACGGAATAACGATAATTTTAATAAATCATTCGTTTAATCAACGATTTAAAATTAATTGAACGGTCCAACGGTGCAGTATTAGGTCACCTGTATTAGGTCACAGGAACAGCTGGTTAGATCGATCGATCCGTTAAGTCACTATCATTAGCGTTAATGGTCTAAGAAATCCTTCGAGCGAACGGAATGAATCAGCGGCGTCGATTGATAATGATCGATAAGGATTAGCCTTGATTCCCGTCGAGCTAAAGGGACGATCTCGTTTCTCGTTTCCGAGTCTTTACCGTGATCGAGGCAATGCCAGTTTAACGTCTATAAAATTCTCACGTTACGGTAAAGTAAAACTACCGCAAGGCCGGTAACTTCTTTGCGAATGTGCAGCCACCATTTGCCGGGTACGAAAGTTTGCGAGCGATGAGCAAGCATCTGCGTACCAGCCGGCTGTTCACCTGTGTAACGTACCACGTACTTGACCTTCTTTTTATGCAATGGGCCATGGAGATTTTCTCAGACCCACGAGGTTACGCTCGTTTTTCTGCCAATTGTTCGTTCGCCCTCGTAGAAACACGTCCGAGGCGACTGTCGCCTGAAATTACGAGCCTTATCATTCGTATTCTGAAGAAAAGAAAATGTCTCGCTCTATAACAGTCGTACTTGACCCTTTTATAGTTATTACAACGAGAATGGCAACGGAGATTGAGATTTTCTCAGAGCCCCGAGGATCTGTCCTTCAACGTCGACGAGCCAGTTTGCTGTGAACGATTGAAAATAATGCGGTATCTTGTCGCATTCATTGATGCGGTCGCAGGGAATGAATCAACATAGTGATTAGTCTTATTGATGCAATCTTGTCGTGGAAAATGATGCCAGCAGGGACTAAAACGCGAAGGATAATGAAAAATAGTACGAGGTACTCGAGGCTCTCTCCATGGTCCGCCGTCCGAAGGGTGATAATATTTGATTAAAGGAAATTTTCGAAATCACTTCTTACTCTGATTACTTTGTTAGCGGGTTTTTTGAAAATTTTCTTGCTCCCCACTCGAATCTTCCAAGATAATTTTTATTTTTTAGCGAACATTTACCCGCAGGGACAATTTATATGGGAGTCCTGGAGGTTGGAGCACACCCTCCCTGTCTCCCGACCTCATCGCAAAAAGAAATTAAGCAAATTTTCAAAATCATAGAATTCTATTGTTCTAAGAATCTTTATTTCACACTCGCGACTTATTTTCTCGATCAATGTTATAGCCAGTTCAGTTTGTATCACCAGTCGTCACACGACACTCTGTATAATGAAGTTTTGTACATCACGAGCACGTGTTGCAGTACCGTAATTTAGGCGGGACATTTTACAAATGCAGCGTCGAATGCAATGTACAACTATCATGCGACGGTTCATTCAAATATTTTCTCTTTTGTTCCAGTTTTAAATGTCGCTGGAGGTAAGGCGCCGATGCAGTCGAGCAGCACGGAAGGTGGAATTCCGCAAAGGGCTGTCGATGGTAGCAGCGGTCAAATTTACACCCCTCAAACTTGCACCCTCACCAGACCGGAGCACAGACCATGGTGGTACGTGAATTTACTCGAACCGTACATGGTGCAACTGGTTCGACTGGATTTTGGCAAACCATGCTGTGGTGAGTAAGATTATCCCAATTATAATTAGAACTAATTATAACTATTAATAGTGGATTAATTGAATAAGATGATATTGGATTTTTATTAAATATTCAACAATTTCATTTTATGCAATCTGCTAACCAATTGAATACTTCCTGTTACGAAAATGTTGCTGTTACCTGTAATTGTCTGTAATGATAGTTTATTGATAGAAAGCCAAGACATCGTGTCTTTTATTGAAATGAAAGTAGAAGTCTTGCATTTCATTGCATTGTGAGGTATAAGAAGGCTTATCTCTTTTTTTTAAAATAAAAAGTTGCAGTTTTCTAATAATTAAAAGTGCATTCAATGCAAAACAGAAAATCATTCTTTCCTCCTTTAAGTTTTCTTCTTTTCACCTATAAGCAATATCCAAATAATTAATTATTTCACCTGGAGATTCGATAAAGTCAAAATAATGTTTAAAAATGTTTCACTATGTAATTTATAACAGTTAGCCGGTACTTTCCAGAATACTTTCGAAGTGTGCCAATGCGACTGAAACGTAAAATAATGCCGTGTCTCTTAAATGTGCCGTAAAATTCGATCGTAAATTTGTGCACCGTTTTCTCGGTTCATCATTGATGGTAAGTATTGTTCGCACGCGAAAAGTTTTAGAAACTTTCTACGATGAAAGTGAGATCCTTTTCACTTTTGATAGTTAGAAAACGATGCAGCTATTTCGTGCTCTGCATAAAAAAAAAAAATCCATAATTTTCTGCACACCTCAGTCTACGATTAATGAAAACTTATAATTGTACAATTAGTAATATCGCGAAACGAAACATATATTATTCCATAAATTATATAATAAAATATGGAGGAAGTAATTTAATGTTCCAATGATTTGTTTAAGAATAAACCACTTAACGAGTGAATAATTGTAGTTTGAAAACCACGACTTGTATAACTTTGATCAAACAAAGAAAAATTTCTCATCTTTAGATAAAACGTCTGATAGTAACTTTAAACACGGTGTTTACAAGGAAATAGAAAAGTGAGAGTATCTTGTTATTCATGAAAGGAACTCGGTAATCTCTTCCTTGAAAAGCAATTTCCATTCTTTCACCGAAACAACGGTTCGCGCGTTAGAAACTTTGATCTTCTAACAGAATTATATTAATTTCGTTTTTAATTTGATCAGAAATTCATTGAAACGCTTACGAAACGAAGCAAAGTCAGTGTCGGACGCATCGTTAGAAACGAATTTCCTAATAACGCGAAATGATTCGCGAGATTTCTCTGTTCAGAGATGTTGGGATCTTTTTCTATTTTTTTTTCTTTTTTATGCAAACAAGAAATTGTTAGCATTTCAAATGCGATTACAAGGGACAAAACGTGGAAAGCATGTAATTGGAGTTCACGACTACAAACGCAGCGATGGTCGTCGTTCGTTCGGTCACACCTGAAATGTTTTCCAGGTCGGAAGATGTGGTACTCGCCGAGTACCGGATTATCTCAAATGATTTTATCTGTTCAAATGCTACCTTTGCAATCGCTAGCCGAGCAAGCATAACGATTTAAGCCCCTAGTGAAAGCGTGTTCGATTTTAAATTTCATTCTCCATTCTTCAATGATAGATTCTCCCCTTTTCTTCCTTTAGTAAGGAAGATACTTTTCTTTAGTCAAAAATTATTCCAAGGCTTAGATAAAAATATATGAAATGTTTGAATTTCTAAGGGTACGATTTACTAAATTATATTGATTATTTCTTTTTCTTCCAGGCGATGGTATATCTGGAACGATTGTAGTTCGTGTCGGCAACAATAGGCCCGACTTGGGAACGAATCCAATTTGCAATCGTTTCACCGGACCCCTCGAAGAAGGTCAACCTCTTTTCTTACCCTGCAATCCACCTATGCCTGGAGCTTTCGTTTCCGTACACTTGGAAGCGAACACGCCGACACCGATTCCGGTGCAGCTTTCTTTATGCGAAGCTTTCGTCTACACCGATCAAGTACAACGTTTTATTACTCTTTATAAAAGTTCGTTAATCGTCCGAATTTTTCTAAATTAACACGAGTCATTTTTATATCAGGCACTTCCGATCGAGAGATGCCCTCAGTTTCGTGACCAACCCCCAGGCTCGACGGCCACTTACAATGGAAAGTGTTACATATTTTACAATCGTCAACCGATGGTATTCAGAGAAGCTCTGGCGTTTTGTCGAGCCCGAGGCGGTACTTTGGTGGACGAAAGTAATCCAGCGTTGCAGGGATTCATATCGTGGGAACTTTGGAGGAGGCATAGGTACTCGTTTCGTTTCGATCGATTAATTTGAATAATGAAAAGTTTATCGTTCGCATTGATTGATCGTGTATTTTTAAAGGAGCGACACTTCGAGCCAATACTGGATGGGTGCGGTGAGGGATCAAAAAGATCGCACGGTTTGGAGATGGACAGGAAGCGGCGAAGAGGTTTCAGTTTCTTTCTGGAGTCTGCCTCAGGGCACCGAGGAAGACTGCGCTCGATACGATGGCAGCCGAGGTTGGCTTTGGTCCGATACCCCTTGCACGGCTCGATTAAATTTCATCTGCCAACACCGTGAGTATCGACTTTCAATCGTTACATCCGGAGTTTATGTTGTTGCGATCGCACGGTCTCCATCACCTTTCTTACTTTGTAAAAAGTCTTATAATCTTTGGTAAATTCTTAAATTGCTCGTAGAACCGCGAGCGTGTGGAAGGCCAGAGCAACCCCCAAATTCGACGATGACCGTAATTACAAGCACAGAACAAAATCCCGGAAGTGCATACGAAGTTGGAGCAACGGTAGAGTACACGTGTAGCGCTGGTAGCCTACTCATTGGCCCATCCACTCGTACTTGCCTCGATACTGGCTTTTACAACGAATTTCCGCCGGTCTGCAAGAGTAAGAAACAGCTATTTAATAAAAATAGATTGTTTTCTTTCTATACAGAGCCTGTTTAATGTTAACTGCCCGATTGTTTCAGGCATCGAATGCGGCTATCCAGCGAGTATAAAACACGGAGGGTATACGCTCATCAATAATACCGTTAGTTACTTGAGTCAGGTGCTTTATTCTTGCGAAGAAGGATACGAAATGACTGGTAAGAAGTTGTTCATACTCTACATATTCCTTTCTAAAGAAAGTAGGCTTCGTGTAACATAAACGTTTGACGAAGAAATATTTTTATTTAGCCGAAAATTTGATACGCAGAATAATTCATTCTTATTGAAGGCCGCGCAAGATTAACTTGCGACATTGATGAACGCTGGAACGGACCACCGCCCAGGTGCGAACCCATCCTGTGCGACCCGCCGACACCTGTTCCGCACAGTTACATTCAGATAGATGAAATTGACGAAAGTGAAACGATGCCAGCGAAGGCGAGCGTCAATCGAAGTCTTCTCGTGGGTAGTATCGTTACATACACCTGCGAGAAGGGATATAAACTGACTGGATTCAGACAGATACTCTGCTTACCCACTGGCTCATACGATCATGCAGCGCCTACTTGTACAGGTAAGTGATTCGAATTACCATAAAATATCAGTAGGGCTGACCCAAGGCCTAGGCAGACTAGGCGGGCGCCTAGGGCCCCCATAATGTTTACTTGAATGCAAATCTAAATGTGAAGGGGCCCTTTTTCGGAGCTCGCCTCGTACCCCCAAAATCTCAGGGCCGGCCCTGAATATCAGAGATATTATAATTACAATATATTGCCATTTGTTGTAAGTAGCAATATAATGCAGTGGGCTTCAAGTAGAATCACCATTGGCACAGAAAAACAATAATTTTCATTATTACATTGCAGAAGAGCCCCGAAACCCAGTGACTGTTCCTACCCGAATGACAGTCAGACCGACCACAGCTAGGACTCGTCATACATTTTTACCGCCAAGAGTTCGCACAACAATCGTCTCCACGACATCCACGACCACAACCATACCGGTACCTTCTCAAAAGGCTCCGAACACCGCCGAATTACCGGCAACGGTTAAAGAGACTATTGCAAGGAAGCCAAGCGTTGGACTTCAAAGGCCAGCTCCGTCTCCTTCTACCGGCATAAACGACGGCGGTAGCGATCATCCTCAGGATAACGAAATCTCTGGCAGCGGTGTGGATAATGCACAGGCTGGAATAGGTACCGGTGTCCCGGAACCATCGGGACCATTCAGAGTGGACAGCGGTGATCAACCGAGTAACACCCATCAAGCGAAATTAAATCTAGGCGCAGTGATCGCCCTGGGTGTCTTCGGTGGTTTTGTATTCCTTGCCGCTGTAATTACGACGGTCGTAATACTCATACGCAGGTAAAGACATATCATTAAAGTAATCGGGAAATTAAATGACAGCATAGTGTTGTCTATATTTTTATGAGTTCTACTGTGATTATACAATATCAAATATTGCTCTGGAGATAGTGTTTGTTCCCCTTTTTGTTGATATATCATTTTTCTTTATAAATTCTATTATTTGCAACTTTTATAACAGACACTATTTCTTGACCAGATGATACATATCTAGCTTTATACATATACAGTACATTTGCTCCTTGACTCTAAGTGTGTATACTGTATTGCTTTCTTTATACTTATTTCTCTATTCTTTCGTCTATCATCTTATCTTTTTTCCTAACTAATCGCGCGATTTCCTCTATTCAAATACTGTAATCTACCTATTTCGAATATTGTAAGTAGTGTAACAAAGTTTATTACACGAACAGTCTTCACAGAGGAAAATGTATAAAAGTCAACGTTCCTTACTTGAATTGTATTCATTGACGCTCAATTTATAAATGATATTAAAATATTCTATTTTGCTACGATATACAATAACGTTCTATGACTTACAATAACATTCTACTCTTCACAGCGAAAGCGTTGAAAGAAGTGACATGAAATACATTCTATGCGGAAAACTCTGATTAACCCTTTCATTGCTATCAATAACTTTCCTACCAATTATACAAGTCATGTAAAACAAATTCTGCAACGAAAGGGTTGAAGGCATTGGCGTAACTAGGATTTTTGTCGGGGGGTTCAGGCCTACTTCAGCCCCTGCCTAGATACGCCAATGGTTAATGGTACAAAATCGAATGTATGAAAGTGCAGGCAAAAAAAGAAAAAAAATTAAGTGTCGAGAGAAAAGAACACTGATCGAAGGAAATTGGAATGAGAAATTAACACTGAGCCCGTTTGCGTTGCGGTGGCTAGCGGCAGTGGCAGCGTCAGAGGACGGCGCCGCAGGGGGCTTGGTGGGGTTGGTGCGTTGAGGGGTGGCGGTAGTGGTGGCCTTGGAAGGGGTGATACCGGGATGCCCTCGCGTTGGTATACGCTACTGGCCCTGCCCTTCCCCGACCAGCACCTGGGGCGCCGCGATTTGACAGCTCGCCGTGGCACCGATCACCCTTACTCCTTTGGTCTCTCAGCGGCCCATCGCGCTGGTTATTTCTCCAATCCTTCTCTTTAGTTACAAACCAGACGATAAATCCTATATATATAGCCCACCACCATCGCCCTCACCCTCCACGCAACCATCGCCCGCCACTACATCAATCATCACCACCACAACCGCCATGCGCCACCCTCGCGAGTGAATACTAGTCAAGGTAAACGAGCAACGTTTATAATGTGCACAGATAGCGATAGCTCGTTCACCAGCTTACGAATCTCGAAGGCATCCTTCGAACGCACTCGGATCATGCACCTCCCTTAGTATCAGACGACTGTCCCTATGTACGCTCGCTCATTTGTATAGAATAATACACCGTCTCGCTTTTTATTAGAGGATGGAAACTTCGAGTAAAGTTCGCTGTCTCGTAGTCTTCTTTTGATTCGGTAGTTTATACATGCTGCACATAAGATTAGAAAAATTAATGAAGCACACCGTAAGATTCAGCATATAAATACGTAAATACAGGAATATAGATAATTGAATCCTGTAAGGATCCAATGGATTAAGTAAATTCAAGTTCTTTACCTTTGATACTTATCAAAAGTTCTAAGATATTTAAACATCTTATCTTTATTCCTTCTATCTTATATTCTTTCTGCTTTCCCTATTTTAAAATCTGCTTTGAATACATTCTGCTTGTTTGCCAAATAATCCATGCATTATCCAACATTTAACAAATGATACACTGCTTATTATATTCATTTTTCTCTGAAAGAATAAAATCAGTTACAGTTGCAGCTTAGAAGTAGAGCCTTTATGAGATACCTTGCATTAAGAAATCTGTTGAAATTCACGCAGAAATCATGGTAGAAGCAGCAAACACTATCGGCATCGTGCGTCCCCCGATTGCAATACCGTGGCTAGCTTTGGAAGCAGTTCCTTGGAGAGCCGAGGAGGTCTGAACCGTTATTATCGTCAAGCTTGGGAAAATCTACACGAGACGGCCGGTCACAAGGGCAACCATCCTCCTCTTCGTCGCAAGGAAACCCTGGATGAACCAGGATACCGAGAGAATTACCGTGGTAACAACACCGAAAGAGATGGCTCTGAATTAGTCGTCAGCGACGTAGCTACTTTTTCATCGAACAAGCATGCAAGCATTTCTGACAAGAAACGCCATCACCATCACCATCATCATCATCATGGTAACTCGACACCCGAATGGAGACAGTCTCAGTCTCAGTCTCATCACAGATATTGAACACCGAACGCATTAGGTAGGATCTTTTGTATTTGAGGTTTTTCAGTGAATCATTTACTGGATCACGAATAAACTTCCATCGTAACTTAAATAGTGCTTTCTATCAAAAGAAGCTCCTCGAATCAACACCATGGAAACAGGAGAAGAATATGGGTTTCTTCTATGCTCTTGGAATAGCACCTGGAAAGCACTGTTTTATCAGGTATTCTGTAATTAACAACATAAGAACATGTTCCTGTGTTTTGTCTTGATGCAGAATCATCGTTTCTTTTTTTGTTCAATCATATCAGCAATTACAACTGTACGTCAATACATTTTAAATGGACCTGAAAGTGGTGAGTGATTAAACGTTGCGTAGGAGAATTGATAAACGTGATTTAATAGATAAAAGATAGATCATCCTACATTTGTTGTTCTGTTATACAGTAAATTATTTACACGTACGTTAATACGTAATGTAAATACCGTATATTCCAATAGCGTAAGTAAGAGAAGGAAGTTGTGAATGTAGGAGGATCACAAGTTGATCGAAGAACATGCCAAAAAAATGAGAGAGTAATATATATATACGTATATAAATATATCTATATATAATTACTGATCAAACGATTTATAATATTTGTTTCTTTTTAAGTTATTGTAGTTCGTTTATAGTAATGCTCTCAACGTACAATATTCACGAAAATCACATGTTCGATAAGATTAAAAACTGTTATGGGCACCTTGGCCTCGCCTTATAAGGACATTGATCAAATTTCTCATAACATAATATTTTTAGGAGACACTATTAAGGACAGGCCGACGTTATCCATTTCAGAATCAAAATTGATTTAGTTATAATGCTCGACTTAAGATAATTTAAGGATATTCACATCAAATCTGTTTTCACAGAATCGAGTACATTAATGAAATATTTATATTTAGTATCATATTATTCACCTAAATATTTCTTTCCAAATTCGTCGAAATAAAATACATTAGTAAATAATCTGTACTTATTTGTTGACTGAATTAAGATGTTCATAATATATATTTATTTAATATCTCAATAATCTACAGAAAATTGTAATAGTGCCATTATGGGCAAATTTTTATAATGTATCTACACATACATTCTTGCTGTTTGAGGTGTACACAAAATGACAAATACTAGTATATTTTTAATACAAGTACTTTTAATAACTCGTTAAATACATATATCATTAGTTTTAGTCATGACAATGCACAAACTATTTGTAATAAAAATATTTATGCAATGTAATTCGTTCATGATGGTTCATTTAAAAAAAAAGACATTAAAAAAATGACTAAAATAAATTTACATTTTATAATATGTTTCATTAAAAAAATAACAGATTCATTATTTATTGAGCAGTCTTAAAGATATCACATTTAACCTTGAAGCCATTGATTAATTAATTTTCCAATCTTGACTCTGGCAGCTTTTAATTCAGGTGAATCATTTTTCGATGGCGGATACATGTTAGCGCAATGAGCAGTACCTGGAAATTATAACATTAAATGAATTTAATTCATTGAAAAACAATTAGATAAAATTTTAAACTATAAACATAGACTTACCGTTGATATAAATAGCCGGTGCTTGAGGATTCGATGACTTCGTGATTCCTAATACATGCCAAGGATCGACTGATCCATGTACAAATACGACGTTTGTAACTTTCAAATTTAACGCGCCGTATAAAATATTTGTTCGATTGACTGCCACTTTCAGCAAATGATTATTATATCTGTTAAAACACAAAATCCGATTATGTCATATGAACAATTAAACAAGTATTTTTGAATACTAATATATTTAAGTTACCTTGGTCCGAAAATATCGGTGCATTGTTGCACAAAGAAATCTACTGGAAAGGTCTCGCTAAATAAATTTGGTCGTGCGGTAGAAGTTTGGAAAAATCCAAACTCTGTACATGTTTGATACATCCATTGACGTTCTATAAAAAACATTCGAGTTAAGAAATGAAACATTTTAATGTTACTGAAGTACGTTACCTCCTTCTGCTTCTTCACTCGCCCAAGTTACATTTCGAAATTTATGGATCATTTTAGTATACATATAGTCTAAACATTTCTCTTTTGTAGCATTCAATATTTTATTACTTAAAACGGCGAGTCTGTCAATGGAAATGCCTAGCTTTTCATTTGTCAAAATATCACATGCTCTTTCAATGGTCATGTTAGCCATTGCAGAATTGTTGCGATTATCTTTATTGTACTGTACAATACCGGCAAAATTACTTGCTATCGTTTCGTATAAGTTGGAAATATCGTTACGTTTAGTGTGTCCAGGATCGATAGGATCACACAGGCTGTAAATAAAAAAAAAAACATTTTAAAGTAACAATACATGTATCTGCATTTAAGAAACACACGTTCAACGTACGCAAATTTTTTAGCTAATCCTTGCTGACCAACCGGATGTCGTAACATTATGTGAAATTGTTTATTTGCTTCTACTATTGCATTCACGCATGCTTCAGAATATTCTCTTAGAGCATTCTCAACAACAACGTAGTATTCTATAAATGATAGTTATTAATGTAAATAATTGTTATCTAGTAATAATTGTTGTACTTACCCTGAAAATCAATTTTAGCTAACAATGGCCCACTTGCAGATACAGCTCCATGTACTAAATGAGGATACTTTTCACGTAACCATGCAGCTAATGATCCAGAATATGATCCTCCAAAAGCAATCCATTTGGTATTATTTGGTAACTTATAGGCAGTGTTCATAGTCTGTACAAAGTAGGCTAAATCTGCAAGTGCTTGTTCAGATGTAAGATATACTAAATTCTTAACACTAAGATCCCTGCAAAAATATTACAACCATTAGTAATATTACACGAATAAATGGCTTAAGATTTGTTAGAGCTGTAAATTTTAAGAATATTATTACATACGCGGTAGGATGACTCTTTCCATAAAAGCGGTGTTCTACTTGAAAACATAATGCTCCAAATTCTTTGGCATATTCAATCCATTGACCTTCTACCATCCATTTAGCAGTGGCAGTACCTTCTCCACCTATCATTAGAAATACTGGACCTCCTTTTTTATAGTATTCCCCATTTACAAAATATCTCTGTAAAATATTAATTAGAAATATTGTTAATCTCAATATAACATATTTATCTGTTGCTAAATTACCTGTTGCCAAATACGTGCTTCAGTTGGATTAAAGTGATCCAAAAACTGTGTGAACCATTTTTCTTCTGGAAGTTCATAGTGTTTGGATAAAATTGGTTCACCTAAATTACCATGTTTGCTTCGACCCTTCATAAAAATTTGCCATGATGTACTAATATTTATGAGGCAAACGAAGAATAATAATAGCATAAGTCTATACATGTTGTAATAAAGTTAACTTATTAAAAGATATATATTCTGAAACAGAAAGAAGAATTAAATTAGATACATGGAAGTTTAAGAATTTATTAATTCTATTACATGAACATAAGTAGAATTGATAACAATAATACGAAAATATTTATAATGTATTTTTCCAGAAAGAAAATTATCTTTTTAAAATGATAAGATTAAAATATGATAGTAAAGCGGGACACAATGAAGAAAAATATGTTATTATATAATACTTTATAACTTTTTTATTAACAATCCTGTAATACAAGCATAAATACATTTTAACAAATATGTAAAAAGTTACCTATACATTATAAAGGACACAGTATGAAATGAACATGTGCTCTTAAACAATACATTAAGCTATCTGATAAATATTTATACTATACACTAATTAAAAGTGAAATAATAGAACAATTTGTTTTACCATTAAATTTTAATTGATGCTTGAAAATACATTACAAAATGCAAAAAACTTGTTCTACCATTATTACATTTAGAAATAATACTTACAGTGGAAATTGTAATTAATATATTAAATTCTTTCTTTATGAATAATCTAATCTCAATTGTTTATTTCGTAATTACAGTCAGTGACTACAGATGTAAAAGACTGGACATGCCTCTGTTTTCGAAGGGTCTTGACGTAGGGGGTCCCAGGCACCCCTAGATGAGATCATGGGGTGTCAGGGACCCCGATGTACCGATGGTGCTCTCTGCATACCGATCGAGTTTCAACTTGGGGCATCGGGGACCCCGAAGCACCACTGACTCTGCATACCGACATATCCTGGGGTGTCGAGGACCCCAAAGCACCACTGGCTCTGCATACCAACATATCGTCCTGGGGTGTCATGGACCCCGTTGAACTGGTGACGCTCTCTGGATACCGACCTGGTGTCATCCTGGGGTGTCTGGGACCCCGAAGCACCAGTGACTCTGCATATCGATATAACATCGTGGGGTGTCACGGACCCCATTGAACTGGTGACGCTCTTTGCATATCGACCTGGCTTCATCTTGGGGTGTCGGGGACCCCGAAGCACCAGTGACTCTGCATACCGATATATCATTCTGGGGTGTCATGGACCCCGCTGAACTGGTGACGCTCTCTGGATACCGACCTGGTGTCATCCTGGGGTGTCTGGGACCCCGAAGCACCAGTGAGTCTGCATATCGATATAACATCGTGGGGTGTCACGAACCCCATTGAACTGGTGACGCTCTCTGCATATCGACCTGGCTTCATCTTGGGGTGTCGGGGACCCCGAAGCACCAGTGACTCTGCATACCGATATATCATTCTGGGGTGTCATGGACCCCGTTGAACTGGTGACGCTCTCTGCATACCGACCTGGCTTCATCTTGGGGTGTCGGGGACCCCGAAGCACCAGTGACTCTGCATACTGACATATCATCCTGGGGTGTCATGGACCCCGTTGAACCGGTGACGCTCTCTGCATACCGACCTGATGGGGTGTCTGGAACCCCCCAAGCCACGTGTAGTCGAAAACAAAGTCGGTAAGTTGTCGTATAGTTTCCACCGTTTCTGTATAGATGGCGCTGCAACCTTGAAAGATATGAAACGAATGAATGTACAATGTACATACAATCAATTTGAATTTCTGCGATAAAAAGGAATAAACAAAATTGTTGAACCACGAAGTCAGACTGTGATAAATGCTATTAACGTGCACAGAACGAAAGAAAATAAGGTTTATTTAATATATAGAGAATGTAAAACTTTTTTTCAAAAGTGGTATATAAAAATGAACATTTTAAACATTTTCAATATAAGTTTATTTCTAAATTTGTTAAAAATCTTATTTTGTACATTACTCATGTCCCCTTATTAATCTTTATATCATAATACACAATCTTACAAATTCTTAAATAATAGATAACGGTAAAAGTAATGTAATAATATATTTTTTATCTTATTATTGATATTGAGCTAAATAAATATTTAATATAACAATGGTAAAGATCTTTCTCTTGTTTCCCGAATGGAATCAAACTGTTAATCTTAGAATATACTATAGTATCATATCAATACAACTTTACATTGATAAAGTTACACAAAATGTATATTATTATTCACAACATGTACATACATCTAAAAGTTGTTTGTTAGTTTTGCAGTAGTATATATATTAATGTAAATGAACCTATCGAATATAAAATTTGAATAAAACGTAAATAAAATAGTATATTGAATAAAATTGCAGATCTTTACAACCTTTTTCTTTGATTTCTTGGTATATAATTATAAGCTTTAATTTTTACAGCTTGTTTTTTATGAAAATATTAAATCAATGTTTAGTTATGTATCAGTGCACTTTTCAATATTTAATTCGAATATAGTTTTTCATTTTAATATATCTCTTTCCTTAAACCTTTCTCATGAAACAAATCTATATAAAAGTATACCCATTGCTGCTGCAGTTGCCCCTCCGATTAAACTCCATGTAAGTTTTGAGGTATTTTTTATCTGATATTTTCCTTTTGCATTTTTTGAAGAAACATTATTATTTTTTTCCTGTGTACCTAACATTTTACGATACAGATTCTTTTCATGTTGAGCATCTTTAGCATTCTTTTCTTTTAAAATAGCTAATTCTGTCTGAATAGCTTTTATTTCCGGCTCCAATCTTGCTGCTTGAAGTAAAGTTTGATACGCTAATGCATGTTCTCCCTTATAATGTAGAATTTTTCCTACAAAAATACGATGTATTTTAATATAAATGAAATTTATTATTCTAACATCTCTTGAATAATTTTACCTTTTCTAAACAAGGCTTTTACATTCTGTGGTTGACAACTCAAAACACTTTCTACACTTCTTAAAGCAGCATCATAAGCTTGCGTTTTCATTTGTGCAGCTGCTAAATTATTATACACTTTCATTCGATCCTCCAATAAACCTTGTAATTCTGCATCAGTAGTAGTGTCTTCTGCTTCATTTTGATAGGAAGTACGACTTTCTGTTGGTAATAAGAATTCTAATGCTCTTCGATAACATTGAATCGCAAGTGTCGGTTCGTTACGAGTGAACCACCAGTTCCCACGTTCTCGCTTTTTATTACTTAAAAAAAATATTAACATATAATTAATGATGCTTTTAAAAAGTAGTATTATAATATTATAAGTAGTTACCCAATTTCTTTTCTCTGATTAACGCTCAGAGTGTCCATTTCTTCTTCTAATTCAGTAGCTTCCAATTCAACTGTATATGAAATAGTAGCATCTGACGGAATGTTTGGTTCTTTTCCTAGCTGGCCATAAGCAAATCTTGGATGAACTTCAATTTCTGCTACTTCTTCTACATCCATGAGTGCAATTGCTAGGTCTAACCCCTGTAATTATAGAAAATAATATCAAAGTTATTGTTTCTATTGTATTAAATACTACAATCAATATATTGAAAAATTAACTAATACAATAAATAAAATCTGTGAGATGTAAATACTTATGTAAAGAAAAACTTGAAAATTTTTTTTATTTTGATATACAATACCTGAATTACTTCGACATCACCTAATTGAATTTTGAGATCTTCACATTCTTCAACTACTGTACCATCTTTCAACTTCCCAATGATTTTTAAAGTACAAATATCAGTGTTATTTGGTCGTATTCCACTTTTACCCTTCCTTATAATTTTTTTCTTTAGCTGTCCATTTCCTAAAATATCTATCCATTCTTCAACTGGTTGTTCATTTAACGCTGCTTTAGTCATTGGATCTTCTGGATTTATATCGAAATTTAACTCTTCTTTAATAAAATCAGCTTGATTTGTTTGAGACTGAACAGGTCCATCTTCCATCTTCAAAAGATTTTAAATAATAAATTTAAAACAAAATTTAAACATAATAGAATGCTAAGTAATTTGTAATTCAAAATACCGAATATGTCATATTTTTGTTTCAAATAGGAGTTGTCTATGTAATTATAAAAACCATTTAACAAGATTATAGATGAACTAAAATAAAAAATTTTGTGTGTTTGACATATTCACTACACATGTAATGAATATGCAATAGACAGCAGAAAAATGCACACTCATTTGATAATCGAAAAATTTGAAGTTAAACTATAATGTTATTGTTTCTTCTTAAATTATGACACAATCTATTCAGTACTTGTAAAATGATTTTCAGCAATCAATTCTTACCATGTTATTTTCAAATGTGTCCACAATCATTAGAAATGTGAAGAACTAACGTACTTATACAGTATTTCTATTTATTGTGAAACACGCCGACACTGGTTAGTTCTCTTTATTACTTGAAATAAGTATTACTATAGTATCGAAGACAATCGATAATCGAGTTTTTATCGAGGTTTCTCGCAATTAACGGTTACGTAAATGAGTTCAATTCATTCTTATTCGTTTGATTGTACTGTAATGAGTTTTTGGTCAAATGAATGTTTTAACTGCAATAAGATGTAACCAACCATTGGACTTCAGCTAAGTAACGTAAATTTTTTCTATATAGTAAAATTAAATAACACGATTATAATTTTTAATCTTTTTATTTGATAACGTCAACGCTTTTTCGTTTCATCCATTAAAAATCATTTTCTTAAAATTATATAAATACATTTTCATTACAAACTAATGTTTTCATTATAATAATATCTGAAAATTGTTATCAAGATATAGTCACATGCTGACGAATGAAAACTAAATATTTGATATCATAATGAAATAAAGATTAAGATAAAATACTTATAAAGATAAAAATTAAAAAAAAATTGTATGACACAATGGAAAGTAAATGTATAAATGTAACCAATCGTACAATCCCACATTTCTAATTTGTGCGCATGCGCAAGAGATCTATGTTCCGGCTATGTTCTATTAGAGTACAGTCGTTAAGAATCCTTTGTGTGGTTGATTTCAATTGAATTAGAATCGTTTTGTCACAATGAAGTCGCTTTTGTTAGTGTATTTTTTATTAATTGTTTATTGTTCAATCAGTAAGGCTGATGATAAAAAAGGTCCAAAAGTTACAGATAAGGTAAATAAATTGGCTACGCCGGTATCTAACAGTAACAGATGTATGAACAAAGAGTTTGTTTTTTATATTAAATAGATCGAAATAAAATATATTAAACATTATTTTCATAGAATATAAAATATAAAGAATAATTAAGGTTCCATAAGTTTATACAATTTTAAAGCAATAAATTAATTTTGTCTGTACAGGTATGGTTTGACATTAGCATAGATGGTAAACCAGAAGGCAGAGTTGAAATTGGACTTTTTGGAAAAACTGTACCAAAGACAGTTCAGAATTTCATAGAATTAGCTAAAAAACCTCAAGGAGATGGATATAAAGGTAGCAAGTTTCATAGAGTCATTCGTGAGTTTATGATTCAAGGAGGAGACTTTACAAAAGGAGATGGAACTGGAGGTTTGATTTTTAATTTCTTGGACATTATAATATAAATCCTCTATATAAATTAACATTTCTTAATTTTTATTTATTAGGACGTAGTATTTATGGAGCTAGATTTGAAGATGAAAACTTTAAATTGAAGCACTATGGTGCTGGATGGTTGTCTATGGCTAATGCTGGAAAGGACACTAATGGTTCTCAATTCTTCATTACTGTGAAACAAACTCCATGGCTTGATGGTAGACATGTTGTTTTTGGGAAAGTAATTAAAGGAATGGTATGTTGTATTGTCTAGATAGCCATCTATATCGAAATATTTATCCTGAATACTTATTTATAAATAACTTTGCAGGATATAATAAGAAAAATTGAAAATATCAGTACTGATACCCGAGATAGACCAACAAAAGATGTTACAATTGCTGACTGTGGTGCAGAAGTTGTAACAGAGCCTTTTAGTGTATCAAAAGATGATGCTACTGATTAAACATTATGTTCTCTTTCTTATGTTGAAAGCCAATCATATGATCATTACATATTAAATGAACAAATTCGTATACTTATAATTTTGTATGCATAAAATGCCATATTGAAAAGCTTGTATTCAAAATTGGTAATAGTTTTCTATGTAATTGCTCAACATATTGCTGCATACTACATTATAACATACATTTTAAATTACCTTAAATATGTCAAGTAATTAAATCCAATTACTTACAAAAATATAAAATAAAAATTTGCATATTTTAATTTCTGTTTTAGAGTATCAAAAAGTGATTCATGTATTTACAGGTAGAATTTTGATAAATATATAAAAAAGCAAATTAAACAAGCACAAAGTATACAAGATTGTATCTTACAATCTACTGCTAACTTAGATTAAGTTTTATAAACATGTATATGCATAATAAAATGTGCAATAATTTTATAAACCTATAATTGCATTTTTTAGCAAATAAAGCGTTTAAATAATATATCTTTTTCTCATTTACATCTATAATACAACTTATCAATATAAGAATCTTATATACATATAAAGCGCAAAGAGTATTATCGCTGTTGCGGGGTCCTTGGCACCCCTGATACCATAGTGTCAGAATACAAAGAGCGCCACCGATGCAACGGGGTCCTTAGTACCCCGAACGCCATGTCAGAGTACAAAGAGTGCCACCGGTGCTTCGGGGTCCCTGGCACCCCAAGACGATATCAGGTCGGTATGCAGAGAACGTCAAATGACTGACAATGAGTAATGGGTGTAGTCTTTGATATCGAAGCAATCTGCTATTACCATCAACGTACATTAGACTGTTACAGTGCGAAGTGTTTAATAGATGGCGCTCATTTTCAAGGGACCAAATCAAGACCCCTTAAAAAAACAATAGCATGTCCAATCTTGTTGGATCTGTAGTCAATGTTATTCGCATCATTCGTCATTCAATTGTTTCATACAATTTATTTACTTGGTTGTTAATAATTATTAAGAAAAAGTGGTGAAATTGAGGAAGAATGTTTAATATTTATGTGTGTATGTACAACGTAATAAATGATTACTGTATTAAATTACGCGCATAAAAGGAATAGAGGTACGCCATACTTATTTTGAGGAATTCACTCTATGCTTAATTTACGATAATGGAGAAACTACATTGGATGGTAAATAAATTGAAATATCTGCATTTATTGCAACCCTAATATTCAAAACAAACATTAAGTGTAATTAAGGTATTAAGTGAAAAACATATAATTATTGGAACTGGAGATAATCTGAATTTTGGCTGTATATATCAGTACATATTTTTATATACAAACAAATAATACATTGTGATTCAATTTTAACACGCATAATATGTGTATATTTGCTCTTGCTTAATGTTTATTATGCAAATATAATTCTGCAATGAAATTCTGTTATAAAATGGCGAAGAATGATGGTTTGAAGTCTGTTCATGCAAATACTGTTCAAGAAAATAAAAGGATATTATACGAATCTTGTCAAAAAAATCAGGTAAGTATTGTAAATCGTGAACGTAATACTTCGTATGTGAATAATAATATAACGTAATATAAATATTTCAGGTGGACATCAAAAGCAAAGAAGACTTTGAAAAGTTGTTTATGAAACTTAATTACATCTGTCAGATAAAGTCAATGAAGAAAGATGCACAATTAAGTTCCTGGTGTAATAAAAATGTAAGGTTACAATAATATCCTTTCTACAATCTACATATTTATATAAATAATATTTGATTGTAATATCTGTTTTAGGTTATAAATTACACATATGGACCCATCTCAGGATTCCCATCTGGTTCGTGGTGGGGTATTCGAATGGATTGTTCTAGAGACGGTGTTCATGTTCCTTTTGATGAAAATATTCAAAATGGACCATTTGGTGTTACTTCAATTTGTACTACAAGCATTAACTTAAACGAAGATGTAGATTTCGGTAATTACCTTACACTTACAGGGCAAAAGTACCTTAGTGGAAAATTAGACAAAGATCCGCTTGTTAAAAATTATGAAAATCAAATACCTGTAAGACTTATTAGAAGTTATAACTTATTAAATGAATTTGCACCGAAAACGGGTTGTAGATACGATGGTTTGTATATTGTGACAAAATTTTGGATAGGCGTGAATTCAGATTCTACAAAATATTACAAATTTGCTTTATTACGTTTAAGCAACCAAGAAGCACCATTGTGGAGTACTAAACAGTCCTTTTTAAATACAACTAAAGTTTCCTCTGTTCCTCAGTCCGCATCCGCGTGTCATCAACACTGCACAGAAAATTCTTCTCCCAACATGTATGAATTTAAAAAGTATTCACATAATACCGAAACCTTATGCGAGAAATCAAATATACTATCGCAGTTTTCAAATTTTGAAACTAAGAACATAGACGAAAAAGAAAAGGTTGTTTCTGAAAGTGCAATAGTAACTCGCCATGTGTTTAAAAAGGTAAACAGTAATACAGAATGTACACCAAATGTATCTAGTATGTCTACTGGTGTAACAAACAAATCATTAACTCATATTGGAAATCAAGGATCTAAAACTCATAATACAAATATTTCTATACGTACAGGATTATATAACTCCTCCCACAGTACACAGCATGACGTTAAGAAAAGTATTTCATTGCCATTCTGTAGAACATCTAAATCACTGAATATACTTAAAACTAATCAACACATGGAAAGTTGGAACTCGATGAACAAAGATACAAATAAACACTCAGATGGAAAGGCTCCGACAATTAGTTCAAATGAATTTCCTAAGCGTGTTAATTATGTTTCTATTAATACAGTGAAACCTGACTCAGAAAAAGCAAAATTAACCAAAAATACAAATCCAGAATCAGGTGCTAATGAAAACGATGAAAACGATTCTAAAGATCTCGGTAAAAATACCGTAAATCATTCTGATGTATCTACCGATACATTAAATTTGATGAATTGTGCGCACGGAAATGAAATTTCACCGCATCAAATTGTATCTAAAGAAGTACAAGATTTAAAGTCGCTTGAATCTCTTGATTCGTTAACACCAGATGAAATTCTTCATTTAATTACCGAGAAAGGTCATCCTTTATCAGAATTACTAATAGGTAATATGATAGGATTAACATCGGAGCAATCTATGGCAATCAAAACACAAAATTTAGTGAGAGCCCAGGCAGAAGTGAAAAATAAAATAGTAACGAGGAAAAACGTGAAAGAAATAAAAGGAAAGAAAAATTTTGAGACTACTTCTGATGATTTAATTGGATCAAGATGTTATAAATTCCGACGACGTAGGAAATTATCCCGAAAGATGATAAATAAATCGGAAACGAAAAAGCACAATAAAATACACAATGAAAAGTTACAAAAAAGTTCTTTGCAGCCTTTAAACGTCTTGGGGAAAAGTTTGACGTCTCTTCATACATATAATCATTCTCAAAAAAATAAAGCAGAGGAAGATATTTCGTGTTTAAATAAATGTAGCAACGATTTAAAAAGTACAACAATGAAACAGAACAATTTACAAAAGAAAAAATCAAATTCTTTACAGGAATCGACAAAAAGTATTAAGAAAAATGTTGAAAATAAGAAAGAAGCAAAAATACGTTTACAAACTATGAGATCAATTAAATCTTCAATTAAGAAACACATAAACAAGAAACAAAGGAGGGAAATTGCAAATTTATTGATAGATGCAAAAATTGGTCCTAAAATACGTGGTCCACGGAATAGAAGATTACGATCTATAAACAATACGTACGCGAAACAATCATTTGAACGCTTTGGCACAGCAATGTATGCTTTAAACAAGCGTCAAATTAGTTCAGAGCAATCTTCTTTCAAAAATAGAAATAAACTTACAAACATTAATGGCTGTAAACGTATTAAAAACAAGCAAACTGGAGATATTAAAAGATCAGAAACGGTAAACTTGAAACAAACCAAAATACAAAAGAATCTCGCTGTTTCAAAGAAAATAGATAAAGATCATGCTATAGAGGCAATTTTTAATAATAAAAGTAGTAATAACAACAATATTACTAGTACTGCTGTTACTGCTGCTGCTGCTATTAATAATAATAACAGTAAAAATAAAAATAATGAAACGTATAAAACTATAACAGATACAGACGTAACAATGATTAAAAATCGAAAAAGAAAATTGAACGAAATAGTTTCCATAGATTCAAAATGTAGTAAATATGAGGAGGTATTGCATAATCATTCTAAAAAAGAAATTTCAAAACCCTGTAAAGCAGATGCGATTACTCAGTGTTCTCTCATTAAAGATCCACTAACAAAGAATTTGAAATCAAACAGTTTTATTCAAAATAACGTCCGTAATGAGCAATACACTTTCATTAAAATAGAGTACGGCGAACTTAAAGATACGAAACCTGATGTATACGAAGTTATTAAGTTAGACGATAAGAATAAAGATCGTAACACACCTAAATCCGGCAAAAATTATGCGTCGTGTAAAGAAACTGTATGTAACATACAAAATTCTACGAATACAGATGTAACATTATTCGCTGATGATATATTAAATACAAAAGAGCGAAACAGATCTTCACCAGAAAGGATATCGGCATTTGTACCTGTTAACATTCCAGATAATGATCTAAAAATTGCTCGTTTAAGGTCAATAGGATTCAAACCAATAACTTGTAACAATAGCGAAGAAGATGTTAATAATCTAAACAAAGGAAACTGTTCTGTGATTTTAAATAACAAATTACTGAAACAAAATGTTACTGAGAAATACAATAAATACACAAGCGAAGAAAATAACGTTGTTGTGTATATGGATGATAATTTACAATATCAGGATATTGAAAATGAAGATAAAAATGGTTTATCTGTTAGATGCAAAGCATCAAGTTCGAAGAGTTATATAGTAAAGGATGAACAATTAAGTAGGATGACTTTGAAAAAAGAATCTTATAACAATTTGTTATTAGAACAAGACTTAGAATTACCATGGCATGGGTGGAAAAAAATTGTAACAAATAAAGATACATATTGGATTGGTTGGTAAAATTAATGTAACAGATCTTGTGCAGAATAAATTCATAAATACAGACGTGCGCGTACGCGTACATACCACGCATACACTCTGCCAAAATAAAGGCTGTTAATAAAATGCTAAATTATTTTTTCACTGATAGATGTAATATTTCAATGCATTAATGCGACTATAAATACTGCTTTTATAGGATAATGTTTGACTTTTTTTTTAAATTGAAATAATTCATATTTCAATCACTTTTGCTAATCTTATTGTGACATTTATTAAGTAGTTTACGAATAAAAATGTAAAACACAAATTGTTAATTATACCAAAATAGTGATTTACTTTTAAAATAACGAATTTTATTGTTACTTTATGGAGCAGAATAACATACGTTCTCCATAAATATAATTTATGTATACACAAATTATTCTGTTGTATAGAAAATAAAGTTTAATTATGATCGAGATTAAAATACGTTTTCATTTCTCGAAATGTTGAAGAAGATGCAAAGCGTAAAATGAACAACGTAGAACGCTAAATATTAAGTATTTGTACGTGGATAAGATGAATGCGCTGAGGAGAAATTCTTTACTTTTTTTGAATCATTACATTCTATTTTAACGATATATACATTCATTCTTTAATCTAGGACGCAAAGATCTTTGTGGCTCTTTTATATAGTTCTTGGACGTGTATAATAATTAGAAGTATCTGTCTCAGTGTATTTTATAAAATAAATATTTTTCATTGGCAAAATTACATTAATCTGATATAAATCAGAAATACTGATATATAAACATATGTAAGGTTCATTCATAATGTAAAAATATTATTGAACCACAGTAATGCAGCAAACCCATTTATGAGTATACATTATAGTAAAACATTAAGTACCTTACAGTGCCTTTCTTTTGAAAACATGAAATCATTTTTTTTAATTAAAACATATTTATCTTCTTACAATAGAACCACCTCTATAGGTAACAATGCCTTAATTATGTTCAGCATATTAAAATAAATATCTTCTATGCTATGTTTACATGATATAACATAATACACGTATTAACATGAATGCAACATTATGGAACTATTATAATGTGATGCATGATTTTACATCACATGATTTTGTTTATTTATCTGTCGTTTGTTCTGTGAGCGAGTTAAGTTCCTACCTAACGATGTACAATCATTTTAAGGATATACGTAATGTTTCTTTGAAATTAAATTCATAAAAGTGCAACATTAATGTACCGTTTTCTTCTTTTCTTTTTCTTTTTTTTTGTTTCTCTTCTCGCTTTTTGTACACAGTCCATGGTTTCTGTTTATTGGAATTCATCGTCACTGCTTAAAAGCATTGTTTTTTCGTTATAATTTTGAGAAATTGTAGCAACACGTTGATGAGATGTGTGTCGTCTTTGGGGTGGTGGTATCGGCATGTTCTGTGGATCATCCGGATCGAAGCTGGATATCCGCATACCACGTTGTCCTTTGGGAGCTCCTGATTGTTACATTATATCACGTATTATCGTTGATAAAATCAACAATTATTGATAGATCGATCAACCAGCAGACACCGAAAAACCATGCTTATATTTTGCTCTTTTATTCAAAGCAATATTATTAATTGTACTGCTTACAGGCTATGTACAATTTCATATGTAGTCTCATAAAATTTTTATATACACAGTATAATCTACAACTGTTTTATTGTTTTTTCCACATTAATACAATAATAGTATATGTAACGCAATCATTTTTATTGAACTTGCAATTCATGCGTGTTATGAAAATAATAATTTCACGCTATCGAAATTCATGAAAATTTTTAAAAATATATGTGAAAAAAAAAACAAAAAGACAGTGCAATATTAACATGCTAAATTAAGTATGAATTCGTAATATTTACATGCTTTTTTTTAGATATAAAAGCATTACAAAATAATAATAATAGAACATTCTTTAAAAGTAAAATAATACACAATTACAATACTGCCACAGAATAGTAATCAATTATTATTTGTCTTTTGCATTTATTAGAAAGCAGAAGGTTTTATGAAATTACACTTTATCCTCAGTGCTTCTATGTTAAGTACTTAATTTCTATCCTATAGTAGATTTTGTTAATTGCAAAATGAACGAATTATAGGCTTATGTATGTATATTGATTTTACTCTAAACCTTAAATCATAATTTGAGCAGAGAACACTTTGCCCACCCTGCAATTTAACTTGAACTTAAACTATCAGGTGTATAATAATGGTTTTAATAAACTACAATACTAAGAATTTGTCATTTTCCGTTTAAAATTAATATAAATGTTTGATGTCCAATTTCTTGAAATTAAAAATCGATGCCATGCATTCTCATAGTTTTTCATACGGCAAGTTGGTATTAACGTCTGAAAAACAATAAAAAAGAAAGTGCCTTCAAAGAATTTTATTTCCAGTGGCACATGTTTATTAAACTTATGATAGGAATGATTAATTTTTCATTTTTCAAAGAGTTTCTTTGACATTAATTCAATTGCAAAAGATAAATATAAATGAATTTATACTATTTTATTTTTGCAGTAATTGGCAGTAAAGTATATTAAAAAATGGGAATATAGTAAAATGCTTATTTACTATATAAAAAGCCAAAATCCAGTAATTAAAACAATGTAATCATCAGAGTTATATTCACGTATTACTTTAAATTCCAATTAACAGTTTTTAATGCTTCTTAAACATTAAATTATTTCTTTTGCTTCCCTTAATAGATATTTAAGAGATACAGTAACATTAAATAAGAAATACATATGAACAATGAAACATGAATGGATCTAAATTTTTATCATTTACTACAACATGCTATATGAAAATGTATTAATGAGATAAAATAAGTAAAGAGTTTTTAACACAATAATACTTTTTTTAAACGAAAAAGAAAATTAAATCATACATACCAGAACTGTATTGAGTGTACTGTTGATACTGTGGGTGAAAATTATGGATGGCATCAGTCATTATATCCTTTGGATTCATAGTTTCCTATGTATAAATTAGATTAATTACTTTTAGTTTTTATAAATTGAATTAGTTTAATTTTTATAATTATTTAAAAATGATTATAATATACCTTTAAACTGCTACTAATGCTTTGCATTGTTACACTTCTCCCTCTTGAATCAGTAACACAACCAGCTGAATATACTTGATAAGGAAATGCATAACGCAAAGCTATAGCAGCAAATAACATTTCAATACAAATTAAAAAGTTTTGATAACCAGCAGAAACTGTCCCGGCACTGGTTGTTTGGCCTACATTTATTGGAGAAATTACGTTTGCTTTTTCAAGAATAGCCAATAACACTCCTGAAATAAAATAAAATTAATTTAAATTTATTTAACGCGTATGAAAGACATTTAAATTAAATATTACCTTGCCAAAATGAGAGAAAAATAACGCTCTTAATAGTACAAAACTTCAAAACAGGTTCAAATGGCGTTAGTAAGTCTCTTGTGGCAAAATAGAAAAGAAAGAGTCCATAGAGGGCAAGAGATACACTGATATTATAAATTATGGTCACATAAATATAGCCTCCATTCAGGGACCAATCTCCATCTCTATAATGTCCAAATGCTTGAAGGAATATAATAATAAATGCCATTACTGGTTTTACTAGACAAAATTGCAAAGTAGCTTGCTTGCAAAATCTAAGAAAACCGATTGTATATGTTTTTCCAACTAGGCAACAAGTTCCGTATAAGCAATTGGAACGAATAGGTTTGCCACGTATTTCAGACATTATGTTTCCTTCACCACCCAGGTACTCATAGCATAGAGACAAAAAGTTATATATAACAAATGCTTCATAACAGTCTCTCACAGTGAAGAAGTAAACGTAATAACTTTCGCTGTTAAAAAATACTAGAGAGACCCAAGAATAAGTTGCATAAATTGGAACTATAAATAGAATTCTGACTATCCATCTTTGCTCCGCTGGATTGGTATACCACCTTAAATGTTGATAAATCTATAAAAGAAAAATTGAAATCCAAATGATGTTTTGTAATTATATCCAGATAAACATACATGTTTGAAAAATTCATTATGAAATACCTGTTGACAAGTTAAGAATAATGCAAGCCAAACAAATACACCAGCAATACCTTGGGCAGCTCGTGTCTGTAAGAATATTGGAGCTGTTTCCTTCTCAGACATCACAGATGTCATATTGTTCACAATTGTAGCTGATTCCATTGCCACTGTACTACTCATATTTTAATCTAAGAAAAATTAGCGTTGCAAATAATAATAATTTCGTATAACGGTAGGAAAAGAAAGGTAATTGTAGACGTTAAAAGAGTTCATTTTAATCACAGTCTCAAAGGAAAAGAAGCGATAAGGACCATCTATTCGTAATACAGAATAAATGTCGAAATTATAGCTCGCGCGTTAAAAATCAATATACACAACAATAACAACGGTACTCCATTCGTGCGCAAAATTTCGTCTCGTGGACGCACCCGTGCTCCATTCGTAGAATTCTTGGAACAATTATTGTAGCATACGTGCAATCTCTTCGAACTATCTCGTTGTACGTGTTCTCCTTTTTCCTTGGTATCTTGTGTGTTTGTGTTGACCTGTATGATCGAGCTCCTTAAAGGTTCCCCTTTCCACTTTCAATTAAACAGCTACCAATGCAGCGATTAACAATGCTCGTGACCTTCCGAAAGATAATCCGAATAATTCACTAAATTCTCTTCCCTTTGCTGTATATTCTTTTTCAGCATGGATCACCGAGTGTCACTTTTACTCAACATTTTCTAAGATTTCTCATTCGAACTTCTTCGATGTCACATACGTCCGTTCGGTAACAGCTTTGCGAAATATGCTGTTAGTCGACAATAAAAATATAACTGGTCTTGCCACTACGCAATATATATTTCTTCCTTGCACACGTAAATCTTTCCTTTGGTTTTCTTTCTTCGCTCTTTCTTCACACACGATCTCTTTTTCCCTTCTCCTTTACGCTAAATCCCCTCCATAATTCTGTTTAATTAACGTTACAGACGCATGCGCCTACGCATAATCATCTTTAGCGATAAATCATTCATCGAAGTGAACAACGTTCATGATTTTTGTGTTTGACAACTATTTTATGAGACCGTATTTGTATAATGTGCATACTTAAGTATATACCCATATTTGAGTGTACTTGGAATCATGAATAGAATTACCCTTATTGTGCTATGAACTTTATATGATCAAAGTTGTATTCACATTCAGGACATTTGTCCCTTTCTCTTGACAATTGTTTAGAGTTTAGGTACAATGTCTCTAACAACGTGTTAATTTGTCAAGATTGTTGATTACGTGAACAAAAGGTTGACAAATCATGATCAAAAATTGATATGAACCATACACCAGCATTTAAATAAAGTGTCGATACATCTCAGGTCAGTCTTTTGTATGACAAGTCTATACATCAAATTATAAAAATGGCTCTTGTTTATATCGAAGACAACGATCCTTGGTAAATATAATGAATTTTAGTTTTGTTCATGCACCTTTTAAAAATGTTGCTTAAAAATTCTTATTAAGCTGATTTTTCAAATTATTTTTCCAGGTTAACAGAATACAATGCCTGCGAAAAGCTATTTAGAGAGATCATGGAACAGTTTACTGAACGTAATAAACATTTAAAAGTTTCTCAAAAATATGCAAGTATATCTGTAAATATACGGATTCATCTGAAACAATACAGCAGAGAAGTTCAGCAACTCAAAAATAAAATAGATGATGCATTACGATCTAAAACTATGTATCCTTTTGTTTGTTAATCAAATATGAAACCTGTTATTGTTTTGATAAAAAGCTTTTCCCTTAAAATACAAAGATATATAGAACTGTTGAGGAAGCAGAAAGAAGAATACGTCAAATAGAAATATTGGAAAGTAGAGATGTACAGTTGCAAAAGTTACATGATGTGCGTACAAACGATTTTGCGTCTTCTAGACTAAACTTACTTGCATCAGGTGTATCAGCTTTTGCAGATGGAGGTACCACTTCTTGGGCAGCCGATGATGATGATGATGATGATGATGATAAGCCTCTAGATACACAGATATCCGTCTCTGATCTTATGACTAGTCAAGATAGAATTTTGCAGGGTACAACATGCTAGTACTCTTTATTATTTCCTCATGCTTCAACATTTTTTATTATTGATTTTACTGTTTTTGTCATAGAGCAAGATAAAGGTTTAGAAGAATTATGTAAAGTTATTTCAAGGCAAAAGGAGATTGGTCACACTATCAGCAATGAAGTAGATCATCAGAATGGTAAATTAGAATATTCTTAATAAATTAAGAAATATAAAAAATATTCTTCTCATAACCTTTCTATTTATGTACAGAAATAATAGACAGTTTAGCTGATCATATGGATAGAACAGATGAATCCCTGATTAACAAAACGCGTCAAGTACAGACTATTAGTTTTAAGGATCGTACGTGCGGCTATTGGATAGTAATAATTTTTCTTTTTATTTGTATTATTACAGTCTCTTTGATTCCGTAAGTATTCATAATATTAATTGCATTATACATACACGTACTCATACACGTGTATGTATACAAGTCGATTCCATTACCTGTTAAGTTTTAATGTATACTTGATGTCACGAGAGTCCATAACTAAGCGCGTAAGTTGGAAGATGGTGGGGGAAAGCGATCCGCCAATCGCTTTCCACTTCCGCTGGAAGTATCGCCAATCAGAGCGACAATGCGCAGAAAAGAACAAAAACTGGTCGTTTCGCAGTTATGGACTCTCGTGACATCAAGTACTCACATATGTTAGTTATAAATATTTTTGTATGTAAAACAACATTTTATAGACTAATGTATAAAAATTATGTTGTACATCAAAATTTTTCTTTCGATCTTTTAACTATTTAATAATTTAAACTTTACATTCTTACGAATTACGAATGGTAATTGTACTGTAACTATAGAGAGTAATAAAACAAATTAAAATAAATAATTTACATTTATATTTGAAATGCAATACATCTTAATATTAAAAGAAAGTTAATATTTTTTTTATTCAAAACAATAAAGAACTTTTCAACTTCCGAAAGAGTTCTTGATTATCACGAAATTACTGAACCATGTATCGAGGTGTAAATGAACTTTTACAGTAAAAAATTAAATTGTTCATTATTCCTTTTTATATAAATTATATTTCATTGCTCCTGAAATTATTTCGCATTTGTTCGTATTGTTTCATCTGTATTTTCTAACATACCCGCTTTTACATCCAAGCCAAGACTTTTCAAAAGCGCTTTTGGACTAGGATCTCTTCCTCTAAATTTTCTGAAAACTTCATTCGCAGAATAACTACTGCCGACAGCTAAATACGTTTCGCGAAATCTACTGCCAATTTCCTGTAATAACTCCTTATTACTTGAAGGTATATTGTGGAAAGCACTATATAAATCAGCCGCAATCATTTTTGACCAAACAAAACTAAAAACAGAAAATGATAAAAGTTTAAAGATTTCATGATATTTTAGGTCTCTAAATGTATTTGAATATCTATTTTACTAAATTTTACCCGTAATAAGAAGCTGCAAGATCTCCACTAAAAATACAGTCAAAAGAGCAGATATGACAGTCTCTTTTATGTTGTGGAATTACAAAGTACTTATTCCATATTTTATTCATTATATCATTCCAGAATTTGCTTCTGAAAATTTTAGAAGAAATTACTTCAAGTTATTGTTCACAGATGTATGTGATATTTTATCTTACCCAGAATATAATTCCAAATCAAATCGTGATAAATACAGATCTTTACATAGATTATAACCAGCTAAATGCGTTTTTTTTATTTTCACTGTTTCAATCGCATCGGCAGGTAACGGTTCTCCTGTATGTTGATGACCAGAAATTTGTTGTAAAACAAAAGGTTCATATAACCTAATGATAGAAAAAAGTTATATCATTATGTATATAAAACGACCATATAAGGTGTCCGGCTACGGAGGGGCATTCTTTGAAGGGGTGGTAGACGAACATCCTGTATATAAAAAATAAGCAATCATTTCAAATATACCAGTTTTCAAAGAAATAATCAGAAATAAACATTGCATCCCACTCCATAAATGAATGTCCAGCTACTTCAGCATATTCCACTGTTGTTAATATATGTTGTAACATGTGTCCAACCTAAATGATACAACATAATATAAGGATATAAATACAATACCGACTACTATTTTTCTATGTATGAAATTTACCTTTTGAAATAGAGTCCGCAGATCTTTGAATGAAAGTAAAGAAGGTTTCTCACCGAGTGATGGTGTAAAATTAAATATTAACGCAGCTAATGGTTTTACATCACTTATTTTACTCCTATTTTGTAATGTTACCATGTAACCTGTCTCTTCTGACATTCGAACTTTTTCGTCTTCTCTTGCATATGGATCTAAATAAAAACTACCTACTGGATTACTACTGGATTCTTTCAAATCAAAAACATGAAAAAATCGGACATCTTTGTGCCAAACGTCTGGTTTTTTGCCTTCAACGATCTTTACATTAAATAACATTTCAATCAGTTCAAATAGCCCAGATAATACTTTCGGTAAAGGAAAATAATTTTTTAAATCTTCTTCCTTGAATCTGAAAACAGTTTTAACGTTAAATAGTGTTATGCGTATAGTTTTATAACAGCAATAAAATTCATGTCTTAATTACTTGCATATACTCTGCAACTGTTTTCTGCTCCAAAATGCTATGTCCCAGAGTTTAAGTTTACCTTCTAGACCTCTTTCATTTGCAAATGTATTTAGTTCTTTAATTTCATATTTTTGAGCAGGATAAGCTTTTGCAGGAAAAATCTAAGTATTATTTATTTACAACTTATTAATAAATGTTGGTAAAAATTTTACCTGTGGTCAGTAAATTGTCTAACACATGGTGAACATTTTCCACATTAGCAGCCATTTTAGTTTCCATACTCATATCAGCATATGTTTTGTATCCTAATAATTTTGCCTGCTCGTTTCTTTTGAAACGAATTTCTTCAATTTTTGTACTCGTTTGTAATGCTTTATCACCAAATACAGATCCTGTACTAACATCTGTTTCCCAAATTCTCCATCTCAAACCACGATCAGGGCAATATTCTAATTAGTATACAATAGAAAAAGATAACAATTAGTTTCAGAACTACCGATAGAAAATTTTCGTTTTTTGGAATACATTTATTATACTTTTATACCCATAAATGGTTTCAAGACAGCAGGATATAAAGTTAGCGTCCAAGGACCAAGTTTATACTGTGAAGAATTTGGTACCATATATTTTAATACCTCTTCTGGAAAATCTTCCACCAATCTGGGGTCTCTTATTGTGTATCTAAATTGATTTACAGCTATCTATAAAAATTTCAAAGTTAAAATTAATAACTATTTAATTTATATACAATTACAAACCTGTAGTCTTCCTGCATATTCATTAATCTCCTTAGATACTAATGTCATCAATGCTGATAATTTTTCTTTCTCTTTTTCAGATAATTCTAGTCCATTTAGTTTCCCCTCTAATATGAATTTCTCTAAAATTCTTCTTTGTTCATTTGTCAATTTAATTTCTTGGTTATTGATAACACTTTTACATGCTTCATAAATTGGTTTGCTAACATATTTATTGGCTAAAGCATTCCTAGCACGATTATTAATACTTATATAATATTGTGTAGGCATTTTACTTTGATTTCCTACATATAAGACTTTTGCAATACCCCATGTGCTGCTTAATGATGTACTCATTTCTTCTATAGGATTTATTATATTTTTGAACAGATTGTCTGGAGAAACATTATCAATATCTAAAATGTAATTTTACTAATTATAAATGTTTGAAACAATTAATATGCATTAAAAAATTATGATATGAATTAAAGTGAAATTACTTTCTATCTCTTTCCCTAAAGTTTTAATTGATTCTTCAAATTCTAATGCTTGCTTTCCCATTGCAGCTACACATTTTTCTATTGTAACAGTATTGAATTCTGGGCTTTTATCTTCTTTTAACAATGGATATTTTCCTGGTAAATCTTCACCAATTTCTGGAACACTTAAATTAAATATTATGAGACTCAAAGATAATTATCAACATGTAATATTAATTAATGATATTCTCATTAAGTACTTATGTATGTATATGTGTATTAAAAAAAAAATACATAATCTACATTTTGAATATAGAGATTCCAATATACCTACAGTACTAAATAACCATTGCGTTTTGGAATTTTTAATAAATTGTTTGGCGATAAAATAATTCTCTTCCCATAGAGTGGGATTACTTTAGTATTTTTTAAAAACATCATGTTTTTACTTTTTTAATTGCATCTTTAACCAAAGTCAGATTTTTTGTTATTACGACTTTATTCACCTCTTTCGCTCTTTTAATTATAGCTAAAATTGAGCCATGAGTTACATTGTATGGTTAAAGTTTATAAACTTAATTTCATTTTTATCAATCTTAGGGAGGCTTTCAACAATATTTAAACATGTAATAATTTTTTAAACAGATATTACGGGAAAGAATTTTGTATCGGGAGATTAATAATGACACAAAGGAGTATTATAAAGTTTAATAAGACATGAGCTTTTTGTTATTTATTTATTAAATGACAAGTTTATGATACATTGTGATGGCGCCACCATAAGCGCCATCAAAGCTTAGGAAGAAGTTAGTCTTACTGTCTTAGTAGATATATTTCGAGGTAATCACAATTAGGTGGAAAAGTTGCGCATATTCTTACTGCATAGATAGTGAGATACTAATTTTTAGGTAGGTGATAAAGGTACAAATTGCTTTTAAAATTAAAATTGTTTTTACCAAAAGTTTTATTGTTCTGTCATAATCATCATTACAAATCAATATTTACAGCAATGTCGGGAAAACTAAGGAAAAGTAATATCAGGTGGGAGAGTTCGACGGAGGAAGATGATACGTACGAACCAAAATATAAGATAAGACTGAGAGAGTCATTAAGGAATACTCAACAATCTGCCACAACCGAGAATGACATTGTTATGGAACCACGAAAGCGGGGCCGAGGACCTTCCAAGAGGCCTTGCCTTAATAGAAATGCTTTGATGGCTCGAGAAAATAGACTGAGGAAGAAAGCGTATTTAGAAAAGATAGAAAATAAACTTTCGTTTTATCAGAAGGAGAACAAAAATCTGGTTAACATTATAAAGAAACAAAGTATAGATATTAAACGGTTGAATGGCGAAGTTGCTTATTTGAAGAGTGTGTTGAATAATAACACTAGCATTACAGCATTGCTCAAAACTATCAACGATGGTCTTCGTAAAATTAATGCACAAAAAAAGAATTCATTCCTACCAAACCATATTTCTGAATGTTCAAATGAAGCAGATACGCAACATAAGTGTACACGTTACACAAATATCAAGGAAAATATATTAAACTCTCAGAGTACTAACATATTTATTACAAATGTCAATAACGATACATTAGCAGAACATAGTACAACTGAAAATGAAAACAATGAGCCTTATATGAATCTCAGGAGACAATATACATGTAAGGTTACCAACATTGGCAAAATCTCTTCATCCTTTTTAGATTTTGATCATACTTATACTATTTCCAAAAATCCTACAGTTAACACCAAGAACAACTCACAGAATATGGAAACTTTTAATGCAATAACTTCAAGTACAAGTCCAATATCAGAAGATGGTTATATAGATAATGTAAAAGACTTGGATAGTTTGTTACCGATTCCACAAACAGATTTATCCACTGTAGAAGAGAAAAAGGATACCGATACCATTGGGATTGACTTTGATCAATTGTCCACGTTCAATATGGATATATTTGAGGATTTACCTAAATGTGACGAGATCATGAATACAGTGGACAGTTTAAATGATACCTCTAATCTTTTCACCGAAGAGGAAATATCCCAAACTCTGGACAACACTGGAATCTGTCTTCATGTCAATTCAGATAAAGTATCATTAGAGTTTTGTTCCATTTGTCATTTAAATAGCAAAAACTCGGGATCAAATTGAAGGGGGAATTGATCGTTACTTTTATAAATTTACTCAATGACGAGGTACTCGTAAAAGACGCCAAACCAAAGATACTGGACGTATTTGTCGATCAGTGGAATATAAATAATTAACGAAAGTAATATATTACTTTTGTATTTTTCTATGGATTTTATCTATATTATGAAAAATTATTTCAAACGCAATAGTAGATGTACCCATATTTTCAGGCCTCTCAGGAAGATGTATATCAGCGATTAAGTCGAGGTGTTGAGGAAACACGATAGAATTATTTTTCATATGGAACGAAAGTTGCGTTAATAGTATACATATTTATATACATGTTTATAGATATATACATTAGTGTATACATATTACATAATATACAAATATATGTATACTTATATGTGTATATGTACACACATATACATATGCATATATGTGTATATATTTTATAAATAATAAATTTTTTTATGAAGATAAATTTTTTAGAAATTATAACTAGTAATGTGTAGAGGTATAAAGTAATTTTAGCACAAGTTGCATCGTTGCTATTTTTCAAAGATACTATATAATAAACGATTTTTTTTTTTTTTTTTTTTTTTTTTTTTTTAAATAAAAAAGCATTTATTACGTCGGATTTGAATAGTTTTACCAAGTTTCTTGTTATTTGTATGTGATATAAAGTGGTACCACTTCTTTTCTCTGAGACTGTAATCTTTACTTTTTACAGGATAGTACCATGTTGCCATTGAAGTTTGCTAGGAAGGATCAAACAAAAAGGTGGGCGTTGCGTTGGTTTCATTTTGTGATTTCTAATTCTAAATTCACATGTAAATATAAAATTATTACATACAGATATATTGGTATTATATAAATTGCGATTCGTTTGTTTTATCTAGTCGAAGTCTGGCATGCCTGACACGCTGTGTTTAATGCTGTAACGTAGTATTTTGGAGCGATTGCAATTAGTTCTTGTTGGAAGCGTAAGTGGAATCACGATCATCCCCCTTCTTTTATATTCGATATATAATGTTATAAGCAGGTTGAGTATAAATGTATAGATATTTCTAAAAGTGACTAGAAACTATTTAAATACAATGTTTGAGTTCTCAATGATTGAATTTTCAGCTACATCCCGAAGATGCTCCTGCCAATACGGAACATTCCATCCACTGATCGAATATTGTAGTAATTGAAACTCAAATCAGGAAGTTGAATAGTACATGAAACATAGTCGCATCAGACAGTATTAGTTAAAAGCGGTCTTGGAATGCCAGAAATATTTTTTTTCTCAATTATTTAAAATATTTTTCTTCAGTATTCACATTTCAAAGAGTTGAAGTCTGTTTCTACAGTTTTCAGGGGAAAAGAAGTGTAACGATTTTATTATAATGATATATTCTTGTTTTAATACATACACTATTTTTGTATATTTTTGTTATAAATTATTTTAATATATAGTAGCATTAGGTAAAGACTATGTGAATAAAAATTATGTACCACTTTGTTGATTTGAGTATTTTGTAACGTCTTATTAAAATTGTAAACAATTTTGTATAAAAATTTGTTGTGAAACAATGTTAGAAATATAATTTTTATACAAAAAAGGAAGATAATATACGTTGTAATTACAAAATTGCACATTTATAACATTTAATATGTTGTAAGAAATTAAAAATAAATATCTGGTTGTAATTTGCTACGAGATACTCGGAAATACTTCAATAGCATGACCGTATTTAATTTTTAACATGATTTAATAATTAATATTTTCTTTGCTTTTACATTTTACATAATAAAATATTTAACTTTGTACAAAGAATTCTTACTCACAAACATAAATATTATTTTAGTTAAAGAAAGGCATAATTAATGTAAATAATTTCTCAAATTCCAAGGCGACTAAAAACATCCGGTTTCTTGACATGAGCTACCGTCGCGACCCTATCAAATGTTACTTGTTTAGCACCATTTGTTTTCATCGCTCCTAAACGTGCCTTTGCCGGTATAGAAGTTAATCGCTCTGAGGCTGAAAAAATTATATGAAAGTTGACAAAAAAAGATTACAAATCCATAAAATTGTAACATTGATACTGAACTATGTACCTAATTTTCCAGAAACAACATTAGATGTAATTGCTCTTGTACCATTTGAGGATGCATTGTTAAAAGAAATCCTTTTAGTTGTTTTTACTAATTGTGCAACGTTATTTGACATACTTTTTTTACTTGCTTCTTGATCAGCTCGCATCGTTCCTACATTTTTTGGTATGATTTTGTTTGTTGTAATAATTGAAGTTCTTGTGTTGGTTTTTAATATTCCTGTACCGGTTGTACCATTTTTCAATATTCCTGTCTGGGTTACATTATCCTTTTTAGCATCTTTATCTCCTAGTCGGTTAAAAACACTTACAGATCTTTTAAAGACATCTTTTCCTAGCCCGGTTATGTTAAACGTCGGTGACGTTTCGCCTGGATTTGTAGTGCTAGTTACAGAACTATCACCCAACCTATCAAATACAGTTCGTTTTTGTTCTATAGACTTTTTTAAAATTTGTTGACTTCGAGGTGTTGTTCCTTTTGGAAGTATCACAGTGTATTCTACAGCATCATCTTTATTATCCAGAGACTTTACCTTCTTAGCTGTTTCATTCCATTTATGTTCATTGTTATCAAATTCATCTTCATCTTCATCTTCTAATTTTCTTTTAAGAATCGTTTGTTTCTTTTGATTATTAAGATTTGTAATTATTTCAGCTGATACAGATGCTGGTTTCTTAACGGATGTGGGTTTTTTAATCGAAGTACTGGGAACTTTCAGGATCTTTTTTGTAGTTACAGTATCAGGTTTAATTTTAGAAGTCACTGCTTTTGTAGATGCTTTAGACACAACCTTTTTAACCATCGGTTTAGGTATTCCAAGGGTATCTTCAGTATCAACAAGGAATTTTTCACAGGTTGTTTCTTCAACAACCTTTTTTGCATACCTTAAAATAGCAATCATATCTCCCATTAGCGTTATTCCCATTTCTTTGAGGCTAGGTTTATCTAAATCTGGCAACATGTCTGGTTTAATACGATTATTAGAAAATACAACTGCATGTTTTGTGGCTACATCTTGAGGAAATCCTGCACCTTTAAAAAATTTCACCCAATATGCTATAATAAAAACAGGAAACTGTCAATTAACAAAAGTGTAGATATAAGAACAAAACATTGGTTAGATTATAAAAAATTTAAAGTACCTGATAGTGATGATGCCATTTTACCGGTAATGTTATCCCTGATACTTTGCAGCAATTTATAATCAGTTTTATGCAATAAATATTAATTATTCAGAATAAAATTGATAAAATCGGTCCACATAGTTTACAAAGGTTATTGCTAAGAGTAAAACTTTGCTAGTAGAATAAGGAGGTATCTCTGACAGCAAACAAATGATATTATTGTAGACATATAAATTGCAAGAAACGTTTAATTATATTATTCAAAAAAGTTCACAGAATATAATTAAAAGACGATAATAAACATAGGTAGTTTATTTCTTGAAACTTTAAAGTTATTCATGCGCATTTCATCCACATCTATATGTACACAATGTATATAAATACATAAGTGTAATTAGAATGACAAAATGAAAGTATAGACTACAGTCGCGTCTAGCGACATCATTGACAAAGATTCAAACTAATTCTACCGTTGACACTTATCGCTTATATTCAAATACATAAATAAATTAAAATTAACATGAAATTTTACCATTCTTGCCTCAGCACTGAATAGAATGCTTCAATTAAAACCGATGAATTTTATCATCGATCCTTGTTATGTATTATTAAACAGTAATTGATTAAATTAATAGAATATTGTATTACAAAGATGTTAATCAACGTATAAGTTTCGCGATACTAGAAAAATATTTATTCACGTTTTAAATTAAGGATAAAAAATATACTTAAGGCGAATGAAAGATAATAAAAAAAACTGAAATTTTGTCGATGGAATTGTCGCCATTCTAGATATAAAACGTTTATGCCCGAATGTCCGTGAAGTCTCGGAGGAATGGAGTTACCCTCGTTGTTTTGGGAATTTCACACGGATTACCGTACTATTTTTATCGTGTGTGGGTGAATCGGGTGTCTTAGTTGCCTTTGATACTATTTTTGATATTTTCGTATTCTCCGAGCAGCTTGCTGGGCGAGATATCTGCTTGAAAGAAGAACGGAGGTTAGTTTCGTCAGATGTATCGGGGTACATTACTTATCCATGCAATCGAACATTATGTTGTTCGAAATACATAAATGTTTGGAATATTTATCGAGCTACAAAAGTTCTAATGGAATCATTTCGTTTGTTCGTAACAAACTGTTTTGGTTGAAATGAGATTTTCATATATTTTACGATCTACTAACGAATCCGTTAGCACTTACAGGACAAAGTAAAAAACTAAGTATATGCAATCTTCTTTAATTTAACTTGGAATTTACATACATAGATTAAGCTTATACAGGTGTACAGTTTGATTTGTTTTCCTTGTTTATTTCGTGTATGGTAATATGCGATAAGGGGCATAAAGAGTTTAAACATCACGGGTTGTTTATATCGGTGAAAAAAAAATGATTCAATACAATAACGCTAGTTTGACTAATTTCAATCGATTCGATCTCTCCATTCGCGCCATTCTCGCGCATGCATAGTCGAAATAGTTGAACACGATCGTCACAGTTCGCGGGGGTTAGACGCGGAAGCTGTTGCATGGGAACGGGATCTTTAGACGTGCGATGGGGTGTCGGGTAAACGGTACGGACGGTATTAGGGAACGGCGAGAGTGAGCAAACTCGCGGAGTTTGTGTATCAGAGAGTTAGAGCGAGAGAAATCGCGCGGGCACCGGGGCAAGGGGGCGAGCGAGCGAGCGAGCAAGCGAGTGAGGGAGAGAGCGTGGGAGGGGAGGCTCGTGCGCCGGCGAGCAAATCGTGTGTCAGACTCGTGGCAGAGGGGTCAGCGCGAGAGAAAGAACGACACGAACCGAACGTTTTCTGGATTTAGCGGGTACGTTTTCATATTACAAAACGTACGCCTTTTTTCATTCTCTTTTCTCTATTTTCCATAATATTTCACGTACTTTCAATTCCTACTAACCATTTTTATTCCCTCCCACAGTTCCCTTCTTTTCCTTCATTTATTTTCCTTATTTACCGTTGATGCCAGAGTAGATCAGTATGGTTTTTTATTGGTGACGAGATAAGTGGAAAGAAAATTACGAATGTATCGCCGCTCGATTACGATCGAGAGATCGTTTTTTAGAGTATATATAGCCAAGTGCCTGGCTGATATTATTCGTGTTCGAGCTTACACATCTGTACACGAGTGACAGAAATTATTTCCGTTTAAAGGAACGTGAGATATCCGTGGAAGGATGAACGACATGGAAGCTTACGGGGACGGATACATGGAGCCGGAAGAGGAGTGGGAAAGGGAAGGTCTATTGGACCCGGCTTGGGAGAAACAACAGAAAAAGGTGAGCTTTTCATTCGTTTCAACGCTATTCTCAAATGATCCTTTTTTTTCCTGTCACAAATGAGAACTATGCATTCTATTTTGTCATATATATTCTATATAGGTATAACGTTACAGGCTGAGCTGCGAGCTGGTTGCATTTTATACAGCTTCAATTTGCCACACGTACCTTACACATATGATAACCGTTATTTGTTGCATCGAGCTGGTCGACAAACGAACGAGATTATTACCGATTTCAACCACGTTAAATGTTACTAATTTTTCGTCCAAGACATGGAGTTTGTCCAGTTGATATTTCAATCGTTGCACATAACCTCCTCGTCGAGCGCGATGCGATTTTCGAATCAGCCGAACATAGTGACGTTACGAATGCAACGATGCATCGTATATACAAGGAGCCGTGCCGTAACCGCAAGGAAAAGCATTAACGGCGTTTCGTGTCGTTTCGTCCAGGCGAACGCCTTCCGCAGGCAACCCGTGATACACCGTTTTAAGGAGAAACACGGTAATCTAGCTGTTATCGATCCTACGTCGCGTTTCAAAGTCTACGCTTCGATGTTACGTTCGAATCGTGTTCCGATTACCGCCTTATTGTCAGTTTCGTTGCTTAGGAGCTTTCGTTTCCAACGAAGGGTGCTGTTACGACCCGATCGGTAGCGAGAACCGATAATCATGGCGAGAAGAATCGAGCGGTGGGAGATGCGAGAGGGAGGAAAATTAATGCGGTGTCAATTGATAAAGTGGAGCAACTTCAAGTACGCGTTGAAAACGATTTTCTTTATTTTTGGCAGGGACTCAAGGCTCTCGCGACTCCGCGACTCGGTTACACACGTCGCGGCTCGGGAGCCCTTCAAATTGTATTTTCAGACTTTATGACAAAAATAATCGAGCATTGAGTCATTCCAGAGTACCGTGATCCCGTCGATGTTACTCGATCTACGAACAATCGGTCTCTAGCGACACGCCTGATAAAATTTATAGTATCGATAAGCAATTCATTGGCGTTTAAAATTATAATTTATTGTATCGCCTGTAGAACTTTAAAGATAGAGCGATTTTGGATGCGAAAATAATGTTCATTCGGTACGACATCGTTCTCACGTTTCGCGTTTCGTTTCGTTCGTCTTATTCTGTTTTCTCTCTTCTTACCTTTCTATTGGCATTGCTCGATGTTTCTCTTTGCTTCTCTTATCGAGCAGCCAATGTAAAACGCGGTAGATTACGAGTACACCTGATAATGTCGAACTCGCGTTCTAATAACTCGTACCGGCTAGCTTCGAATTGATAGAATTCGACCCTGAATACAGGAGCGCGTGCTTTGTCTTTTCCGTCTTTGTCGACGAGGAAACTCGGAAATATTTTCTAGGGTGCAGAAATCGGAGTTATAGTTATGTAAAAGAAGTATTCCTATATTTCTTGTTTGCGCGGAAGTTAGAAAGATCGGATGGATGATAAGGTATACGGAAAACGAAGCTGGCCGGTTAGCTCGTACGGGACAGTTAACTGTACAATTTCTCGTAAAATCTCGGTCGCTTGGTCGGCTTTCGAAGCGCGCACGAAACGGCGCCGTGGCGATAGGTATTTCTTTCGTTAGCTTCGAAAGGATAGTTGGCGGGAAAACGCGTGCCAGGGGCTAAGCTTTCGTTCCTTTCGCGATTATCCATGGCCACTAATTTCGTAATTAGCGTAATTAGGAAAAAGAAAAGATTTCGAATAACTTTCACGAATAACTTTAATTTTATTTATACCCGTCGAGTTATGGATATTCGAGCGGTTTCCACGTTGTTCGCGAAGCGGAATATCGTAGGAATGCAGAGCGTATGTGTGTGTACCGCGAAGAATTTGTCGAAGGTTACATTATAGTTAAACTACAGCTTATCTAAACGTTATCGCTAGTCGGTCGCACTAAGTAGGTGCGGTGACGTTGGAGTCGATTCTAGTTACGTCTTGTCGGCCAGCAAGATTCGCAGACGTCGATGTACTTACACTTTCCTCGACGGTTTTCGTACGCATCTCGCAGCCGACGTTATCGTATAAATAGACGATATATATAGGATAACGCGTACCCGGTGGAAAGTCGCAAGTGGCAAGTCGCGTCGATCATAGGGAGGTCGGGGTGGTCCCGCCGGGCGCCTTGCGCCATTCCGTATCCTCCTCCGATCAAGAGTCTGCTTCCACAACCTTAACCGGCCGCTTAACCTTTCACGATATCACCTTACTCGCGCGCTATTGTACATAGATTTTTCGCCGTCTCGCGGGCTTTGGTCTCGTTTCGCGTCTTCTTCTCGCGAGACTCTTCTTCTGTTCAGGATCGCGTCGAGCCTCGCGGACGTGCCCCGACAGTCGGATCGCGCGTTTTTCGCGATGGATATACATTTTATTCGCAAGTCACCCGATCGTCGTGGCCGGTTACCGGGTTCAAGTTCACCGGAAATCGGATGTACCGATACATTATAGGAGATCGATGCATTACGGACACGAATTCGATTTCTCCGTCGAGCCGCGAACAGAGAAGATCGTTAACCTTTGAGGAGTTTAGGCTGTGCGCCAGATCTTAGATTGGAATCGGGTGACCCACACACAGACACCGCTATGCCTCTATCCACTAAGCCGATTGTTATGCGATGATAAGTTCACGGTACGCGCGAACGCGTCCCCGCCGTCTGTTTATTGAGATTACGGCTCGTTAAAATGCAACCGACACACCCCACGCGATTCCACTATTTTCAGACTACTATTATATTTGCTTTCAAACGCCGCCAGCTCGCACGCCCCCGCACGATAATTACACGGAATATCCTATCCGCGTAACCGCACGGCAACGACGCTTTCTTGAATGAATTTTCAGCATTTCCGTCCGCTCCGTTGATACTACCGGCCGCAAATAGCCCCTCGACCATCGTCTTTTCCATTACGTACCATCCTCCAGATTTATTTTCGGCCGGTTACTCTTGAACAGCGTAACGAAAACGATGCTAGAATAACAATCTTTTCTCTCTTCCTCTTCTATCTTCTATGATTGTTGGCGAAAAAATTGTCTAGCAGGAATTTCATAAGAGATACCGCGAAAGACACGCGTCCCGCAAGTGGGAGACAAATCGCAACGAGTAGAGTCAGCCTTCGTGAAAGGTGCAAACGTTGTTTTATTAGACGCAACCGGTACCGGTACCGTATCCGCGCTATCGTCACCTGCCTAAGGTGCTTCGAAACACCTGCCTACCTTTACCCTTCGATCTTTTTCGGCCGATGTCTCTGGGTTAACAGAGACCCGTTGTATACCGACTCTTCTCCTTTCTCGACAGTCGCTTTTCTCTGAAATATCTTCTAACTACATAAACCAGCTTCTCTGTCACGTGCTCGGCTAAAGGAACTTGCCAATTTCTTTCCTTCCCTCCATTTTGACCTTAAGATAAGTTACATAGATTTTAGGGAAATAGCAAAGGTCATTCGCTAGACAAGAAACACGGAAGGATCCGCTATGGCGCGAAAGAAAAATTACTTATTCCTCAATGTTTTCACTTTTGTTCCCAAGGAAAATCTTTCACGAGCGATGCCTAATTATCGTCGTCGCGACGAATCGTTTTACCAAGTGTACGGATAGAAACATTGTCGGCGAGACGGGATGAAAAAGAGAAGCGAAGAGATGAGAGGAGAAGAAAATTCAATGCCAGACTTTAAGAATAGACATAATTTGCAAACTGGTTCGGGCGTGTACGCGAGATATTTAGAATTTGGGTTACGTGAATTATGTGCATCGTATTTAGGCCGTTTCGTTGCATCTTTAACTGCATTTATTTTTAGCGTGGTCGCGTTAAAGTTTGCGGTAAAAATTGTTTACCGCGGTTGATCGACGCTGACGCACCGGTGACGGAGGGGTAATTCGTTCACCTGCGCGATCGCGAAATGATCGCGATCTCGATCGACGATCGCAAATAGAAATCGTTTGTTTATATTGTCTCGTTAACTCATCGCCACGTGTCGCGCATTCCTTTTAGCTTTATAAAAGTATGCTAATGAGTCACGAATGTAAGTAAAGAGCCTCGGAGGCTCGTAATACGGTTGTTATTCCATGCAACTTTAAACCGTTTGTTTACATAACAGGATTTCTTTTTTTTTTTTCTTTTTCTTTTTTTCAAAGTTACACATTTTACGTAAGCTTTACTTTTGCCCGGTTTCGTATCGCAGCTTTGCTGAGAAGCGAAAGAATTAGCGATGAGAAAAGAAAAAATAATCGTTCGACATTCGTTTTCGATCGTTACGATCCTATAAAAAAGTCTATCCTGAACTGCTGTTTTCGAAATAGAATTCGGTTGATCGCGAGAAATGCGATCGCGGCTCGGTTCTCTTTTATCAGCAAATTAATCCGAGCCTGTTGCCATTTTCATGCCGTTCGATGATTCTTTTTTTAAGCCTTTGATTCGACGTTTCTTAGTTTCTCAAATCGTTCGGAATAATTTCTTGCGTTTACCATCACCGGTGCATCGGTGGTGCATCGAGGGTGCAACATTTTCCAAGCTTGAACGGGGGGTATTCTTATCGGGAAGATAAAGAAACGAAATTCGACGATGGGAGAGGAATAAATTTCAGGACACGGGTGAATTAATGTCCTGGTCGAAAGTGAAATGGATCAGAATGTTTTCGAAATGCTTAGGCGCTCAGCGCGGGAGGAGTCAATGTTTTACAAATAGATCTTAGGAGCGCTCGTAGAAGTTAAGGTGGCTCATGTCCAATTTTGGCCGGTCGCGCTTCACGCTACCCGTATTAAATTTCACACAATATTTTTCTCTCTTTCCCCTACCTGCGTTTTGCATTTCAACAAAAAATTACCTATCACCGATGTTGCAATTTCTTCTTTTTTACAGCCGTGTTGCAACTAAACGGGGATTAATTCCCGCGATTTACGTAATTATTTTCTCGATGACTTTCTTTAAAAAGAAAGAAAGAAAAGAAGGGAAAGAAATCGTCGCTGACATTGCAATTTATTTCATCTTCTCTCTGGTGCCTGCCTTTACAAAAAAAACTCTCCATAATTGATTTTATAATTTTTCTTTTTATTTTCGCAATTCATTTTCTTCTACGTTTCGAGAAAAAAGAAAATTAATTTATTAATTTTTCTATTGCCGACGTGCTTGATTTCGAGCGATGGTGTTGATTTTCGACGGTAGTGTTTGGCCGCGGAGTTGAGAAATTCTTGAAATCACTGAACTCTGATGCCTGAAAGATCGTCTTTAAAGATCGAAGAAGCTAATCAGTGGACATTTAACTCAATAATTTTATACTTATTAGAGATATCAAAAGGTTTGAAAATCTTTCGGCTGGGCAATAGGAAGCACGATTTAAGAACCGGGACAGAGGATATATATAGCAGGAGAGATTGGGGTCGTTACTAAAATATACACTAAGCAGCAGTCAAGCTCAATTCTCCGTTTTAAATTCTTCTTAGCCGTAACATTCTTCTGTTATTTAATTGACGATCGAACGGGCGACACGATGGCCCGCGCTTTGGTGAACGATGTCTCGATGCTCCTAAAATCGAACGATAAGTAAATGGCACCGGTGTTATCTCTTTTATACAAACAGATATATTTGAAATTCCTGTCAATTCTCGTTTATTCGATGTATTTTCAGACATTCACAGCATGGTGTAATTCGCATCTTCGTAAAGCAGGGACTGCCATCGAATCGATCGAGGAAGACTTTAGAAACGGTCTGAAGCTGATGTTGCTGCTCGAGGTGATTTCAGGCGAGACGCTACCAAGACCGGACAGGGGCAAAATGAGATTCCACAAGATCGCGAACGTGAATAAAGCTCTCGATTATATAGCCAGTAAAGGCGTGAAACTGGTATCTATTGGGGCAGAAGGTAAAACATTTGTTCATTCTAGAGGTGTGCGAGTACTCGAATTTCGAGTGAAACAATGATCGGTCGGTCGAGCCGAGTCGAGCGCTTGAATTTGCCGAATTACTCGAAATCGACGAACCGTTTGAAACAAAATCGAACTACTCGAATATTCGAGTTGAAAATTAATTTAATTGTAAGTGGTAGCTCGCTTTTGTTTCAAACAGTTCGTCGATGTCGAGGAATTCGGCAAATTCAAGCGCTCGACTCGGCTCTAACAATGGAAAGCGAGTTCAGCTCGGCTTGTGAATTACAAGTACTCGTACACCTCTAGTTCATTCAAATTTCCAGCGATTTTATTCTGACGATCTTTGAAAATATTTTCATAATTGTTTGAATTCTTTTTGTTTTCCATAGAAATCGTGGACGGAAATTTGAAGATGACATTGGGTATGATCTGGACGATCATTTTGAGATTCGCTATCCAAGACATCTCCGTTGAAGAGATGACCGCGAAAGAAGGTCTCCTACTCTGGTGTCAACGTAAAACTGCACCGTACAAGAATGTCAATGTACAGAACTTTCATCTATCGTTCAAGGATGGCTTGGCGTTTTGCGCTCTTATTCACCGTCATCGTCCCGACCTTATCGATTACAATAAACTAAGCAAGGATAATCCTTTAGAGAATTTGAACACTGCCTTTGATGTTGCTGAGAAGTATCTCGACATTCCTCGTATGTTAGATCCTGACGGTAAGTATAGACGTGCGATGAACATTCCTTAAAAGCAGATATTAACGTAGCTCCTCCTACGGTTAGGAGGAGTAGATTCTTCGGCAAGCGTGTAGGTTTTTCAGATACACCATTTTTCTTTTCTCATTTTCTAAATATCCTACGTTTACTTTAGGAATTATTTTTCTGTAGCGGGATTGAGACGGAACTGCGATCGAATAACTTTTCTTTTATATCGTTCAATTCGTACAACAAATTCTTAATGTAATGTTCCCTTGATATCATATAGATTTGATCAACACACCCAAGCCAGATGAGCGTGCAATCATGACGTACGTGTCCTGCTACTACCACGCGTTCCAAGGTGCTCAGCAGGTCAGCGTAAAGAAATGCGTGTTGTTCCCTTTATTTTTGATGACAACAACCGACCTGTGCTATGTTTCACTAATATATTGATTCCACTCGTGTGCATTTAACAGCGTTTGATCATGCTAATTTAGTCGTACAATTGTTAGAAACGGATATTGATCTGTAAAATTCATTGATGTATGTCTTCTGTTACCCCTTATTAGCGTGCAATCGTACCATCGTATAATACTATCAACCACGTGTAATCGGTAGATTCCCCATATAACAGAAATTGAAAAAAAAAAAGAATAGAAAGAGAAAGAACAAAATTTTCAGTGAAAATAAAACTTCAGCTAACACTGCATGGTTTGAGTTTCTTCGAATGTGTTCTTCTAGATATGCGAACCACAGCAAAGCCTGACGAGAGGGCTGTGATGACCTACGTTTCCTCGTACTACCACTGTTTTAGCGGTGCGCAAAAGGTGTGTGTTTTGCATTTTGAAATTAACCATTAACCAAGTAAGAATCCGATTGCTTGACGTAAGAATTACTCGACGAACGAACTGAATGAAAGAAAAATGATTGTTGCTTTCCGCGAAGAATAACTTTGCTTCTCCATTGTAGGCAGAAACAGCCGCGAATAGAATCTGCAAGGTTCTGAAAGTGAACCAAGAGAACGAGAGGCTGATGGAAGAGTACGAGCGCTTAGCGTCTGATTTATTGGAGTGGATACGAAGAACAATGCCCTGGCTGGCTAGCCGTCAGACCGATAATTCCCTTGCCGGGTGTCAAAAGAAACTTGAAGAGTATAGGACGTATCGCCGCAAGCACAAGCCTCCGCGGGTCGAACAGAAAGCCAAACTCGAAACGAATTTCAACACTTTGCAAACAAAGTTAAGACTGAGCAATCGGCCTGCCTACATGCCAACAGAGGGAAAAATGGTCTCCGACATTAATAAAGCATGGAAAGGTAAAAGAAAATGATGATGTCGTGTATCGGAATGTTAGGGAAAAGTATCATCCTGTCGTGACTGTTCCCGATTGGTTATAGGTCTGGAATTGGCTGAGAAATCGTTCGAAGAATGGCTTTTGTCGGAAATGATGCGTCTCGAGCGTCTCGAGCATCTGGCTCAGAAATTCAAGCACAAAGCTGACGCTCACGAGGAATGGACAGCAGGAAAGGAAGAGATGCTTACGTCGCAGCACTTCCGACAATGTAAACTCAACGAGCTGAAGGCTTTGAAGAAAAAACACGAGGCTTTCGAGTCCGATCTTGCGGCTCATCAAGACCGTGTAGAACAGATAGCTGCTATCGCTCAAGAGCTCAAGTAATATTCTAGTGCGATATTAGGATGCTCCCTCTATTGTTCTCCTACTCTATACTCCTACCCTTTTCGTTTTCAGTACTTTGGAATATCACGATAGCGCGTCCGTTAATGCCAGATGTCAACGAATTTGCGATCAGTGGGATCGTTTAGGTACACTGACTCAACGCAGACGTCAGGCATTGGACGAAGCGGAGCGTATTCTTGAAAAGATTGATATCTTACATTTGGAATTTGCCAAGCGAGCCGCTGTGAGTTTCATTTCATCGATACATAACGTGTCGCGATTAACGATAGACTAGAAATTTCATTCATAGCTTTGTGTAAACTTTTAGCCATTTAACAATTGGTTGGATGGAACCCGGGAGGATCTAGTTGACATGTTTATCGTTCATACGATGGAAGAGATTCAGGGATTGATGGATGCTCATGCCGCGTTCAAGGCAACTCTCGGGGAAGCTGATAAAGAGTACAACGCGATCGTAGGATTAGTACGCGAAGTTGAATCGATCGTGAAACAATTCCAGATCCCTGGTGGTCTTGAAAATCCGTACACCACCCTTACTGCATTGGTAAATGAAAAATGAATCAAATCAATTCATCTTGCAGAATTTTACATGCAAGCTTATTACACGTTGTTACGTTAATATTTTTATTCTAAATAGGACCTCACAAAGAAGTGGAGCGATGTCAGGCAACTCGTGCCACAACGTGACGGTACACTGCAAGCGGAACTACGCAAACAGCAGAGTATCCTTTTTCTATTAAATCGTTGAATTTGTCGTAACAATGTTCTTCGTGAATAGATCTATGAAATTTCTTAATCGCGCGAATAGATAACGAATTACTTCGTCGACAATTCGCTGAGAAAGCAAATGCTGTCGGGCCATGGATAGAACGTCAGTTAGACGCAGTTACAGCCATTGGTCTTGGGCTTCAGGGTACTTTGGAAGATCAGTTACATCGTCTGAAGGAATACGAACAGGCGGTTTATCAATACAAAGCTCACCTCGAAGAATTGGAAAAGATTCACCAAGCTGTCCAAGAGGGCATGATATTCGAGAATCGATACACGCAGTATACAATGGAAACGTTACGAGTTGGTTGGGAACAACTTTTGACTTCGATAAATCGTAATATTAACGAAGTAGAAAATCAGATCCTTACTAGAGACTCCAAGGTACATTTAATTACACGTTTCTTATTTATTTATACACAGTGGCGGTTCGTAGTTAAAATTAATAGGGATGCTGCTTCAGAAAATTTGTAGCCTTTGCTTTAAAAAACCGGCACCGCGCAGCTTCGTGCGCAGCCTTGCGCGCAGCCTCGCGCGCAGCTCCCTATATGCGCCTGCGCATGCGCACACAAACCACGCCGCTGGAACTGTGAAGCGCAGTTTCATACAAAGATTTTTGTATCTTTTTCATAAACTGGGGGATGGCTACTGACAATAAGCTTAAGGATTATGTATTGTACAAGTATAAAGAAAGGATTAAAGAAAAAAGCACTCATTATATTAAATGTTATCGATAATATCAAGTGGAAATAGGGGGTGCTGCAGTTCCACAGTGCTATACGCGAGCCGCCACTGTTTAAACAGTATGTAGTAGTACGTAGTAATTAGAACGATATCTTTATAATTGGTACGTATTATATTCTTCATTACATAGGGTATCACGCAAGAACAATTGAATGAATTCCGCAGCAGCTTCAATCACTTCGACAAGAATCGTACGGGCAGATTAGCTCCCGACGAATTCAAGTCCTGCCTTGTTTCCTTGGGTTATTCCATTGGCAAGGACAGGCAGGGTGACATCGATTTCCAACGCATCTTAGCTATCGTCGATCCAAACAATTCTGGTTACGTACACTTTGACGCGTTCCTGGACTTCATGACTCGCGAATCAACGGACACCGACACAGCTGAGCAAGTTATCGACAGCTTCCGTATATTAGCCGGAGACAAGGTTTGGATGCTTACCCGATTATACATCCGATCGAACTAATTTCGTTTCAATTTTATTTTTCATTTAACCGTTGACAATTTTACAGCCGTACATCTTGCCGGATGAATTGAGGAGAGAATTGCCACCTGACCAAGCCGAATACTGTATCCAACGAATGCCTCCTTACAAAGGACCGAACGGAATACCAGGAGCATTAGATTATCGTTCTTTCTCCACTGCTCTGTACGGTGAATCGGATTTGTAAAGTTACATATCAAAAATTTCGAAAATCTCTGGACGAATTTTAATGGGGAAAAAAAGCAGGTCTGATGACATCTGAAATGTTTGCTCTACGTTTTTTTTTGGTACTCTAAACGCATGTTTACAAATCGAGAATATCAACGCGAAACACACGGCATCGTTGCTCAGTATCAAGGAAATACAGTACAACAATATTCGGAGCGTTTGGAAGGTAAAGCAAGAAATATGCTCTAATAGTTTATACGTGTCACGAGTGTTAGCAATTTTTTATTCGTGATATTGTTTTAACGTGAAGGAACCTGAGAACCACATCGATATAAACTTTGATATACCGGTATTTCCTAGGACGATCACCTCCGTTTACCGATGGTAAATCGAACTTTTAGAGCTCGATGAATAGGTGGTCCGTACTTAAATAAGTCTGTACAGTGACAATAAATATCTAATTTAGATACCTTAACGTTAAAAGAATAGCACAAACGAATCCAACTAGTTCTTCTAGAACGTTTGCTTCTTGCCTATGTCTACGATGAATCCTATATAATTAGTAAGTTAACGTTTTAATTGTATATAAACATCTTCGAGAGGTCACACGAGTACCAATAAGAAAGAAAAGCATTTCCTTTTTACGCGAGCGTTTCAGAAAAGGAAAGAACGAAACTGTGCCGAAAACGAAATATTACAATTAAAATGCGATCGAACAATTTATTATTGCGTATTACTCTCGCATACATTGATATTGTAGCCTTACGTATCTTGAAAACAAACGTTTTATTCAAGCTTTTCTATCATTTGGAAGGTCAGCCTATTTGGTTTCTTTTTGAGAAACTTTTCATTTTGTTCGATCGGAGTGATATTAATGAACGATATTCACTCGAATATCATATAGTTTTTAGATACGTTCCTGCTGGTCAGCGCTTTCATTTTCCTTTCTTTTTCTCTTCATCTTCTTTACGTTCATGAAAACAAGAAAATTAAGTACCGATTCGTTTGAAACGTAAGGTACAAATCGATGTTTGTGAAAACATGTGGAAAATTCATGATACATGTATAAATTAAGATTATTAACGATACAAAACGAATTTTTGGACATCCTTGTATACGTACGAATCGACTCTCTCGCTAAGGATCCAGAAAATATTACGCTCGAAATCGAACGCAACACGTTCATATTTTTTATAAAAAAAAAAAAAAAAGAAAGCGGCGCAACGAATTTTTAAACGACGAAGCCCGCCTTTATACTTCGCTTAATCGTATATTAAATGATAACGCGAAAACGATGCTAAAGAAAGCAAATTTATTTATTTATTTGAATTAAATGATTATTTATTATTGTTCCGATAATTAATTATGGTTAGTGAACGAAACCACTTTTTCAAAGTATTTATTTTTATAAATATTTGAGAGAAGTGATATAAACGAAAGGCCAACTGTAATATAAGATCTGTCATGTAAAATTGTTCCAAATAGCAGCTGCCATTTCTCTGTGTCATGTGTAATTAGCAGCCTAAAAACCATTTAGTCGAATCATTGTCGTCCAATTCATCATTATTGTAAGGTCATGATAAAAGCTCGTGTGTGAAATGTAATTTACTTATTCGGGAGAAAGGAAAAAGTATATTGAACCCTTTTTTTTTCTTTTTTGGTTTCTCGCTTGAAACATAATGCTTTTTCAATATCCATCTTAATGCGTTTTGCGAGTTTATTTGATTTCTCGTATCTTAACTAAAACTATCAAAAGGAGAAAAAAGAAACGTATTGGGCTTTTTACAGAAACAATGAAATGTAAAAAAAAAAAACACGCACACAAACAAGCAAGCACACACACGTACACACGCGTTATCAGAAAAGAATTATCCACGATATCGAAATGTAATAAATTCAAACGAGTACGTACACGTACGATGTAAATTCAGTCGAATGAAATTTCATTCGAATAATGAATTTTCTTTCGAATGATCCGCTCGTACTATGTACTCGTATTACATTCTCATTGATAATCGTATATACATATAATTACAATTCTTATCATTTTATTCTATTTAACGTAACACTCGCCCTACCGTCGTCTCGTATCGTACATAATTATACAGGTCTACTCTCACTTTGCCCGTTTCATCTTCCTCGATCGGTTTGAGTAAAGAAAAAAAAGAAAAATAGGAAAAAGTCGAAAAAAAAAGCATTGTAAAATTAAGTTACGAGGAAAAATGAACAACAGTTCGTTGGAGAAAAACGATAGAACTGTTGAGAATTTTAGTACCGAGCAAAAGCGGCTAATATATGCGTCATATCAAATGGGCGGTATAAACAAAGGATATTTAAATAAAAATTTCTAACAGTGTGGTTAAAAGTTGATGCTTTTATTCCAGATACAATGCAAAATATCGGTCGATCGAGTTTTAGAAAGACTCATTAAAGTACATTTTATGTATATTTAAAAAACAAAAAAAGTAAGGAAATAGAGACTAAAACGCGTTTCTCGACATTACGTATACTAACGTATAAATTATCTCGTCGGTACGTCATGCGACAACGTAAACTAAGAACTATTTATATACAATAACTATCATATTTACATAAAACAAACTTTTAACGATAATATCACCGTTCTTCGTTCGCGTCGATTATGGCTACATGCGGTTCCGCGAAAATGACAATATCTCGAACTGGACTTATTAAACGGATTTTATTCCTTGCAGCCAAGTCCAGCGGACCAATTGCAAATACCACCGACAGGATCGAAGGATAATTTGTCAGGGCACGTGTACTCGGCCCCGACTACCAGACCGTTCACCATTCTAGCGCAAGTGATGAACTTCCGGCAGGAGTACGGATGCGGAAAGTTGCCTTGATCCAAGCATCGAATGCTACCTTTGCTCGTGAGGAAGAGCTTCCCGTTTAGGGTGGATTTCCCGATCACGGATTCCTCCTCGTCCTCGTAATAATCGTAGTCGATAACCTGGGGTCGTCTCGGTCTCGTAGTCGCGTTCTGTACAGGTTTATCCCTTGTCCTTGGCTTCTGTCGATCTCTGACAACTGGAGTAAATCTGAAGGTGCTTCTACTCGTCGTCGTCGTCGTCGTCGTTGTTGTTGGGTCTTTTCTAGGAGCTATCGTAGTGCTTATCTTCCGCCTGAAGGCGTTCCTTAATGCTGGTCGACCTGATCGTGTAACCGGATTATTTAAATAGTTCTGTTACTAGTCAGACTCCAGAAAAAGAAGTGTCCCGTTAACACACCAATCGGAAGAATGTAGAAGAGACACCACCAGGAGTGATGATTTATCCAGCGTGAAGAGCGAAATGTATCGGCTTCAGACGCGATGATGCAGAAAAAAAGTATCGATATGCTTAGAAGTTAAAGTTGGCATTAGTAGTTGCGTTGATAGAGACACACGATTGAAAAGAGGCGAAGAACGTGGTTGTAATTATTCAGCAGGTATGTATGAGAAAGATCGTGAAATCGACGGAAGTAGAATTGTCGAAAGATTGGGTTAGCCTCCAGGGTGTGATTAGTTTATTTATGATAATCGTAGTTTCTCTTTGCGTATCATAATGGAAGAAACGTACGAATTAGAGGTCAGTAAGATAATTACAGCCATACCGTACGGCTGGTGAGAAAGAACATAGAAAAGGAGAATATAAGTTGGAAATTGCAATGAAATTATATCCCAGGTGATTCGTGAACAAACGTGAAACATGTGACGTGATCTTTTAGATTAAATAGATTAAAAAGGTTGATGATGATGTATTTAACAGGTTCATTGTACCGGTGGTTGATGGAGAAGGTGGTGGATCCGCCAAAGTCACGGCGATCTCTTGTGCTCGACTACTTTGATCGATATCTTTTTCTAGTTTCGGTGTATCTGTCGTTTTATCCGCAGCATCTGAAACAATATTGCATATATTACTATTTAATGAACCTACGTCTTTGCTTGTATAATTGTTTATTTAAATTAAAAATTGAAATGGAAAAATTAAACTGCAAATACATTAGTGTTTGAATCTTGAATGTACGCACCGGCGCGCGCAGCTCATAAGTTGGAGGGCGTGGGGATGCGCGCGCAGCGGCGCCGCCATTACGCGACCAGACGCGAAGCGGGAAAGACGTATAAATCGGGTGGTCCGTAATGTCGCGATGTGCTCGTTTTAAATTATCCTGTGTTCACTTACCATTTTTTACGCTATCGAGAGATTGGCCTTCGTCGGTTGTACGATTCTTTTGGTGATTTGTGAAAGTGTTCGAAGATTTGCTTTGTTGCGATGTCGAAGCGAATGCAGCGGGTCTTCTTAACCTGGTTGCTAACAAACTTCCTGGTGAATGAGCAGACGTATTCTTCGAGGAGTTCACCTGTACGTGGAGCACACGCAAATTATATTGACAGCACGGCAGCGATTCATCGGAACGGTAAGTACAATTTGCGATTTAACAATGAACATATCAGTTGACAGCTAATTGGTATAAATGAACAGTAGGAGGTAAAATTATGAGATATCGTGTACAATAAAGTTGTAAACGACGTTTTTCTTATTAATTAAGGTATTTTTACGACAATTTAAATGTTCTCTTAGAAACGAAATCATTTGGTCGCAATTATTTGGCGGGAAATGACAAAAAATTTAAAACGCCTCACTATTTTAGTTCATCGTAGATGGCACTTTGTTCTCTATATCAGTAACGTACCTACTCCTTTCAGCTAAGGGTGCTGAAAGTGTCCCTGTTTCAGATTTTCAATAAATAACTTGTTTCTTTCGATTTTCTTGCACTTACACCAATTAAGCTGTTAAATCGTTTCATTTTTAACAATGGTTCGAGCAAAAAAGCGCCGACATGATTTACAAGAAAGAGAAAATAAGCACGCGACATATGTAACAATGGCAGTCTATTTTAGCGTTAAATTACTAGATTTTGTAGTTAAGCATTAACCCTTTGCGCTCAAAGTGAATTATAGTACAGTGAAAGCAAGTACTTACATACTATAAGTACACATACTATAAACAGAGCGTTAGGAGAGGAGTTATAGTAAAGACTATAGAGAAAGTTTCATAACTAATGCGTTCACCGTGAATATAATTGAGAAACGAGTCGAGTACAAAGGGTTAACCTTTTGCACTCCAGATTATTTCGTTTCGTTTAATCCGGTCCGCTTAATTCTCATCGATATTGCGACATACATAGAAAATGCGTTCTTAGAATAACATTAGTATAATGAAAGCGATACTACTCGATACAAGACCACGAATGGTTGACATTGACTGATCGCAAGATGAAACAGTAAGCGTAGCGTGAACACGTTTAACCCTTTATAACTCGGTACATTCCGTGCGCTGTATCCGTTTCCTGCAAAAAATTCAATGTATATGCGTCGCGCATAGTAAAATAAAGGGTCCATTCAACATCCTATCATGCATCCAAGTTAATTGAAATTATTTAATTGATAGAAATTGAAACAAGGGTTAAACGTGCTAGGTACGTGGCTCGTAGAAGAAGTAGTGTTAATTGATTTGAAAGTAGACACATCAGCAGTAAATATGGTAGAAGAAGATCCCGATGAATATCTTTCCTTTGGTACAATGATCATCCTCTCTTCCGGTCGTTATGTACAACTCGAAGAAAAAATCAGCTCCATTTTTTTTTTTACTTTATTGTTAGATGCGAAAGAAAAGGCGATGCGCTTTTATAGAGTAAATCGTTGGCTGGCAATATCGTTTCGTTTCTCGTTTCTCAAACGGCATTAACTACACAGCAAGGGCCAGTTCGTGCTCTGACCGATTTGCTTTTGCTTTGGGGTTTGAAAGGAAGAGCGAGCGATAGCGTCTCGAATTAGCGTTGTTATGCTTCTCTCTAGCAAACTGACTAAGGGTAAACTGACCTCGGCTTCGTTCCGACCACCTTCGTCCTCCTTCCCCGTTGAATTATTCTCTTTCGTCGATAAAGCAGTCTCCTCGATCCCTTCGCTCCCTTCGCCGATCGGTTCTACGATTACTTTCGAATGTTTCTGATCGTCGAGATGAGGAGGGCCAGTTGAAACGGGTCTGCGATGTCGTCCTCTGTAAACGGTAACCCGACGTCGAGGAGTCACCGTCTCCTCCGTTCGTTTCACCGGAAGATCATCCTCCATTGTCGGTTTAACGCGTTCACCTTGAACACGCCTACGCGCCGAGGATCTTTGACCGAATTCGTTGCCGAATTTTTCCCGGCGACGATTAAATCGTCTCTCGGTGACGGTGGTTGAAGGAAGGATCGTTGTCGTCAAAGAGATCGAGTCGGTAGCGTTCTCCAACTGAACGTCGGCAACAGTTTCTGGTACCGTTTCGAACGAACCCGTTGCGATCGCGTTCGTCGAAGAATCAGATTGTATCTTCGTGGAGAAGAGAGCCTCGGTCACGGTAGAATAATCGAAAGAAGTGGAATTTATAGTAGTCGACTCGACGTAGGACGCGGAGGAAGATTCAGGAGGCGTTGAATCGGTTGAAAGGATCGAAGGCGCGATAGTAGTAGTTTCAATCTCCGTTAAAGTCGATGGAAACGTTTGAAAATTCGTCGAAGGAATGGTACTTATGTTTTCATTGCTGTTCGTCGTTTTATAAGAACTTGTTTCACTCTCAACGATCACGGTAGTCGGATTTTCCGTTAGAGCAATCGTCGTGTCGACGGTGAACGACGTATCGTTCTCCATTTTCTCGGAGTTGTTCAGTTCGAGTTCGCTTTTGGTCACGTAGAAACCTCGAGGAACTTGGCTATGGAGCAAACGAAGCAACGGAATACCACGCATGGTGGTGGGTCTCAGAGTAACAACCGTCGAATCTTGTCGATCGATCCTCTTCTTGTTGGCGAACGAAGCGTTTTCCTCTTCGTCGTCCGCGAGATTATCTTCGGTGTAATACGAGTCGACTTTCTCCGCGATCAAATTCAATTCGTCTTTCCTCCTATTTTCCATTAAACCTTCCCCCTTTTTCCCATCGATTTTCCTCAACGTCCAAGGTCCTCCCTCGGAGGACTCTGTCTCATTGGAAAAAGAACTAGCGTCTTCGTTGAGAAGGAAATTCGTGTCCCTTTCGTGGGGAACAACTTGCTCGTTGTTGAACTTAAGGGGAAGTAAACTGAGAAAGACGGGATCGCTGGTGTATTCGTTCGTCCGATATCCGATCAATTCCTTGAGGGTTGGTAGTCTATTAGACGGCGAGCCGGCGACCTGAAAATCAGAAGAGGGTAGCGCGCTTAGTGACGATCTCCCGGAATCTTTCTCTTCGGTTATCTCGTCGTTCCTCGCTTAGTCTCGTTCCGTCCCGAAGGAGAAGAGAGGGAGAGCAAAGACAAAGATCACGGACGACGTCTCCGTATAGGGATGGATCTCCTTCTGTTCATCTTTGATGATTCCAAATTTCTGTTAGACCTTTGATGACGTGTGATGATGATGATGAATGATGATAATGATAATGATAATGATGATGAGATGATGATTTATGTACATTAATCGTATCCATGATGGCGGTGAGGAAGAAGGAAGCAGCATCACTCGTTGGAGTCCCTGCTGCCGATCAAGTTACTGAAAACAGACTCGATCTCGATCGTCGACGATTCGTGGGACTCTGTGGTGGTGAATCGATTCGCTTGAGAAAGAAATTCTCCTTCGATCGGTAACGTGGATCTTTCCACTTGACCCTGGCGAATCTCGTTGGCCGATTCCTCTTTTGCTTCCTTAACTACGCCGGAGGAATCGTTAGCTCTGTCGGAAACGCTGGGCATCACAGTGGTGGTTCCAGTGTTCTCCACTTTAGTAATTGTACTCTGGAGAGGAATCTTGGTGGTGGAGGTTAACGAGGAGTATTTGGTTTTGATTAGAATCTTCTGCCTCTCCGTGGTGGCCGATTCCTCGACGGAGGTGACTAATCTGGTCACCAACGGTTTCAGGGAAGGCGTCGTCGCGTAATCCGCGTCGATCGAGTTCTGTATTTCAACCCCTTCTTTACTCTGAATCGTCGAATCTTCGTTCTGACTGCGAGCGCTGCTTCTCAGAGACTGTTGCCTCCTGTGAGCGTCAGCCGCGTAGTCGAACTTCTTAGCTGGAATCAGGGTTTCCGTGACGGTTGTCGTTGTCGCTTCCGCGTTGGACACCGTTGGTCGTCTAACGTAGAATCTGTTCCTTATTTGCGCGGAAGAATCGAGGCTGGCAGGTGTTGCGTCGACTATGGATTCACCGTTTCGGGTCCTCGTTATTTCCCGGTACTTGTAACGAGTCCTGGGCTGACGAACGTTCTGGTATCTCGTCCTCGAATCCTCCTCTTCGGCCTCCTCTGTCGTGGAATCACTGGGAGGGTAGAAGCTGTCCGCGTTCGCCATCCTCTTCAGAGAATCCGGAACTTGGTACCGAGGACGAGATTCGGAGATGCGATTACCGGGAGACGTGGATCGTTCCGTTTGGTCAGTTTCGCTTTCTTCCTGAATACCACGTTCAAATCCTACGGGATTCCCTTCCGCCGATGGAGGCAGGTTTCTGGTCGTATAACGATTCCAAAAATCTTCCGAGTCGCTTCTAGTGGACAGATTAATAGCGTAAGGAGTCTGATCGTCGGCTCGGTTGATCACCGAACTTGTATCCTCTTCATCTCTCTCCTCTTCGACGAATCGCGTGGTTTTAGTCGTCGATGAAACCGGAACCGGTCTGCGACGAACGAACAGACCCTTTCTGCGTTTCGTTTGACCCTCTGGCTCGCTCTTCTCCGTGCTGGAAGCGGCTTGATACCGATCGCTAGCGTTCTCCGACGCGACAACTGGTCGTCTTCGTACGAACTTCTTCCTCACGTATCTGGAATCTACGTAATACGTGTTGTTATCCGTCTCCGATCTACGGTTCGCCTGCGAAGGCAGAGACGTTGTCGAGAGTGAAACGGTAGTCGGCAGAGTTTCCAGTCGACTCGTCGGCGGTAAAGTCTCGCTGACAGCGTTGTCCAGTTCCGTGACGTTGATCAAAAACGACGTCGTCGACTCGGTTTCCTCTTCTTTCTCCATCGTCGATGATTCAGTAGTGAAATTATCGAGTATCGTCGAGGCGACGGTAAGAGCATCGCTGAAATCCTCGGTTACTTCAGTCTCCGCTGATGGCGTTTCCAAGGTGAGCCTCGTCGAATCATCGAGGACATCGTAATCCGTAGTCGATACGGCTGGACCTTCGGTCGAGATATCCTCTAGGATCCGCGGGTTCGACGTGGATTCGAATCTCAGTAAAATTTCATCATCCTCCGTCGCGGGGACGATTTGAATCGGACGTACACGTTTGATCACTTTCCTTCTGCGATAATGAACCAGCTTGTTTTCATCCTCATCCTCCGATTCTTCCTGTTGCGACGCGATCGTGCTGGACGCAACCGGTCGTTTTCTCAACAGAACCTTCCTTCTTTTCGTATTCGTCGCATTCGCGTTCTCTGGTTTGTCGTTGTTCGCTGGGAACACGATTTTAATCACGTTCGCATCGAAATCTTGGATACTATCTACGGTGGTAGGTTCGGTAGAGTTCGATCGATTATCCAGAGTCACTGTGACCACCTCGTTCTCCACTATCGACTCGGTAGTCGTTTCGATTCCAGAATCAATCGCGGTGGTGGTAATCGAAGCGTCGAGCTCGTCCACAGAGTCCGCGTAAGATACCGTCGTGGTATCCGTTAAAGTATCTTGGACGGTCGTAAGAATCGACGTTGAAATCGTCGTCGAAGTCGTGGAAACGGTCGTAGACGGCGTCGTTGATTCTTCCGCGTTGTTCCTCTTCCTGGTGTACCTGGTCCTCGCGTCTCTGTTTACCGCGCTCGGTTTTCTAAACACCTTGATGTTTGTAATCCTATCGTCATTATCGTCCTCCTTGATCACGCTTCTCGATCTCGAAGGCGAGTTTCTTCTCGCGGAGCCTTGACCGATTCTAACGATCGGACTGTCCTCGAGTTCGTTAGTTTTCACCGATTCGGCGGTGGTGGTTCTGGAAGTCGGTCTACGGAATTTCCTTCTGGAAGTGTCTGTAGCGGAGATGGTAGTGGAAGTTGATTCGGTGGTTCGAGCGCGTTCTCTGACAACCAGATTGTTCGATTCCTCGTTTCTGGATCTGTGAGCGGGCGGTGTGTATCTGCTGACGCCTCTACTTCTCGTTCTGCCGGAAGCACGAGTGCTGCTTTCCGGTTGTTCGGGGTCGTTTCGAGTTTCCTGCTCCTGCCTCGGCCTTAATCGACCCCGTCCTGGCAAAAAGGACGATCGCGCGTTGTTTCGCGACGATATACTCACCTTGGACCTGGTTTGTTCGTTGGCCGCTGGCAACGGGCTGCTGCTCGTCGGCTCGGTCGACGCTGTCGACGCTCTGTTTCTTTGATTGAAGCCGAATGGCCTCGGCTGTGACACGGTCGCGCCGCTGGCTCGCGTGCTCGCTGAGGAAAACGTGGACGAGCTCGCCGGTGCGGTGGTTAAAAGGATTTCCGTCGCGGAATCGTCGACGAGTTTCACCGATTCGGTGCTGCTCGAACTTGTCGCGTTTGAGATCGGCTCCTCCGTTTCCGCCTCGACGGTGACCACGGTTCGCGTCGAAGAAACGATCGATCGAACGGACAAAGGTGTCGTCGTTGATATCGTATCAGCTTTTTCCTCGATCTTCGACGATTCACTGGAGACGATCGGTTCCGTGACCGGTTCTTGGCTGGTGGCCGCAATATCCGGGACTACTTCCGTCGGCTGTGGAGTCGTGCTTCTGAACCTTTGAACGCTCACGTACCTAAATCGTTATCACGGAAAAAAGAATCATTAATTTCTCAAAGATAATTTCGAGTACGTCGAAGGAGAGGGAATTCGGTATAGGAACCTGGATTTAGTCGTTGGCGAGCTTTCTTCGCTGCTGGATGAACCAGACTCCTGTTCCTTGCCATCTTCGGTGAAATCGTTATTCTTGGTCCTAAGATCAAGAAAAACGTGGTACCTCCCGTAACAATTTTCCCATCTTGTTTATATTAGATAAACTTACTTGGAAGATAAATTTGGACGTCGTTGACGAACGGTCGAGCCTTCTTCCGCGTCTCTGTTCCTCTCCTCGACATCGTTCTCATTTCTAAAAAAGAAATCATTGCGATTCTCAAAAATCGTGGCTTCCTTTTTAACCAACTTCGAGAAAGAAAGAGGTTATTCAATTCGATTGGTTCTTGTTTCATGTTCGCCGATTGCTCCGAGACGGATGGACCAATCGGGACGAAATCTAGTGGTTTCGAGAGTCTAGTGGAGACGGAATTAATTGATTATTTAAATAATTCAAACGTTGTTTGCTATTGTAAAGATAGCAATTTTATGGTTTTTTCCATGGAATCTACTCGACTAAATCGTTTTACTAAACTACTCGACTAAACTGTAGTGTCCATACACTAAACTATTCGCCACTCGACTAAATTACCAGCCGTGTCTGAACCGCGAGTCTTGCCACCGAAGTCGGTTGTATCATTTCTTAAAAATTATTTTATCTTACCTCGAGGTTGTCGTCGAAGGTCGAGCCCGCCTGATGTTAATGTAATTCGGCGTTGCTCTTTGCGTGGAACTCGCGAGGAACGGATTGCTGACCGTTTGTTCCTCGGAGGAAGCCACGTCCGCGGTGTCGTCCTCTGAATCTTCCTTTTCCATATCCTCCCCTTCGGTCGGTGGTCGGCTGGACGGTCTGAAACGAGACACAGATTCGTTCGCAATCGAAATGGAAAGAAAAAAAAAAAATGGCGATTTATCGTACTTGGATCTCTCGATGGTGACGTATTGAGGCTTGTGCGATCGTCTGAGACTCTTCACTTCGGGAACCTCGTCGAGACCGTCGAACTGCGCTCCACCGGGACCGTTCGCCGATGACAGTTGTCTGTTACCGATTTTGCCAGCTTGACGACTCAACACCCGTTCGTACAATGTTCGACTAATAGTCGCCGGAGTCGCGTTATCGTTACCGGAGTTCACCGTCTCGTTAGCGCTTTTCTCTTGAAACAATAATTGCTTCTCGAGCTGCTCTATCCCACCTGGGTGAACATCTCTACGTTAATATCTAACGCGATCAAACTATTTTCGACGGAGAATAATTAATTACCCGCTTTCTTAATCAGCTTTATCAGCTCCTTGATGACCTTAGGATCTTCCTCGTCCTCGAAATCGATTAGTTTATCCGGTTGATGGTTTCTCTCCGATTTCGAAGGTGTTTCCGTCGTCGTGGTAGTCGTCGAGGTAGTAGTCGATCTGCTTCTATTAATCGTTTTATACAGAAGCGGTTTCGGAGTTGTGGTCGAAACTTTGCGTTCTTTCTCCTCTTCCTCCACTTCATCTTCGTCTTCCTCGTCGTAATACTCGTATTCCTCATCGGCGTCCGGTTTTTCGGTGGACGGTCGACGGGTGGTGCTGTAGAGGTAGGTGGTGCGACTGGTGGCGGCGGTTATCGGCGCCCTGGTAGTCGACGCGCTCGACGTCGACGGTTTCGACTTCGGGCATATCACGTTCCGCGGATAATCGCAGGAATCGGCGGCCTTGTTGAACACCAGGCCTGCGGAAGGAAATGAGGGAACGGTTCCTTAACCATTTATTGCGTTCCGTTCCCAATTGGGAACTTAAATTTCAAATGTTCTATAGTAAATTAAGTAGACAATACCGAAGACTCTGAGTTGTATTATTTATTTCACGATCACACTCATTTTGAAGTAGACTAACAGTCGTATATATTTTTTTCAACTCGTCATCAAAATTCATGGAATAAAGGGTTAACTTACCCGATGGACAGGTGAACTGATGAGCAACCACGCCGAGGCCTCCTGGACCGCTCTCCAGGCACCAGAAATATTTCTTACAATCCCGAGGATGCGGGAAGAATCCTTCGTCCTCGCACTTGAAATCTGTGCGAATGTTTCATCGTCAAAGATATACGATATCCTGTAGGTTCAAATGGAATGATAAGTTTACCTGTTCCCGGATCGGGCGTCGTTGGAGGTTCCGGGGTAGTCAGCTTGTTACTCAGAGATTCTTCCGAGGAATCAGTTTTGCTATCTTCCTTGCGACGCGTTTGCTTCCTACGATTTCTATTCGGATTCGATCGATTCTTGTGCCTACTTTTACTCTCAGAGTTGTCCTCCTCCTCCTCGGAAGAGTGATCGTACGAGCGTCGATCGACCTCTTGATCCTCTTCCTCCTCGTGCTGGCTTTTATTTCGCGAAAGGGTTCTATACTTCGGCCTGGAAGGAGAAACTCGCTTCTTGACGGCGGGTGCTGCAGTCGTGGTGCTTCTCCTCGCACCCGACGATTTCTTTCCTATACTGTTGCTCTGAACTCCTTCCGTTCGTGTCCTCTTCCTGTCCACGTTCTGGGACTTTTGATTCACATTTCTGATTAAAAAAAAGAAATATTTCAATCTCTGTTATTACCAAAGCGAGAAATTCACAATCGGCTTTGCCATTCTTACGTGCTGTCGGTCAAAAGAGCCTCTTTCGCAGCTTCGATCAAAGGATACGGACGGCCGTGACACTTTCCACGGAAATCGTCGTTGTCGATCGTCCAGAACATTATTCCGCCCAGGTTTTTCTCGTTCGCGTACTTGGCTTTCAGCTTGACCATGCTCTCGTCGTCGTAGCCTATCCACTGGTCCCCCTTGAACGCGTAAGGACCCATTGCCTTCGGATTCGGTTGCACCACCTCCCATTCGTCCGACTGCGCCTGACTCTCGCAGATCTGTTGAGACGAAAATGAATTACCAATTATATATTTTAAATTTTAAATTTGAAAATTAACTATTCCTATCTTTAATAATTAGAGCTTCAATACGTGTTCACTTTCACTGTGGCAGTCAACGTGTTAACCGTAGAGCTAAATGTTTCTATCTTTGAGTTTGTTATACTTGAGAATGTAAGGAGTAACTAACTTTAACCCTTTAACGTCGATCAAACATAATTATCATAGAAATTTATAATTCTGTACAACACACAGCTATAAGTGTAGACAGTAAAGATTTATAATATATGTTTCAAAGGGTGTAATTAATATTTCTTTTATTTTAAATTAACAATATTCTGTGCAAGCTTAGGAATGCTCCATCCTCAAAGGGTTAATTGTTAATATCTTTTAAACCATTAGTCGTCTGCCCCCAAAAAAGGGGTACAGGCGTGTTCAGCTCGACGAGGTGGCAGAGTTTCATTAATAAGTGAGCGAGTAACACTTGGTTAGTTCTATACGTCTATGAACAAACCTCGAAATAAGCGAGATATCCTTTTTCCCTGGTCGAATCACCTTTCACTCCTGGCCCGTCCGCTGGTGATCCCAATTCGGTAGCATCCTGATTGAACAGCGTGTAAGATCGTCCGTAAGTTGGTATACCTAGAATGATCTTCTCGGGAGAGGCACCTTTATTCAGAAGATAATTAACCGTGTAATCCTGTAAGATGAATCGTCGATGAAAAACAAATGTGACCAAACGAAGATTCGCAAGAGACGTCGGTTTCTTACAATGGTTAATTCGGTGTCGTAATTATACTCGTTGTCCTCCTCCAAAGGATACAAAGGGGAATGATGATTAACAGCCGGCTCGTAAGACGAGTGGTAATCGTACGAGAGGAGATTGATGAAATCCAGATACTCGTTTAATCGGGGAACATCGTAGCCTTTGTCGATGTACTCGATACCGGCTGGCATCGCCATCGTCAGCAGAAGTCGCGGTCTTCCGGTCTTCGATGATTCCCTTTCAAACTCCTCTCTAAGTTCCTTTAGAAAACAATCATTCGTCATCGACGCGAGGATACCGGCTTTGTTCTCGTTTAATTAACGATTCTCTCCCACGATTTACCTGAACCAAAGTGGCATAGTTCTCTTTGTCTCGCGGTTTCCCACCGTCCCTGAAAGCTGGATACTCCCAGTCGAGGTCAAGGCCGTCGAAATGATTCTTCCGAAGAAACTTGATGGTGTTCTTCACTAATTCCCGTCTTCTGTCGGCTGAGGCGACCATCGGTGAGAACCTGCTGGAACCTTCGTTCCAACCACCGATGGCCAGCAGGGTCTTCAAGTTTTTATTGTACGTTTTCAGACCGGTAAACTTGGCGTAACCACCTTGATCAATCGTGGAATGTTAATTAACATGATCTCCTCGAGGTGTATGTACACTAGTGGAATTAATTCTGGACACTTTTAAATTTTTACTTAAATTTCACATTTATTCAAATTATTCTAATCATTGTTTTCGAATTTAAGGGCGTCGCTCGTATAAACATTATAGATTACAATAAAAATATTACGGTATCAATTTAGCATAGCAGAATATACATTTACCGTACAAATATGAAATAAAGAATATTTTTATTCAAAGTGTCCAGAATAAATTCTATCAGTGTAGATTACTTTCTTTACCTTTCTCGATGTCCTGGTACTTGTCGAATGGTTTCAAAGCGTTGTCCTTGGTGAATCCACCGAAAGCGTATATCAAATGGGTGCAGAGATACGGATTGATGTTCTGCGGTGAGAACTTGGCCGTTCCTGGCCGATAGATCGACCAATTGGTGTAGTAACACACGACCTTACGTTCCGCGTTAGCTGCGAAAGAAACAGCAGGCCTTTTGACTTTGCTCCACTGATCTTGATTCAGCGATCGAACAAAGGACGGATCCGTGGCGCGACAGAGAGAGAACCGTGTCGCGGAGAAATTGTAACGCTATTGAACTTTCATTTGCGTATTGGATCGCGCACGAATTTCCACGCTCTTAGTTGCTCCAGTTAAAACTCTATCGGTATTCGTTCGTTCTAACGAGGAGAAAACGTACGAAATCTCCAATAAAATCATCGAATTCCGACGATTAATCGTTAAGTTCGTTTTATCTGATCGATAGGAAACACTGGTGACTGTTTTTCTTTTTTGCCAAAGGCACGCGATCTTTTCTCGTTATACGAACGTTAGATCAACGGTAATGCAGTTAAGTATAGTACATAATACCCAGAGATAATATCGGTAAAAGGTACGGCGTTACCGGGAATTCTTGTCACGTTTGCGGCGAATACGAGTCCGCCGCGATTTCGTTTCATTCCCATTCCCGCGGAAATGAATGCTTTGTACCGCGAGTTAATATCGAGTTCTTATTACCACCGAAGACGATTTGTTTGTTGCGTGAACGGTAGCGTTTCTTTTCGAATCGCGGAAACGATTACCGTATCGATTACCAGTCACCAGAGATGGAAACTCGATAGGAACGATTTTACGTTTACAATGTAACTCCCCTCCGTTGCCCGTTCATCGAACGGTGTTGGTCGTTTTTGCCTCGACCGTTTTCACCGGCAAGGTGCACACGTTTCACGGCGCGGCGAGTGCAGTGAAACTGCGTCCGTAGGTGCAACGGTGCTCGCGTGCACCGGCTAGAGAAATTAGCGGAGAGATCAGAGACACTCGGTCAGGGAGTAAATGGGCCGGTGAGAACTTTAACCTTGCAGGCCATCCGCTCGTTTTCGCTGGGAAAACTGAACGGCATCGAGGCTACCGTTCACCGGCGACCGTGTTACGAATTTCATTTCAAAAAAATGATACCTCCGAACCGTCCGATTTGGAGGTACACCGTTGCAAAGTTATACTCACCGTTGTGAACGATCGCGAGTAGAATAATGCAGAGGCAGAGAAGCATCGAGGTGGTTCGAGTACCCTGTAACGGAAAAGAGACGCAACGCATTAATTACATTCGTCGTCGGATGCGCCCATAAGGCACGACTAATTAACTCTAACCGCGTATGAATGACTGGTGACCAGTCTGCGTGAATCGAACACCGGTTACGCAACACTCGGTGAAACTAACCGTGCATTTTTGTACGTGGCTTCGAGAGGTGTGTGTACCTGCTCGCAAAATTGCCTAGTCTTCCTTAAACGTCAACCAACACGGAAACCGAGCAATGATTTTTCGAATCGCTTTCCTGGTAAAAGTTGCGCATTGTGGAACGAGGCCGCGACGATTCTTATCCGAACCGATAGACATCTCTTCTGAATTGAATTCCGAAGTACACAGTTTCGTTTAACATTTCACGCTGCTGAGTTCTCATAAATATTAGGCGTTATCGAAAGATCCCACGCTGTCTGGGCACGATCGGGGGTAGAGAACGAGCGGATACTTACGTTCACCGTGGACCGCTCGTTCGCGTCTATTGGACCGCCATTGGTACGGGAGAGCGCGCGACGGTCAAACGCGGCGGACGTTGCACTTGTCGCGTGTCCGCTTCGGAGATTCCGATTTTATTGGAGATCTCGAGGAGATCGGCAAATAGATCGGGGCCGTGACACCCAAGCCACACCTCGTTACGTAACGCGTGTAAAGAGAAAGCAAAAAGAAAGAACACCGTTCCGCGATCACTTTCTCGTGCGTTTCGGACGGCGAGCGCGTTACGTTAACGTTGCGTTACGTCGTCACGCCGTTCCTTGCGGAGGAACAATTAACACCGATGCCAGAAGAGACATTTCCAGCAATCTATTCGATTTTCTAAAATAACTTAAGCCGAGAGAGAAGTCCCGGAAAAAGTGAAACATCGAGCTGCGAAAGCGTTCGAACAACCAGATTCCGATCGAACAAGCACGCGTCTGAAGGGGCTCGAAAATTCCCCACGAACGCTTCTAAATGTCAGATAACTTTCTACCAGAGGCTCGTGCGACTTGCGTCCCGATCGGGAAATCGTCAGTCGATCGACTATACGAGCTAAGTAAAACCAGATATCCGAGCGAGTAGAAGTAGCGAGTTTCTTTCCGAAAGTGTCGCGATAGGCTTTCTGTCGTTCCGAGGAACGGAAGCTCTTCGATATCGGTACATAGATGATATTTCAGAGCGACATTTACGAGAGAAAGCGCGATTATGCTATCGTGTACTATCCGGACGTTTTTGCTTTCGTTTAGCCTTCTTATCATGAATTTTCTTATGATTTCTCGTATCGGGCTAAACAGCCGTTAAATAATCTCTTGCTTAAACGAATTTCCCAATAATAACGCTTTTTATGGACAGAGTAATAACGGCTATTTAGCGGTGCTAGCAAACATCACGTAGCATTCAGCCATCTACGAAGCGATACCATTATAGTAATCGTAACATTCTCTGCGTTGGAAATCGCTCTTTACGTAACGCTATCGATTCGGTGAACAGTTAAACGATCGGCTTATTTACATTCGATCGATACGATCGCGATTGGACATGCTTCTTCGAGTTCCGGTGACATTTGAACGGATCATTGACGTCCAAACGATTTCGATGACTTCACTCTCTACGGTTCTTCAGACCTTTTATTCTATCAAGCGCATTCTCCGTTCACCTTTGCGCATTCATTTTTTCATCGAGTTTACCAGTTAATGAACTACCGATTATCCTTTCAATAAGCCTCGTTAAACACTCGAAAAATCAAGAGGATCGTTACGAAATTTTCGCGATCCTCTGGCAGGCGTTCCATCGACTGGTTGGAAAATTCCTTGATCCAAGTTTAGAATCGAATGAACGTGTTGGAGAGAAAAGAGCGATGTCGGAGGAGACAAAGGCTAAGACCGGAGACATGGAAAGGTATTTCGTTATTCCAAACACGGCGAGAATGGAAGACGGGTAAGTTTAATGTAACCTTGGAAGATGAGAATCTGGTGCCGGTACCGGTAGACCCGTCACAATGGTGAACAGGATGATGCGTGCATCATTGTAACGAGGATTATTTATCTTATCTTATCTTAATAATTTCCTTCAAATTGGGGTGTTTAAGGGTGCATTCCGCGCCTATTGTCACCCGCGAGGGTGGCGTATTCTGAGAACATAGCTTTCCTTTTCCCCACCGAAAATTAGTGGCCATTAGTTCTTTATTTATTTATTTATTGGTATGTACGGACATGGCCTTTTTTATGAATGGAGTCAATTGTTCAATCTTGATTAATAAAAAATTGTTAAGATTGGTGCAAAGCTGGTACAATGTAGAATAATACAGTGAAAGAAAAAAAATATAATAATATAATGATATAATAAAGAAAATATAAAATGAGTATAAGAATTATGCAGATATATAAAGTACTGGCATGTGATTGAACACTGACAAAAAGCAAATAACGCATGCTGGAAGTGGGCTCGTAGCTTGCTTCTATATAGTTCTGTTTTGGAATCGTTAAGTTAGATTAGATTGAAAATAAAGAATTTCGCGTAGCAGCGAAACGCGAAGCTGAAAGTGAAGCCGGTGCTCGATCTGTCTCGATGGCGGATAAATCTAGCGTGGCTCGGTCACTTTTACTTTCCATGGAATTTGCTTCGAGCCACTCGCTCTGTTTACTAGGAAACTAATGGCGCGATTACATTCTTAATTAAATCTTCTTTGTTGTTTTGTAATTACCCGAAGGAATCTCGCCGCTCGTCCGGCGATACTGGATCGATCCACTCTTCCTTTCGTTTCACGATTTCCTCTTCCTAGCTCGGTCTCGGAGCTTTTATTTTTCTCATATTTTACGAGCCGGCAAGTTTTAAACAGGATGATCACGAATCCGAATGACGTGGTTCGGAAGGATCACAGACGATGATCAACATGGAAACCAGTTGTTTCGCTCGTGAATCGTTTCTCAAAGCGTGCCTCGAAACGTGATCAAATTATTACAGCCATGGTATGAAAAATCGAAATATAGCCATAATTTTAAGGTTTTTACATTGTGTAACTTTTAATCAATATAATTCTCCACTATTAATATACAAAGAAATACTTATAAAAATAAAGAAATACATTTAAAAAATTATATTTCCACATGTATGTTAGTATTTCGTAACTTTGCTGCAATTACTGCCTCAATTCTTTTCGGCATACTTTCGATACATTTTAAGCAATTCATTTTGATTGCTTCATTTCTAGCCTATTACTAATAATAAATATTTCCACAAATTTTCGATGGGATTGAGATCCGAAGAATTTCCAGGCCAGTCAAGAACTTTCACATTTTTCAACTGTGTATCACTATTTTCCAAGTATCAATACGTCATAAAAAAGTAACAAAAACTCCGTTTAACTCGGTTTTCATTTAAGAATTAATGATATTTATGTAAAATCATCAATTTATGCGAGTGACACTAATAATTTGATCACCCATTGCAACTTCCCTCGCCTTTCTGCAACCTTTTGTCATCTTTCAAGCAGATCGCGTATCTGTACCATGATCGACACAATTAAAAGGAGAAGAAAGGACAAACGTTTGAAAGGTCAACCACTGACCTTCCTTGCTGTGACCAATCATCCTTTTTTCGCATTCCCATTCCTCTCAACTCTTTTCTTTCTCGTTTTTCATTTACCGCCGCTTTCCTTTCCATTCGAAGTCGCGAGCGAAGCTTTCGTTCGACGAAGGTCGTACCTGTCGTAGAGCATCGAAGGTCATCGATTCCACTTGGATAACGTATCGTACCTGTTCGCCTCTGTCGAAAAACCAGGCTTTCTTACCTCGTGAAAGTAGCCAGGGGCTTGGTTGAATAAAAATTACTACGAATTTCGTCCCGCTACTTACGTCAGCGTTACACAATTATCTCCAATTCATTTATTCCGAAGTTGAATTAATCGGTTACCAAAAAATGAAACAGCGCCCGAGGCGTTCGAATTTCTGATCTTTTGAATATTAACAGATCGTTCTTTCTGAACAACGAAATCCTACATTCTCGTTCGATCCACGCGCGGTTCACCCTCGAAGCCACGGGGCTTTCTCCATGGTCCGCGCGTCAGAGGGTGAACCACCGACGCTCGTTTTTCGAGCTACAGAGCTGAAAGAGGGATGAATCGGGATGGATAGAAACGGGCAAGGAGAACCGTTTCGACCTCGACAGTTTTGCAATCTCGAATTGCTACACGCCGCACGCGTTCGCTCCTTCTTTGCTTGTCGCGACTGCTTCGGAGCTAAAGGAGTATGCAGTTCGAGGCAGCATGGCTCGAATAACCGGTAGATTTCCTCTCCCTCTTCCTCCATCGCGTCGACAGGAAACCGACTGGATCGTTCTCGGCTACATATTCGATATGCACGTTGAATCTCGAACGAGCCTCGTTCCTTCGAAATCGTTTTCGCGACCGGTCACCGCGACCGGAATTTCGTTTCAACCATTCTGGAATTCGCACTTTTCTCCTATCCGCCTCTTTAGGGACGGAGAAACGTTCGATGGTATTTAGAATTTAGCAGGCTAAGTATAGAGAAAGTAGCACCGATCAACGACCTGACAGGATTTTGCCAGACTCGTTCCGACTTTTTTATTCGTCACCCTTGACGAATGGGTGCCTACATCGAATACTTGATCGTTTCTTCACAGAAATTTCCTGACTGCCGGACGCTTCTGAGTAACTCCGATTTGTTCATCACCGTAGAAATCGATCGTTTAGAAAAATGATAAATCTTACCCAGCCCATTTTTATCGTTCCACGATCCAGCCTGTTGTCGTAATTGTTTCTGTCGTAATCCCCTTCAGGTCGAGCACATCGCGCACTATGCTTGCATAGACACGAGTTCTCGATTCACCGGCCACGTTTCCGGTGCACCCGCGACCTTGTATCTGGACGACGACACCGAAGGACACTTATAGAAATCGCGTTCAGCACCGTTCTCCAGAGCAAGGAGAGTGAGACTGAGCGAACGAGCTTCGATCGGAATCAGAAGGTGGAGAAGGCACTGTTACTTTCATGGGTCGTCTCCACCTCCATCGGAACCTCTCAAACGATTTCTGCCACTCCTCCTTCAGTAGAGAAGTGAAAGGAAAACATTTCTTTCCTTCCCTCGCCCTCCTTCACCCTTTCGCTTCTTTTAATACTGATATATCAAAAACACGCTCCCGCATCTCCATGCTCACTTTGTTCGTTTTCGCCTAAAATCTCGAGGAATGTATGCAAATCTCTACTTGCCACGCCTCTCTTCCTTTTTCAATTCTATGCATATCCGCTTTTATCGCCGCTAATTTCCTCGGCTTAAAGCCTTTTCATCCTTGAATCTGATCGCTGGAATGTTAGAAAAGAAATGACTAATTTTATGAAAGGAGATCCACCATAACACTGTTATTATTTTAAACTGGAATCATGGTCAAGACGCATTCCTGCATCGATATTAGGTGCAACAATCGCTCTCGAGGCTGCGATTATTTGCCAGGGAACGTGGGTGGATTAATGCTAACTAGGTGATACCGTCACGTGAAACTCAACTGGATGGCATCAAAGCCCAAATACATGGCATTAGTACACGCGTACCGTCCGTGACAACACGCGGCTGGTATAGAAATCCAAAGTTATTTTCGTGAAAAGTAAGACGAGAAAAAGTTTCGACGTGACGAGAAGCTCGATACCGTTGCACGCCTTTGCAACTCGAAAGGTACTTTTTAACTTTCCATCGATTTCCGATTTGACTCGATGCCAGCCTTTCAATGGTAATACGCTTTATCGTCACCCAGTCACGTGGATGGTTTATTTTTCGTGTAAATACTATGTACAAGAACCTTACGAACAATTGAAATTTATTATAAATTATTCCACTTCCAAACCGACGTCCTCCGGATTCAACGTAGACTTCTTACTCCTCTTCGCGTCCTCGCCTCCTGGAAAACGAATCGCGTTTAGTTCAGAAAAGGAAAATTAATCCACCAGTCGTAACGGATACCTTGGTAAAAGTGTTTAGCGGTTCGTTTCCTAATATCTTCTACTCCTTCTTCAGTCTGAGCCCATTCCAAGACCAAACGTCGACCATACAAGTGGGTACTTTGACAAAGAGCCTTAAAAGCTTTCTGCGAATAAAATAAGAAAATGATTACAAATGTATTAATTGTAAATTGTATTTAATCCAGGGCCGACCCTGGAGCCCCCCAAGGTCCCCGGTCCCCATAAGACGATTTAAATTAGTCATTATTAGTCAAATCTAAATTAGTTATACAAGCTTTAATGTTAACTTTATAAATTTTATTTGAGCTACTTTTTTTTTTGTCATATATGCGAAGGGGCTTCGTTTCGGACCCCCGAAATCTTAGAGTCAACCCTGATTTAATCTTCAAATACCTTCGCCTCGCTTTTCGTGTAGTATTCCACGAATCCGAATCCTCTATGCTTCTCGACGCCAACCAATTTCTTTGGTAGCCGCACCGCCTTTAGCTCTCCGAATACCCTGTAATTGTTCATTGAGAAACGTTGAAATTTCAGATCCTCGTCACAGATGCAACTGAAATACGTACTTGAAGAGCTCAGTTATTTCCGCGACGTTTGCCTGGAACGGCACGTTCCTTATTAGGATCTTTGTACCCGTCTGCTCTGTCACTTTCGATGCCTTTTTACCGCTCTTCACGTCGGTTCTGTGAAATTAAATACACACGTGTTCAAGATGAAATTGAGAATGTTATTGCAAGGAAACTGGAAGCGATGTTAGAAACGTACGTTAACGTTCTTTCAGAACGTTTAAGTTCCAAGCTTTTCCCATCTAACACGGTCATTTGTAACACTTTAAGCGCACGATCCGCGTCAGCTTTCCTTTTGTATCGTACGAAACCATAACCCATCGACAATTTCCCACCAGGATTCTTAACGTCTTTCTTTGTCGCTATCGAGGCATAGTGAAGCGGGCCGCATTTACTGAAATACTGAAATGACAAAAAGACGTATTATAAGTTCGTATAAAAATAAAAGAAATATATTCCTATTTTAATAAATACCGTTTTCAGTTGTTCCTCCGTGGTCGCAAAATTAATATTCTTCACAAAAAGCGTGGTATCCGGCTCGGATTCCTCCTCGTCTTCGCTTTCCACCTTTTTATTAACTTTATTTTCATCATTTACATTTTCTGAAGATTTTTCTACCTGTTTTGTAGCATTCCCGGTTTCTTGTTTCTCCGTTTTCTCGTCTGGATTAACGTTCGTCGCCTTTGTCCTGTCTGCAGGAGGAGTAGAGAAACTATTGTCAGGCGCCCATTCCAGATAAAGTGGTAAATGTTTAAATTTGGTGTATGCTAATTTAGCGAACGCCTTGCGTGCCTCTGAAGGCTCTAAAAATTCCACCATAGCTGAAAATCATAACATATATTACAGTTAACGATACACTAATTATAAGTAATGGAAGTAAATTATGATACCTGTAATTCCTGATGGTGGCATTACGACCCTTCCCAATTCCCCGTGCGGTGCAAACAACTGTCGAATTTCTCTTAAAGGTGTTGCAGCAGGTAGATTTTTAACAAGTAACACCGTTTTCGATCTTTTATTTGGTGGCTGAAAGAATGCTTCTTACGTGATCTGTTTTATTCAAAATATTATTTTCCTACTATTATTTGATAAATACGGAGTAAGTTTTACTTGATTGAACGCATCCAGGCAGACACCCTGTTCTTCCAAAAAATTTCTGGTATCTTGAACTAATTGCGTTTCTCCCAATGCCAATTTAACCGCGGCACTCATACCTTTTGGTCCATCTTCTAACACCTGTGCAAGAAATTTTTTTCACGTTAAATGACAATAAGAAAGTAATGAATCTTAAATCTATTATTTATTCTGATAATAACCTTTTCCTTTGATGTATTGTACATAGCAGCTATACTGTCCGCTACTGCATTTTGGCCAAGAAAAAGAGTGTTCCAGTTATGCGTGGATCCTGCAGTGGCTTTATCCTTCAATTCCTTTTTCTGTTTGTAAGTTAAGTTTGCTGTAGCGAGGAAAATACAGATGATATAGGTATGACGGTAAATTGTAGACAATGGAAATGAATCTTACTTTCGTCAATATCTTCCAAGGGATTAGCTTTTGCTTTGCCAGGAAGAATGTGCAACATTCTACCGTCTAAAATCGTGCCGTCCAATTCGCTGTAAGCTTTCGACGCGTGTTCGCTCATTAAAAATGTAACCGTGCCGAATCCTTTTGGTTTCCTGGTTGTTTTATCCACGGGTAGATTTATTTCGGTTAAAGGACCTGATTAAAAAGCAACAGGTTGAATATGGTGACGATCGAAACTAAATTTAGAAAAGAAATTTAGCATACCATATTTTTCAAACAATTTTCGAATATCATCTTCCGTGATCGTGTAAGATAGATTTCGAATGAACATTCTTCCGGACTCTGCTACGCTTTCTTCGTTTTTCAGCGCTTCCTCTTGCTTTTTCCATCTAATATCACTGTTATTTTCGTTTCGTTCTTTATCGTCACTCTTTTCTACCTTCTCGTATTTAGTTACAAATATTTGTTTTCCATCTATACGGGCATAGATAACGACAGATAAAATGTATAAGAAATATTATCGATACCGATTGATGCGGACATACCTAAAAAACTTTTATTTTTTAATAACGCTTTCTTCAGTTGCTGTTCTGTTTTGAAACCAACAAAAGCAATTCCCTTGATTTTTTGCGGTACCCGTATCGATTTTGGTACCAGTGGACGAAAAAATTGCTTGATATCCTTTTTCTTATGGTTGTACGCTAAACCTCGAAGCTTTACGGTGAAAAATTGTACAAGTCCATGTTTCGATGCACCTTTATTGTCGTTTGCATCCTCCCTTTTCGTTTCAGTACTCTTTTCTTTCTTCTTCAGGGCTTCCATATACTGTTACAATAAATAACCATCATTATCTTTTAGAAATTTCTACATGTACTATTTAGATTTCTAATTACCTCTAAATCAGATATAACTTTCTCTGCAATTTTTTCTTTCTTCCCTTCTTCTTTATCTTCTCCTTGTTTCTCCTCTTTACTATCATCTTCATCAGCAGTTTCCTCGTTGTGATCCTCATGTTCTTTGTCTTGATCAGTTATTAATGTTGTATCATTATTCCATACTGCTTTATTCGTTGTATGGCTTTCAAGAAATTCCACAAATAAAGGATCATCCTTATGCTAAATATAAAGCAGCATAAAAATTAAATTAACTTCTATAATGTTAAAATACATGATATATTACAATATGATCATACTTTTTTCAATGCTTCTTTAACTTCATTTGTTATGCCTTTCTTTTTCTTTTTCTGTTCATCCACTGTTGTTTCATTTGAACATTTATCTTCTAGTGTATTCTTAGAATCTTTATTATTTATCAAGCTCTTTGAACTATCAGAAGCATATTTACTCCATGATCTGGGTTTAGACGAATCCCCTGTAATATTAAAGAGCTTAAATACAAATTGGAATTATTTTACTAACATGTATAACATGCTGTTTAATAATTACCTAGGCTTGCACAATGCTCTACAGATATTGTACAAGTATCGATACATGTTTTGTCAAAATACTCTTTGGCAGCAATAGCCTGTTCTTCTGTTTTAAATCCAATAAAAGCAAATCGCCTAAATTTGCCATCTTTTGTATATTTCAACTGTATATCTGTTACTAAACCTTTCTGGCTAAAATGTTCCTTCAACTTTTTATCTGTAATCTATCAAATTTTATCCCAATTAATTGTTTGTATTCATAGTATCATTGCATTTGTATGACTACAATTTATTTTACTTACATTTTTTGGCAAATTTTTTACTATCAATCGTGACATTTTGTATCATAACTTTTAGTTAAAAACTTTGAGCTTATACGTTTTGGTTTTGCATACATGCAGTTTTAAAGAGGTTACGTTTTCTGATATATTTTGATAAGGTTAGGAGCACGTATATGTTACAAATGCACTTAAATAGAGATTTAGAATCTACTTTTAATTACAAAAATTAAACAGAAAATGTATACAATGTTCAATATGCTTTCCAATAAATACAGAGTACATTTATTAGGTCAGAATAAATACTTAATTCTATTGTATTGAAACTTCAAAATATTCTTTAGTGTTCAAGCAAATACATTTCATAAAGTTGTTGATGTTCTTCCATCTGGAATGTCGGTACAAAGTTTATATGAACAATTTCTGTAAAGCCTTCATCCAAAGTCGGTGGTTGATAATTTTTTCTGGAAACGATACGATAAAATCTGTAGATCTTGTAAGTTTTTTTTTCTTTTGCATACTTACACATAAGAATTAATAATAATTTCATTGATTTTGGCATGACTAGGATCAGTTAATTCTCGAAACTGAAACAATAAATTTAGTACAGAATTCATATTGCAAATTCTATTGCGTTATTTATTGTTACCTTGTTATTATGTTTTGCATGATCAACGTTTACTGACATAATGAAACACCTTACAGAGATGTTATATCGTTTTGCTACTTCAATATATCTTTGCCTTGATACAGAATCTGGATTAGTATTATCCACAACAACGCTACGTTTTTCAGTTAGATGTTTTTCCATTACAGTGACACATTTTTGCCAACTCCCAAGATTATCTCTATTAACACATTCATACTGACTTAGATGATTTCGTACAAAATGAGATTTCCCTGAACCAGGACATCCAACCATTAAAATGATCTGAAAATGTATTAGCAATTGCTTGATACTGTGTATTTAGGTATGGAATAGTATAGTTAAATAATATTTTAACTACTTCTTGGATGCTTGAAGTTAGACTGCCTCCTGTGCATATTTCTTTACTTGGTAAATTTGTTGGATTAAAGGCAGGTAATATATATTGTGCTTGTTGGTGTCCACGAAAATGTTCTTCAGGCGTGTAAAATTTTAAGCCTAAATTCAATGCCAGTAATCTATCCGCTAACGAGTGGTCCTTTTTCTTACCCGGAGCCCAGTTCTTTATTCGTCCGGCTGCATCTCCCACGAAAAATGAATTGTCTTTATCGATAGGCACCGAATCATTGTACTATAAACAAAGATCATTTTAAAATCAACACCCGCAACATTATTAAATAATTAATTATACACCGACTTCTTCTAATTTCTGCCACATGCCAGGCGCCGGTTTCCTATAGATGCTATTTCCAGTAGCTATAAAAATCTGTGAATAAATTAATATCTAAAACAGTTTTCTTTAACATATATGTATGTACATATAATTCCATAACAAAATATACCTGTATTGGAACTCCAATTCTCTGTACTATGTTCTTCAGCTTATTCTTGAAAGAATTGGTATTTACTCTTCCAGAGCCAATTGATGCTTGATTAGTGAAAATTACTATTTTGTAAGAGTTCTTGTGAAGTTCCTTTAATTTATTAGGCACATCAATGTATAGAAGTTGCCAGTCATCGTAATCTTTTGGAAATACCAGACCAGATTTTGTTTTTATTAAAGTTCCATCCATATCATATGCTGCAATCTAAAAAGCAATTCAATCCAGTCAACTGTGTATAAAGTATTGGTATTGCTTTTAATTACCTTTGAACGACCTTCTACACCATGCGAGGTATATATTAATAATGCTCCACAATCTATACTCTCCCAAACACCTTCATTGACTTGACTGTTTGTGTTTTCTGTCATTTTACTTCTATTTAGAAATTTCAAAATCCCATCAGTATTTTTTGTATGCTTCTTCTCTTCTTTTGTTTTTTCTACCTGCTCTGTATGTTCAATATCATCTAAACAATCAGTTTCAATTTTTGGTATTTTATGAGAGATTCTTTCGGTTTTGCTACAGATTTCTGCTTCTCTGCCTCTTTTCTCTGGTAAATGAGATTTTGGAGGTGGAGGATTAAATTCAACTTCATATACATATTTTCCATATAGTATTTCTAAGCAATCACCATGGCTGCCTATATATACAGCATTTTTCCTTGTTTTAAAGCCATTAAAACCACAGTTTCTGTTTCCAATTGGTTCAATAATAACTTTATACTCTTCATAATTTGCGCATAATCTTACTGTAAAAAAAAGTACAGTATATATAATAAACACATTGGACAAAGTACATTAAAAATAATTTATTGTACATATATATTGGAATGTCAACCTTGTTGTCTAGGGCAATGTGTATCTGTAATAAATGTATCTGGATTACGGCCCACAATGACATCTTCTTGATTAGGCAAATATACTGTCCGTAATGTTTCATCATTGCTTTTTAAATAACAGCTTTTAGCTTGGTTCATCTTACAATTAGTTTAAAGAAAAAAAATCATTTCTATATATAACAAAAAAAAGAATCACAATAGTACTGATGTAGTTTTTATAAAAGCTTATGATTAACAGATATAACAGATCTTATATAAATTTATACAACAACATTTTTGAAAAATGTCTGCCTCTTCTAATTGAAGATTTTACACGGTTCATGACTTTTATCGAACGACAATTTTTAAAAATCATTTTCACTATAGTTCATATTGATATTGGGGAAGGTTATACCAGGTTATACGCGGTCCTGTGAATATAGATGCAAAAAGACGACATAATTTTGTTCTTGAGGGATAATAATTTTTGGGGGTCCCAGACACCCTCAAATGAGGTCAGGTCTCCATGCACAAAGCACAGTTGGTGCTGTTCTACCAGTTCCTAACAAGTTTCTTTTTAGTTTCTCATTATTTCTGTAGGGCGCAGTTCATTCGTTTCGTATACTCGACCGCGCAATTATTCGCAATTCGTGAAAATATTATATTCAATTGTGTATTAGGTATCAAAACTACAAAAAACAGAAGACAAAGTTGAAGAGAAGACCGGAGGCATGACTTCTGACATTATTTCCATATTGTCTTCTGAAACGCGTAAGCTGAAAATTTATACCCTATTTTGTCGATACAGATACAAATTAAAATAACATATTTCTCATTTATTCTGCTTTTATGGTGATAATTTATTAAATACCATTAATAACATGTATTTTTTTATCTTTTTTCTTATATGTCGATGCTTTAAAGTGAAAAAAGTAATCTTAATCATATTTCAATATGGCGTTGATAATTTTCAACGAATCTTTCAAAGCAATTCGAAGTTTCTACCAATGCCTGTGATTGGTCATTCTATTATGGCGTCCTCCTATTTAGACCAATCACATTCATCGTTACAGGGTGCGCTGCGCGGAGTGTGATGGAGTGCAACAGTCCTCTTCGAAGCTTCGTCCTTTTGGCACGTGTCTGCAACAGGTAAGATTAAATTATCTTCAAATATTAAATTAAATTGTCGATCGGGTGTTGAAAGTACAAAAAACAGAAAGAAACATCGAAAAGAAGTCTGAATTCTTGATCTTTGACATTAATTCGGCGTTTTCTTCACAAATACGCGAGTTGAAAATTTTTGCTCTCGCCGCGAATGCACAATAAGATGGGAACAGCAGAATCTGAATTATTTTCTCTTTTATATCGTTAAGTTGCTAAACATTATTGAATGTTTTTAGTACTGTTTTATACAATTTGCTGTTTTTAATTTAATAACGTTCTTTCTTGAGCATCGTAATATTATTCCTGTTTAGACCTGTTCGTGTACTTGCTTAGGTATCGGCCGATAGCGAAATTTACCGAAGAATGCCGAAGCGGTGCCGACCGCTCTTCGTCGGGAAGGAAGGTCTCGCCATTTCTCTCGCGAACGTCGAAGTGAGAAGACGTGTTGAGAGCACCCTTCCGCATAAGTAATAGGTACACATTGTATCCATTAAAATATTTTGTATCAATTATAGTTCGATCGTTTATTAATAATAACTTTATTATTGTTGATTAAATTTTATTTACATAAATTCGTATTTCTTTTTTATTACAGATATTTGATAGATTTTGAAAGGACGCCATCACATCTAATATGGGTTTGAAATATAATTTCATAACAATTTATTGTTTTAATTTATTCTAATCAATTATTAACATTTATTATTACTTTGTTGTCATTGAGTCGTTGTTAATTGTAAGTATTTTTGATAATTAATTGGTACCAAGGTACCAAGAAAGAAAAGATTAGAGATATTTTTTTTCTTTAATCAATTCATAGAAAAAGAATAATTAATTTTTCATTTTATTAAATAGTTTTGTCTAGTATTTTAATACATTTGTTTTAAATTAGAACAAAATTGAAATAATTCGTATTTTACTGCAAATGATTGCTTCCCTTCTGCAATTATAAATTATTTTAAACAATCTAATTTTGTTAAATCGTAGTAATTATATTATAATATCTAGCTTTCGATGCAAGTTTAAATTAAAATAGAATCACATTTTTAAATCACATGCTGTTTAAATATGATTAATTATTGGACTTTGTTTATTGAAAAGAATTTAGACAATTTATGAATTACGACGTAATAGAATTTTCAACAATTTTGAGTGTGCTTACAATTTTAACAACAGAAATCCACTACTTTAATAAAATAGTCTATTATATTTATTTAACTATGATTTTCTATCCATATAATATTCATTGAAATAATTATCAACAATTATTTTGAACATTTCATTATTACAATATAATCTAGGATCAATATTTAACTTGAATAATATTCGTGTTCGTAGAAAATATTTCACGAACACTGATAGTTTCATTTACACGTAATAACAGTATTTCCTTAACCAACGCTCAATAAGAAGAATGTTGGTTTTGTTTTGTATATTTCCACCCATCCCCAACTTCCTGATTAATTTTTTCTTTCAGGAATTGTTGTGGCCGCGCGCAAGGCGGTCGGTAGAGTCAGTGTTTGTACGAACACCAATGTTTTGATTTTTTCAAGGGTGAACTGGCCCTGAATAGAGTTGCGTTGTACAATTAGGAATCACGCGAAAGTAGAGTCAGTGTTTACTGCGTATTATAAAATATTTTCTAGAGCATCGCGGCTCTGATTTTTCTTTTTCCATCGCGAAAGTAGAGTCTCTATAATTGTTCGCCGGAAATTATTCACGGTCGCGTTATTAGTATTTCATATCTTGATTTTTATTTTTAATTTTTTTTGTTTTAATTGCTCGATATGTCCGGTATTAGAGTCAGTGCACCACTGAAGAGGAGTCTTGGGTGTTGCTCCATAAGGAAAGAGTGTAAGTATCTTATTACTTTATTCAATTAATTTTAATTCAAATAGAATCATTTACAATTTCAACACTTAATAATTGAAAGTCCCTTTTAACTGCTAATATTTTATAAAATCTAAATTCATATATAATTTTATTATATCAAAAATTGATATAATTTGCAAAATTAACCGTAATTCTTTTGTGTTTTGTTACAGATGAATTTTTTGATTTTGCCGAGTTCCTGGATATCCTGATGATGGCTTTCTTCACGACTTCCGTCTTGGTACGTCACTTAATTGCTTTTTATTAAAATAGAATAATTTACATTTTCAACACTGGATAATTGAGATTTCTTTTTAATTGCTAATATTTTATAAAATCAAACTTTATATGTAATTTTATTACAATAAGAATAGATAATCTTCAAAATTAACCGTAATTTTTCTTTTTTTGTTACAGATGAATTTCTTCACGACTTCACTATTCTCCTACAAGGCAGCCTCCTACCTGGTGTTTGACTGTCGGAAGAAGAGTATATCTGCGAACGGTGAGTCGCATGTTTTATGGTTCCTCTGGTGCCCAATCATGTCGTAGGACGAATGGTCCGAATCGACACGGGCTACTAGTTGTATACGTGCTTGGCAAGCATAGTGACCATGGGTATGATTATACATACCCATGAGTAGTAACATTTTTATTGTTTCATTTCATTTAGTTAGGCTAGGTCTTCTTGTACTCCGCGTTTTAATATCATTTCAATTCCACATATTCTAATAGATACTTTTGAAATATATGAATGCTCTTAAATATTCTTAACTGTGGAATTAGAATATTTGAATACCGAAACAATTTTATTTAGTTTGTCTGTAATAGAGAAGTCAAATACTATCTGACTTAATTATTGCGATGGTTCAAAGCAATATAATATTAATAGTATTATGTAATCTGTATACTGGATATACATATTAATGATGCTGTTACATTGATTTAATTACATTTTGTACACTATAAATTCAAATATGATTTGAGAATTTTTTAAAATTTCATTCATACAATAACGAAGTTTAACTTATTTACACGTTCATGAAAAAATGAACAATTTATGTGCAAGAAGACAATTCGTGACGGGTAGATTTCCAATTCAGAGTGATCTATTTCAACACATTTTGCGTATTCTTGAAAATTTACTCTGAGGAGGGAGTCACCCGAGGATGTTTTATTAATTTTCACAACAAATTCTTGTTTCATTGCAAAGAATTTTTAATTAAAGACATTAAATGCTTTTTTATTAAAATTTTGCATTTCTTAAATTAGTGTTGCGAAAAATTTCCAGCGCGAGAGTAAATATGACGATGCACTGACTAGTATTCGGTGGGAATCCTTTTGGTTTTTAAACTCAATCCTTTTTATTATTTAATTAATCAAATTAGTTACAAGGATTCCGCGGCATAAGACCGTGAACACCATCTCTGGGAGATATACCCATGCATTACTAGGCCTTTGCAGGCGCAGCTTTAGAATACGGAATATATGAAAATATATTACCATATTCTAAACTGTAGTCCTTTTGTCTATACTATGGGCGTCCGTCAATCTGACACCGTTGGATGCAACGTGTTGGACGGGCGGGTAGCGCTCTTAGCGAAGGGGTGCACTCTGTCCTGGCGTTACGACGTCCAGGCGGGGTGGGTGGTATGTAGCGTCTGGCGTAAGTCTAGGGGGCGTGAGACCCTTCGTTGCCAGCTGATATTAGCAGTGCACCATGTTTGCGTCATAGTTGCTCTATTTTGCTTTTCAGTATTTCTTCTTAAAGCTTTATATTTACAAAGTCGAGTCATTTTTATTAAAATAGTGAAATATTAGCCCGTTAGATGTATATGTACTAATCATGTTTGTAGATCAGGATTTTCAGATTTAACCCCTTCCGTGTTTATTGCCAAAGCCCATTCACGTGCCCAGGTGCTACTTGGATGGGTAGAGGCAATGGGCACGATGACCTAGTTCATAAGACTAATAATTAATAAGCGGCTGGCATTGTGTTAGTATATCGTGCACGACGTAATCTCCACATATGGTGTGTGTGTTTTTAGGCTGTGGGATTGCGTCGGTTTAATAACTTTTTCATTTACTTTTAATTTGAAATAATATTTTATTCAACAAGATGTACGATGAACGTATAAACCAAATACTATTGTTATCATTACTATTACCATGATTATTACCATTACTATGAAATATTATATATCAAAGTAGTTAGTTAAATTTTGTAATTACCATTATACGCAATGATTGCTAGCCTTGCCAGACGATTTCAGTGAAAAATGGTACGTACCGTAGAGTGTGATGTGAGATGAAACTCGGGTGACGGAGGCGTCCCGGGACGTTCTCCCTAGTTTAGGCTCTGCGCCCGGGTGGAGTGTATGGGGGTCGTGGAATGAATTTTTGTGAGAATGTGATTTTGCCTTTTTTAAATATAGCGTTAGGTAGGTAGGTAGTATACCTTCTGGTGTGTGTGATAGATTGTAAGTAGGTAGGGCCGGGACAGGTTGTCACAGTCTCTTGGTCGGGT